CTCTCGTATTTTAAGCAGGATATGTGTAACTGTTAGAAATATGGTTATATTGTTGTCACAATTTGAGTTTGCTGTAGCTACACAAGGCGTGCACTGCCAATCAAGTGCAGTGGCTTGTTTTGTTGGGCAAACACTCGTTGCTCGATCCGTGTAGGAGTTTACAACCAAGCCTTTGATAATATACCGTATCACAACAGATTGTTTCTAATTAGTCGACTAGTTCGTAAAAATCCTGTCTCTTGGATGTCGTGTAAGACTCTGCCAAAATACTATTTTTCCAAATTTCAAATTTGATTCCCTAAACATTATTTAGAACTGTCGAGGGTCTAGATCAAACCAGAAAGTACTTTTCAATTGTGAATATGATAGACTACTACTACTCATGATTGAATCACTCTCACGTAACTTTAGAGATGGAATAACCTGGCATACATAATCATGATTGAATATAAATGTTCAGTTTAAAATTCCATTCGCACGCTCTGAAAAATAAGTTTGGACATTAGTTTTTACACAAAACGAATTTTCGAAATGAATCGAAATTTTAGTTGAATTTAATTATCTCGCAAGATGGCAACAAAGGGTTATAAACTAGAACAATCCAAAATAGCATTTCGCAACAAAACGTGTCGTATAATTATAAGATCAGATTTGAATTTCCGAACATTCTAACGTCTGCTAATCATTAATAAGAAAGCAGAATAACACTTTTTTTTTCGGTGTACTATAGACTAAAAGCTTCTTACTTTAATATATAATGAATACCTATTACATATATTATAACCTGTTGTGTAAACGAATATCAATCAATTCATTTATGGATATGTTTTAAAGGCCTGGCAGGGCAAGGCCAGTTTATAGAAACCATCGTCTTCGTCTTTCCTACAAACGGGAAACTAAACACTGACTCACATCTCCTCTTGAGTTTGTTATTTTTTCTAACGCCAAAATATGAAAGCCATGCAATTGTAGTTACTTAATTAAGATTCAATCTGCTATCTAGATAGCAATTGACTATGTTCGCTAGAAGCCATCCAAATGACGATTGGTCACAATATATCCATCCCTTATTGTTCGATTATATTTATGGCTGTCTGACAGTAATTGATTTAGGGGTATAATTTTCTACGAATTATAAAAGTACGATTTAAAAAATTTCTATTGTTCCGCTGATGATGAAGAATACATTTTGACTGTGTGTCCGATTCTAATCTGTATCGAATAGATCATTATTACTTTGTACGACTTTTTCGAAGTTTATTATTGAGATCAGTTTGGGAGCTGTAGGTTGAAGCTTCCATTCTGGGCGTCAAGTCATTGATCTAGTGTTTATTTTGAAATAGATGCTTAAACTTTATGATCTCCTAATGAATTTGTTTATAAATATTTTTTGAATTTTACAAAATACGACAGTTGAAAGGGCGCGGAACAATCCAACTCGAAAACTTTCCAATTGATCTTGATATTTTTGAACCTTCCTCACACGAAAAAAAATGTAAAGTTTCATGTACGAACGATTTGTAACCCTATGCCTAACGGGGTATGTGGTCATCTGGTCTTAAGTCACATTTTTTACTTTTTTTAGTTATATTTTCCGTGTAAGTCGAGTTGAAAATGACAGGAGCTCTGAAGTGCTAAAAATCTTGTTATCCGTTAAAAAAATTCCGGAGTCTTATATTAAATTTAATAACTTTAATGGATCCAATTCACCCAATGATTTCATGATTGAAATGTCTGGAATAAAAAGAATTGAGCGACCTAAAATATTGCTTTGTAAGAATTTATAAATTTTCAGAGATTACGTCGTTAGGTACGAAATTTTTTTTTTTAAATGTAGGAAAGATAGGTATCACGTAAAGATTTTTTCTTCATTTATTTTTTTCTATAAAAAAATTTTTAGAATTAGCATGCTACTTCCTTTATGGTGATAAGCCCAATAAAATACTCTAGTATTAATCTGTCAGAGTACACTATCGCGGCTTCAATTCTCACGGCTACCGCAAAAGTGTAACCGCCACAAGGTGCGCCATTTTTTATTTCGATGACGTCATCGCACATAAAAAAGAAATTCTTTTAGAGCTCACGAAATTAGGTTATAGTTGATGTGTTTAATGTCAGTGTTGATATTAGTCTGATGAAAGTGATAGCAATCTAGCGACAACAATTATATTTAACCACTGAAAAATTCAAATTCAAATTCAAAAAATTCAAAGCAATTGGTCCAGTAGTTAATGAGAAAAGCATTTTTCTCGTAACAACAAGAATGAGACTGAGAAAAAATTGTAACAACAACATAATAACAAAACAATCCCTATGCACATATCGTGTCCAAGAACAATCTAACAATTTCCAGACTTACGAGTGACGAAACTCAAACAAACTCAAATGTCACGTTAGCTATAAATATACATCACGATACCGGTAAAATTAAACTCATGGCAGTAAAACGCGTATCAATTAATTTTTCTATTGATGAATTGTTATTTTTTTCGACTTCGCTTTCCATATTGAAGCTGTGAGCCGCTTTGTGTCGCGTCAGTGTAACACGGTTGACAAAAAACAGTCGCGTGTATCAATAACAGTGTGCGCCTACAATAGCAATATAGAACTGCCGGTAAAATTTGTGGAAACACTGGCTGTCTTGGGTGTTGAATTGTTTATGAGATTGACTGTATAAAAGTTGCATTAGTAGCTTGTGGCTTTTAGTCTAGTGTCATTTTTGAAGCGCTCTGTTGAGTTTTATTTGACCCCTGGAAAGTTTTGATCCGCGATGTTGTTGTCGCCACGCGTGGACAGTGAAATCCGGAAAAGTTTTGTGGTTCTTTGTTATCGGCCCTTGCCAGACTTATGTAATCCAGCAGAATACAATAAAGTATAAATTATATACGAGTGTAGCGAAGTACCGGTAGTCTGCCGGCAGTGTGATAGATTTATGTTCGCGTATTACAGGCTTTGTAAATTAATTACAGATTGAATGGCTTAGCGTAGCAGGCTTTTGTTATACGATATTTCGATAATATTATGGTAATAATATTAGTTGAGAAATTTTGACATTTTACGGCACGTAACACGAGGATAAAAGCAGGAGGGCGCTTTTTAATTATAAAATGTTAAATGATAGTAAGATCAATCCTAAATGTTGAATATAATGTCAAATCATGGCATTCCAAATTTGTCTAAATTTATTTGAACTGCTTTAATTGAAATAAATTTTATAAAGTCACCGAAAAATATCACGAAAATAGCTCAAATAAGGCGATTCGAAATATTTTTTTGACTTACGTCAGATATAGTTTTTTTTAAATAAATATTCAGCACTAGTACAATTCAATTCATTTCGACGGTTTCCAGCTTTGCTATTATCAAACCGATATTACCAAGGTTGGGCCATACCGTACATATATACTGTATATATATTTTCAAATCAACTCGATCGATAAATTCACGGGTTTAAACTTTGCATAGCGGGAAGTCAATACTCGATTAAGAGTATGATCACTTTAGAGATACATATCGAATTTCAATCAGAATATGAATGAAATGTATATGATCAAAAACAACTCATGGACGCTTATTTCGGATTCATTTTATACTTTCCCACCGTATACCGGCATAAGTACAAAGGCATTATATTCGCTCGTATGGAAATCTGCCCCGCATGTCGTTAAAAGATTGAATTAGAGATGATAATAACATTAGATACCAAAAAGAAGAAGATACCATTTTCAGGAATTGCGAATTCAGGATTGCGAAACGGAGCCAGTGTATATCGTGAACGATTTTACCTTTTCTCATCAATTATTCGACACTATTGCGCTAAATTCAATGGACGTAGTGAGCATCATGATAAAGGCTATATATTTGCACGAAAATACTATGTAGCCTAAGACAGATGTTACGTAAAGGGCGCTCCAGAAGTATGTGTACCAATATGGAGGGAACTAATTTTGCTTGCCTATTTTACATCAAGTTGCGAAAAGGGACTGAAACCTATGTGTAGGGGTATATTCACTTGGCTATCACAGTCAGTCCCGAACTGAACGTAATAGAAATAAAATAAGGAAAATCGGAATAAAATTATGGCCCAACCCTAACCCTACACATACTACGGGAGTACCAGGTAAACAGACAAAAGTCAGAGTTGCTAGAATGTCAGAGTCAGTACACTCGACTCGCAACACCAGGAAATAAACCAAACTGACAGTGCATAAGTATAAAAAAAATCGATCAATTTACTTGCTTATATTCGTAACTGCGATATCTTCCCAAGTCAAAATCCTTCTGCAAGAATATAATGATAGGCATGCTACAACTAAAACGTACATTGATACCAATATTTAATTCTTATTATAAAATAAAGAAAACAAACGTTCTAGAATGCCACTTAATTTTGCGAGATTTTCAAAAGTAACGCTGGTACAAATGCTGAACTGAACTATAGTTGATATTAACTAGTTTTAACAGCTCTATGTTTTGTAATGAGGGATATAAACAATAGTCAGTTCGACTCATTCATTAATACCGCTGCTATTCACAGCAGGCAGCAAAATGGAGTGTATCCAAATCAAATAAATTCAACGAATAGGTTGTGTATAGCAAATGGATTGTGACCAATTTTACGTAGAAGTGAAATATAAAATAGTAAGGCTGAGAGCTAAAAACTATCTGACTTCGTGCCGTTGAGAAAGTCAGAATTAGAATTGCTCACCATCATCGTCTAGAATGGTTAATTGATGAGCCAATTTTTGTGTCGTGTAATACCAAGTTCTATTGTACTCCCGAGGAGGCCTTCTCAAATTTATACATCGCCAAATTTGGTTAGTAAGGTTGTTAATTGAATATTCGTTCCTTAAGTTCAGATCGATATATTATAGTGGAATACGAAAGCGTCTTTTCAGTTTTTTATCTATTTTAATAATTCAAATAATATTTGTTTAGATTTACTATGTTTTATGCAGTACTTAGTATATATTCAGCGCGTTATGTGCTTTTTTATTAGTAAATTAAGTAGGGTGACGTCATCCCGAAAACTTGTGGTATCACTTTGAATTTGTGGCATTGTTAACACGCCGCAATATGAACAACCAGCAGAAATTACGGCGGGACACAGCTCCTGGTTCGGCCATGATGGCTATGGTCGTAAAAATGGCTCAACAGGCAGAGCTTCCACGAGAGGTATGTGAATTTGAAATTAATTTAAGTATGATAGTCGGTACATGCCTGGTAATCTGGTATGGCCTTTTCCATGTATTCAGTGACATCGTTATTGATGTTACATGTCATGCAATTGATTAGGTGTCATTGTCTTCGTGTGAGTCATGTACAGTGTTTACATGTGTTAATCTAACTAAGCAAGGAGTTTCCCATAGCCAATTGGAAATGTATGATATTCTGAGCGTAAAAGTTGAAGGACCGTGCTACAGCTGTTCATTTTATTATCATCCATGCTGATCTCAGCAGGTCCACTTACATGGTATCATCTTTCACTGAGGGTCCAAGTTAATTTTAGTTATGTACAATATTGTCGAATATTTTTTCGTTTTACCAGAATCTAAAGTAGCTTTTTCAATCTCAGAATTTAGAAAGTTTTTATCGTGAAATTAACATTTTTATGAGTGTAACGTTACGAGACTGAGGTCACAATCTTTCCAATTAAGAAAACTGGATACAGAAATTTTTTCGAGGTGAAAAATTTTGTTGGCAACTTGACAATTAGTAATAATGGGGGTAGGTAAGTGACAACGATAAAATGGAACCAAAATACGTGAGACTTGAAATCTACTAATTTCCACTATAATCTATTTATGTCCACCTAAACACTCCGGAATAAAATATAAAATAAAAACTGAAAGGTAATCCCTTATTTTGCAAAAAAATGTTGGTGATTACTCTTTTTATACTTAATACCTGTTCCTTCCACTCTGACCGACGCTAAAAGACCATGATAGCGTTTACGTGAATATCGGGACACGGTAATGTATTTTTAAGGGTCAACATGGCTTCTCTACTCTTATAAAATATAATAATTTCCATGTTGTATTAGCTTTTTGGTAGCTGCCCATCAAACTCCAAATATCTTGTTCTTGAGTTCGTTCGTTTAAACAGAAACTTTGATAGAGTGATAACAGGATTTTCCCCTTCTCCTACTCGTGTTAATCGCCCAGAACAGACATGATGAGTTGTAAATCATTGAATAAATATATAAATTCAAAAAAATCCTAAACAATATACCAAACCATTTTTCTGGCATATATGCTTGATATTGATTACGTAAAGGAAGTTGATATAAAATGTCAATCTACTAATACGTTATAGTTAATACAAGCACGATATTACATACTCTGATAAATAGAATATGTTTGCATATTTGTCAACACTACTTCGTGATCGGTGTTCCTCATATGTTTAAAGTTATAGTTGTTAGTGCGGTTTTAGTCTCATGAATATGATATAGCAGAGTGTCGGTGAATTTCAATATGAAGATTGGCTAAATTTGTCTTATGTCTAAACTAGTGTTCGTTGGGCTAGCTATATTATCATGACAGGTTGGAGATGTCGGAGCTAAGGCCCCTGGTCAAATCCACGTTCTCGAGTGTATTAACTTGAATAGGCTTTGTCGAAAAACAAATATTCCGCTTCTCCCAACATAATTCGGTAATTTTATTTGTAGACAGTTCAGAATTATTACAGTCGGTGCTCAGTAGCAATATTGTTCACAATGACAGGAATGGGCGAATAGATTCGACTTAACTTTAGTTGATGAATACCAATCAGCGTTCCTCATTTAATTAACGTCTAACAACGTGTTCATAATAATGAAGACAAATACAAAGTTTACCACAACTTTCCTGCATTATAGAGTCTAATTTTTACGAATATCAATATGACTTTATTGAGTGCAAATATCTTACCTAGCAGTTTCAAATTGTGAAATACTGTATTACACTGAACACGAACAGAGTATTTCTGAGTGGAGGTATTAGTGCTCTTTGAAATGTCAGTTTAATTTGTCGTCTGTAAGCGGGAACTGAAATTCAAGTGCAACTATTCATTCCATAGACGCTAAAATATGTTTGACCATCTGAATATATACCATTTTCCTTTACCGCATTTTAACTTTTTACTCATAAAATATTAATATGTATACGTCGGTACACACTATATTTTGGAAAACATATATAAGTTTAGCATACCCTCGATAAAATCAATGTTGTGCCGAAATGCGAGCGCAATTTATAAATTGATTACTATCACAATTATTACACCAGACAATGGATTGTTAATATTAATTCACAGACAGACTCTGATTTGTCTCTCTATTATGCTTTAAATTTCAACGTGCTTTGTTTCCGGTTATGTAAAACAGTAATTAGTAAATTTATGCAGCTATATTGTTCAAAGCATGAACAGTTACAAAAAGTCTTCAATGGTTTTGAATTTTATTATTAAAATTGGGAATAAAAACATCAGTTTTGTATCAATGTGGAAAAATGTAATACGTCGATAAAAACAGATGCAAATTTTTAGTCTTAGGTGAGATAGCAAGTTAAGAATAAGGGATAAACATGTTATCAATCTTCCGAACCCATTTGTTTATCAATACCACATTTCAGCTATCTTGTGATAGACTTAGCAAGAGTGTATGGTGTCCCTGATGATTATATTTCGAACCTCCATTCCCCCAATGATTTGGGGGTTTTCGGAGTCCTTTTAGCATCCTAAATTAAGTCGAAAATGAACATATTGTTCGTGTTTAGTTAGTTGAGTCAAATAATTTGATCTTCGAATACTAGTGGCGAGTTGGCGGATGAAAATTTGATATCGGAAAGATTCTGATCCTTTGAAAAATTACATAATTGTTGTGGATCCTTGTTTGCGGCAAAATATAGAACACGACAAAATGCGATCGGTGTACTGAATGGTCGTCGAATGGAATTGCGCTCAAACTGTTGATACTGTTGAATTATTTATTTTAAAACTACAAACTTAGTTTAATAAGCCTACGGCATAACAGAATTAAATCAGAATATGGTTAAAACAATCACCCAATTTGTTAACTACGAAACCAGACTTAATTTGCATCGATTATGAATCATGAGCTTCTCATGCTTCATACAAATTTAAAATATCTTAATCATTTAATTTTGAGGAGGAACTATTCTATCAGTCATTTCGATTAGTGTACAATATTTATTTGTGAAGCAGAGTTGTCAATTGTTATTGTAAAAAATTTCGTAAATCATGATTTCGCTTCACACAGCCTTTATTCTATACAATTGCAGATGACCCTAAAACAGTTAAGTACATTTCCGATGTATTTGCGTTCTCTGCTATACAATAACTTCAATATGTGATCTCATCGGTTGTGTGATCTCTGTGATTTTAGTTAGGTTGAGAAACTGACTTCTGTGGTAATGTGTAACCAGAGTTGCTGTCACCTTGGTATGTGACTGAGATCACATTAGGCAAGTGATATCACATTAGGCAAGTGAATCTCATCAATCTCGTCAATCTCATATATTGACTGCCTATATATTTAAGCACTATAGGTAGTGTTTTGAATTTAGGTTTAATTAAGATCATACTGATATTTGTTAGATGACGGTCTTTTAATTTGCCTTTTTTTTTAAATGTCAATGTTTATTAATATCTAAATTCTAAATGTACATTTGAATATTGGTATGATATTTAACTTCGAAATATTTTAAAATGTCAAGATCAGCTATTTTGCTCAAGTATTACGTATTCGTTCGAGTAGTGAGAATGAGCCTAAAATAGTCGGTCGTTTGGTATTTGGTGCTACAACATTGGGGAACCAGAATTACATTTTGAGCAAACATTTTTTTGCTAATCCCAAACGCAAGACCATGAAGGTGAACCTAAATAAGCCTTGTTCTATAATGTTGTTTAAAAAATTGGGTTAAAAAATGTTGCTTATTTTAAGTTCATCAATAAAGATATCGACAACGCTGTAACATTCGTCTAATTAATTTTTGTCGAAATGTTGTTGACTAATTTTAAAATAATTGAAATTGTGCGATGTAAAGCTTCTAAATTCTTTGATGTACGCGTTTTTTGAATTTTCTTATATAAAAAAGCTGCTTTTTAACGTTTAGCCAGGCTGTCGGAACGAATTTTTCATGGCGGCAATAGTATTAATTTAATCGAATGATTTGTTAACTAATCCGTATTCAGGAAGAAAATTAGGTTTGCATCGATTGAGTAAACACCAATTGTCCATTTGTGTCAAAAGAGAAAATGAGTCCAACTGCTATCTATTCAAATGTCATGCTTAGTTTGACAATCAAAAAATTGTTATGCAATGATATCCCAAATGAGCAATTCTGCTTCATATTAAGTTTAAATTTGTTGACATGTATATGGCATCATAGATAAATAGAACTCTAAATTGCGGGAACTGCAAGTATATATTACTTTTCTGTAATTAATTCTTTCTAGCGTTATCTGAATCATTTGTTACCTTCAAGGTGACAACCATAAGTTTCTTAATCACTTTCATGAAATTCATACAACACTTGAACAATTGGATTTCTGTTTGCGTATGCTTGTACACAAACGTTATGTAAGACGCTTTTCACAGAAGTTATGTTCTCTCTAGATTAGAATACATTCCGTTCTGTTAGCTGCGTTCTGTTTTGTGGTTCCTGTGTATTTAAAATTAGAAGCGGTCCGATCAATTATAAGTCTTTGGTGAGGAATAATTGTTTCCCCGAGCATATATTTTCTTGTTTGTTGTTTCCATAACAATAACAAATCATCCATTCATAAGGCTACAATGACCTAACAATTGCAATATATGCAGTCGCACAGACAATTATTTCGCTCAGACAGATATTCAAGCATGGTTGCAATTTGAAAACATTGACCCGTTTCGCGGTTTTTGTGTGCTATTCGTCAGTTTTCTGTTGATTTTCCGAAAATTAGTTGTAAAGCAAATATGTTAATTGTCATTATGTCTTCCCAGGAGCCTTAGTTTAGTTCGAATAATCAAAAATTTGTCCCGAAAATGCTGCGATATAGACTAGGCCAGGGGTGGGCAACCTTTTCCGGCTCGCGTGCCAAAATCGAGTGAATTTAATGACAAAATTCTTTCGCGCGCCGACCAAAATCGCGTGCCAAGTTCGGCATGTGTGCCAGGGGTTGCCCACCCATGGACTAGGCTAAAATTAAATTGTAATTAAAATGTAATGATTTTAGATGTAAACCGGTTTGTAAGAACCAGCTCTCCAAAACACTCTCGCAACAAGTATTAAACATTTTACTATAGGGAAGTATAGAGATAATTAGTTTGGGGTCAAAGGTCGGGGAAACATCCATAGTCGTAGAATAGCAATAAGTATGCACAAGGCTGTATATTTCTACTTGCGATGTTAACGAGGCATTGTAACTCTCACCCATCTGGAGCTAACTTGGTGATAGCGCAGTACCATGCTTTAATTAAAAAATTTTAAATCCAGCCTTTTCCAATGCATTGTTATTAAATTATTCTAGGTATTAATATTATTCAAAGGGTATGAATAAGCATTTTATAGGTTATTTTCATAATTGTTACGTCATATTCATCGGGCTCATGCGGAAATTTGGTTATGGTTCAGTAGTTCTCAACTTTGGTTTAATTCTCGATTGCAAGTTTCCAATATTAACTTGATTTTGTGATTAGTTACAACATAGGGTGTCTGCAAATCGAAACAAAAAATACGCTCTGATTAAACATGATCCAAAGATGATTTAAATAAAATTAAAACCATTTATCTACTATTCAAGTCCGATCGTGGTAAGTTAAAATCCGGGTAACCACAAATGCATGGTATACAATAGCTCGTTCAGGTTCATCAAATTCGTAAATACATTAGTAAAAAAGATAAAATTAACATACCTTTTCAAGTCATTTATGTTTTAATTCAAATTTTCAAATAGTGTCACTTGTTACGTTAATGAGCCAGTATTATTGCACGATTAGCCAAGCCACTATAACCAAAAATAGTGATGTATATGACATTTTTCATGAGATTATTTACTGAAAAAGGAAAGGTAATTTACAAGTTTATAGCAGTACGTCGACAAAGTAAAACAAGTGTTGCAACGAATCAGAAAACAACAACGGAATGAGGTGATAGAGCACGAAAATCGTTTTCTATCGTTTTCTTCTGAGCGGATTTTCGTTTAAAACAGAATGTTTAAAACTTGGTTGCCTGGTTTTAGCAGAGCTTTGAAGTAGGGTATCTGAAAAGTTCAGTTCAAAGATATTCAAAATGAGTACGGTTAAAAAAATCATGTTGATAAATTGATATGATAAAATTTATGAAGTTTTGTGTAACATTTTCCCTTTTTGCTGAGAAATCCTTATTAAATAAAAATTTTACGCGTATTTTATTATAGTCATACGCGTTACCGCTGCAAAACAGTGAACGTACAATACAACTCTAGAATTCGAACTGTGGGTTTGGACATACCTCCAGACCTCACGGTTAAATCAATTATTCTGCAAGGATTAAGTGTAAGATTTGTCCAGCCGTTCACTAGTTAGGCCACGAACAAGCATGATGCATATCGAGATAATACAAATAAAAAGATAACTGCCGATGCTCATAAAAATAATGTTGTATCCCTGCTTCCGCGTTATTTGTTCACGTAAAAATGTATTTTCAACTTGCTACACTTTGAAGACAATTTAGTTTCGATTAATTAAACTATTGCAAAGGGCTCTCGAATGTTTCATTGGGATTCCGCATCACCAAAAAGCTTGAAAACCACTGCTACACACTTGGGTTCTGTTATTGGAGTCACCCCATGTATTGTATTACCTTGGTTAAACGAAGTCATTATTCTGAAGAAATGTGCACGTTGCAGTCAACAATCATTTCTTGATAATGTTTTTCATCGCTATGTGTTTCCGCACGACTGACATTGCTGAGTAATTGAAGGACACTTCTTTCACTTATGCGATGTTGTTTGCTTCATCATAGATGCCAGATTTTTAACGTTGTGATTCTAGTTTAGTAAGATTGATTATTTTCACGAATGGTGTAGAATAATAAGTAAATTACTTAGGGACAGAACTCAATCAATTTACTGAGTATCGTAGAAGTGACAGTTAAAATATGAAATTGAAAAGGAAGTCGAAGAAAATAACACCAGTAATAAATTTGAAGAATCGCGATGCGAAAAAAAAGTGGTTAACGTGAGCATGTCTAAAACTTCCAACCCGATGTAGTCTGAGGTTGAATTGTTACTATTGTTGATCATGATCATCTTCGACGACGCGTGACCTCTGTTTAACAGAGTTGAATTATTGGAATGAAGTTAAAAACAGAATTGAATTCAAACCCAAGATTGAGTTAGATACAAAACTCTGACACCGACTCGTAGCAATTCAGATTTTCCAGAAAACAGAAATAGATTAGGTAGCATGGAAATAATTTGATGAAAATCGTTCGGGAATAAATATCTTCTAACCGGGAGAAGATGTTTACAACATCTTGAGTTGAATCTGATTGTAAATTCAATTTATTTCGACAAAACTAACTTCCCCGCATAGGGAAAGAACAGGAAATCGAATGCAAGTGTGTCGTCATAATTGTATGACGGTCATAGTGCATACAAACCATTTAAAAATATCTAGGGATCGTCTGTCTTAGTTGTTGTTGTTGGTAAAAGAATTGCAAGAGTTTTACCATTCGTTTTTAAATGTTCTGCCAAGAATGGGGGAGTTTTCTATAGAATGCAATTACTTTATAAATCTTTGTATATACTCCGGGCTGCCTGGGATCCGTTTTTCGACGCCACAAATAGCATCGATTTGTGAACCTCATGAAAAACGTTAAGCTTGCTTTCCTGGTGGGAGCCGATCCAATTGAAGCCAGCTTGATGTGAATCGTGCCCGTATATTTGTGAACCGCCCTCTTCTATTACAATTTACAACCAGTTTCAAAATGGCAGTTAGATACTTTATTTCTCTTAGTGTCTGTCTTATGCTTCAATAAAGTAATGACTTATTGTATCTGACGAAAGAGCCTATTTCAAGACCATTGTTCTGGTATTTTCCCCGTTTCCTCTCGTCAGAAAAATCTTATTTATAAAGAGTATTTTAAAGATCCAACTATTCTTTTATTCGCAGTCTCCAACATTCACAAGATTACCAAATTTTCGTCACACCGGTCCACCGGGACCGCCATCTCCAAATGCTTACAATACGCAAAGCCTCAATTTACCGTCTTCAAGTGGAACGCAACGTAGATCATCATTTGGATTAGGAAGTTTGTTTTCGACTCCGTTAGCAAGAAGAAAAAATAATTCATCACCACTGAGTGTAGATTCTGGTATGTTATTTTTGTTATAATTTTGTTTATAAACAGCAGACTTGGAATAGCTTCAAAATAGCAATTTCACACACAAACCACAGATCTCTAACTGTTGATAACAAAACCACCTCGTCAACCATCAGGTCATCATGCACCCAAGGTGAAGCGAAGTTTGCGTTTTTCAACATAAAATCAGATACTTTCTTGCTTTGTTGTAAGTGGGCTCATGTGTTACAAATTTAACTCAGTCCGCCCAAAATTTAAATTTCAAATCAGATCGGAAAGACCAAATGCTAAAATCGCCTATTTATTAGAATAGTATTTGTTTTTTAAAAAAGCGATCGCTATTTACAAAATTAACATTTTGAAATATTGTTCTGTTACTGGCCATTTTAGTCCAGATTTTCTGTTATAAATCTTTTTCATCTATCGTATTTTCCGCAAATTATATTTAATATATTTTAAACCACGTCACATCGCCATTTTCTGTCAAACGATAGATCTCTGTTGGTAAAGCACGTTTAAAACGGCATATCATTCATCAAATAATTTCTGATCTTTTTCGTTATCGAGGCTTAACTTAGCGCTTCGATGCTTATTTTTAGACTAATGGTTTCCATTGACATTTCTACAAAGTGACATATTTGTTTCACAAATACTTTCTGTGCAATATAATATGATTTTCATATAATGCGAAAATATAAAAGGGCTCATTCTAAAATCATTTTTAATATGAATACAATTAATACAAGATAACGATGCTTAAATATATGGACACGAAGACCAAAACAAATCCTTTTCATTAGCGGCATTAGCCTACCTTCAGCTTAACAACTCCCATCTTTGAGTGCTTTACCTTCCGCAATAACTTACTGTACCTAAGCTACAGTGCGTTACCGGTATCAAATACCCTCCGACTTTCACGAGTTCGCCAATCCAAGAAGACAGCCTTCACACTGTTAAAACGTGTTCCATTGAATAGAAATAAAACAGCGGACTTTCGGATAAAATATCAGATCTCATAGGATTCATAATAGAAAACCTGGGAACATATTGAAGCCATCTAGCGACAACAAACGGCGACATCTATCATAACCGGAAATAATTATTCGTTATTATTGAACAATATATAACTTATAAATATACTTACTATTTCGTGGAAACAGAACATGCTATTTTTTTTTTAAATTTATATTAGTTTTTGCTTTAATTTTTTGTAGTACATTAGTGTAAAATTTTTTAATTTTTTTTTCGTTATTGTATTTTCACAATGTTGCCCTTCGATGGGTTTGCATCACCCTTCAAAAGTCAAAACGCATGGTCACACCACCTTAACGGTTTACAGTATTTTACCACGAATTTGACACAATTACTCACAAATCGTGGATGAATGATTTTGGCTCCAATTTTCCGCTAACAACTAACAAAATTGCAACGGTAATTTGTGTTACGAAACGTTTGTGCAATCTCATTTTTATGTAATTTTCCAGCTTAAGAGAGGGTTTGCGAAGTAAAATGAATTTTCATTGGCAATATTCCATTACCGTTTCTTGGGTGTGCCGAATGCTTCAATATCAATATCACTCTTTGAAGGTCCAAGACCTTTTTTTGAAAAACAGGGCAAAACAATCTTTTACGATTCAAATTATACTTGAAACATGGTGCCTCGGATTATAGTTTCGATGGTATATCGCGTTTAAAATTCATATATGACGTCAGAATAGCCAAAATTGATTTTTTTTGTACAAAATTTTTATGGCGAATGATAACAAAATTATGACCTCTTTCTTGTTAGTTTATCATGTTTGTGCCGTCATTGCGCCCGAGTTTAGTAACATGATAGTCGATGACACTATTCATGATACCAATACACTCAATATTCATTAATATCAAATTTTAATTTTATCAAGTTTTAATTCTATTTCACAGTTCACCCTAGTCCGCTGAGTTCGAAGCGATTTCCAATCGACGCGGAAGACACTCCTTATCTGAGCGATGAGATACGACATCGCATTAAAGAACTGAGTGCTCGAACAAAACTCAAACAAAAAGGAGATCCAACCAGGAATACCAACAATTGTGCATCAAATAAGAACCAAGCAAGTACAAATAACGATCCAAGAACTAACGCAATTCCCGGAGGTACATCAGCAAACTCCAGTAGACAAAGTTCTAATCGAGACTACTCTACGAACGGCGTTTTGACAAGAACCCTAACAAAAATGACGTCTAACGACAGCAACGCCAATCGTCGCATGAACACGTAAGGATTATGTTTAATCTACTGTTTATGGGGCTGTGAGATATGGTACTAACATGCTTGTTGTATAAATCTGATCGAAAAAAATTAAATATTTTTTTTTAAATACGTTGAAATTAAATGCCTTTTTTGGTATTTAATAATCTTTTTCAAATTAAATGGAGTTTAAACTCTGCATGTCATCAAAATTTTCCGTTCAAAATAGATCTTTTGGTATTTTATGATCTAACCAAAAATCTTGTATTTTTCTATGCACAATTGCAATTTCTCGCTTCTTGAGTCGTCGAATTGCGGAACAGCACGTATTGTGCGGGAAGTTATCTACTATTAAGTTACATACATAACTCTTGAATAGCATAGAAACCAAAATGGTCACATGATTTCCTTTATATTTTCCAGAATAATAACGAGCCTATTACAAGACACTTGGGATAACCTAGCTCATTTATATTTTTGTCTGTGTAGCTCGTTCGTCAGTTTGATGCCCAAATTGTAGTAATCGCTTCGAATATATTTTCAAAATATAAATAATTACTATAGTTCTCAATTTTTCTTCAAAATATAAGTTTCAAACGTTCAAGTCTTTGTTTTTTTAATACAGTTTTTATATTTCTTGTTCTTTTTTCAAACTTATTAATTAAAACAATAAAAAATCGAGTTTGAAATGTTTTTGAGGTTTTGCAAGTGATTTGTTACCTCACTTTTTGCGTAAAACTATTTGATTTTTACAATAAGGCTTACGAAATACTGCTTAGAAAATGACTATATTTTACAGGTATTTTACCTATAATTTGAAACAAGTAATAAAAGTTTAGTGTTAAAAATTCTAAAGTAAAATCTCAAGTATTCTATAGATTTTTAGAAACAGGTTGAATTCCAGAAAAATGTGATTTAGTGATCGTACTTTCGTTCCCATTTAATTTTTCGTTTTCAATGATAATCGCTTGAAAATCATTCAAAATGAAATATTATAAAACAAAAATTTTCATTGTGCTCAAGTTTGAAGAGATAACTCATTCAAAAAAGGGGTCTTCTGTAGAGACCCCGCCACAACAAACATCCCCACTACCGCTCAAAGTAATAACAATTGCTAATTATCCAGTCAGGAGTTTGGTTGAAAAAATACAGACTTCTCTGAAAATTCGAACTTTCAAATTATACCGAGCCGTAACTCTACCTGGATAATCACTGATTTGTTTATTTTAAAATATGGCGGGGATGTTTTTCTCAAATTTCACATTTTTGTATCAGTGGCGGGAGCATAATGTCAAAGATCACGACAAAATATGAATATATTTTAACCTTTTATTCAACTTCCTGCTCAGGCCACGAATCATAGGACAAACAAACAGAAGATTGCCAGGAGTTGGGAATAACTCGTACAGTAATGACGAAAACCCTATTTTCGGTGTATCAAGTGTCACAATACCCCATATAGAGGAAGAAGGTACGTATAAATATGTATAAGAAACGTTCTATTCTAAATTTCCTTACGAGTTCGGATCGATTGAGCAATTACATTATGATATATATCTATTTTAAACTCGGAATTTCTCGGTGGAAAGAGTAGTTTTGACTATCTGTCATTTCAAACAAGACCGACTCAATACTTCCAGTATAATTCTCTATAAATTGATTGCTTTCCAGCTTTTTATTTACATGTAATATTGTTAGTTTATTTTTTCATTGCTTCTTTCTTAGATAATAGAGACGCACATAGGCAGTTTAGGTGAAATGGCTCTAGTTTTTGACTTTTAGTCTAGTAATTATTTAAAGTTATAATAAATAGAATTTTTTAAATACATACTTCCACACATGTAGTTGGTCATATGCAAGCTTTCTCAAACTAGTACCGCGAGTATGTCGGTACAGGAGACGAAATTAATTTAGTCAGTAAAGGTGTGAACTATAATTTACAATAACGGATGCCAAATTTTTGTGAGTAACATATATTTATATATATATATATATCGCGACATATCCTACGTGCTGTATTCCAGGTATTTTTGCAATAAAAACCGTTGGCATTTTCTCACACGCAACTTCTTTCTTAAATCTAAAATCATTGCGAAATTTATCTATTATTTGAAGATGGCATCAAAAAATTTTCCGTGGACGCATTAAAATTTCATTTGGGTCGTTTATTTTTCACGCACAAGTCGTCGTATCCCCTATGTGTATCCAAATTTTGTGGCCTGCACTGAATACTCGATTGAAAAATGACATCCGCCTTACATTATTCATGGCATGTGTTCATTATTCTTTTTGGTTTAAAAATGATACCCAACGTTATTTTATTGAATGCATGTCATGCATGGGTCAGATATAATTTATTGTATTAAATTAGACTGGTCTAAAAATGAAGAATTATATATGTGAATTGTAAAATAGTTTGACTGACCAGATATGAATTTCGGATAAACCATACATATATCTTAAAATAATTGGACCGCATTCCATCAAATAACCATTCCTGCCAGGCATAGCGGTTGAATTTCAAAATTTATTCTCTTTGACCAAGGTTTGAATCTGTGCTGTTGGTAAAAAAAACAGTAACGTTGTCGACGTACTGTTAACAATATCAGCACACAATTGCTTCAGATTGATTCTTTTACGGAAGATTTGATTTCGTATTTGTTGTTGTTGTGAAATTTAAGTAACATTATCGACGCTTTTTTAACTCTATCTTACAATGTTTTTTATCATTCTTCTATGCTTTTGTGCTGGCGAATCCGCATGTGCATAATGCTAGGATGCTGCCGCAAGAGTGACACAGCTATTCTCACTGATATAAGAGTCTTACTACAGCAATACTTTGGTATCAGTCAAATAATCCCAACGTTTCCCTTTTTATCAACTATATGACAAAAATCTCATATGCAAACATCACAGAATAGTTGAATTTTGTTTTTCTGAAGAAGTCTTGACTTCGGTCAGACGAAAATTTTTGTAATTCATTATATTCGATATTGTAAATTTCTGAATTTAATAATCATTTAGAACATTTTTATTTAAAATTGAGAGTTTCAAGCCGTCAGACAAGTAGATCAAAACATACAATACTCCAACTGGTAACAAACAACGCAGAAAAAACAAGAACCTTTATATTTATGTCATTTTACATATGACCAACTTGAAAAAAAAACATGGGAACATTTTTTGAGAATGGATTCGGAATAGTGAAATATTCGGTTTTGGCTATTCTTGACATTACAAACTATTTGTTTCAACGAATAGATTCGTCTCATTCAAAACAAGGCTTGTATAATAAACCACTGTCATATGTAATGAACTACTACATTTTTGAGGGATCGGATTAATTTCCAATTTATTACACCCTTAGTGAGATGGTTGTGTGAGATTTAAACCGGGAACTGGGAATATTATATCCAAATTGATTTCTGTTATTGAATTACAATTTGCAATTGATTTCGATGATAAATTCGTGATAAATATTTGAGATAAATTTCTGAGCAGAAGTCATCATGTATTTGTTTTGATGGAAAATTCTCAATAAAAAATGGAAAATTTTCCAAAAAAAAATCCGATTCTTCGAATCTTAAAACAGATTAAAGCAGTAAATTATTTCGACAAAACATCTTGAAAATTCCAACCTGACACATTGAATTGTTTTGATTTATTTTTTATTTATGTCGTGCTGGGTGATTTCCGTAGACTAATAAAATACAAGATATTCCATGTTGTTGATAATTTCAAGTATGTTTTTTGTTCAAATTGGGTCCGGTCATGTGATGAGTCACGTGTTGAACAACGTATAGAAATATAAAAATTTAAGTGGTATTTTCTTATAAATCTGATTGTTGTGAATCATAATTGTAATTTTGGAAACTTCATAGACCTATGACGCTTAACCAGTATTTGAAATATATGGTACAGTAGCAGTGCTTGCCGTACACAAAATTGTAATCAAACACGTTTACTCCTAATCTACAAAGTGGGTCTTGGGTTCAAACCCCGTGGACGCATCCACAATGCAACCTAGAAGGTAGTAAGTCGTGTTGGTTATGTCAAGCAAAAAAATCCCTCCACATAAAAAAAGCATTGGCCTCGTACATATTATGGAACGTTCTCGAGGCCCTGTTTGGGGCGAAACATAGTTACTTCACAAAAGTTTCTGATTCCGTTGGGTAAACTTAAAAGCTTATTTTGAGTAAAATCTTTGTCTGATGAATTTGAACCTAAACCTTTTTTTGATCTGAAAACACGTCTTCGCAATTTTGCATTGAATAGCAATTCTTAAGGCGCTTGTATTATCCCACTACACTTGTTCTTACAATAATGATACACCTGAGCGGTCATGTGGTTTAGTTTGAATGAATAGTTTTGCTCCGTCCTTAGTATAAAGGTCAAGGTCATACAACGTCAAGGTTCTTAAACTGAAAACCTGGTATTATGTGGTATGTTAGCATACCGAATGTTATAAATATTTTATTTTTCTTGAATTTTTTTTTATTATTACAATAGATTTTGATCTAAAATGCCCGAATATGCCCGAGTTTTTTGGTAGTGTTTGTGACCGGGTGGATGATAGTACTTTTGCAATGGCTCAAAACCGTCGTCGTCGCGTTTTGACACGCTTTTCCTTCTTTACACACTTGTTTCAAGCTTGTCCCACACTTACTTGTCTGTGGGAGTTAGTGAAAGTGGAACAAGTGTGGAACAATTAGGACGCAGCATTAGGTACTCGTACACGGTACAGGGTATTCGCGGCGTGCCGAGGGGGCCAGGGCCATAAGGGCAATCGCCCCGGGCAACACGCTGTAAGGGGCAGCAGATCCAATCTGTATATTTGAGTTTGTTGCTCAGTTTGATGATTTACTTAATAATACAAACATTTCACTTTTACTTGGCCTTTAATTCATTTATTCTCGTGTATGACAACATCTATAATTTGTTTTTCCCCAAATTATTCTTGAAGTTAGGTATAAAGGGCATCATTACCAGACATTCGTCCCGGGAAGCAGAAAAGTTTGGCACGTCCCTGAGAGTGCTATATCAAACCAATAATAGATGAGGCCATTGCAATATTCAAATACTTCAAAATTCCACTAAAATTTACTAGACAATTTTAATTTTTTTTAGGTTACTTGAACAATTACGAGTTGAATTTTCTTCGTTATGCGGCAGAGGGTGATCTCAAAGAAGTGAAACAAATTTTTGAAGAACAGACTTATTATTTATTTCATCTAGATGTAAATTGCGTCGATTCTTTGGACAGAACTGCACTCAGTCTTGCTTTATTAAACAGACATATTGATGTCGTCAGGTTTCTGTTGAGTGATGAAGTAGGTAGGTACCATTTTTAGTGTAAAACAGATGCTCTAACGTTATGCTCTTATTTACCCCATTCGCAGATTACAATTAAATCCCCCCCCCCCTCTCCGACCCACTTTTTGAATTTTTATTCATTATGACTAAAAGTAGAATTGGGGCGAATTAGCCCCCTTTGAGGATACCTGGCCTAAATTTAATTTAGTGATTACTAATGTGTCACGTTATATTGCAAGGGTTACCATTTGTATACTTGCATAAGATTGTGTTATTTTTAGACTCCAATAAAATTGTTGTTGTTGTTGGGGCAAAACAAATCACTTATCTATTTTTACCAACACTGACCCATTTAAATTTTCACATCTCACATCTCATTTAAATTTTCTGTAGGTAAAAATGGGATAGTCTTCTATTATAATATATATTTTATTTCAATTATTTTGCATTTTTCTATTCCCCATTGTTTTAAATTTACTGTGGACTTCTTATGTCGTTTTTTCAAATTAAAATTACGACAATTGCGCAACCTCGTTGCAATATATTTATACTTTAATCTGTTACTTGAGTAAAGGAATTGTGTCTGCTTTTAAAAAAAAAACTTGTTTTCTGATTCAGCAATGTAACCTTTAACCCCAATTCTATCGATCAACGATCATAGAAGTACTTCAGCGGACAAAAAAAATTATTTTGTGTTCGAGTAGTTTGTTTCCTACTATGAGTGGGTTATAGTTCAAACAATAGAAAATTGCTTAATGTGCGTTCCTTTCTTCCTGATTTTGGCCAAACAAACCCCATGCTTGATTGGTCGTGAAATTTTTGCAACTTCAAATGAAACATATATACTGAGTTAGTTTAAATTATTTATACCTAGAGACATGATCTATTTATCACGACACTGTCTCACTCAAATAAAATAAAATAAAAGAGATTCTTTTTATCAGATTGGTAAAACGGTTGTTAAAGAAATTCAAGACACATAGAACATTTTTTTTCTTTCTGACATTGTGTTTTTAACGGAGGAGAAATTCTATGTATTTGTGTTTATTTTTTGGAAATATTTTTATAGAATGAAATATCTCTAAAGAGGATTCAAAATTGAATCTTTTTACTAGATTTGACTTCGGGAATTTACTCTGTGGTCAAGCTATATTTTTATTGCTGGAGGCCATGGCAACCATTTTCCGAACAAAAGTGGATTCCCAAGTTAACCTGAATGCATTTATATAGCCTTGTTTGAAGTTAAGATATAAAACACCTAATAAAATTCTTTAGAAACGCCAGTACAAAAAGATAACTAGTACTCCAACCCTTGTTTCTGGAACTGTAAATGACAAAAAGTAATTAAACCCGTGAAAAGCACATACGAGTTCGCATTTAACAAGATACCAGTGCTCAAATATAATGACACGGAAGTCCCGCACCAGTACCGGTTCTGTAAGATATTCGTTGAGCACCGCGTTTTCTGAATAAATCGGCGAATTAGTTTAACGGGATAAAAAGTTCCAATATGTCAAAAAAAAGTGTTCCCACGAGTTAAAATGAAACAGCAAAACTGTGAGTGAAATATCAGGTCCTATAGAAAGAGTGAAATTGAAAAAAAAAGTAGTCAGCTTCTATCTTCATTAATGAAAATTTAGAAGTTAGGTTGGTCCATTAGTTGGGGAGGAAGAGCGAAAGTTTTTTCCAAAAACAACATCAACAATCACCCCAACAACATAAACAACAATATTTTAGCAAAACGACTTATAGGTCCATTTCGTCCCCCCCCCCTCCCCCCAAATCAAAAAAGAAAGTTCAATCATCTCCTTTCCAACTGTTCAAATTAGAGAAAAAATGCAAGTCACTCATATCTCACCGTATCTTATCGGCCTCGTGTGATTGAAATAAGTTTTCTACAGTACAGAGAATCGTACATAAATCTCATTAAATTTCGAATACAATTACGGATGGCTTACATGAAGCCCAAGTAAGGCCTATTGATATCCAAACGGTAAGATAAGGTTATAAATATTTTATTAACTCAAGATTATATCGAGGATTGTCACAGATTATATCTTTTCAAATGTTACCGTATATCAGTGGTTCTCCATGCATATTGGCTCCCTTCCAGAAACTCTCAAAATTTGAAGCTACTTTTGATCTTTAAAAAATACCTAGCTTTGCTTTAACCGCGTTTTCACCATTTATTTTCTGTGACAACTTCAATAATAAAAAATTGACAAACGAAAGCAAAAAAGTTTATGAATTACAGTCATAGAATTGAAAAAATCACAATCAATTTACTTTAAATTAAATTACTTTTAAATACTTTAAATTGTGAGAATTTACGCGTGGCCCGTTGAGAACTGCTATGTAGTCCTCCAGGTCCTAGGGGAGGGGGAAGTTCCCAATTTGAAAACTATGCGCTAGACCAGGGATATTCAACTATTCAAAGATCCGCATACAAAACTTCAAAATTATTCGGGTTCGGTCTTTCCAAAATGATATTTCAGCATCCTTAAACGCGCACTTCCTCGGCCGCTTCATGATTATTGACTATTCAAGATTGTTTATTATGGTGTTATAGTTCTTTTCATATATATTCAAAACTATAAAAGTCATTTCATAACAGGAAAAATTCGAAAGTCGGGCTAATGACCCAAAATAAAGAATTAGGTGCGGTCCGAATCAAATATTCGAAAGGTCCGGATTCGGACCTCGGTTCACCAGTTGAGTAGCCCTGCTCTAGACTATATCATAAATTTAAAGATGTAACGTTCTGACAATAAAAATTCACCGCTCATCTATATTTTATTTTACAGTGGGGATCGAACTACGAGATGCATTGTTTTATGCAATTGAGTGTGAGTTTTACGAAGCTATAGAAATGTTGCTTGAAAAAGATTCTCAAACTTCCGTACAAATTGTTCCGGGTACAACGTCACCGTTTGAACCCGGCTTGACCCCGATCATGCTTTCGGCAAACAAAAACAACTACAAAATTTTGACAATGTTATACAAGTGAGTCGTATTTAACATTGAAATAGCTCTAGGTCCTTCTTAGTTGAGAATGGTGCAGGTGGGGCAATCGCGGTGCAAGTGTTACTCAAATATTGTTACAACTGGCTGGAGTCTCGGTTAAATAAATATGGAAGAGATTTTCAAAATTCGATTTTGAGTTTCAACTTTGTTGAAAAGATATTTCATACGGCAAAAAGATGAGAAACATTTTTTTATTTGTTAGGTAATTTTTATCCGTTCAGTGTATTTCACAACTCAAGTCGAACTAATATTATCTTACGTTAGGGTCGAGTTTAATATTAAACGGAAGTAAGCTCACAAACCACGTGAAAAGGGGAATTTCATTCTTACAATAGAAATTTGTTTGCACCAACTGATTGCTTCAAACAGCTAAAACAAAAATGTAGTTAGTCGTTCAACTATATTGTAACTTTAACTAATCGATTGGTGAGCTTTTTATTTTTATCATTTCTAGATTTAATCATCGACTAACCGTTAACGACAAAGAAATTTTGGACGATTCGTTCGATACTTATTCATGGGATGCCGTTATGGAAAGATTACTTCACTTTCGAGCCAGAGCGAGTCCAGCGTTCATGCTGTTAATGTACAAGTAAGGAAATCCCTTGATATACAATTTATGCATTATCTCATATGAATCATTCAATACATGAACCTTGACACCATTTTTGACATTTAACCTCTAACCTTTAACAGTGAGAAAGGAATGGCGTGGGATCCTTTGAACACAGCCATGGATTTGTTCGGAGAATTACAAATGCTGGCAAAGAGGGAGAGAGAAGTCGATGAAGCTTATTTACAAATGGCCGAACAATGCGAAACATTTGCTTTGCAACTTTTGCAGGTAAAATAGACTGTCTTCTTATTGGGCACGGAATGTACATGTGGTTCTGTTTTGGTAAATTGTTGTTGTTCTTGGAAAATCGCGTTTATCCGCTACCAGTGTACCAATCCATTCCAAATGTTTAGTACTTGAAGATGGGTGAATTCCATAACCGGCTATTACTTTTATTTGTTTTCAAATTTTCTCCGAGTCGTACGGGATTAGATATTTCACCCGAAATTTTGGGAGTTTTATTCTAATTCATGCCAACTAACACTTTTTCATGCCACAAGAGAAGACGAAACGTTTCAAATATATTTGTTTGGGTGTGCAACAAAACTCTTGAATATATTATTCCAGTAATTCTGAATTTTTTCATATTTTGGGCTGAAATAATTAATTTTTGCTGTTAAATTGCTGTTTCCGTTTTTTTGTTTTGTTTTTGGCATGCTTTTTTTGTTTCGTGACGTTATTTTTCTCTAAAATAACAAAAATGTCGAAATTATTTCTATTTTTAACTGACAGAAAAACGTCAGACCTACGTGACGTCACTACGTGGCAAAACAATTTCTTTTGGCATTATTTCGTGCGCCCTTTTTTGTATTTCTGCATTCGATTTTTTTCGCTCTTCTGAAATATTTATCAGTTTACGTTGTTTTTGTTGTTTTAAGTAAAATTTTTAAGGACATTTGGATATTTCTCCTTGTAATTGTCACGGATCACTTTTAAACTCATTTAACTTTAGGCGATGATTCATCTAACTTTAAGGGTATGATACCTCAACAAAATGTCATTGTTTGTCGCATGAGTTCACACAATTCATTTATCAAGTACAGTGGTTGGCAACTGCGCGCCTCGGCCCTTGGATCGCCGAGTATTTTCTAGTAGGCCTCCAATAAATTTCAATTATAGCAATGAGACACAAAAAAGTTCTATAAATCCAACATTATGAGAAAAACTTTTACTCAATCTCAAAATTTTGCATTCCAATACTTAATCTATAATTACACAATGAATATAATAACTTCATATGCGCAATCCTAAATTTTACGTTTTCTGCATTTCATCATTCATTTCAATTCGGTTAAAACCTTTTTTGTACTTACGGAATGATTCTCATAAAATTACCCAAATGCTAGATTCTACCTGACACCTTCATCTATGTCTGCAATTGGACATGAAATGTACATATGGATCGTTTTGTGTTATTATTATGTTGTTGTTGTTAGAATTCTTTTTCTTGTTGTTGTAAAAAATCACTTTTCTCATTAACTACTGGACCAATTGCTTTGAAATTTCCAGTGGTTAAAAATGATTGTATTTTTTCTATTACTTTTATTTATTTCAAAAATTTCTGAAGGCTCCATGAGATTCGTTTTTTTTTTTGCGCGCGCGCGATGACGTCATCAAAAGTAAAAATTGCGCACCTCGTGGCGGTTATCGGACGAATTCGTGAAGACTTTAGTACGAGCATCGTTCTCTTGTTCTTTAACATACTATATTTTCGGTAAAACGCTATGAAAAAAAATCACGTTGGAAGGGTGGATTGTTATTTATCGATTTTAATCGGTAAGTATGTTGATAGGTATTTGTCTGTTTGTCTGTTAGATGCACGCGATATCTCACGAAAGCGAGATTGAATCCGCTCCAAATTTTGCATATGCATTCATCATATGTCGGACCAGAAGCCTATTGATTTTGTATGAAATATGTTGTATAATTAGCGAGTTATTGATTAATTAGTAATGAGACACAAGGTGTCACTATGGAGTAAGAGTGCTGTTTTGGGGGATTCCCTAACTTTCGATCGATAAGTATTCGGTCTCTGACCGATATTCTCGTTTCCACTTTGGTTGAAAAATAGGTATTTAGCTCGTGCCGCTTTTAATATCTTTGATCATTTTTACTATAAGTTGACTGAGCAAATTTTATAAGGAAAATGGTCAAACTGGCAGATGAGTATCAAAAATGAAAATACATAAATAAAAGCATTATTACTTTGTTTGAAACTGCAACGATCACCTCGATTTTATCTAGTCTAAAGAGAGACAGACTATCGCAGAATTATTCATCATGTCTTCGCTCCCCACCGCAACGTTTAATCATGTATAATCGTGTTTGACCTTTTTCACAGTTTCAATTTATGAATGAGAAAGACGTGATTATTGCGTAAGAAGTATAAAGCTTTGTCTCTAATGTTACGTAAAAATGATAGATAAATTTTATTATTGTTTTCAAAGTAAATGTACGCCTTTCATGATATTGTTTGGAATCACATGACTTGCTACGAAAGTACTTTTATACTTGAACCGGAACGCGGGAAGAAATCATTTAAAATGATAACATGCCATGTATATAAAGCGTAAATATAGTTCCGAATCTTATCTCGTAAAGGCCACATATTTTACTGCACGGCGAATAAATTTAAATAGATGATATAAGAAACGAGAATATCGGTCAGAGACCGAAGACTTATCGATCGAAAGTTAAGGGATCCCTCAAAACAGCGCTTTTACTCCATAGTGACATCTTGTGTCCCATCACTAATTAATTAATAACTCGCTAATTATACGACATATTTCATCCAAAATCAATAGGCTTCTGGTCCGACATATGATGAATGCACATGCAAAATTTGAAGCGGATTCAATCTCGCTTTCGTGAGATATTGCGTGCATCTAACACACAAACAGACAAATAAGAAAGAAAGACAGACAGACAGACAGACAGACAGACAAATAGCTATCAACATACTTACCGATTAAAATCGATAAGTAATTAATCCAGCGAAATAACCTGTCATCGACAATAGAGTGCCCGGGGCCCAGGGCCAGGAACTGGGGGTGATGAAATTTCTAATTGCCAATTTGACTGACACAGCTGGCGGGTCGAACCGGAAACCGAAAAACGTGGGTATTCAAGAGTCTTGAGTTGAGGGTATAAAAAGGCGTTTTGATCTCCAACAAAATCCCTATGTATGTACAGAAAAATTCTTCGTTTTATATTTCAATAGAGGAGTTCCGACCCACAGTCCCCCTGGCTACGCTTCTGTCGGTGCCGATGCGCGACCTTTGTGTCCATAAATAAAGAGCATTTCTCTCTAGATATATAATTATACACACTATTGGAAATTTCATTCTGTGATATAAACATACTATTTGGGGTTCGTGTCAGGCTCACAACTAAAACTAAGCCCTCTAACATCTCCAAAACAGTGATTTATCGTCTTTTTTTTGTTTTTCAGGAAGTCAGATCTGCCAGTGAATTAGCTGATCTCATGAGATACGATCTTGACGCCGATCCAGATGAAGACGATGATCCTGGCGAAACGGATCGTGTTATAATAAGAAAACGGGAAAAAATGAGAAATTACCTCAAGCCCATTGAAAAGGTATATAATACCTGATTACTGGTAACAATAAATATATATATTTTAATTTGATCAATGCTAGCAATCTGAATAAAAGGAAACTGAATTATGGAAGTAGTTACATGACTGCAATGCTAAGAAATACTGAACCATGAGGAACTAATTTTATCGGTGAAATACGCGTTAATCGACGCAAGATTTTGGTACTCCCGTAGTATGTGTACCAGGTTTGGGTTGGGGCATAATTTTATTCCTATTCCAGTTCTATTACTAGTTCATGACTGTCTGTGTTAGCCAAGTGACTATACCCCCTGCCCATAGATTTCAGTCCCTTTACACAACTTGATGTAAGATAGGCGAACAAAATTAGTTACCTTCATATTGGTACACATACTTCTAGAGCGCCGAAATTTGAGTCAGTTTAGTTCGATACGATTCGTAAAATTATGGGGTAATGAATTCCAGTATACTAGCATACAACGGACCTATTTTTGACGAATACAGATATATTAAAGTAAACTTGGATTTTTTGTACAAAGCCCCCGCCAAAATCAACCCAGCCACCACTCAAAAAAAAATAAAAACAGTAATTATCCAGTTAGAGTTATGGTGAGTGCTAGGAATGCAGATTGCGCTAGAAATTCAAATTTTCAACCTGGAATTTTACTCATATTTATTCCGTTTTAATTTGAATCAATAACACTTTTGCTTCATGGGAACACTTTAATATGACATCTGTTAAAAAATTTCTAACATTTAGCCGAAACTAACATTAATGTAGTCCCTCGATCTTGTTTGCACGTTCTCTTATTTCTCATTCTGATAGATTCTCAAGTCTTTTCATCGAACTCGAAGGCCCGTATTTAAAATTTGAAAACTCTAGCGCTAGAGGGCGTCTGTAAACATTTATGAGGTCTTTTTGAAATTCCGGTTGATTGAAAGTTTTACGTACAATATTGCCTGTAACTTCAAGAGGGTGTTACGCTCAAAATAAAACTACAGACAATCATGAAACCGAAATCTATTCGAGAAGTGCGGATTTTTTCATTTCGGTAGAGCCCGCTTCGCTTATTACAAAATAAGCGAAGTGAACGTAAGTTATACCACTATCTGCGTCTAAATCCCATCATTGATAGGTACAGCGCTGTAATAGCGTTCTTATATACTCTTCGTTTGATTTCTAGATTATCACTTGTGGAAATTAACTGTTAAATTTGTTGAAAAGTGTGGTAATTATTTATGTATTCAAGATACAAGTGGAGATTGACAAAGCTTACTGTGAAATTCAAATTACTTTCTACGAATTTTTTTATCAAATATTTATTTTGTTTCACAGGCAATCAAGTATAAAATGAAAGACTTTGTGACGTCAGATAATTCACAATTAGCTCTTATTTATATTCAAAAAGGAAGTTTATTTCGAAAACTCAAAGGTTACAAAGCATTTCTCGCACAGGTATGGACAGAACGTGTTTCTTTTTTGCCAAAGTACAATTAATCACATTGCGTAACGAATATTAAATTATATAAACCTAAATACCTATATGGATGATTGATAACATATGATTTGGTGATTGAAGTTCACACTCTTTCAGTAACATTTAATGCTATTACACTTTCATTTAACTATCTATATTTTTATCCAGTGCTGAAGAATGAATTTTCCTGATGTTATAGTTAACAACACTATACATTGTTCGCTTACCCCTTGTTTTTTAAAATATATCAATGTTTACTTCGATGTCCGATTATTTTAGTTGTGAAATCCCTTACTCCCTCCTTATATATCATCACTTCTAGAAATACTTAAAACGCCTCATGGTTGAATAGGGCTTTGGAAAAGGAATTTCAATGTAGAAAATGTGGATGTAAATGTCAAAATTTATTGCGAGGACTTTGCAATTCCTGAGTGAAATACCGATAGCTTATTATAGAAAGCGCTAATTTTTTGCTTGCAAAATTACTCTAAAGAATAACTTTATGAAATTTCTCAATGTGCGAATTCTGGAGGATTTTTTGATTGATTTCCTAGAGGGTCGGATAAAAGATATCCTTGGCTTATGAGTGCCCGGAAATAGGTCTAAAACGTCATTTAAAAATTAGACTTTGCAAATTTAATATTATTTAAAAAGGGAATATTTTGCTTGAGGCTTGGGGATGTGCTAATTTCAAATATGCTATCTACGCGCATACGAGTATAGCTTCCCCAATCCTTCTTTAAAATCTTCCTAACCCTGCCCTGAATTGCTTATACACTCTGAAATTGTTTTTAACTGAAGGGTTTTCTGTCTTAATCCAACTCCAAAATATTGTAAAGTTATCACTTGATATTTCGACGCCCATTTTTTACAGGTTCTGCTCGGCTTATTGTTTCCTTTTCTCTCCATTGGATTTCTCGTCGCTCCGGACACAAAATTTGGTCGTTTGATGCGAAATCCAACTGTAAAATTTGCGTGTTCTGTGGTCTCAGAAGTTGTCTTCGTAATAATGTTACTTGCCAATACGATATTGACGCAAATACGAACGTCTCAGCAACGTGACGAGGTAATTAAAATTTTCATGTTGTTATTTGAGCATCTTATTTTCTACTGATACAGAATCTCGCTTCGATTATGGAAGATTTAATAAGCTTTTGGGAGAACTCTGTGAAATGACATCCAAATTATTTAAATTTTGTTAGTCACCAATCTTTTACTGTATGTAATTATTTGTCCTATACAGATGTGATAACTTGAACAGAATAAGGCGCAAATGTATCAAAACATCGGTATAAAAAGTACCTGTAGAGCAGTGGTCGGCAACCACCGGGCCGAGGCCCATCGCCGGTCCGCGGAAAGGTTACTGCCGGTCCGCAGAGAGGTGACACAAAAACAGACAAGGCCGTAATAAAACCTCTACAATCTAACCACAAGCCCTACGACTAAAAAACAGCATCCAACAGTAAACCAGACAAACCCAACACTAAGAGTCGGCAAACTGCGGGCCAAATGCGGCCCGCGAGCTAATTTGTTGCGACTCGCGAACCACTCGACATTCAATACATAAAACAAAAATTGATCCCAAATTTATTATTGCCTCTACACGGATTTATGTGGTGACAAGTGCTGCTGTACGGCGCTTCTTATGTAACAAGTGGCTTCAGTTGTATGTCGTTCGAGTTAATTTCGATTTTTACCATTTAAAAATGTCCCGAAAACGGAGCGACAAGAGTCAAGCATTTCAAAGTGCTTGTACGGAAAAGTATTTTCGTTCTTGGGCATTACAAAACCAGTTTGCTCGATATGCCCTCTCAGCATCGCAGTTATTAAGGGTTTCAATGTTTTAATTAAACTCGTTACGAAACGAGCCGTCGAAAATTCGATCCCGAAACCCGGGACTGCGCCACAGCTCATCTGTGCGTTAGTGCAAAAAGTGTAATGTCCACGTTCGGAAGAACATATGGCCTTGAGCAGCTTTATCTGAAATTCATTAAACTCAGATTAAATTTCGTACTCGCTTGTCAGATCATCACTTGGACGACGAGTTGCCATAAAAACATCATCTTTCACATTAATAATAGATAAATAGAAACAATGTATTGTTGGATGATATATTAAAAAAACGCCATATACACATCTCATTGGGACAGGCTTTCAACACAGCAATAGAAGGGCAGAAATGCGAATGCGCCATAATTTGAAGTTTAATTAATGTAGCGATTGTTCGAAGGCGGAAATATTGCGGCCCGCGCGCTACCGGAAACGTGTATATTTGGCCCGAAAGAACATGAAGGTTGCCGACCCCTGCACAACACTATTGAGCAGCAAGTCCGACTTCATAAACAATTGTCATGTCAGTATGTCGCAATAATGCTGGGTCAATTATTTTCTCTACGCCCCTATAAGAATGCCTCTCATCAGTCCGAATAAGATCTCCCCAACAATATGATGCAGGCATTGTTAACCCGAAATCTCAATCTGAGGCCTGGTTATCAATATTGATGAATACAAAAACGATATAATATCGAAGTAGGTTAGATGTAAGAAACATGTTACGTGTGTCAATGTCTCGAATATGAGAACAGTTCATGGCCATCAAACAAATACAGATATCGCATTGAATAGCATAACCGTCGTTTTTAGTAAATTTTCTAATGCGTATAATTTATTGCATAGGCTTAGTTTATTTGTATAAAGGTGGTCCGCCAAAAGTTTGGTCAGGCTTTACCGGTCAGTCAATTGAAAAAGGTTGCCGACCACTGCTGTAGAGCGTCTATATGCCGTACGAGATTATCCAGCAATACGTCTGCACTTAGGGCATTCTGCGAGAAGCGACGTTGCGCTGGAATATCCATGACAAGGGGCGTCCTCCGACGAAGGCCGCTGTCGTTGCGCGGCACGAATCGCCTCGATCATTGCCCTCGCCTTGTCGTGCGCCTCCAAAGGCTTTAAGTACAATGCGTCGATGGCTTGAAACAAAGTATTTGCCAGACGATCGCGTGAACGCTGCCCTAGGTTATGGCAATCCATGCGACTGGCAGGACCCCAACGTAAAAAAATTAAAATATTTTGATCAGCGTATTATTGTTGTGGCGTTTTCATAATCTACTAATGATGACACACACGTGTTAATTGTACCCCCACGAGATTCGAACTAGCGAACCAGCGCAGGATATTTAAAGGTTCGATGACAAAGCTGTTTCTAGCGCTTTGCAGGGTGCGACAACAGTGGTATTATCGTATAATTCCGCTCAATGACAACGTTTCTGCAAGAATTCTACGGCGCTCCAGAAGTGTGTGTACTAATATAGAGGTAACCATAAGTAATTTTGTTCGCCTACTTTACATCAACTTGTATAAAGGGATTGAAACCTATATATGGACAGGGGGTATATTCACTCGGCTAACATAGACAGACCGCGAATTGTAATAGAACCAAAATAAGGAAAATCGGGTTAAACTCATAGCCTAACCTAATCAATTCTACAAATCTTTACTTTCATTACTTTCTGTTTTAGATACCTCCGTTATTAATTATAGCATATGCATGGATTATAGGAAAATTAGTTCAAGAGTTGCGAGAGATGATCCACCAGGTAACTTGTTTTTGTTTATTTATTGGCTTGTCTCTTCTATTGTGGATGTTTCCCCGAGCATCGATTTCCTTGTGTATTTCTGTAACAATGACCAATCATCAAAAAGTAAACAATGACGTAACAATTGCAATTATTCGGCCGCTCAGTCCTTCTTTCACTCAGACAGATATTTAAGCATGGTTGTAAACATTGCCTCATTTTCTTGGTATTGCGTGTTATTTGCCAGTTTTCAGTTGTTGTTTTTAAAACAGTTGTAAATAAAATAACTTTATTATCTTCATTTTTTTTTTGGGGGGGGGGCTTTAGTTTGTTGCAATAATCAAAAATGAGTCTAGAAAAAGATCAACTATCAGTGAATATAAGCCACAACTATTTATTAATTTTTGAAAAAAATAGTGGTTTTGAACGTGTAAACCAGTTTGTAACTCAGCCAATTCTTCAAAACACTCTCAAAATGAACTTAAAATTATTTGCAATAGTACAGTATTTTTATGGGGGCAAGGTTTAAGGAAACATCCATTATTGTCCTCTGCTATATATCTCACATAATAAAAAACTTTTTTATTTTACAGGGTCTTCGAGAATATCTCTCAGATGTTTGGAATTGGAATGATATGTTTACTATATTATTATTCACTGGTTATATGGTGCTACGCCTTTTGAACAAAGTCATGCAAGGTAAGAACAGTTTTATGCCAAATTTACAATCAAGTACTTTCATCTTACTAAGCGAATAATAAAGAATTTACGATTATTGCATCACGATAAACTTTCTTCTTGTAAGCACGTCATATTCCCGCGATCTTTGACTCTTGTGAAATTATTTTCTTAACCTTACAATTTGATTGTTTTTTTCATTGAATTTGCGTGAATTGACATGTGCAAACTGTTATAAATTTTCAAACTTTCAAACTTGCATATTTGAGCAGCTGCAGTAAAAATACTCATAACTAAATTAAGATTCATATAATTCAACCAAATTATGTAAATACCTTTTTTTTTTGAAGATCAAGCCGGTGTAGGTAATCATTTCTACTGGGTTCCAGTCGTGCTCGACCCAGTCCCGCTATCAGATGTATGTATATCAATTGCCTACATTCTCATACATCTCAGAATTTTAGAATTATTGAGGGCTGACAGAAGATTCGGACCACTGCAGGTATGTGGAAATTAGTTGCGGTAACTATCCGAAACAAAGATTGCAACACAGTTGATTTAGATTGTATAGTACAGGTCAACAGAATACTTCGCATGCAGATTTTTTTCAAGCAAGGTTGCTAGTCTTAAAAAAGAATAAAAGGTTGCTAATAAATAATTCACATTTGATCACTGTAAGGCTAATTGCTAAATATTGATTGGATCAAATAACAGACATGTGAGTTGAGACAAGACTTGAAATGATTTAAGTCAACAATACAAAGCAGCTTCTCTAATTCACTCAAAATTTACTCCTCAAAGAGTTCATTACCGTATTTTACATTTCCCGGTTGAATGTTGAGAAACATTTTTGAAAAGTCAGACAAAATTTCTGCAGAGACTCGATTGCCTGATTGGTTGAAGATTGTATTTGTGATCAAAAGGCTATTACTTTTATTTATTTCAAATATTTCTGTTGGCCTAATGGAATTCGTTTCTCACCTCGAAGTATTGTGTGATGACGTCATCAAAACTTAAAATTGTGCACCGTGCCGTGGTAACGTGATCTGGTGGTCAGACTAGCGGTAGGGCCTACTGTAAAAGATTCGATACTTCTTTGTTTTGGCCTCCGTGTCCATACATTCGAGCGTTTTTTTTTTAATTAATATGAGTTGTGATGAATTTCAATTGCTCAAAATTTGTGTTTTTCAAAGCGCTTTGGGTTTAAATCGGTTTCCGACGGCTGCTATAAATTGACAGTCCTAGTCTTCGAACCTATTAAACGATTGTTTAATAATAATCCCACCTAAATCTTATTTGGTGTAGCCGCTTAGTACCTTCCTTATCTTTTTGAGAGAATAGTGTGAAAATATTCTTAAAAATCATCCTGAGTTATATTCCGTACCAAAATTACAAAGAAAACGATTACATCTCACAAATTAAAATCAATATAAAACAATTTTCTATGACAAAACTGAAAGATTCATTCTTTATTCAATTAACAGAGCTTGACTAAACTGTGAGAAAAAATTGAAAAACTGAAATTACTTCACAAAATTTCGACATATTTTAGTTGCAAGTGGACTAACTCATTATAAAAGTAGCAAAACCGGCTCGAACCGGAATATTCAAGTCAGAACCAAAATTGTCTTGAAGATATAAATTATGAAAACACAATTGAATGTGAATGATTTAATTATTTCTTATTATGAAATACAGACGATAGATAACAAGCACACAATTGAAAAATGATACAATTTTTCGGAAATTGTTGAAAATATTAGAAAACTTGTTGAAAAATTGGATATGAATTTTGACTTGAATTGATCGTATTCTAAAAAAAACTATTTTGTTTTATTACAATAGCAGATACTTTTAGTTTTAACCAAAAAGGGATTGAACTTATTGCAAAGAATGTGGAAATAGTTCATGCTAAATCTTAAAAGTGACGATAAGAATTAAATATGGCCATAACTGTAAATGAAGTTTCTTGTCTATGTATGATCTAATAATATAATTTTTTCATTGTCTCAAAAATTATCTAAATTTGTTTTTAGTTTCTCTTTCGCGCCTGTAAGTCGTGTATTTTATAATGTCCATTCTGACTAGTGGTGTCTCCATTCTTCATTTTTCCGTTGCTGATTACTTCTTTGCCATTTTTTCCCGCGGTTTGGGCACCCGAACTTTTCTTTTTGAGCCAGTAAGTTTGGAAATAGAAATTTAAAAAGAAGACTCCAAGTGTAATAGCATACACAAACAACACCTTATTCAGCCAGGTTGGGAATTCACAATTGACTTTCAGATTGTTAGTCGAATGCCAGGCGAGAATGAAAAATTGACTCTGCAAAAAAAGGAAATATTTATATGACGTCATAATGAATGAATAAACAAGTAATTATTACGCAATACTCACAAGTTGTATCACTGTGATGTATTTCTTCCACCAAAGATATTTTTGCATGTGAGGTCCAATTGCACTCAATCCGTAGTAAGTGTACATTATGGCGTGAACAAATGAATTGATCAATCCGAAGAGAAATGCTGCAGGTAAAGCAGAATAAACATGAATGTGGAAGCAATACTCAAATATATCGAAACCAATGTCGCACATCGGTATCTATACGGTACGGTAATAAAGTATTTCCAGATTTTCTAAAACGCGTTACCGTAATTTAAAATAAAACAGCAAAATTTGGGGTGAATATTATCATATAAAGTATCAAAAACGTAATTATTTTTTTATCATAACCATACCATTTCGTAGAAATAGCGGGAAATAAGGGAAGTGCTTATGAATTGAAAAAGTTTTTTGTGTATATACCGCAACCCGGACATATTGTAAAATTTACCGCCCCTTTCACAAACACTAATATTGGCTTAGTCATATGAGAAGGAGAAAATAGTCGTAAATTTGTTAGAAAATTTCAGCATATTCACTTAAATTTATCAGTATTTATATCCCGATTCAGACACTCAACTTCTAAACAAGGGAATACCAAGCCTTTTATGACTAGATGTTCTCATACTCAAGCGTTCAGTTTCATAGCAAAATATAACAAAGAATATCGTCTGGCGCACCTATTTAAGTCAATAACATAATTATTATACGTTTTATAAATGTTACGTTTATTTATTGGATTACTATTCTAATGGCAAAGTTATTGTTAAAACATATCATTATTATACTTTTATTACTGTGTATGTTTATTCCGACATTGAGTGACACGAACTAACGAAAGTCTGAAGAAACTAACTGATTATCAAGGTTTTCAAAGATTCATAAAACTGGAGTTACTATTTTTTGGGGATAATTTTCTTTGAGCCAATATTCCCTAAATTTGCCATACACTACAATTAATCAATCAAGTGATGTCACGTTATTCTTAGTTGTTCACACATAATTTTGTACCTATTTGTAACCATGTGTTTTCTAGTAATATTCATAGTAACATATTAGTCATGAAAAAACATTTTTTGTTTCTATCTGATTCAGGCAGTGTTGGACCATACATGTTTTACCTAATTTATTATAGCCATGCGTGACACAGGTATGAATAGTGAATTAATTTGGTATTTGCATCCTTGGGCCTGAGTAAGCTCATGGTAAAATTAATAGTTTCAGAAAGCTGTAAAACTTTGATGCCTCACGTTTTCGTTACGCTTCGCAAAATATAGTTTTGGGCAAAGAATTACAATTTCGGACCTAAACTTACATATATTTCTTTTATGCAGAATTAACGTTTACTAAGCCAGGTCGTTTCGGACGAGTACGCATAATTTCGGAATTCGATTTACCTTTTTTATACAGATCCCACTTTTATTGGAGTGAATAAATTGCTAATTATACCGTTTCGAATTTGGGTAAATAGTTTCTGAGCACGGTTTACTATTTTTCACCTTTCCCACAATGGTGATTTGTATTACCTATATTTGCACACCAGGACTAATCAAATAAAATCTAGGTTGAATCAATAGAGTCGAAGCTAGTCTGGTTAAACAACGTTTATATATGATTCTGATACTGAATAGTCGCGACATGTCCTATATGGAAAAGGCGTGGTTCATTCATTCACCAAATTGTTGTGTTTGGGTGTAGGTCAAGAATTCACGTTTTTGACGTTTTATCACAGCTTTAAGCTTCTCAACTTGTTTTTAAATTCTAGTTATTACCAAATATAAGTTCTTATAATTTCAATTTTATAATTAAAGCAAATTTGAAAAAATTCAACAATGACGTCATAACACATTTTCTTGAATCTGGGATATTTATTATGGCGTCGTTTATTATGGCGTCACACTACATTTAAGGTGCTCTTCTATGTCGTCTCATAACACACTTTCTTAAATCTTGGGAAATTATTATGACGTCACACTATATTTTAAGGGCTCTCTCAAGCCGTCACGGCGATTTGCCCATTGCCGTAGAATACAAAATATAACTTCATCAAATGATGTCACCAATTTTCGACTATTGAAGACACCCTTATTTTATAGTATATTTATAGTAAAATTATACTTACATTGTCCTCCAGCAACGTATTTGATTCCCATCCACCATATACACAGCATTGATGTATGATGATAAACGTGAAGCACAGATATTTGATTATATTTTTTTCTCAGTGCAAAAAATACTGTTTCCATCAATTCAATGTATTTTGAAAAGTAATACCACCAACATACTTTTGCCATCTGTAGGAATATAAATTAGAAATATTTGAAGGCCTAATAACTAACTAGCTGCAGAGGTATAAGCATTTTTATGTAGTGAACATTTGAAATCCGATGGTTGCGAAAAAAATGGATTTTTCATAACAAAACTTCATCATAACAATCGGTACTCCCGACGTGTGTGAACCAAGATGGCGGACAACGGAACGTAGTATGTGTACCAGGTTATAGTTAGGCAATAATTTCAGGAACAATACTACGGAGTCACTTGGCTAGTCCCTGAACTCGTAATATAACTAAAATAAGGAAAATTGAAATAAAATTAAGGCCTAACCATAACCTGGTACACATACTACGTTCCGGTGTCCGCCATCCTGGTTCACATACTTCGGGAGTACCAAACAACCCATATTTACACTCCGTGTCCAATAAAAATTTACAAATTCAATGAGGTTTTTATTGGACACTGCTCGACCAACCATTTTTTAAGTTTTTCTTTGAGATTTACAGTATTCGACTTTATTATAAAATATCTCACCCGTATAGCTAGCGGATGATTGGAGTAATCGACAGGCTGGCATGCTAGGTTGTAACTTGAAAGATATGCTGTGACGAAAAACTGTAAAACAAAAATGTAAAAAGTGAGAGAAAAATCAATAATTCCAAGAAGTATGTGCCGGATATTTGTCAAAATAATTGTTGTTTGTCCGTTTCCCACATAATCACGATTAATTACATATTATGAAAAAAATAGCTAATTTATTTTCCGAAACTGTGAAATAAAGGAGTTTAGAATTTGAAAAAAAAATAAGAAGCTGAAAACGCCTTGCTCTATCTATACCGTTATATACACTGCCTACTTAAACATGAATCGAGGTCGCAAAAGACCGGTGAAGATTTATCGGGCGAATTCTCCCATTCTCATCTACTATTTTCAACCAATGAACGAGAAAGTATTTTTTTGCTCTAATTATTAATTAAGAAAACCTAACACATTGAAACACTTGAGCATATAAGAGGTTTAGTAAGAGGTTAGCATATTAGTGGCAATGACATGAGATATGATTTGTGGATGAAAACTTTTTTCAATTTTTATATTTGCCTATATTTTGGACTAAGCGCCTCACCAAATTTTATTTAAACCAGATACGTCAGTTACGCATAAAATTTCTCTTTAATGAATGTCTTTTTTGTATTTAACCCAAGTTTGACTTAAACCAAGTGTAAACAATCACAAAAAAATAGTTCACTTTACAAAGCCTGTCATGGCCCATACCTCCGCAGCATCTCCGAAATTTACGATTATTATAAAGCGGGGAACAATTTTCGTGAGTGATGAAGGTAAACCATAGCTATTATTTATAACGTTTGGTTGATTTTGTTTAACGCATCAGCGAGTACATTGTATTTTCTTGTGTGCCAAACACGCCTCAACCTCCTACGCATAATTCAGAATAAGTATAGGGTAAAACAGCTTTTAGGTTATTTATGATTAAATTATTCTTATTTCTTATCGGGCAAAAATGTGACTCTGAGAAGCCCCGAGATTTCTTGTCGGTGATCCGTAACTAATTGAGAAAACTAGAAATGGATAAATGGTCCGAAACGCCATTTGAACAAGTGCGATTTTTATTCCACGGATTCTTGAAGTTATTCATATGCTTCTATAGTATAATGGTTCCTAACCTTTTAAAAAAAAAATTGAATTTTATGAAATTTTTCAACCCAATATTATGACCAAATACTGAACGATATGTAGTGTTTTTATGGCCACTCAATAAAACTTCGGCTAAACATAACTACTCAATCACTGCCCTCGCACAGTATCGTTAATTAGATATCAAATAACTATTCATGACGTCACAAATAAGATTACCAGACGAGCAAACATCCTAAAACTACACTTAAAAAAACTAAATTCTTGTTTGAAGTAGTTTTTCTAAGAAATATCCAAGAATCACGCATTTATCTGTATTATACTAACATTGGGAACAACGCAATATATGGACCTGTGACCACGCCGATTTGAACTGAGAAAATATATAAAAATGTAGGAAGATTTTACCCACCTCATAAGTCATGTATAATGAAAGGAGCACCATCACAAAATTATAAAAAACTATAATTTTTCTCATTCCATATGCTGGAAGATTTGATGTGATTTTTCTTGCATTCCAACAAAATAAATTGTAAACAATTCCAATCCCGATAGGCCACCATGGACTGTAGACGAGAGGCCATTCACTTGTTCGTGGATCTGAAAAGAAATTATTTGTATTTCTTATCGGACAGAACTGTGACTCTGAGAAGCCCCGAGATTTCTTGTCGGTGATCCGTAACTAATTGAGAAAACTAGAAATGTATAAATGGTCCGAAACGCCATTTGAACACTGTGGTCTATTCTCTATTTAACTGCCATATAAAGCAAGTCTGCACTGTATCACTGTTCGATACTTTTACCACAATGAATAGCGCAATTCGATGGACATTCAGCCACAAATATCTCTCTCAGGGTATCAGACCAGGGACTAGCCAAGTGACTCCCGTAGTATTTGTACCTAAAATTATGGCCTAACCTTAACCTGGTACACATACTACGTTCCGGTGTCCGCCATCTTGGTACGCATAATTCAGGAGAACCCTATTTTTATAATAATTTTTTCTGGAAACTCACCTGCTCTCTCGTCTACTGCTGTACGATATGCTGCAACTATATCATCCCACATTTTTCTTTGAGAGGAAATATAATATAATTGGACTATAAATTATACAAAATAATCTAAAAATTCAAAAAATGATGTGTATTATTAACCTTATAAATTCAAGGGGGATTAGTTGGACAAGAAGGCGAAAGAAAATTAAAACATAGCTCTTTCAGTGTGACATTCTAATTAGTAATTAGCAGGGCAGCGATGGACAGTACGAAAATATGTTGACGAAATGGCGACCTCATGGTCAATCATCTAACGAACAAAGAATTATATTATATATCACACCCTGGCCAGACGATACGTTATAGAAATACATTTGCGTTAGTGTGCAACAAGACTCTCAAATCAATTATAATAGTCAGATTTATATTTTTGCTACAGCATTTTTGCATTATACGGATCCACTTGCGCAAAGACATAGGGCAAGGAAAGGTTAGTCGCGCGCATCTCGACTGATAGGTATATCACATATTTTACAACTATCTCTTTTGACTGTATCCTCCAAGCGTTAGAACCATACGAAATCATAGTTGATTTGATGGTGTTATTATAATTTTATAAGCATTTCTGTAGGCTGGGTTTCAATCCCGCCCTCGGTTTTCTCCGATTACTGTCCGGTAATTGTGTGACTTTGAAATATCATAACACCAACTTAATATTCAGGGCTGCCTTATTTTTGTTTCACCCCTAAAGTAGAATTCTTATACGAGGCACTTAGATTGGTCAATTCGAATGATTGATTCGCTGGGGATGTTATTAGAACCCCATTTATAGCTACGTGCATTCATGACGTAAATGAAAGTGAGCTTAGAAGTGCTAAAGTGAGCTGTGGTTAGATGGAACAGATAGTTTTTAAGAATAAAAAACTGCTGGGGCAAATCCTTTCAGTGCAAAGTATGATCAGACACGGGTTGCATTGACATGAATACATTTTGTTCTATGGTATCTTATTATATGTTTCCCAGATGTCCTTATTTTTGGATTCATATCGATGGCAGCCCTGTTAATATATCAAGCAATCAAAGACGTACTTACAGCACCTTTGACTACTTTTCTGTCTGCTATGCTCTGAGGGTATCAAAAATCACTTTTATTGGATACTGTTCATAACAGAAAGATCCATTTCAGGGAATTATTGTATTACGTGTGTATTTCTATCCATCTCAACTACAAGAACCTTGATAAAAACGTTAGCACAAAACAATCAGCAATTCACATGAACGAGGAATAAGAAGCTTCATGAAGCATTGTAATAAAAGTCAGGTTAAAAATATGACTTTAGTGCCGAGGCTAACTTAATTAGCAGACTAATTCATCCTCTATGTTCAGCTCTGAGCTTAAAAATCAAGGATTTTCAAGTTTGGGTTTTGTTTGAGCTTGACATTACGAGATTTGGTCGGATTCCCCAAATACCATTTTATTGTATATTCTAGGTAAAATGAAAGCTTATTTTGTAGCCTATTTTCACATAACATTAATCCCATGCTAGCCATGCAATTAAAATATTACTGACTTTTAGTATACCGCCTGCTCTGTTTTGATATATAAAAAATTGATAGCGAACGCGCGGTACAATTGAAAGAATATATATAATGTCTATGGTGTATGTGTCAGACTTCCTTCATTTACTCATTCCATAGATTATTAACTATTTTGTCGCTTTTTGACCGATACATACGGCCAATTGTAAAACGTAGATACGAGTTGATGTAAAGATAATGCCCAAGGATACCAAAGTCGTGAAATGAAGAGTGGGGCTATTGAAAGAAATTGCGAAATTCAGAATCTGATCGCACGATTTTTATTTACATAGATAGTCACGCAAATACACGTATCGTAAAATTGAGTTTTTTGTCGGTATTCAATTCGTACTGGTTCAAGATGTGAATTACAGTTTAATTCGGCATAACGTTCTGTTAGTTTTATACATTATTCCTGTCAAGTGGTTCTTCAGTATATTTATAAGTCTGAACCATATCACGGTAAACCAACAATCACTGCAAATGTAGTGAAACTGATATATTCCAACCATCCATGAAATTCGTAATCCAACTCAGCCGCTTTTAACTTCTAACAGATATATATACTAATTTTGCAGAATATCTTCGAGAAATAAAATATTTAAATCAGATAGCACATTTCAATCATGGCACGAGTCTGATTGTTTGCAATTTCTTCAAATCCATATCAACTTAATGTCTAACTTGAGATACCACTTAAAGTAGACAAGTGTTGTTCTTACGTGCTGGCTGAAAAGACGGGCTTTCTATCTGCCCTGTGTGTGTATTAAAATCGCCGTTTCAAAGTGTATGCAACGCATTGTACATCTATGTGTTTAATTAAATGGGAAATCGCGGATGAGGAAATGATAGCATAGTCATGATTAGAACGTTATGTTCCTCGCTTTCGATTGTATACCGCTACATATACACTGCACTGATTTGAACCGTCAATTGAGTACTTTGGTTGTATGTGTTTGGTTCCTGGGGAAATACTGGCTAATACACATCCTAAACATTTTACTACTGCATCAATAATTGATCAAATTTAGTATTTTGAGAGAGAAGTTTCAGTTACTTAGAGGGAATTTCGTATAAACTGCCTCTGACATAATACTGAAAATACCATTTTGCCAGTTGTTATGAGGACCATATAAATAGATTATAGACTATATGGTTTATCCCTGATTTTTGATCTAACCAACCTCAATGAGACTATGGTCTTCGAGGTATTTATCGTGTAGCAAACACTTTCAATCGAGTACCGTACGATAACAGCTTTACACCTCCTGGCGTCCTTAAAACGAAAAACTTAGGCTAGAAAATCCCCTTCTTACCGTATGTAACGTCTTATCTAAATCTATGCAACGGAAAATAGTTTAACGCAACGATTCTACCACGCCCCTTATGCTAACTAACTCCATTTGTCTTTCCCTTTCAGACTGAGTATAAGTCATACTGAAGTACCAGTTAATTCGCAAAGTATAAGCCATCTCGTCACGGTTTTTCGACGCCGGCGTTATTGTACGCTCACTAAAGCGACTGACTTGCTACCCCGAGGGAGTTTAAATATAATTGCGTCGTATACGCTTGAGAGAACTCTTTGCCAAATCGACTTCCTGCTGCCACAGGCGCGTAGCTAATCCAAACGACTGAAGTTTCGCGCGCAATTGATACGCGCTGCAATATGTCACGACTAATGCCACTCGAGCATCTTCCATGCTTTGAGTTTTATACAAATAATAAAAGACCATGTCACGTGGCATTCGGGTTTTCATCTAATCGATCACAGCGCCAATCCTCACGATATGAACCGGATGACATCATTTCCTGTTGTCATATCAATTCAAATAGCAGTAAACAAGTGACCAAGCATGATCAAATTTGAAAAAAAAAACATGAAAAAGCTGTACTGTACTAGTTGTACCGGTACAAATACTCATAGCAGACGTGCAAGTGAATACCGTACAATGGAACTATGTGCCCATTTTCCGTCTTAATTTTTTACAGTCCATTTCTTTTGATATTTAATAAGATTGTTATGACAGAAAATTTTCATATTCGGGGTCAAGTGTAGTTCAGTACCTCTAGTGGGCGCGGCATAAATATTTTTGGATATGTAATTCCTGACCCTATCTGCCTACATCATTCAAAAATTACATCACTGTTACGTCACAATGACGTAATAGAGCTTGTCAAGGTATAGTGATAATCGCCCGTAATGGCGTCTGCGACAACGACCTCACTAGAGCCAGCTAGCTATCTTTCTCGTATTCATGTGATTGTGACGTCGTAGGGATGTCATTTTTTAATGACGTAATCAGGTAGGGGTTAGGAATGACATATGCACAAATTGTTACGCCACACCCACTAAAAGAACCACACTAGACACCTATTATACTCAGCTTACGAATATGTTATCTCAAAACACTATCAAAGACAGAAAGAAGTGTTCAGATTCCCAGTGGTGGAAAAATGCCACTAATTCATAAAAGTGCAATTCTAATTCTGATTTCTAAATTCGTACTATGTGTGAAATTCTTGCCCGCGCCGATTATTTCCAGACACATTTAATTTAAGCTTCTCAAGTCCCATTCACTTACTGTTTGTTTATAACGAAGCAGTAACCTACTTGCAACACCCATAAAGTAATATTTACACTTTTGACAACGGCTTGACAACTTGCTTCGAGAAAACTAGTGAGGATTACGTAACGGGATCAGAGATTTGTTTCGAAGTCTCGAACTCTGCGTAAACCTCCATTCCGTAGCAAAATTCGATCGGTCTTTTAAAAAGAAAAACTTTAATTCATTCTAACATTTTCCCAGGTATCTCTGGATTTGATGACGAGAGATGCGATTCGATTTCTTGTGATTTTCTTCATTATTTATCTTGCATTCGGAAGTGGAATTACAGAGCTATACGCTCCGTTTGGAGAGTCGAAGGGTTGTTACTGTGACATGAAAAAGTGTAATCCTAAAACGGTAAGATGAATATAATCTATAGCCCCATCTGTTGGATGACATTTCACCTCCTTACCAAGTCTCCACTCATAATCCAACCAACAACAATTCGAAGCAGAAATGATGACTATTTTATAAGTACATAAACTATAAGCGTATTACAATAGAAATTGGACGAAATGCTCCAAAATTGAATTAGAAATTCATAAGGAAAACACTAACTAACTTTTGGTTCTGAAAGGAAATCTGTGTTATCTCATCACCATTTTGAGTTGTATTCATCTCTGATCTTGGTTCCTCAGCCGATTTTTACCAAAAATACAATATTTGGAACAACGTAAAATATGTACTCCCTTTTTTAGTTATTTTTAAATGATAACTTCTAAAATTAACTATTTTTTCTTTATACTCGTTGATCTTTAATCTAACAAGTTCTCATAATTTTACTATTGGTAGTAATGCTCAGAATGTTATCTATATATAGTGGATTGTTTAATTTTATACCTAAGCCGCGCAAACCTATATGATCTAGGGCAAGGGTTCTCAGCCTGGGGTTCGCAGGAAGATTTTCGGGGGTACTTGGATAGAAGTTGAGTTTTCATGTGTTGCTAAATTTATTATCCATCACTACCAGAGGAAAATGCGTGTATAAATGGAATAAATACTTTCGTTTATATCACTTACAATACAATTTAAAAAATTTTAGTCAATATATTACAACTTTGTTCGGTGTCTGATTACGAGGTTCGGGTTGATTGTTTCATGACTCAGGAGTACATAACAGGAAAAAGGTTGAAAACCTTTGATCTAACGGATAGGGCATTTCAGTGAAGATCCTGACCATAGCCCGGAATTTATTAACTTTGTCCTCCAACAAGCTTTTACATATTATTTGTTGTTCATGACGCCGTGACTTTGATTAAGCTGGAGCGATTGATGAATTCGTTGTTCTGACAAAACTTATATATATATATATAATGCATACAAATTATATTTAGATGACAACAATTGCAACCCTGACCTCAGATAATTCGTCAACGACATCAACTATAGCAACAGGACAAATGCCCGAGGAATGTATACCATGCAAAGGTAAGACTACATTTGTAAATGCTTCTCACCGTTCGACATACCTGAGATAAAAAAAATTTTTTTTTATATATTTGCTTAGTAAAATTTAGAATCCGAACAAATGAGAGAATAATTTGTATATCCTCTTGCCATATTCTGAATTTTTTCCCCAGGGATTGATTTAGTCGAATACTTGGTTTTGTTGCCTGGTGTAAAGTTTTTGCAACATTTGCCAGCAACATTTTTTGGGGCATAAAACTTAATAATCAAGGACCGACTATTTATGGGGAAAAGTCTTTAATGTACCTTGACCTGGCCGTATATTTTATATCCATGGTACAAGTATGATTGTATAAACAAATGTCATTTTATTCGACACCGGTCGAAAGATACGAATGACGAACAAGAGATGGTAATAACAACGTTACAAGGAATATTTACTTCGATGTTTTGGACTTTGTTCGGATATTCGCAAGTTTTTAAGGACAACATGGGAACTGATTGCCCTGACAATGAATATCTTTTCACTGAAGTGGTCAGTCGTACGTAATAATGTATGCACGACTGCACGTCGTATACAGCTCACGTGTAGAATAATGCTTTTCTCATGCAACTACTATTTATCTTTCTTGGCGATGCGTTTTCATGTTGCCTTCAAGCATGTCTTTGTTATGAAAAATTTACCAGTGGGACTAAAGTTATATACAGCTGTATAAGATTTAATTTACGGGTTATTCGGTTTCTTTTTTTTTTAATGGAGTAAAAACAACATTTTTTTTTCTGAAATGACTAATGAGCATAAAACGAACAAGTTCTTTTCGTAATTGACCAGCAAAATACCTGTGCTTGCTGCTTTGTATTTCAAAATAATCAAAATTCAGAATAAAAAGCACCGGAACCATATAAAAGAAATTTTTTGACGAGTAATTCCATTTTAACTTCTGAAAATTAGAGAGCGAATTGACCAGTAATTGACGGCATTGCTTCCCAACGACAACAACAATAATAACAACAATAGATTACCGAAACGATATTTAAGTTCATTTTGTGCCCAAATATAGCATTTTCTAATATATATAATATTTTGATCACACAGATGGTTTAAAATTAAAATATACAGAGATTCCAGCACACATACCATTACGTGCACTAATATTTTAATGGGTATCACTAATACAAATAACATTGCAATCAGCGTTGCTCGGTGTGCGTGTGCCAATGAGTGTTTATAGCTATTTTGATATAAAGATAATTTTACTGAATATCTCATATGTTGAATGACAATTATATCTATAAATTTGGTACTCCCGTAGTATGTGTACCAGGTTAGGAGTTTTCTTATTCTAGGTCTATTACGAGTTCGAGGACTCTCTGAGTTAGCCAAGTGAATATACCCCCTGCCCATACATTTCAGTCCTTTTATACAAATTGATGTAAAGTTGACGAACAAAATTAGTTACCTCCATATTGGTATATATACTTCGCCATAAATTTTACTAGCGCAATAAGCAAAAATAAAAGCAATACGAATATTTCGTTTGTGTAAAGAGGTAAGTATTGCCTTTTGAGATTTATTTGCTTTTTAAGGTTAAGTCATATAAATCAATAGATATATCGATGCAGTTTGTAAATTTTTGTCGAACAACTGTCGAATGAACACTTACATAAAGATTTACTCTATATTTCTTATAAAAACCTTAACGAGGTTTATATAATCACCTAAATTAATATTATGCAAATATGTCTTCATTTAACTACGAGGTAACTGTCCCTTTAACTTTGAACAGTCCATGGCGATAAGGACTCTCATGCGCTCACAGTATCCCTCTGGGAAACTTTAATGCAACTGTTTTGGACACTGTTTGGTTATGGCAATCCTACTGTGTGGACGGACATTAACGATGCTTGCAAAAGACACCAAAGTGCAGAAGTGGTCAGTTTGCAACCAAAATAAGAAAATCCGTTCATTTTTTTAAAAAAAATTCAATTATTTTTTTCTTACGTTATTAGTTGCAAATAATTTTATGCGTTCGAACTTTGTTTGTTTATTTATTTTTTAAGTGACAAATTTGATTGTTATTCACTTCACTGACCAGTGGTCGTCACCTGAAGCTGAAGGGCTCTTAGTGCTAGCACCACTGATTTCCATTTCACATATTATGGTGTAGACCAGGGGTGGGGAACCGCGGGCCAAGTCCGGCACGCGACGAGATTTTGACCGGCCCGCTGACTGTACATCAGTACATTATGATAAATTCATTATGAGTTTTTTGGTCTCTATTTTGTTGTTGTTTGAACTTTACTTTAAACGCGATTTATAATTTTCTTTCTTGCATTAGCGAATAAATATGTGATTAAAATATTGAATACTATTCATGTTATAATCCGGCCCGCCGAGAACTTCATTTTCTTACATCTGGCCCGCCGACTAGAGAAATTGCCCACACCTGGTGTAGACCACATATTACCGGGGACCCAGGGCGGTTGGAGGAGAGCCACAAAGCTAGGCGCAGAGCTGATTCTACATATTCCTTCCCCTTTCTTGTTCCATTGGAGTATGAAATCTAGCAATCAAAGTAACACTATAAATGCCACTGAAATAATAAACTGGGGGGCCATTAATGCCAAAATCCTCCAGAAGGGAGTCACGGTGAGTCATAGCAGTTTCGAAACCAGTGGTGTATCTTCTAAGCTACCTTCACCCACTTTTCTCACATGTCCCACTGTCAAAATTGTTCCGCAGTCGGCTGACTTGTCTTGCATATGTCACACATCCCTTGTTCTACATCCTTTGACAAATGGAAAAATTGTGGGTCAAGTGGGATAAGTAGATCACGGTATTCATGAATTCTTGCAAAAGTGTGAAACATTTTTACACTTTACAATAATCTATCAGAAGGCGGCCGTTCAAAATGCTTTGGTGTGAAGTAGACCAGAGAATATTCATTTATAAGAGGAATCACCACGTATATCTGTAATGTTAACTTTCATTTTGATATCATAAATATGTACTATTTAGTTTTCTTAGTCAAGCGCAATGGGTGCATTTTCGTGTAATGTATAGTCTGTTGCGCAATGATGCTTGAATAAGATGGATGCAAAAACTATAAACAATAGCAATTGATTTTAACAATTTCCACTTTAATAATGCAGGTCAAAATGACAAATTTTGATTATGAAGTGGAATGGAATTATATTCTTTCTATTTGCATCAATAATAAATGACTAAACAACTGACTTTTTGAATACTGGAATAGCAAAGGCTGTTTCGAAGTCAATTCATTTTTGTTTGCTAATATTCATCATGTTTCTGCTGCATGCTTTTTTGCATGCATTTTGTATAATGCTTCATGCGGCTTGAGTTTGCATGGTTTTGGAAACACTAATTAACAATTTACTTTATTTTCTATATCAGGTACGAGATAAATAGCATATTTCAGTATGATAAGTATAGTACAAGAAAGAAATGCTCAAATATATAGCCTTCTAGCGACAACAACAATTTTTAACCACAGAAAATTTTAAAGTAATTGGTCCAATAATTAAAAGAAAAGCGATTTTTTTCACAACAGCAACAACAAAATAACAAAACGATTTAGAGATTTGCATGAAACTTTTGTTTTTATGCGGCTCTAATTTGCATGGATTTCGTGACACTAATTGACAATTTACTTTTTTATTTTGGTGATTTTCAATTTTTTATTTGTTCATGTTGCATAGTTGAATTATATTTAAAATAGCTTTTGTAGAGACGGACCGTGTGTTCTTGGATGGAACATAAAAGGGAATATAATGTACATTTTCGTTATGGCTTTACAATGTAAGAATAATTGCGCAAGATAGTAAGCATATATGAAATACACAATAGATGGACATATTTCAGTATAATAAGTATAGTACAAGAAAGAAATGCCTTAGCCTTCTAGCGACAACAACAATCTTTGACTAAAAATTTCAAAGTAATTGGTCCAGTAAGTAAAGAGAAAAGTGATATTTTACAACAATAGCAATATGAAAAAGAATACCGCCAACAACCACATAGTAACAAAACAATTCAGATGTCCACTTGGTGTCTAATAATAAAGTATAATAAAAAGTTCCGTCTTAACATTTTTTACTTCTTGTTAGGTGGGAACAATTATCATATGTATGTATCACATTATTGCCATCATAGTATTGGTGAATATGTTGATCGCTATGATGAGCAACAGCTTCCAGAAAACTCACGACGATGCGGAGAGAGAATGGAAGTTTCATCGGTAAGATTTCTCTCTTTTTTCAATTGTTATATATCTCTCTCGTTTTCATTTTCTCCTTTCTTCTGTTTTGAATTAATTGCACAATCAACTTGTGTGCCGATACCACCTTTTTGCCAATACCGATATCGATCCCGATCCGATATCAATGAAAAGCCGACGATACCGATAAGACAATATTCAAAATTGCCAATATTCTCTCCTAGATGAGATAAAAAATCTGGAAAAAAGCGAAAATATCGGTCTGTTTTAGCAGATACCAATTCAATTTCTGATACCGACAAAATTGCCGATATTGCCCGATACCCGCAATCGATTTATCGGTAAATTTCTACTTAGCCTACGGCGGATGTTCTTAAACATAAAACTGCCAACGCAGTTACTTTGTGTCATGCAAATCACGGCGCATTGCAAAAATATTGACTTTACCAAACTTTTATTAAACAAGAAAAAGTTTTGAATATACCACTGGTTTACGGAATGTATTATATGCGATTGTAAAAATTGTACAAATTGGTTTCGGTACATCTTATAGCGTGAGGATCCCCATTTAAAATTTCAAACCCCATTTCTAATGAAAAAATAAATTGATTAATTCCAACAAAATGTTGCTGCTCCCTATATGCGGTTGGCCAGAACTTTGCCTATTCCAATATTTAGAATCGACTCATTGATATTTTACATGTGTCTAGAATTAGCTCACTCTATTAAAATTTTTTACAGGACGCAACTTTGGTTAAAATTCATTCGAAATGAAATCAATCGGCCTCCACCCATGAATTTAATTCCACGACCAAAACAAATACGACAATTGGCAAATAAATTGATGAAAAAGTTCCAATCTTGTGGACGAGGGGAAGACACAAATACTATCGAAGAAGATGGAAGATTACAGAATCAAATACGAATGGTAAAATAGAAACCTTGTCCATTAACAAATTATAAACATCCCTCAATATTACATTCGGTTCATCTTATATCGTGAGGACTGCTCTTTGGTAGACGGCATACGCTGTCATAGCATCCTAATTACTCCTAAGCATTAAGCATTTAAAATGAATTGAATTCAACTTATAAAATCCGGGTCGGGGATTTTTGGCATTCAGTTTTCATCAAAGTCAAAGCAGAGATGGTATCACCTATTTTCTAACTATCCAGTATGTGAAACTTACAACAGTGATAATGAAGTCAAAACTGTTCATAGTCAAAACTCATTTAGCACTTTCAGCAATATATTAGAGAAGAACTAAACACACCATTTTTTTTTAACCCTAAGCTGGAATTGGAGTCTAATATTTTCTAAACCTGGATAAGAGTCGGAGTCTCGGTTATATTTCTTTACCTTGAGGTCGGATTCGATCGCAAATTTTTCCTTCTCCATAACCATGCGCTAAACGAGGAAAGTTTTATAGTTTTCTCCAAACAAGGCTTTTATCGAGTAATTTTAGATTCGTTTCATGTCAGAATTAAATTGGTAAAACTTTTGTGACCGCACGGAGAAGTCAACTACATTTATATTGTACGCGCGTAATATAAAACCACTTCTGTTAATTTTTTATTCATTCGTTAAATGTGTAATTCAATATCCTAAACGTCTGAATATTTGTTTTAGCAACGTCGTCGCACCGGATTTGACTCCAATCAAGGCCGGTGCTTGGCTGGTTCGTGGAATGAAGGAGAAACTCGATATTCTAAAGTTCTTAGACTCGTTGTTATCCGGTATCTGAAAAAGAAAGTACTTAACAGCGAAATGGTTATATGATATTTATTGTGAGGTTATTATTGTGCGCAAATGTTCGCACAAAAATTGAAAAACGTCTTGAGAATGTGATTAATGTGAAAATGAGAAAAAATTGTTTTATGATAATTTAGCGATGTCATGTTCCAATCAGCACACTGTATGTGCATTTTTCGTCTGTATATGGGCTACTTAATGATAAACTAGCCCGTAAACGCGGTTGAAAAAAAGCGTAGTCGTGTTCTCCAGAACAAATAAACTTCTTTCATTTTTCTTTGAAATAAATCTGAGACCTTGGGAAAGGATGGTTAGGAAGGACTGTTTATATGCCCTTCGCTATAATGACGTCACGAGGTTTCATGAATGATAAGAAGAAAGTCAAATTGTGTAAACGAATATGACGTCACCAATGACGTCACAAATTCGAAGTGTTATTATACAAAGTTAGGTATCCAATAAATATTGTTGTAAGTTTAAAATACATATTTTCCGTGACATCAACTTTTTATAAATTTTATCTAGTTTTGATTGATTGATTATGTCTTTAAAATGAAAACCATTTTTAAAATTTCAAACATTTTTAAATGACACATTTTATTTCAAATAACATGAGGAACTGAAATTATTTGTAATGACATCACAGTCTAAATAATTGAATTTGATGGCACTAACTATTGTTTCACAGACTAAAATCTTTGACTGGCGTAATAAATTGAGTATTATGATAAAATTTTGAATGACATTTTTATGAAGTTTAAAATGACCTCACAAACGCAAGATTTTGAATGAAGTCAGAAACTCCAACATTTTGGACGAGTTTACAAAATTAAGCAGTTTTTAAAAAAAATCGGAATAACGTCAAGAACTATGGATTTTTGACATTTTGCTAAAAACCGAAGTTTTTGAATTGGACTTCCAGAGACTTAGCCCAGCAAATAGAAAATGAACGTCTAATTTTTAATTTCTGTAGAAATAAACTTCTGTGTGAGATATACTAAAGGTGCTGATGAGATATGCTGTAATCATTTTTGTACGATTTCCACATTATCGAGGTCATAGTATTTCATGTTGGTTTGTTATGGAAAATATATATGGTCTGTTACAAATATATATAATGGATGCTTAAAATATATATTTTTTGGGGGGTTTCCTTTTTTCTGAGATTATTTTTTTTAGGATCATGATCAAAGTATTTTAACATTTTATAGCTATATCAATCAGTCCGTAGCTGGACATTATTAGTATTACATAAAATATTGCCTTAAGCCACAAAATGTTGCCTATTATTCAAAGTATTGCCGTGTGACGTCAAAAACGTCTTGAAAACGTCTTTCATCATTCTTTAGAGCAGTGGTTCTCAAACTTTCTGAGCCACGCCCCTTTTTAGAATTTGTCGAGTCTCGTGCCCCCACCTCAAAAATACCTAGCTAAAAATAAGCTACAAATAACAGATAGCAAGGCGAAAGTATGTTTTATTCCAAAACACGTTGAAAATATGTGAATGGAACGTAAATATCCAAAATAAGATCAAATCATGAGAAATATTTTTAAATTTTCTTTCCCCCCCCCCCCCCCCTCACAAAAAAAATTCTACGCTTCACCGTTTGAGAAACACTGCTTCAGAGAATGATATTGTATACTTTTAATACATATCAATGAATTTATTGATTTCTTCTAATCGCGTTGAAGTTCTTATGTATTTTTTTCGGTTTTTCAACCTGCACCTTTTTCTTCAATTTTGCCCCAAATATGACCCATGATTCAACCTTAATATTATCTTTCTATCATTAATGCTGGGACGTATTGGTCCAGAATTTCTAAACTATAAATGATAAAATAACTTCTCAAAAACATTGCCTGATTCCAGTCTCTCAACGTTTCTTTCTGTTTACCGCCATTTCTTGGTTTTCTATTACTTATAATGTTAAAATATTATGTTTATTATTATGTTCGAGAATAAAATAAATATCAGAGTAACAGTGTTTTGTGATTGATCAAGCTGATTTATTGTTATTGGCAGTGGTGGGATTCAGCCGGTTCGCACCGGTTCTATAGAACTATCTCACGGAATTTTATGAGACCAGCAAACCGGTTAGCATTACTGGTTACTGTCAATGTTCTGTTTGTAACAGAACTGGCTGAAAAATATAACTTTTGTGAAAAAAACAGCTAACAAAAACTTTGAATTTCACTACTGGTTATTGGACATTAATTCGGATCGTTCTTGTCTTCTTCTTGTTGTTGCTGTTGTTTGTTGTAGGAAACACAATTGGCCTTTCTGTTGATTTACATTACATAAAGATGGTATAGAGACCGCTAAAACGTTATTTGTTATATTTTTTCTTATCTGTACTGTGGAACGCGGTTGCACCAAAATTTTGCAGTGGGGTCGCGTGCAGATTTTCAGGGGTCGCTTAATTTCTGTCAAACATGCGCATACAAGTGACTAGGATTTAAACGTTGGAAAGCGAAATTTGTTCTGGTCGGCAGGGGGTGCCTTCAAAATGTCGTGTCCCACTTGTCACTCAAATATATAGAAACGATGGCACGTGATGAAAGTGGGACACGTGTTACACGTGGTACAAGTGGGACAGGTAGGACAAGTGGGACACGTGGAACACCGGTCGGAGACACCGGTCTGCAGGTACCGCAAAAGTTCAACTTCGGTCATATTGTCTTTATTTTCAGCAATAACTCGACCATTTATTGTCCAAACGGCGCCAAAATTGTTCGGTTGAAGATTCATGTGGTACTTAACTCTTCAGTTGATCGGCAGTACCGGTATTAGTAATGCAATTGAGTGACAGTGTTACGAGCGCCAATAATATTTTCCGTTTTATAGCATTTCCGATCATGTTACATCCGAATGAGTAGTAGTCCTTAGTACTTATCTTTTCATTTATAATTAACTACAGGTTTTAAACAGTGGTCCCACCTGCTGGTCCGCAAATCGTTTTTTTGCCAGTCTGCGCGAAATTATGTTGGTTTGATATTTTGTACCAGTGTTATACTCCAGTGATTTGTTTCACTCTCGATTCAATAATAGAGCAATCTGTAATATGTTAACATTAAAACTAAAAATAATAATGACACTGTTGGAATATATCAAATAAGATTTCAAATTGATGTATATTTAGAAGAAATCTTACTATTTTCCTATCGTACGCCTTCTTACAATCTACCACACTTTATCAAGTCGTATGTTTCGTTAAAGAGCGGTTATAATTTTGATCTAAGAGATTTTTACATCGTGGTTTTCATGCGAAGCAATTTGTTATCAGATCTTCTTATGTTTCCCCGTTTTTTGGGCTTATTGCCGGACTGGTTCATATATATTTGTGGGCAAATTTTCACCGTCAACGTCCACTTGCCGTCGATGTACACGTACTTTGTTCCCATTGAGATAATTGAACTGATATATTGATTTTTAAAGTTGCTGAAAGTTTCAAGTAATGGGGTCGCGAGTATCCTTGGGCTTCGATTTTATGAATATCGGGGTCGCGAAATAAAAGTTCGGAAACCACTGATCTGAAGTTCTGTGCCCAGTAGGGCAAATTGATGAAAACGTATTTGTTTGGTGTGTAGCGTGAAGGCGCACAGAATAGTCCTCCTCAAACCTGCTAATCCCTTCTTTAAATTTTATTGATGATTACCACAATTTTGTGCCGAATTAAGTAACGGTTTGTTCTGTTTCCGTAATCATCTCTGTTGCTTTTAAGCTTGTGTACAGAAGTATTATCGTATTCGTTCTGATAGCTTGCGTGTAGAAATATCATATATCCAAGTTATTATTGAATACGTAATGTACATTGGGTCGTTTTGTTGTTCTTGACGTTTCCCTTCTTGTCGTTATGAAAAATCGCCTTTCTCATCAAATACTGGACCAATTAATTGCTTTGAAATTTCCAGATGTTAATGATTGTATTTTTTGCTAGAAGTCTATTACTTTTATTTATTTAAAAAGGTTCTGTGGGTTCTATGGGATTACTTTTTGCGTGTAATGAATGACATCACCAAAATTTACGCACCTTGTGGCGGTTCCGCTTTTTTGTTGGTCGTGAAGACTGCGGTACCGGTAGCCGACTGTGACAGACTGCATACCCATATTTAATTTTGGCCATCGTCATATATTTGAGTGTCGCTCTCTTTTTAACAAATTATAAGCATACTGATTCAGAAAGGCATAGTTAGTAAAGCGGGACCCTGAAACTGAAAGTTATCCAATTTGTTTGCAAAAATGATAACTAGATAAATGGCACCAGAAATGATCTACAGTTATCTTAAAACAGTTTACAGGTTGAAACAATTTTGTACACAAAGATCAGCTGTTTTATTTGAATATTTGTTTAAAGCAAGATCACGTTGAACCTTTTTTATACAAAGTTCATAATTTATCCCAAATTATGTAGTTTAGGAAAAATAAAAAAAATATGAAACCACGTTTACGAAACAAACTGCCGAACTTGCATGTACGTATATCTAAATTGAGGTTCATCTTCTCATGACCTTTAATAGTTATATGTAAATAAAAATAATACATTTGAATAAAACTAGTAGAAAAATAACGTCGCTGATAAATATTTCGACGCGAATCAACGAGGCTATAAATAAATCCGTAAACCTTTGTAACAAATTCATCCATTAAAATTCAAATTAAATTATATATATGCATATTAAATTGTATTTAAATGAGTAATTTTCTATTATATTCAAAATGTTGGAGTCAATGTCAATTATCTCTTCTGATCTGAAAACCCTGTTTTTACATTTGAAAATCTAGATTTCCACCCAATCCAAATATACTTATAATGTAATAACTAAACGCTTCAAATAAAAAGGACATTTTTGGCCATGGCATGCAAACAATTTTAAAACTTTTCATTTCACTTTGCACTGCTAGTTGCTAATACTTAGCCAAAATAATAAATAAATGTTGGTTTCAACAAAATAGTTTGAAACGATTAAATTCTTGAACAAGCCTTCAAAATTCAACAGCGAGTTTAAAATGGATAACATTGTGAATGTCGATACCCTTGGGCTTCAGTCTACTTTGCCTAATGGTAAATCCGGCACTGCTGTAAGCCCTATGTCAAAACGCAAAACAGCTATATTTTCTGGGCGAGCTACCTCGACAATAATTTACCGTTGCCACAGTGCCGTGTTCCCTAGCGGTCGTTATCTGGTGAATTGTCGCTACTCCCGTGCGTGTACCATGTTAGGGCTAGGGCATAGGCCATAATTTCATTCCGATTATCCTTATTTTAGTTTATTACGAGTTCGGGGACTGTCTGTGGTGGCCCAGTGAATATACCCCCTACCAACAGGCTTCCGTCTCTTTACACAACTTGATGTAAAGTAGGCGAACAAAATTAGTCACCTTCACATCGGTACACACACTTCTGGAGCGCGGGATAGTTAACTGTACGCCTGATGACAAAACATAAAACAGGTACATATATTGTCGATGTGGGCTACTTCGAACGATAGTTGAATACTGACTTGTTCTAAGCTAGTGGTCGAAATAAAATATTCTGTAATTAGTTTATCAGATGGCGAATATGTTTTTCACTGGAAGATATGGCCGGCAAATGCCGTCAGCGACTTAATCACAAATTTGCGAGTTAATCAGCCATTTGAGACATTGGTTTAATCAAAGGTGTGAGTGGGCCACAACTGAGACTATTCTGTGATGTAATGATACGATTGGCATTTGACAATCGTTGCTAACTTAATTTCGTACGCTTTTCTAGCAAATAATACAAAGTTAACAAAACGACCTGGCCCAAGACACAATGTTATAGAAAAAGACAAGGATACAGAGCGTTACTTAATTGTATTATGAAACAGCAAAAATAACAAGTAGTTGACAAAGAATGACAGTTGAGCAAAAATTCATCGAGGACAAAAACACATTACTATGGCAATATACAAGGCCAAAATGAATAAATGATAGAACTATTGTGACGACAATTATTCGTGTTTAAAAGCAGATTTCTACCATCAAGTTGATTTATGATTTGTGATTTACTAATTACATAATTTTTGTTCACATAATATTATACAGCAAAGAGCTCTGGAACTGTTAAAGGATTTTCACAGGATGGAATAATGTTCTACATAAAAGTCGGCTGTTTTATTTTACTAACTGTTCTAAGCAAGATCAATTTAATACTTGTTACCAAAGTTTTAATTTAATCTTATAATTTCATTACGAATAGTTTGGTAAGCGAAACAAAAATGAATTTGATGATACAAAGTGTCCGAATACACTTATCTGAACAGATTTTAAAAAAGTTAAAAACTATTATTCCTTTTAACGGAGAGCGATGCTCAAATATATTAACACGAAGATCAAAGCAAAGCAGAACAGTCCAACAATTGATGGAAATGGATTTTTTATCTTCGCGCTCTATGGATAATGAGAGTTGGAAAACAAAATTAAAAAATTTAACATTGCGTGGCATGCATTTGTGGATAAAATTGAACAAAGCAAAAAGCTGAAGAATTGAAATCAACGAAAGACAGTCGCTATAACATCACCGTACAGCAGACTCTCATTTACTGTAACCTGGTGTAAAATCATTAATATTGTAGATATGACATCTTATTGATAGATCGCCAAGTTTATTTCATATCAGTTACAATGAACCATGACACATTCCATCAATGTATTCCAATCTCATGCTATTGTGAGCATACCATGTTTGGGGATAAACTCGAATGTATCGGCCTATTATTACATGCGGAAACATGTTGGTGACCTTGGTGTTTCTGTCGTTATTTCCAGTAAATATCTGAAATATAAATGAGGATCAAAATTATCACAATAAGCTCAACAGAAAATAATTAATTATAGTAATTAAATAGTATATATATATATATAAATCAGAGGTGTGCAGCATTTTTTCTCGATGGTCTATAATCTATATAACCAACTTCAAGCATCTAGCTGGACCTCACAAGCAGTTAATTTTTTTAATGTTAACAACGAATTAAAATTAAAAAATTGCTTAGTCTTACAGCAATGAATGCACCGAGACAATAGCCTGTGAGCGGCTCATTAAACACATTATTAAACTGTCGGATTGGGATTTTATGCTTGATGGACAAATATCTGAGTGTTGAAAAGAGCCACGCTGAATGACTTGGTGGGCCGGGATATGGCCCGCCGACTGTCTGTTGCACCCCCTGATCTAAATAATAAATAGCTAATAGAATTTTTCATTCGTTTTGCGTTCTCTTTGCCACCTTGACTGGTATCTACTTTAATAAGTATAATTGCATAAATAATCTGTTTCTTGAATTTAAGATGAAAGTCTGCAACCTTGTTGCTGACGAGCTCGTAAACAATGACCATGAAATTTCATATTATTATAAAACTGTTAAAAATCATTATTATTTGCAAATCGAGCTTGATTACTGAATACATAATAAATGCAGTTTTATAAAGGCAAAAAGAGTTTCGAGATACTATCTTACCTTGTCTGAACCATTCTCTCGTATTGTTATCATTGCGCTGGTAGAATTTCCATACGATATTTTGAAAGACCGAACCCATTGATCGTAATCTAGTCGTCCCTGTGTCACGATTCCTCCTATTGGTTTTGGCGCATTGAAATCTACCTGATGCCATTCTCCTATTACCTCTATAAAAAATTAATCACTTGTTTTAATATTTTACGAAGGTGTTATCCCTACTCACATTTTTGAATGCGTCTAGTTTAGAGGTCCATAATTTTGCTATACAGACTGTCGAACTAGCTGGAAATCAAAGTTGAATCAAATAGTAACCACATTACACTGTAATTGCAGAAGCTATTCAGAAGTAATAACTATACATTCCATTGCATTCTGTGCAATATGATAGTTGTGACTGTGATAATAAACTCTTTTGAGTTCATAATAATGTGTGAAATAATTCAGAGTTCGTTTTGAAGCTTTTATTAGTAACTTATGTACTTGTCGACTGTGACATAATTTAACAAGCATTCAAATAAATTTATATAAGTTACGAATTCGGATAAAGACATAGTTTTCACAAACGTAAAAAGGGCATATTTTTTAGTTATTTTCAATGATTCTTCTTAAATTAATTATAGAAAATCACAATCACGTACTTCTTTTAGCAGCCCATACTTCATATTTCTCCCCAGAACGATCCACATTGTCCAATCTTCCATAATAAGCTTGATAACTGGAACTATAAATTGATGAAGCTGTGATTTGTGAGTCAGGAATGATGTGACGATTCTTTACACCCATGTAGCAAATCTCAGCTGAAATTAAGAATTATAAGCTGGTATATATATTTTATAATATGACGTTTCATTCTTGATTGTCTCGTTTGTATTTGCAGGGAACACTGAAGTATTCCGAGGAACATTACTTAAACCGGGTATATGAAAATACAATTGCATGTAATAATTCTGCATACGTTAACAGTAGCAGGGTACTTACGATTTTTGTTCGCCAAAAGCTGCTTTTCAATCATCAGGAAAGAATCTTGAGAAAAGAAAAAAAAAGAACGTTGAAATATTCAAGAATATGTATTATGTATAACATGTAATAATTGAACCGTAATTAACCAATTACAATACATTTTCGAAATTATTCGTTTCAAACAATCACCTTCCAACTTCTTTATCCTTTCTTCTAGATGTTCCGCTGTTCCAGGTTCACCCCGTTCTCCTTTTATTCCTTGCAATCCACGGGGTCCTTCAATTCCTCTTATTCCTGGCCTTCCCTGGCATTGACTTGAGTCACATCTGGCGAGACTCGCATTGCTGTTTGCCACCACGTGTGAACAAAATTCATACAATGTCGGCATATGACATAACACACAAGGAAAGAGCAAAATCAAGGTGACAACAACGGTAAATTTCATATTAGATTTGCGGATAATATTTCCTGAAATATATCAGCAGAATTGGATTAAAATGTTCAAATGGGAAGCTTTTCAAAATTTTAAATAAATTGATCTTTTTGTCAATATGGAGCTAATTAGGGTTTTTAAAATCATAATATGCTTCACAAAACTAATCATTTGAATCTAACAACTTGCTTGTGGTGTTACCCACCGGACTCGTCTGCACTTCATAATACAGTATTTACTTTTCAAGTTTTAAACAATCTTGTCTTATTGTTCTACAAAGCTGTTATTCGTATGATTTTTAAAATATCGGAGTAACGTATTTTTTGTTTAAATATTTTCTGTGTTTGACAGAATCGGGACATTCTAGTAAGCGTAAAACTCTTTTACTGAATTTAGAGATGAATCGAGTTGAGTATATGGCGAACTTGAATAGGTTAATTTTACGTTTTTGGATTTTGAGGTTTGCTAATATCTTGTTATCTTAAAAGAATTCCCCCAAAGTAGGTTTCAAAAAATTATAATATGATAGCATTTACAACTGAGTAACTCTTTCTTAGTAATTACGTGTAAACTTTTCTGGCAAATATCACCTATTTAAAAAAAAATTACGGTAGAGTTATTGAAATCAGTGAATTAGAATAGTACTATTTCAAAAATTAACATCGCTATATTTATGAGGGTAAATATTTTCAGATGATTAGAAGCAGAAATTTGAGAAGTCTTATCTGCAAGCTCACGTCATAAATTATAACTGGAAACATTACGAATCATCTTTAAATCAGGGGGAACAACCTGCAACCTTGGTGGCGTGTGTTTCAGCTGCACTATAAGCACAGTGCAAGAATATTTTAGACGTAATTAGTAATTAATAAATTAGAATTAGATAATTGCTTGCTTTTGTTGGCGTGCTTTCCTGTGTTAATAACTTATTAATATAATACCTCCATTTTGTCTATCAGTGATTCGCAAAGTGGGCAAAATATCCATCTAGAGTCTAGACTAGAGGTCGAATAGGGTATAATATGGGTCAAATAAAGGAGGTGGGGGCGATAGTACATTCGCGCAACTTGTTTTTTATAGAAATGGATCATACATACCCAAATTGTCTCCTAATATTGAGAAAACTTCTGGACGATCACTAAGCTCACCCACCCCATTAGAAGACAACATATTACACATACATATTAGAACACTTGTTAATTGATTTGTATTAATCATTTTTCTTTACTTGTATTTCCGGGTCTTTCCTTGTATTTCCGGGTGCGATAATAATGAATTGTGTGTTGGAAATGGGCAATGGTATATAAATGATTAGATGATTAATAAGCGAATTGATGTTTAAAATGTAGTCAGTATTTGGCAGCTACGAAAGAAATTTATTATCGTCTTAGGCACAAATATATGAGAAATAGAAGCCAATTTTCTAATAGAAACGACTCGAAAAAATACTTGATTTCAGTCGCGGCTGTATTGCTCATACTAAAACGTATTGGGATAGACTGTACAAAACAGGTTGTGCACCCCTGCTCTAAATATTGAGAATTTTTCATGGTGTATAGCTCACGTCTCATCGATTTTCTCTACGCCAAGGAGACTTGAGGTCAATCCGGCTGAAGCACGAAGAACCGCACTGAAAAGCACCCTATCTGCAATACTGACAACCACAGCCCTATTACACTCAAATTGTATCAGCAGAATTGGATTAAAAATGTACAAATGAACAGTTTTTCAGAATTTTATATAAATTTATCTTTTTAGAGGTAATTAGGGTTTTCAAAATCATAATTTGCTTCACATATGAAACCTGCGTTCCAGCTAAATCAGCTCTATTTATTCTAGTAGTATGGGTGTCGGCAATATCTCAAGATACGCTGTTTACAACTTATACTTGTTTTCTCAAATGTTATTGACCCGTATGTAAATCTAACCTTTTTATACCTTCCCCAATGGCGTGTGGGGTACACAGTAACTCACAAATGAATTTCATTCAGAATCTTCAATTACACCTCTACTCATTTCTTTGACTATGTCACGCATTCTAACTACTGGTGTTGACAAAATTCGAATACACAAATAAATAGAAATTGGGATGCTGGTTTGATCTTTGTGATCCTAAACAGCACAAATTTTCAATGTAGTAATAATTCTTCCAATAAAAATCTGGTTACTTTTCATCCATTACAATTATGAGTCTATATATCATACTCGAAATCAAGTTTAAAATGCCTCCGAAATATAAAAACACCGCTTCATAAAATATATAACATACTATTTTAATTTCTTTGTCAAATGATCATATTTTTTATATTTATTCTAGTCCCTGCAGTTCATGCAATTTACTTGTAGTTCGAGATCGAGCAATTTCGCTCATGATGTACCGCCAAACTCGCCCGCACTAAGCAGCACAGTAGTACTTGGTTCCGCTCTTCACGTTTTGAATATTTTCTTCCACTGAGCAATATAGTGTTATCCATCTGAATTATATAATTTTTGAATTAGCTTATTTTATGAAACATTTTTACAACAAGAAAAAAATAGAAAATTTATTATACTCAAACATAAAAGTGCTTGTAAATTGTTTAGTTTCTCTACTCTTGAGAGAGTCTATCAATTTATTCAACAAAATTTAATTGCTGCTGAAATATTGCATTGTCACGATGACTGGTATTCAACTCATTCCTATGATCTCAGTGGAAAGATTTTAGCAATCATTATTTTCTTTTTCGGTGAAAATAAAAAGGGATATGTTATACCCATATATATGAATTGCTATTTCAACTGAGTGCACTCAGCCAATGTCAATACCGTCACGTCTCAGCTCACGTAGTCGATTTTAAATATACACCATTTTATTTGATATTGAAACAATGCAATCTCACGATGATGTCGATTACTTCAAGATCGAAAAGCACTGCTTAAATATTTAATCTTAGAATATCTCAACAGATACTACCCTAATATCATTAAAATCGATTTACCTCCCCTTTTTTGCCCGGGTAACAAGTGATTATATTGAAGCTTGATTGACTTTATTGTTTTGTTTTGAATCGCAACAATCATGATCATGCCAAAATATAGGCTGTTAGATATTTTTGAAATGTAGTTTTGCTCTTCTATTATTCGACTTGATATTCGAATAATTTGCCTGCCCTACTCAGTAATCAGAAAGCAATTATTCAATTGATTAATTTTATGTTAACAAACTTGCCTTTTATGTATTATGTAAATTACCCACAGCGAAATCAGGACTTAGCTGATATTAATGTTTGGTAAAAACGTTTGCGGCCCGCAACGAATTTTGTCACGTGAAAGTGGCCCGCGAGACGAAAAAGGTTCGGCAGGCCTGTCGTAAATTGTTCATTTTTTCTACTCTTGAGAGAATCTAACAATTTATTTAACAAAATTTAATTGCTGAATAATGCACTATCACGATGACTGTTATTCATCTCATTCATATGATCTCAGTGGAATGATTTTAGCAATCATTAATTTAGTTTTTGATGAAAATAAGTGGGGATATGTTATACCCATATATATGAATTCCTATTTCAATTAGCACTGAGTGCACTCAGTCAGTGTCAATACCGTCACGCGTTGGTTCACGTAGCCGATATCATTTGATATTAAAATATTGCAATCTCACGATGATGGTGAATGTTTGTCGATTTTTTCGAGATCGAGAGGCTCTGCCTAGGTATTCGATCTCAGAATATCTTAACATATGTACGTATCCTGATATCATTAAATTCGATTAACCCCTTTTTTGCACATGTAGCAAGTGATTATAACGAAGCTTGATTGGTTTTGTTTTTGTTGTTGTTGTTTTGAATCGCAAAACGTCACAATAGGAAATCGAAATCGGGAATATTTTGTCATGACCATACCATAATATATGCTGTTAGAAATTTCTGAAATTCGAAGACATTTAATATTATAAAAAATTTATTCTCTAATAATGCTGTCGCAGTTTGCTATGGTGTTAGAATTACCCGTTCAAATGTTTGAGATCAGTAACAAACACATGTTAGAAACTGCAACTTGTGCGTCTGGACAGTGTAAATTGGTAAATTGACCAAGAGAGTGATACCTGGTAAACGTAGAATCTCAGTAATGGTTTAGTGTGGGGGTGTGCAACCATTAATACAGGCGGCATAGACACAATTAACTTAAATAACAGCGCACATACCAGATTAAAGTAAATTAAAAACTCGCTTCGCGGTCGATCTCGAAAATAACTGGCTAACAATAAGTTACAAATAACAGATAGGCGAAAGTATGTTTCATTCAAAAACACGTTGGAAATATGTGGATGAAATGTGAATATCCTGAATATAAAATGCAAATATCCAAAATAAGGTTGGCGAGATCCAATATAACAAATATTCTTATTTTCAATTAGCTTCACGCCCCCTTGATCGTCTGAGAACCACTGTTCTACATTCTTATCAAAAAATAATCTGTTAAAAGTAGGGATGGCGGAATCTAGTCTGGATTCGATTACATATATGTATAAACTGCTTTAATGTTACGCTTGGTTGCTACGACGCCGCAAACTTCACTATGAATTTGATTTTTTTTTTGCTTGAAGCTTAAAGGCGGTTACATTGAATGATTTCAAAAATCTCTGTGGGTTCTGAGGGATTCTTTTTTTTGTGCGATTTTGTATACTGTGACAGATTAAATACCCGTACTAATTGGTTTTGGCCTTCTTGTCCGTCCATATAGTTGAACATAGCTCTCTTGTTTGATTTCACGTGGTATTGTTAAGGGGGCATGTTTTCTCAGTAAAATATGCCGAGGAATCGAGATTCGGAATCGAGAATCGGAATCGAAAATTATGTAATCGAATACTTGTAAGTAGTCAAACTTAGCAATCTTAGTTAAAAGGCGGACATGCGAAATGTTTTCGTGTGAAGTAAACCAGAGGACATTCAATTGTAAGAGTAATCACCCTCTAGTATTACCCTGATATATCTGTAATAATACCTTTTTTTTTGATATTATGATTAGGTAATATTTAGTTTACCTGGTAACTCCGGCCTTAATTTTTATCTATTTGCTATAAATTTGACATCGATTGTTCCATTGATTGTGAAATAAAGGTATTTTTCACGACATAGTTAAAGCAAAACGACTTTACTTCAAGTGTCATAATGATGGGTTTTGGGTTTATTTGACGAACTAACTATCATTCGCTCCACATTTCGTGCCATGGCGAATTTATATTCGGCTTGTGGCACAATGATACTTAAAAGGAAATGAGTTTAAAAGTTCTAAGCAATAGCAATTGTTTTTTTTACCAATTTCCACTTTATTAATGCAAGTCAAAATAAGAAATTTTGTTTATTAAGTGGAATGGAATTTTATTCTTACTATTTGCATTGGTAATAATAACTATTAAACTGGTTGGAAATTGCGGTACCGGTAGCCTACTGACACAGATTGTATACCCATATTTTATATTGGCCGTTGTGTCCATATATTTGAGTATCGCTCTCTTGTTAACAAATTATAAGCATACTGATTCAGAAAGGCATAGTTAGTAACTCGTGGCCCTAGATAAACGACACAAGAAATGATCTACAGTTATAGTAAAACAGTTTACAAGTTGAAACAATTATTTACGCAAGAGTCAGCTGTTTTATTTGAATATTACGGTAGTTCAAAGCAAGATCATGTTGAACCTTTTTGAGACAGAAGTTCAGAATTCTATCCCCAGAATATGTAGTTTTATAAATAACATAAAAATAGTAACTCTGTTTTTTTCTTCTTTTTAACCCGTGGCATATCACTGACACTCATTAACCTCCGAGCACTATGCTAAATTTTCGAATTCAGGAAAATTCATTCATTTGAATGTATTTAATTTTTAACCTTGTAACTAGAAAATATGTGCGACAAGAATTATTAACGCAATTGAAAAATTAAATAAATCTTGGTTTCAAAAATAGATTAGACGGGTTAAATTCTTGAACAATCCTTCAAAATTTAACAACGATTTAAAAATGAATAACATTTTCAATGTCCAGTCCCTAGGCTCCAGCCTACCTTGCCGAATGGTAAATTGGCAATGCTGTACGCCCTATGTCAAATCGCAAAACAGATTTATTTTCTGGGCGTGCTACCTCGTCGATGTGCGCTACTTCGAACGACATTGACTACTGTCTTGTTCTTAGCTGGTCGACGAAATAAAATATTCTGAAATTAGTTCACCAGATGGCGACTTTTTTTTATTGGCCGGCAAATGCCTTTATCGTGCAGTTGCGAGTTAACAGCCGTTCGAAACATTATTTAATTCAGAGGTGTTAGTATACCACAGCTATGTCTATATTTTGTGATGTAATAATACGATTGGCATTTGACAATTGTCGCTAACTTTATTTCGTACGCTTTTCTAGCCAATAATACAACATTAGCACAACGACCTGTCCCCAGAACCAATGTTATAGAACGAACAACAGATACAGAGTATAATGTATTGCAAAACCACAAAGATAACTAGTAGCTGACATAGAATGACAGCTGAGCAAAAATTCATCGAACACAAAAATATTACTATGGCTATACTGTAGACTAGGTATATACACGGCCAAAAATGAATAAATGACAGAAGTGTTGTGGCGACAATTAATCGCGTTTAAAAGCAGATTTTTATCATTAAGTTGATTTATGATTCGTGATTTACTAATTACATAATTTTTGTTCACATAATATGATAAAGCAAATATCTCCTAAAATATTAAAGGATTTTCAGGAATTTATACGTAGTTCAGTAAGTGAAACAAAAATGAATTTTATGAAGCAAACTGTCCGAATACGCTTATCTGAACAGATATTTAAAAAATTTCTCAAATATTATTCCTTTTAAAAGAGAGTGATGCTCAAAGATATTACTCAGAAGATCAAAGCGAAGCAGAACAATCCAACAATTGATGAAAATGGATTATTTTACCTAAACGCACTTTGGATAATTAGAGTTGGAAAACAAAATTAGAATTTAACAGTGCTTGGCATGCATTCTAGCAAAATCATGAATCAGTTGGAACAAAGCAAAAAGCTGAAAAATTGAGATCAACAGGCGCCAGTCGCTATAACACCACCGCAACAGCAGACTGCCATTCACTGTTTATCTAACCTGGTGTAAAATCATTAGTATTGTACATATGACAATCTTATTGGTAGATTGCCAAGTTCATTCCATGTCAGTTACAATAAACCATGACACATTCCATCAATGTATTCCAATCTCATGACCATATGAGTTTTCCATGTTTGAGGATAAACTCGAATGTATCGACATATTATTACATTCGGAAACATGTTGGTGACCTTGGTTCTGTCATTATTTCCAGTAAATATCTGAAATATAAAGAAGGATCAAACGTTTGACAATAAGTACAGTAGAAAATATCAAAATAGTAAATACAGGGTGTCTCAAAAGTAAGTATACACTTTTAATTTTGATTTGTTTTTAAGGTAATCGTCATAGAGCGTTCATTTATTCAGAAAACATAGTATGGATAAGTAGTGAAATTTAGATAAAAATTGGTTTTTGCGTGTACACAGCGAAATTCGCTTAACCTTACAGTGATAAAAGCACCGGACAAAACGTCGGAAGATTTTACGCAGCGACGTGTGAGCGCCTTTTTAAACATACAGTGTCGTATTAGGATTTTATGCCTAACGGTAAAAATTCTTAGTGTTTACAAGGGCCACACCCAATGACTTGGTGGGCCGGGTTGTGGCCCACAGGTCTCCTATTGCACACCCCTGATCTAAATAATAAATCGCCACTTCCAAGTATAGAATATCCCGCTTGTCAACAAATTTCTCCGATAAGAGTTTTTCATTTGTTTTACTGTTTCCTTGCCACATTAACCGGTCTACTTTAATGTCATATTTAATAAGAATAATGATATAATCAATATGTCAAGTTTGCTTGAATTTTGAAAGCCGCAACCTCGGTGCTGGGAAGTTCGTAAACAATGACCAGAAAATTCCCTACTTAAAAAATAAACCGATAAATAACCTCCGGATAGAACTGCTTAAATTAATTATTATTACCAAATAGAGCTTGATTACTAAATACATCATGAATGCAGCTTTATAAACGCAAAAAGAGTTTCGAGATACTATCTTACCTTGTCTGAACCATTCTCTTGTATACTGATCATTGCGCTGGTAGAATTTCCGTATGATATTTTGAAAGACCGGACCCATTGATCGGCATCCTCGTATCCTTGTGTCACGATTCCTCCTATTGGTTTTGGCGCCATGAAATCTACCTGATGCCATTCTCCTATTGTATCTATGAAAATGAATCATTTATTTTAATATTTTACGAAGGTGTCATCCCCACTCACATTTTTTAATGCACCCAGTCTAAATTCGATAATTTTGCAACAGGCAGAAGAACTAACTAGAAATCAAAATTAAATCAAAATAGTAACCACAAATGCAATATAAGTGCGGAAGAGATTTGCCAGTTCATTGCACTATCATTGCATGATAGTTTTGACAATGATAATAAACTTTTCCGAGTTCATAATTGGGTTCAAAATAATTCAGAATTTGATTTGAAGCTTTTATTAATAACTTATGTACTTGTCAACTGGGGCATAATTTAACAAACATTCAAATAAAATGTATAAGTTAAGAATTCGGATAAAAGACATAGTTTTCACAAACGTAAAAAGAGCATATTTCTCAGTGATTTTCAATGATTCTTCTTATATTAATTATAGAAAATCAAAATCACTTACTTCTTTTAGCAGCCCATACTTCATATTTCCCTCCAGAACGATCCAGATTGTCCAATCTTCCATAATAAGCTTGATGTCTGTTATCATAAATTGATGAAGCTGTGATTTGTGAGTCGGGAATGATATGACGATTCTTTACACCCATGTAGCAAATCTCAGCTGAAATTTATATCACAATTATAAGCTGGTATATATATTTTATAATATGACGTTTTATTTCTTGATTGTTTCATTTGTATCAGCTGGGGACCACTGAGCACTGCAGGTATTTCGGGGAAGATTACTTAAACCGGGAATATGAAAATACAATTTAACGTAATGACATATTTCAACAGTTGTAGTATACTTACGATTGGTCTTCGCCATGACTCTTTTATTCATCAAGAAAGAATCTTAAAAAAAAAAAAGTTGAAATATTTTAAAATGTGTTCTATGTAGAACTTATTAAAACGTACTAATTGAAACGTAATTAACCGATCACAATACATTTTCGGAATTATTCGTTTCGAATCATCACCTTCCAACTTTTTTATCCTTTCTTCTAGATGTTCCGCTGTTCCAGGTTCGCCCCGTTCTCCTTGAATTCCGGGCAATCCACGTGGTCCATCAATTCCTCTTTTTCCTGGCCTTCCTTGGCACTGACTCGAGTCACATCTGGCGAGACTCGCATTGCCGTTTGCCACCACGTGTGAACAAAATTCATACAATGTCGGCATGTGACATAACACACAGGGAAAGAGCAAAATTAAGGTGACAGAAACGGAAAATTTCATTTTAGATTTGCGAGTAATGTTCCCTGAAATATATCAGCAGAATTGGATTAAATTGTACAAATGGGAAGCTTTTCAAAGTTTTGAATAAATTGATCTTTTTCCAATATACAGCTAAGTAGGGTTTTTAAAATCATAATATGCTTCACATATAAAACATGCGTTCCAGTTGAAATCAGATCTATTTCTTTTATTAGTATGGGGTGTTGGCAACATCTCAATATTTGAAGATACGCTATTTACAACTTATACTTGTTTTCTCAGATGTTATCATGGCGTATGAAAATCTACCCTTCTTATACCTCTGAAAATTAGATACCCCGAGGCAAACACCTATTTTGAACTGCACAAATGTTCAATGTACAAAAAAAATTTTTCAAGAAAAAATAGAGATAATTTACGTGCAATACATTATTCCCGTTATCAACCTTTAAAATACCTCAAAATAATTAAGACACCGTTGTGTCATTAGAAAATTATTTTATTAGAAATAAATATACTCCGTCCTATTTTTATTTATTTATTTAAATTTTAAAATGTTATTCAATTTACTATTGTACAGATGTAAGAGCAGCAAAAATGATATTATCTCATTCTGCCGAATTTTTGCTCGTCTGAACTTCATAATACAGTACTTACTTTTCACGTTTTAAACATTCTTTTCTTGTTGTTCTACAAAGCTTTATTTCGTCTAATTTATATAATAACGGAGTAAAGTATTTTTGTAGAAATTATTTTCTCTTTTGACAGAATGAGGGGCATTCCAGTAAGCGTAATACTCTCTAATACAATTTAGAAGTGATTTTTAAGCTAAGTATGTGGCAAACTTGCATAGGCTAATATTACGTTTTCCAATTTTGAGATTTGGTAATATCTTGTTATCTTCAAAACATTCCCCTAAAGTAGGTTTCAAATGGATATAATATGATTAATAGCGTGTATAACTGGGTAACTCTTTCTTGGTAATTATGTGTAAACGTTTCGGGCAAATATGACCTATTTTAAAAAATACGGTAGAATCATTGAAACCAGTAAATTAGAAGAGTTATATTGGTAGAAAATCAACGTATAAAAATCTATCCTCTTTATACCTTACCCCTTAAAAATCAGATACTCTCAAACAAAAGCATGACGGGTGAGGAACAAAGTAATTGACAAAAGAATTTCATTCAAAATTTTCAAACACCTATTCTCATTTCTCTTACTGTGTCACGATTCTAACTACCTGTGTTGACAAAATTAGAATACACGAATAATTAGAAATTAGGATGCCGGTTTGAACTTAGTTAGCACGTTAATGATCAAACGAAAACTTCGTCAGATTTCATAAAAAAAAATCTTAACATTTTCTAATTTATGATATTTTATAAGCATTATGTTCTGTAAAGTCGAACTCTAAACTATTATGCATTTATTTTTGAACTTCACAAATGTTCAATGTACTAGAGATGTTGGTCCAATATATATTCGGTAACCAAGTTTAAAATATATCAAAATACTTGATACACCGTTGTCTCGTCTGCTCTTCACAATACAGTACTTTCTGACGCTTTCCCCCTTTTTAAACATTTTTGTCTTATTGTTCTACAATACTGTTGTTCGTCTGATTGATATAATATCGGAGTAAATTATTTTCGTATGAATTAGCATCTGTTTGTGACAGAATCGAGGCATTCAAGTAAGCGTAATACTCTCTAATTAAATTAGGAGATGACTTAATATATAGTCAGTGTAGCTGTTACGAAAAAAATTCATTAGCGTCTTAGGCACAAATATATGAGATATAGAAATCCAATTTTCTAATGAAAAACGACCCAGGAATAAACTTTGATTTTAGTCGAGTCCGTACTACTTATACTAAAACGTACTGGGATAAACTGTAGGAACATGGTTGTGCACTTTTTCTTTAAATGACAATTCCTCATAATGTATAGCTCACGTCTCATTGACTTGCTCGGCGCCAAGGAGACTTGAGGCCAAGACGGCTGACGCACGAAGTATCGCACTGAAGCACCCCATCTGCAAATATTACATTCGCATAACTATGACTCATGAATTGCATCAGCAGAATTGGAAAAAAAATGTACAAATGGAAAGTTTTTCAAAATTTTATATAAATTTTATTTTTTTACAATATAGAGCTAAGTAGGCTTTTTAAAATCATATATATGTGAAGCATGCGTTCCAAATAAATTATCTCTATTTTTTAATAGTATGGGTTGTTGGCAATATCTTAAAATTTGAAGATACGCTATTTACTACTTATACTTGTTTTCTTAGATGTTATTATGCCGTACGAAAATCTACCCTTTTTATACCTTACCGTCTGAAAATTAGGTATTTGGGTCAGAAAGCATGTCGAGTGAGGTGCACAGTAATTGACGAATTTCATTCAAAATTTTCAAGCACCCATATCCTCAATTCTCAGCAGTCACGGCCGTACTATTTATACCAAAACGTACTGGGATAGACTGTAGGAACAATGTTGTGCGTTCCTGCTCGAGATAATTGGAATTCCTCATAATATATAGCTCACGTCTCATTGATCTGCACGGTGCCAAGAAGATTTGAGGCCAAGTCGGCTGACGCACAAAGAACCTCACTGAAAGGCACAATATCTGCAAAATTGTAAACCGCAGCACTATTACTCTCAAATGGGACATATTATTCAACTGATAGGCCTACATCAGGGGTCACCAACCTGTTGCCCGCGGGCACAAAGTCGCCCGCGAGGACCACATGAGTCGCCCGCATGGCTGTTCCAAATTAATAACGGCGCTTATAAGTCAGCTACATCAATTCATTTTTGTCATGTTATTCTTTAATAAATCACACTTATGTCTTATTTGGGAACTGGGAATGACACTATGTTAATTATTATGGTAGCGATCTTCCTAACTTTAATTTGACCTCAGTAATGTGACGGGTCATTTAATACTGTCCCAATTATGACATCACACAGATGTCACCTTCTACAAACCCGTGTTTTTTCGTATCCGTTGATTTGTGGAGCAGCATTGCCAATAATACAATTATTGATTTCAAAGAAAAACGAAAAAAAACCTACCATTTTCACGGTGAATGGGAGGTGGATTCCTTGTACCACCATAAAAACAGCTTGCGTATGTCTTTTGCGGGGCGATTATAGCGACGACAAAGCGAAGAGACATTTCACATCTTGTCACTATATATTTGCCAGCGCAGTACGGGCAGAAAAAGCCCGACTTTTAAATCAAACAGCAATCCTATGTTACGAGATCAGTGTTTGGTTCAAGCTATCTTTGTGAATCAACATTTTTGACATGAACTTCACAAGGAACTAAGCACGGAATACGCCTTACTGATGAAAATCTGCAATACCCGCTCAGAATTACAGTGTCAAGTTACACGCCGAAGTACAACACACTGGTGGAAAGCATTAGACCAGATTTGTTCGATTTCGGTTTTCTGCTTGTTAAAAACAAGATATTCATAATAAGTTAAAGGTGTTTGTAAATGTAACATTCGGCACTACAACTGTTAAGTTCATTTCATCTTAGGGTTATGCAGGGTGTTTGTAAAAAAGTAGGAACATTGTGGACCTGTGGTTTCCGAGGATACTAATGTAGTGATCACTTTATTATCAATTTGAAAAACACTCATTTTGAAAATGGAAGTCTCATAGCTAGTAATTTATTTGCTACGTTGTGATAACCGTGTGATTTCCTGAAGAATCAAAAGGTTTATCAGTGGATCTACCTGACTAAATATCAGTAATTATCAATAATTGAAGCTTAATCGAGCAAGTTGACTTTTTTTAAAAGTGTGCATTGAACTGATAGCCCTCGGCTTAATCGGTACCCAGAAAGTAGCCCTCGGCTTCGAAAAGATTGGTGACCCACGGCCTACAAATATACACCGCCACGCAGTGGTTCACCGTAACCTTCATTAGGCAGTAGCGCCACATTTTTCGCAAAAAAAATACAAATCAATTTGCTCCGGTTTAGGGATTTATAAATGGTTTTTGTTTCGGGTGCGTTTTTTGTTTGTAAAAGCTCAAATTTTTCATTGCCTTTTAACAAATCAACAGTCAAACCTTTGTGGTTTATTACAGGTTTCGTGTTCAGAAATAGACAAAAAAAACGTGCGACGTACCGATTATTGACAAATTCTGAGGAATATAATTATCTTACGTCCTGTGTATTTCGATATAAAATGCATCATAAGATAAAACAATGAGTCTTAATTGGTTTCGACATAAAATTGGATTTTTAAACATTAAGGGCACGTATAAAATTTGATTATCTGTTTTATAGCGGATAACCAATTTTATAATTTATGTAAATTACGTCATTGGCAATGACGTCATCAAAAGTTATTATATATATATAGATACTTGGTATATTTAATCTCAAATCAAAATTCTTTATAATCGTTTTCGAAATGTGACCCTCAGTGGTTCTCAATCCTTTTGCATTGCTTATGTAAGCATGTGGCGCACTAGTGGAAATATAATTGAAAACAACATAATAAAGACGATTACTGTTCAATTCAGTGGAAAAACGAATAAATATACAATTTGATGTGGACTGTTAGCTTGGTTATTTTTCATCTAAATTGTGAAAAACAAATCGAAGGTCAAGTCGCATTCCCTTTAAGAGAATTATTCGTGAACTATATCTATGGCCAAAATCTCGTTTCGCATAGACACGGCGTAGCAAATGTGATGACAATCTGTATTTAGTCTAAACTCTATCATTAGCTATTCCCGACAGAAGACGCAGTCCCAGATGGTAAAATAATCAAAAATTGAAAAGATATTTGCCAATCGTTTACAGAGAGGCATTCAAATAGTCACCGCCGCGCGGTGGTTCACGTAACAACCATTCAATCAAATTGAAGATTTCAATACAACAATCTATTCTAAGGTTTATGGTGACTGAAGATATATCAACAAAATTTATTGAATTGTCTGATATATACAACATTCCTAGTGGAAAATAGTTGAGATTAAATTGGAAAACCTAAAAAGAGAGGTTGTCCATCCTTTTGAAAGACCCGACCTCCATAAGTGAATGTTTGGCCTACTATATGCTGAGTTTTACAAAGTTTCGTCTATATTTGACAGTGAATAGAAAAAATATCATAGGAAAATGTAACTAACAGAACTGCTATAATTAAGTTCATACATTTATAATAAGATATATGAAATCTATATAATTGTACTTTCAGAACGATTTAAAAAAAAATTTTTTCTTTGTAAAGATTTTTCAACAAAATATTAAGAATAAAATAGTGAAATTTGGCAGATCTGTGTGATATTGTCAGACAAAATATCAAAATATTTCACGCCTTTTCACTCCCTACATACTTTTATCAGGAATGAACAAATGGGCTAGCTTATTCCGATTTATCATTTTTATTATGCTTTCGAACCGATGTTCTTATCTCTTTTTTCGTGCATTTTCTGAGAGGTGAAGTTGCAATATTTGCAACGCAAGAAAAGCTCCCATTTTTCTTTGCTTCACATTTTCCTGGGGATATATTCGTGGCGTCCTCGACGAAAAGTTTTTTATTCTTCCAATACGTTTTAACATAGAAGTTGACAAATAAAACTGTAAGCGTTATGGCATACGTAAACGTTACTTTGAGGAGCCATGATGGGAATTCACATTTCATCCGTATATTATTTGCTCCATACAGCGCCAACGTAACAAACTGACTCTGCAAAGAAAAGTGCAATGTTTATACAGTGATATACACTAATAAGCATCGCAGCTTGAATGCCTTGTATTTATGGCATCATTTTTCGAGCATTTCAAGTTAGTGATTTTTTCCACTTGCTTGCAATAGCTGTTTACTCAATCATTGTTTCATCATAATGTTAAATCAGTAATTATTACACAATAATTGAAATTTACTCGGTCGCTCACGTGTAAGTTGGCGCGAACTAAGACTGGGTCATTGTTGTTAACTGCATGTATTGGAAAGTGACTATGGTTGGAGGAACCTTTACGGGAATACGTTTGTCTCAATGTGTGTCAGGACTCTTCAATTACGTAGTTTAGTCATGTTTTTTCCTTCTACAGCCTCTTTGCATTATTCGCATAAGGATACACAAGCGCAAAGACATAAAGGTAGGGATAGAGATAGTCTCGCGTAAGCCCAACTCATGGTTGCGGTACATTTCAGTAATGTTGACATTGAGTAAGTTTTACTCAAATAACTCGGTGGATGACTTCCAGTTTAGTGGTAGTAATCGAAAAACGACCCCGAAAAAGTCACGTTAGACAGGTCTAAAATTAGAAGCGGATACTTTTTTGGTGACTACTGAATTTGACAAGTTGACTCGCCTAAACCCTCTGTAAATATACGTCAAAAAAGAAAATTTACTATATGACGTCATAATGGAGGATTAAACAAGTAACTATTACGTAATACTCACAATTTGTATCACTGTGATGTATTTCTTCCACCAGAGATATTTTTGCATGTGAGGTCCAACTGCACTCAATCCGTAGTAAGTGTACATTATGGCGTGAACAAATGAATTAATCGCCACGAAAAGTAATGCTATAATATAGAAGTTTTTAATTTCATAAACAGCAGTTATCTAACATGACGCGGGCCTATGAGATCCTATTGTTAATTAATTGTAGCTTTTTCTTAGTGATGCTACCAGACATATCACTTTCTCTAACCTATTAGGGCAGCAGTCGGAAAAAAAGTCGATTTTCTGATTCGATCATTGAGTCCACTTCGTGTACAGATATGAAAATGCATGATACAATCAAGTGACAGCATTAGAATACTTTACCTAATGTTAACAAATATATACTACTTAAACATGGGAGGCCTATTAGCTAATCGCGGTACCGGAATCGTATGCGATTTACACGAAAATGTGGAATTACTCTTGACATAATAAAAGAGTGTTATCATGAATTAAAAAAAAGCAGTGGGTAAAATATTGAATCTTAGAGGAAATTCGGAAAAAAGTATTATAGCCTTCAAACAACCATTCCCAGCTTAAATGCAAAAAAATGTGAAATTGATTGGTCCATCGGTTACGGGGAAATAGCGATTTTTTTCACAAAAATGAAAAGAGATGAGGCCATTTATTTTCCGGCAACATGGACAACAACAATAGCAAAACGATCGATGCTCCCGTAGTATGTGTACCAAGATGGGGCACAAGCTGAAAATAGTATGTGAACCAGGTTAGGGTTATTAGGTTGTGCGCCATCTTGCTACACATACTACGGGAGCAGCAAACGATCAATAGAACAATAACGAACTTGACAATAATTATGTTTTTCTTGTCAACCCCATTTATTTTACTACCCAACTACTTACATTGGCCGCCAGGAACGTATTTGATTCCAATCCAAGCAATACACAGCATTGATGTATGATGGTATATATGGAGAATCGATATTTGGTTAAATTTTTTTCTCAAAGCAAAAAATAAGGTTTCCAGCAATTCAATGTATTTTGAAAAGTAATACCACCATACTACTTTTGCCATCTGTAGTAAAAGAGAATAATTTAAAATAAAAACAAAGATAGAACAACTTTACATCGAATTGAAGTAAACTTACCCGGATAGCTAAGGGGTGGTTGGAGTAATCAACCGGATAACATGTCAAATCTTTTCCAGATGCGTAAACAGCTACGGAACTCTGAAGTTTAAACAATGATCGATTTCAAGTAATAATGATGTAGTTTTAGATAACCATTTGGTGCAGACTTAAGTTTTCCGTTCCGTACTTTTATTTGGAATTCTTTAAGATGTCACCTCAATACGTCGCCTCAACTTACGGAATTTTACTTCGATCACAACCTTCCCGATTCAATGCATTATTCCCTAAACGTAAGTTTATCTACAATCTATTAGTCTATGACTCGAACCAAAGCTAAATCAACAGATAATTCAAAATGATATTGGTGGGACACCCGCATTCCTTGCTGTGATAGAACGATGTGTCAAGGTTCGAAAAATAACCCGACTAGGGGATATATACAAGCATTCATTTTCTGGCCTTCGTATGCCACTGGTGACCAAAGCTCATTTTAGGTCCTTTCAACGTGTCTGTGTTTTCGTTTACTCTGTACACACCCTTTTTCGTTATTATCTCCAAAATGTTTAGTTTACAATGTAATCGGTACCGAAAATTGAGTCATCTTTAAAAAATCCAATATTTAATTTAATCGAATAATTGCGGTCCGTGAATATTGCTACCCGATTGTTTTAAAATCAGATTTTCGTTATTTTGCTTCATTCTTTAATTGAATATACTTACCTCATAAGTCATATATAATGAAAGGAGCACCATCACAAAATTATAAAAAACTATAATTTTTCTCATTCCATATGCTGGAAGATTTGAAGTAATTTTTCTCGCATTCCAACAAAATAAATTGTAAACAATTCCAATCCCGATAGGCCACCATGGACTGTAAACGAGAGGCCATTCGCTTGTTCGTGTGTCTGAGAAAAGATTTATGATTTAGTTTTATATATTTGAATTACAACATAGCAAAACGAGACTTTAGCTAATTACACATATCGCAACAAAGTACGTATGCTTCAATCTGTTAGTTATAGGAAAATATACGGTCCCCAATCGTCATTTAAAGAGAGAGATTTTAGTCTGCCATATAGACACTTTGGGCGTTCTTACTTCAAATTTGAATCTGTGAACCACGTTTGGTGAATATCACAATGCAAAAAAATAAAACTATAATTTTACATTCATTTGACTTGGCATCAATTATTAAGGCCAATCGTCATTCAAAGAGAAAGGGTAAAGGTTGCCATATAAGAATCGATTTTTGGCAACCTTGCAAGTCGTAAAGTAACTTCAAATTTGAATCTGTGAACCACGTTTGGTAAATTAAACAATGGGAAATACTTGGTTTTAACATGAAATCCATTAATATATATGTAGCCTATCATTGATAGAATCGGGAAATTGGTCTATCGAAGGCTCAGACCAGAGATTGGTCTAACACAGCACAGGACATTTCCGCAGCCTACATAGCTTTCGAAACTTGGAAATATTGATCCACGTGGCAAATATGGATATGTTAGGAATGTTTAACTCTACATGTAGCTGCACTTTCGTGATAAATTTTGATTGTAGAACATGAGCTATTCTAGATGGCAGTCACTTTGAATCACATACCACACCACCGCCTAATGAAGTACAGTCGTTATCGAGTGTATTCATATTTTACTGATAGAACTCGTTTAACCAATTGTACAAACCTGCTTTTTCGTGTAAAGTGATCTTTAATGCACTAAAAATCTCTTCCAAAACTTCCATAGCGATCTTCGAAAGCACTCAACCAGTTAGGAAAAACTAAAACTGGAAATGCATATGAAACATGTTTTTCTTGAAAGATAACCGACAGTAAGAACTCAAATTTACTTCGCTCAATCACTCACGGCATTTCAGACCGAATCAATTCTAAGCGGATAACACAAAATGAAATGAACGAAAATCCCATTACAACTTTCCTAACTGTTGGATAACGGGACGAATGGGTGCGTATCAATATATTCATCGCAATCAAAGATAAAGTACATGACGAATAAGGATGTCACAATTTGGGAAACAGATGTGAGGCCGGTACCCCAGTTAATCAAAAAAATGTCAGCCGGAACCGACTGCTAACGAATATCGTTATATGAGTTATAAGTGTTGTTCCTATCTATTATTTCGTGATTCAAAGTAAGCAAATAACTTTTCAAATTACCCAGCACATTGTTAGCAAGATATATATATATATATATACGCCTGTGAATGTGACCCCCCAAAATTAGTACAAACTACTTAGAGTCTAGCGCAGAAATTTTTAATATAACGTTACAGAAGTCGCAAATGTTTCACTTTGTCGTGACCCAAACGGAGTACTTGGAAAAAATCCTGATGTCTAATTTGCTGTGCATTTCAGCGTAGCATCATCCTAATCAGAGACTATCAGCTTAGAATGCTGTCTCGACCGAAAACGCGACAACACCTATATAAAAATAATATTTTTAGGTATTTCGTGCACAAAATTTATCGTATCATTACATTGCTATTTTTATACTACGTAATTAAATTCAGTCTAGCGTTGTTGCACTAGTAACTTACTGTGGACGGTTTCTATGGCAAGACTAGCTGTATTTGCCTCTTGACTACACCTCACGCATTTGCTCTGTCGGATAGCCTTGACTTCATACAAATAATTTCACTCTGACTTTATTCTAAGTTCTGTTTTGTCGCCTTCCCACCTACCAACCAGTCAATAAAATCCATGTTTAGATTTTATTGACCATGAGCGCATTTCAAACGCGTTCCAGAGTTGAATGGTATTTGTAATGTGCGAATTATGCATGTTCATACCTAGTATCTGGCATTGGAATTTTCTGAAACGAAAAATCGATTTAATATCGGCTTTTGAGAAATAAAACTTTATAGTCTGTAGCATATGTTTGAGTGTCTTTCTTCTTATTGTGACGCTTAATTACAAATCGACCGACTTTACTAAAACATCTGACTCTCCATGATTACTGTTTGTTGAAATGCAATCACGCACTAAAATTTCATTTACATAATACGATGTGTGGCCAATGATGAATAGCGCCTTCAAGACAGAAAGTATGTGTGACCCAATTATTATCGAAATTTTGAACGGCAAACAACTTCGCTTTCAAATATACTTTCTAGTTGAATAACACTGTTTTTTAACAGTAAAATTAATAGCATTTTTACTAATGTTAAATTTCCATTATTACCATATATATATATATGAGTGCTATTAAGTATTTTTACAATTATGTATATGTACACGCTGTAATTTCATGAACTTCGGAGCTACGTTATTTTCATAACTTTATTTATGTACAAAAGAAATTCCGATATATGTTAGGGGAATTATCATCTTGATTTATTTAAAACAAAAAATATTCAATGGTGAAAAAATTGAATTAATTAAAATAATAGAGAAACGTTACAGAAATACATCTGTGTGGATGTGCAGCCAGACTCTCGAATCACTTAGAATATGTGATTTTTATTGTAATTCCATGCACGGTAAAGAAAAACAAAATCAAAAATGCATACACGATGCATATACTTGAAATCTCGGTCCACGCGGACAATTAGGTATTTGAATAATTTATCACAAAATACATAGAATTTTTGAGTTTTGTTTTCGACGACACTACTCACATGTTCTTTATAAGTAACTAATATTTGAAAAACAATAAAACGAATGGAAACTTTTACATAACATTTTCAATCCCGCAATTTTTTTTTTAACAAATAATTCCAATAAGACTGAACAAGAGCACATACCATATACTCTTTTTCATTGATTACATATAAAATAAATAAAAAAAATAGATACATTTTAGAACATTCAACTAAATGCGATTAAATTGTATTCATCCACCTTACCGAAATCATGAACTGGAGATTATCCTTATTGTTTGAAGGATTAAAATATAGAACAAAGTAAATTATTTATCAACAACATTAACAACAGTTGAAAGAATGAACATGGGCTCAAACCAGTAAAAAATTTCAAAAATTCTAGAACGGGTTCTCTTGTTCATAAACAACGGTTTTGCTTCCTTTGAAGCCTGAACACATAGCTCTAAAATAGACCGAGTTTTCGTATCATCACGTTATTCTAAGTTTGCTCTAACTCGTACGAACCCTCCTGAATCCCATCACTGAATTAGAGCTAATATGTTTGCGCAAGAATTTCAAATCTATAACATTAAACATTCATATTAAAGTATATTTAATCTGGTCCCATATTGTCTGGTTAAGAAGACAGCGTTTATTTCATTATTATTCATGGAGGCACCACTCAGTAAATGACACGTCACTATTAGGTATGGTTGTAGTAGCAAGACTCAATTTGCAATGATGTGCATGTAAAAAACCAGTTTGAGACACGAAATTAGTTCAGTATGTCGATTTGATGCCGCATGGCGAGTTAAACCGTCAGCAAGCAATACAGTGTTTATAATGTGAACTAACTTCGATTAATCCTAATTGTTAGTGTCAGTATTGATAGCCGAGATCCGGCTTACTAGTCTAACTTACCCTGCAAATGGGTGGTGCATAAACTCGCGTGAACGATCCAATTTTCATATGGATATCTAAACTGTGGGAACATCTCTTCGCATGCACAGTCAATCAAGTTCTCACATAGATAGAAAATTAAATGTCTGATTTTGTTTAAATCTTGTGTCCCACTCAGCGTAAATGCAGTTCTAGATTACACAAACTCAGCTAATTGAAATGAATGATAAACGTCGCACCGCTTGGGATATCACGGTTGCTTTCTTCAATCGAACAACCTGTCATGGACTGGATCAAGTTACGGAGGCAGGACGACCAATCATTGGAAGGTATAGAATGGTGCCACCATTCCAAGATTGGTCCTTCACTCAGGGCCTTTTTAATTAGGGATATCAATAAACTGCGAGATGATTTACTTGTTTATTTTTGGCGGGCCTTTCGTACTAGCGTTTTATTGGAGACGAAGTGTACATATGCGTCGTTTTGCTGCATTGTTGTTTGGGTCGTTATACTTGTTATTTTAAAAAATTCATTTTAAATTTTCAGTATATACTTGAAAATAGTTGAATTAGCTTATTTGATCCTGGTTTTTTTCTGGGTCCTATTGAGCGACGTTCCCTCCCAAACTTTTTCAGTTTTATCTTAATTCATGAGAATACTTTTGTATATGACAAATGGAAACGTTTTTATACGATCTTTGTAGTCATAAGTTTGAGCATTGCTCTCTTGTTTATAGACTCATTTGGCTGCTTGTCATCATTGGACTTTTTGGAGGAATGTGTTGGCAGTTAATTATCAGTGTTCAAGAATATACATTGTTTGCGACCGATACCGAACTGCACGAGGAATTCGATTCGTACATCGATTTCCCTGCAGTTTCAATTTGTAATTATAACAGGTCTGTGAATTTTTTTATGACGAAACTTTTGTTTAAAATTGGGTTCTGGACAAAATGACACTTGAACGAAAAAACTAAATATTTTATAAAGTGATTCAAGAGTCTTGCTGTAAAATAACACAGATATATATTTGCAATGTTTCGTCTGACGCTGGTCAGACTTCCGTAGAGATACAATAGTTGATTGATGTATCTCTGAGGAAATCTAACAGTACTGGACAGACGAAACGTTACAGAAATATGTTTGTGTTACTGTGCAGCAAGACTCTGGAATCACTTAGGATAGTTATCTTCATTCTTGCTTTTGCATCCTTGCATTATATACACACGGACCCATCGACACAAAAGAATAGAAAAAGGATAAGTAGTTAGTCCCGTAGAAACCCAATAAATATTATATATTTTTCAGATACCAGATTTTTGGTAAACCCGTAGTATGTGTAGCAGGTTAGGGTTAGCACATAATTTCATCCCGATTTTCCTTATTTTAATTCTATTACACGTTCGGGGACTGTCTGTTAGCCAAGTGAATATACTCTCTGCTCTTTCAGTCCCTTCATACATCTTGATGTAATGTAGGCGAACAAAATCGAGTTCGGCGACTGCCTTGTTAGCCAAGTGAATATACCCCCTACACATAGGTTTCAGTCCCTTTACACAACTTGATGTAAATAAAATGGGCAAACAAAATTAGTTACCTCTATATTGGTACACATACTTCTGAAGCGCCAGATTTTTTCTGTTTTTGAATCACTTAAAAATTAACGCTGGATATTAAAAGAATTCATCTGACAAAAGTAAAAAAAACAAAAACTAAATAAATACTTTTCAAAGATTTTTCAACATAACTGACCGTGCAGAATTAGCCGCCGTTGATGGTTTGATTAGAACCGCTTCTCCCTTGAAACGATTAGATGATGACGTAGTATGGGAGCATGCAATTCGGGAATATTACAAGGATCTGAGTCACGTTCCACTTCTGAGCAAAGAAGTCGAGAATAGGGGATGGCCATTGAACGATAAGACGATTTCAAAATGCATGTTTACGCAAAAACCATGTAGTTATAAGGTTTGTTATTATGATAGTCACAGAAACAAAAGAATGAATTTGAAATTGAAAAATTTTCTATTATATGTTCTCAAAGTCCCACATACGACAAATTGTACAAATTCAGGTTGATGGTTTAAACTTAAAGTTTGAAAATTTCACCTATTTCTATTTTTGGAAGACATATTTTGCATATTATCGAACTTATTACTCAATTTCTAATTTACTTTTACTTTCTCTCTACACTACACTCAATAATCAGGGGTGCGCAACCTGTGGTCCAAATGCGGTCCATGAGAAAAATATTTTAACTTAGTTCAATCTGGTACTTGTGAGTAATTAAAAGTCTATTCCTGAGTACCCGTCCCGCGGTTATTTGTACCTGGTTATTTGTACCTGGCCCTCCTGTGTCAAAGGTTGCACATGTAGTTCTAATTTCTCACATTAAAAAGCAATTGAATTATATCTCCAGGATTTCAAAACATTTATTACACCCATGGGTCGGTGCTTCACTTTTACGTCTAAAAAAAAGATTATACAAAGCGTTCCTGGAAGTGGACATGGATTGTTATTAACCTTAGACATAATGCAGGTAAATCAAAGCAATTTATTAACACAAAGTGGACCTATGAATCGTTTTGTTATTATGTTGTTTTTGTGGTTGAATTTGTAAGTATTTTTCTTCTTGTTGTTGTTATTAAAAATCGTTTTTCTTCTTTTACTGTACTAATTGCTTTGACATTTTCAGTGGTTAAAGATTGTATTTTTCTAGAAGACTATTTCAAAAATTTCTGTGGTTTCTATGTGATTCGTTTGAGATGACGTCATCGGAATTAAAAATTGCGCACCGTGTGACGGTTCAGAGACTGCGGTACCGGTGGTCTACTCTAACAGATTACAAACCCGTACTTCTTTGATTTGATCTTCGTGTCCATATATTTGAGCCTCGCACTCTTGTTATTCATACTTCCATACTTCGTTGTGCACAAATAACGGTGTTCCTGAAGTATGCGTACCAAGAGGCGGACACCGGAACGAAGTATGTTAGGGTTAGGCCATAATTTTATTCCAATTTTCTTTATTTTAGTTCTAATACGAGTTCGGGGACTATCCAAGTGACTCCCGTAGTATTTGTACCTAAAATTACAGCCTAACCCTTACCTGGTACACATACTACGTTCCGGTGTCCGTCATCTTGGTACGCATACTTCGGGAGTACCCAAATAACTTTAAATTCTATATCAGGACTATTACTCTGAGCATCCTGAATACGGACGCCCTGAGGCGGGAATAAAAGTTCACGTCCATGAACACGATGAAGCTCCCAAAGTTGAAGAATTTGGAGTAGGAATTCCCGCTGGACAAATGGGCCATTTGATTGTAAAGAAAGAAGAGGTAACTCGTTTTCAATGAATACGCAATACTTACCGTATTTTATGAATCATAAGGTGCACCGTAGCCTATTATAAAACGCACTGTCAATAAATTGCTTAGATTGGGGTATTATTCATCGTGTCCGGAACATTCGCCGCAGGAAATTTCCCGCATAGAAAAATTCGCCGCATGAAAAATCGCCGCAAGAGCATTTTGCTGTAAAACAAGTATTTGTGATAAAAACAGTTAGGTTTATAGGGTTAGGGCAGCGTTTCCCAACCTTTTTGGGTCGCGGACTTTTTTCTTTCTGGCGAAAACCTTTGCGGACTCAACGTGCCTTTATTGCAACCGTACTCTGTGTAAAGAAGTAATAAAACCAAACACAACAGAATTTTAACGAATTTCAAAATCGGAGATTTGTCGCAATTACGCGTTTGTTAAAAGAGCCAACCTTTTTAGTGTGTAAACCAGGGGTGGCCAACCTATGGCGCATGCGCCAAACGCGACGCATTGCATGATTAGAGGTGGCGCATTGCAGTTTTAACCCTTTTCATGCCAAAATTGTTAATTGCACTTGGCTTCTCCACGCCAAGCCGTTTTTTGCGATTTACATGGTGACTTTCGATTGTACCTAAAATCTATTCTCCTTACTCCACGTCGCCCACTTACGGCTTGTTGGAATTAGAAACAACAGGCGATTATCGTCGTTAGCTTTTGGCCGGACTTTATGACATTCATTCTAGACTTTTAGCAAAAGTTAGTAAAATTTACTATTTTTTCCCTACTGAAGTAAAAAGTTCAGAACTTCTGGAAAAATAGAAATTCGTCATTTATCAGCTTGAAACATGAATTTTCAATTGCACAGACTTCCCAAATATCTCCCAATAACCATTGAACAACCAGTTGAATTGCCCAAGCCTAAAAAAATTATTATAAATCAACCCACAACATGCTGGAAATGACCCCTAAATACCACCTTTTTCATCTAAACTTCAAATGACGGTTGTCAACAAAAGCGAAGCGTAAAATCGCTTGCTGTGACGCAAGTACCAATCTCGAAGAAGCCTGGAGTAAAATCACGCGACGCTAGGCCAAACAGCTGATTAGCAAAGGCCAATTAGAATCGAGGGTAGAGTAGAGTAGATATTAATACTAAAGGCCTGTTGTCACAATATTACGCCTAACTTTACTTCATAATCGTACCTTTTTCTCTTCGTTGTTAAAAACAGCTTTATTGCGTAATGCTCATAAGACAGAATGCGTTTTTCTCCTACTTTCAGGAAGGCTGTAGTTTTGTAGTTTATAAATTTATATAATTTCAACAAGAAGCGGACATTAGGCGTGGGAATACAAGAGATTTACGGCGCATCTGAAACATTATGTTTAAAACGTGGCGCATGGTATGTGAAAGGTTGGCCACCCCTGGTGTAAACTGTAAATGGTCTTTTCTGTCGCTCAATATTCAGTCCATGACAACGAAGGGAATTTAAAACTTCTTTCTATTTTAATTTAATTGTGTTCATGGTCACTCTCGGTTGCGTCGACCTATGACAAGATGAAAGCATTACTTTTTAATGCCACGGCAATCTGCGAACATGTTAATGTGAGAAGATATCGCCCGATTATATATTTTTTTTCAATACATATTTTTTGCGATCTTGCGAATTTGTTATCGCCGTTAGAAAATTCCGACTATCTGCTATAAATTTCCAAAAATCTTTTTAACGAAATAAAAGCAATACTACTCAGGGAATATCAAAGACAATACGTGGAAACAAAAATGCGTGGTAAAGTGTTCGATTATATTTTGTTTTGATTCGTATTTTTGTGAATTCGACAAATCTGAGCTGTTCGCACAACACTTACGGCGCTCCAGTACTGTACGTACCAATGTGAGGCAGTAAAGCGTGAGGCAGTAAAGCAAAGAATTCTAAAGGAAAATTCCCTGATACGTATACTACGGTAGCACCCGAAATTTTGCGATTTGCAACGTCTTAAAAAGCGTTTTAATTGGTCGCGGACCGTCATAAAACAAAACTTATGGTGTTCTTCGTTTTATTTTCAGTATATTGTATTGCAGCTTTTCAATTTAGAAATCCAATCGTTTGATTAAGCGACGCGCAAGTGACCTGTCGCGTCACCTGTTACCAAATTTTCGAATAGTAAATTGCTATTCAAATAGTTGAATATTCGAATATATGCCCAGGCCTACCCAGTATCCAGTAATTATTAACTCGATTAATGTTATGTGAATAAACTTGCTTTTTATGTTTTATGTACATTCTAACGTGAATCGTCACATGGCTGATGATTGAATTGGACGAAGACTTTGAAAAAAGTGTTTGTGTTTCTGGCTCGTTGCGGACTCATTCAAGCGCTCCGCGGACTATTTGAGACCGCGGACTCGGGACTTGGGAAACACTGGGTTAGGGTATCTCTTAAATAACGAATATTTTTTAAATAAAAAGGTACTTAAAATCTTAACTGTTTTTATCGCCAATACTTGTTTCACAGCAAAAAGTTCTTGCGGCGATTTTTCCTATGTGGCGAAATTGCCTGCGGCGAATTATCCTAGAACCATTATTCATACATAAGGCGCATATATTATATGATTAAATGTGAATATACTTTGCCAGTATAGCCGTGATGATTTATATTCACCCAACTACTTTATATCAAAATTTACTATATCTATCAGTAAAATATTTTAAAAAATAAGTGAAATATCTTTTTTTACGTACCAATTCCGCATGTAGACCAATCGAGCAAAAAAAAAACAAGGCAATATTTGCTAAAATTGAATCTTTTGCAATACAAAATGCATCCCTGCTCCACGACTAAAAGTGTCTCAAAAGCGTTGTAGTTTAGAGTAGTGTTCCTTAAACTATTTTCATCACGACCAACTTGGCCTGGCCAATTATTTCGCGACGCTCATGAACATTAATGAGGCCAATGTGCTTGCATATCTCGCACAAAAAATCGAGTCTTGACTCTATTTTGGTCTTGGTGGGTCTCAGTACTGGTTCCAATTCTTTCAAATTTTATCGATATTTTATTTTTACAGCCCTGAGCGCTTTCGCGACCCACCGGGGGTCGGGACCCCCACTTACTCTGTAATTACAGTTATATATAGTTCGTTTTTTTCACATAGCGAAAACTTTATATTAAAATTCCTAATTTTAAGAACAAGTGATTTTGACTCAAACACACGAAGCGACATTTTAAGAAAACTGTACTATTTGAAACGAGAATACGTAATTGCAACATGTACCTTGTGTTATAAAATGTTTCAATTTCACCAAAAAGGATTCATAAATCACTTTAAGGAATTGGATATTTAAAATATATATATATATATATATAAGATATACGTTACAAAGTAAATTAATTTTAAAATAAATTGTTGTGTAGCTATTTGTTATCTCCTGTTTCATTCACGTTTCAATTTAACAGAGAAAATTAATGTACAAACCATGGGGAATCTGCAATCCAACGCCGATGAAAATGCTATATAGAAAAGAATATACGTTTTCTCAATGCATGACGGAGTGCAGGTCAGTCAAATCTTTTCATCGTACAATAGGTTTCACTATGTCTCACGTTTTATTATTCGTTCATTTCCTCGTTTATACTTGTAAACTTTTACACGTTGATGTTGTCGTGATATCGTTGTCAGCCTACCCAAACTAGAGCTGTGACATCACACTTGTTTTTGAACTAAACACTAAAAATTCAAAAAAAACTGGGATTGTAAAAAAATGTTATTATAGAATTGCGCCTTGGTAAATACCGGTTGACGCGACGATTGGAGTAGTAAATGTACAATAAGGAAAACAGCTGTGAGCTAGTGAATTCCACTTGACTGAAGACATCCTGAAGTAAACATTTAGAAATGTGACTATATTGTATATTGGGCAAATTGTGTATATTTGCCCTATCAATTTTTTTCAGAAAAATACACATCAGGCCATTTTGCAGGCATTGCAATAACGCCAAACAATATTCTACTATTTTCATAAATTTGCTTCTGTCTATGGAATTGGTCTATAAAAACTGCTAATATGGATGATTTCATGAATGTATGCGTAAACGATTAAATAACCAATCGAGTAAAACCATTATTGTTGTAGAGTTCAATATATTGTGAAAAAGTGCGGATGTAAACCTTATTGGTCTCCGATACAAGAAAGAGCACCTGAGTGCAGCGTTGGGAGAATCCTTGATTGTGGCGGCCCTGCTGAAGGTACATATTTCTGTCCGCTTATTTAAAAGTTAGAATTAGTGGAACTTTAGTACGAATGGAAAAATAGAGAAATTGAACTTCCATCGTGGTAGAAAACGCTTCTATAACGCAATTAGTTCCTTAGAATCGGTATATATACAAACTAGTCAGTGGGTCTTGTGGCAAGCATATTTTAACCAAAGTACGCTAACTTTACAAAATATTCATGTTGAATGCGTACCTCTATATATATATGAGATTTTTTATTATTTTTAGCGCTTTCTTTGACATTGACCCCAGCAAATTGTAGTTGCGACCAAGCATGTAATTCTGTACGTTATGAGCATAGATTATCTTACGCAACATTTCCTGGGATTGAAGTCGGTGAAAAATTGTCGAAAGAGCTTCATGAATCTGAGAATAAAAAGGAGATTACTGACTTCAAGAATATAGGTAAATGACTTATATATTGTGGACATAAAGATGTCGCCAGTTCCTTATATTTTCTTCTGTGTTGCCATTGATATCTGTGTATTGAGAAATGTTGTAATGCGAACTATCTTTCTGGATATCACGTTGAAACTTGATTAGGGAGCAATGCTCAAATATATGGACACGAAAGACAAAACGAAGAAGTATCAAATTTTTTACAGTACCGGTAGTCTGACGATCAGATCACTGATGTGATCACGGAACCACTGCACGCAATTTCGAAGTGAAAAATGAATCCCGCGGAGCACACGAATTTTTTTTATATAAATAAAAGCAATAGCCTTCTGGTGACAACAAACAAACTTCAGCCACTGAAATTTTCAAAGCCATTGGCCCAGTATTTGAATAGAAAAGCAATTTTATGGCAAAACGATCCATAGAACCATTTTGTGTCGAATTAACTTTTCTTCGGTATTTATATATATATATATATATATATATCTGAAATTTTAATCTATTGCACTTTATTGCAATGTTCATCAAATTGAAGGTGTCTTTATGGTACGCTTCTTGATACCGAAATAGTGTAGAAGATTGATTTTTGAAAATGTCAAAGTTTTATTCCAGACGTTAAAACTTTGTTGATAGGACAAAAGTTGAATTTAACGGAATTAGATCCATATCGACTAAAGTTGAGCCAATACAGGGAAAACCACCTCATGCTGGACGTTTATTTCGAAAGTCTATCATTCACAAAAATATCCCAGTCGAAGAAAGTCACTGAAATCAGTTTAGCAGGTAATACTGGTTATTAGTGTTGGTATGACGTCATAAATGTGATTAATGAACAATATAATCTAGATCAGTGGTTCCCAAACTGTGGGTCGCGACCCACGATGGGGTCGGGGAAGCTTACTTTCTGTCAATCATGCGCACACAAGTGACTAGGATTCGGAAAGTGAAGTTTATATTTGGTGTGCAGGTACCGTAAAAATATGTAATTTCGGATTTTTCAGTAATAATTCGACCATTTATTGTCCAGGCGGCGCCAAAATTGTTCAATACAACTTTCATGGATTAACCTCTCCAGCGGGTCGGCGCCAATAATATTTTCTTTTTATAATTTTTTTGATCATGTTGCATCCCAGTAGTTGATCCGCTGGTAACCGAATCCGATTTTTTCCAGGCTGCGAGAAATTATGTCGGTTTGTTATTTTGTGCTAGTGCAGCCGCTCGGTTGTTGAATATACAAAGCAAAGAAAGCATTTAGAAATATGCCCTTAATTAGGTGTTTGGCAAGTATGGTATTGATTGCCAGGCGGTGTCTTGGCCGAGTAATTACACTTTAGGTTTCGATCAGTTGCAAAAACACTTTGTTAATTGGCGCATGTGTCTGAAAAATTCTACAAGTAGGCTACGTCTTTTGTCCACATTAGGGCTGGGCATTTTCGAATACCTTGTGATTTCAGAATCGAATCGAATAATTTTTTCGAATCGAATCGAATCTCGAATACTTGGAAATATATAATTGTAGACGACTTTTTATAGTAATTGGTCCTCTTAACAAATGAATTACTGAAGACATAGAATACATCACCCAGATAGATTACTGAGCGTTCACACACAATAAAAAACACGTTTTATCAATAACTCACTACAGAAAAAAGTCATACGTCAGAATTGCGTTGAAAAAATATGACTTCAATAAAAAAGAAAATGGGGAATTCACCTCGACCATTGGCAAAAAAAAGAAAAAAAGATGGCGGCGATTCGAAAATTAGCTCTGAACCGATTCGAATAATTTACTATTCAATTCGAATATTCGATTCGAAATGCCTAGCCCTAGTCCACATCGCCTCCACATAAATGTGAACTTTTTTGTATTGCAATATTACGTGTTTAGACGTTTCATACATAATTTCCGAGCAGTCAAACACAAAACCACACAAAGTTCTGTTATAATGAAAAAAATTCAAAATATTACACGTTTTTTCTATTTTACTTTCATGCTCTGCTATATTTTCGAATTAATAATGGACCAATCTGTATTATGTTAACGTTGAACGGAAAATAATAACACATTGTTTGAATAACCTCAATAAGCTTTTCATTTATCAAGTCTGTCTATGTTTCGCCAAAAAAACGTTATAATTGTGATGTAATAGATTTTTACACCGTGGTTTTCACACGATGCCATGTGTTACGAAATCTTCCAAGGTTTCTCCGTTTTCGGGCGCATTGTCAGAATCGTTCAAATATTTTTGGGACAATGTTCATCGTCAAAGTTACTCAAAGTTTCTAGTTGTGGGGTCGCGAGCATCTGTAGGCTTTGACTTTATGAAAATTGGGGTCGCAAAAAACCACCACTGATCTAGATTCAAAGTTCCCAACCAACGGACCGCGCAGTTTATTCGCTTCTCCGCAGGTTATTCTGATATTTGTTTTGATATTTTTCTGCCAACGTAGCCTCCTGGTACATGGTTGCGTAATAATGCTTTTTCGCTTTTGTTCCCGAATTCGAACGCAATTGTCATCGGTTATACACAAAGATGTAATTAACAAATGTTTTACGCTGACATCAAATTACCACAAAGCTACCAATATGGCAATAATCAACTCATTTTGCCACCAGTTGTCAAGTAAAATGTTCCTGAAACCGTCAAAAACTTACTACTCACTAAATATTAACAAAATTCGATGTAGCTAGACAGCCATGAGCACCCAACGTTTGGCCATTTTAAAATTTTCAGTTTGACTAGAGCTGATTAAAGTTGTATAACGTGGTCGCTATAATAGCATTTTTTCTTTCCCAAAAATCGATTGTGCGTCTTATAACTTATAAGTCGTCGCACCTAATGTATGGGTCAGGTATGGCTTATGCTTTATTGCTTACACTCAGAACCAATACCAGTACAGGTTGCGCCCTAAACCCAAATCTAATTAATTCATCCCCAGTGCGCATTGTGGTCCGTAAAATACGATATATATATATATAATATATTCTCACGCGAATCACGCACAAACCTATATTCTTTGATGTAACACAGGTGACATCGGTGGGTTACTAGGTCTTTGGCTTGGAATCAGCGTCGTTACTGTTGGCGAATTCGTACAATTTTTTGCTCAGTTGTGCTCAAATCATTGCGATTCTGACGATGACGAAGAATCATGTTCCTCATCCGCCTCTGGGTACTCTCTGGAACGGGTAGGTAGTACTGATAAGGCTGTCGACGGCGTGCTATTTTATCTGTCAAACATGTGAATCATGCAAAAAAAATTTCAAATAAATAGCTAACTGGCATTCGGTGTATCCGTTTGCATACATGCATGAGCGAACTAATATAGGACAATCTGTTTAATTAAACAATGCACGTTTTGCGGTAATAGTTTTTAATAGCATTGTGAATGCGCAACTCTTACTCTACGTATTAATCATAAATACATTCATAAACAGAAGACGCTAGAGAAAGGTCGTAATATCAAATCTAAAAGAATAGTGACAAGCCGGATAGGTATTTGAATAAGAAGTTTTGAACCCTTGCTGCCACGGAAACCTGGATGAAACCACTGGTCTAACCTAACTATGCTATCGAAATCTGTTGACTGTATTTGATTCCTCTCATTCGAGATTCTCTTTTGTTTTTAGAAAAACAGAATCACTCCAGTTATTGTAACGGTAGATTGTTCACCAAACTCACCTTCAAATTATGACGAGCCTCCGTATTCACCGGAATCACGCAATAGTCTTAGTGTATATAGTATTTATGACATATAATATGAACAATTATGCTTTTTACCGATGACCTTATGGATGTTTCCCGGATCCTTAATCTCAGGAAAATTCTTACTGCACTTTTCCATTGCAGTACTTTTTATGCCCATTTGAGAGTGTTTTTGAAAGCTGACGCTTATAAACTGGCTTACTTATTTCATAACCTTCATATTGACTTGAAATATTTAACTCAACTGCCATTTACAAGTACTGTGATTGTTATTAAATTTAGTCTGGTTTATCGCATGTCTTTTAGGAACTAATTTTTGATTTGGGAAACTAAACTATACAACTCTCCCGAAAACAACATGGACATTGAAACCATCTGATTTATACTTATCTTACGTTACCTTTCGGCTCTAACTGATTAGCCAATGTTACGGAAATAATCAAGGAAGTGTATGCTCGAAGAAACAATCATTATATTCGGTTCCATTACATTTGAACCCACGTACATTTGAACCCATGACAATTGCACCTGTATGCTATTGCACCTATGGAAATTTTTTTTGTTTCACGGATAGTTAAACCCATACTAACCCTAACCCATGGGTTTTAGCACCCGCATATAGATTGAACCCGTGGATATACGCATGGGTTCAAATGTACATGGGTTCAAATGTACGGTCACCATTATATTCAGAATATGCTATTCAAATGAATCTTCTTGTAAATAACTAGTTGTCATAGCTACTTGCGTTATTAGTTTTGCAATTGTGTACTCATATACAGTGTTGTAAACTAATTAAAATTATATATAATATATATATATATGTTTAGTCTTTTATAACACGTGTAGAAAATATATATATTTATCAAATCAGTTCGATTTAAATTTGATATTTTCTCAAATGCCTTATACACCGATATATATACATATGAAATAAGTAGAATAATATTTATAGAGTTGGCCATGCGCGCTGGTTTAGTCTAGTCTAGCGCATCGACTGTGTTCCAATTACATAGTCTCGAGGTCTGTCCATATAGAGACGTGAAAAATTGAATGAAATAACTGGTTTTTAAAATCCTACCTTGGCTTCATTGTATTTCTTGTCGACATACATTTGTCAGAGTTTTTTAGATTAATTAACAAAATTCGCATTGATGACCACCCACCTCCCAGTGACTATAGTTGAATACGCTCGCGATCGCCCCTCTGATTGCCCTGCGCAGGTTCGAATTTCGTGAGGAATATTATGTGCGAGAGAATTACTGGACTCCTCGCCGCCGCAGGGTGGTTCAAGTAGCCGCTGGTTGGTTACGGCTTCCCCCACCATCAAGTCCATGCATCTGGGAACAAGTAACTGGCTAACTAATTCCATACTCGACGTGGACTGGTAACCGGACGAGAGGCCTTGGTTCGCCATATGATTAAGCCATCTTATCGACTTTCCTCTCCCCGGGATAATTATGTGACTCCTATCATAGTGCGGCGGTGGCCAAATAACAACGACGATTTCATACCTACGTTATATCAACCACTCTAAACATGATGGATATATATGTGAGAATAAGAACTTTTCTTATAGGAACTTCAGAAACTGAGAACCTGAGAACTCGTGATAAAGAACTTACTGTGTTTTTGCCCTTTCATGATTCCTGTCAAAATAGAAGACCTGTTCTCATCGAATCTTGGTCAGATATTGCATGCCATTACTATTACTAGATGACTAGATGATATCATAGGCGTAAACTGAGGAGCCGGTAAGAAGGCTTAATCATATGGCGTAGGTTACCACGGCTTCTCGTCCGGTTACCAGGCCATTTCAAAAATATGGGATTAGAGTCTAATCATTAGACACTCGAGGCAATCCGCTCGCAAATAGTTATTTCCCACAGAATTCGAAACCACGCAGGGTTATCAGAGGTGTGGTGGCGAGCGTGTTTCGAACGATCAGGGCTTTTCCCAACTTGAGTCACAAGCTATTGGTCTCCTCGCTATTTCCCTTATTGTGCCAAAATTGGTCCAAGCAAGAATCAATACAATTATTGGTTCATCGCATCTTTCATTTTCGAAAAACCTGAAATTTTCATCAGGTGTTCCGCAATCAATTCATGATATCAAAAGTATTCCGTAACTGCATTACGGAGAGAGAGAGATTTATTGTTTTGTCAACCAGAATAAAGGCATTACAACAATGAAAAATATAGTATACAAAAACAATAAGTTATTCGTAATAGACTGGGGAAACGACAGTAAATACGACCATATATGGTCAAAGGAGGGAGTCAGCTCCCCCCATATTCACTAGTAAGATTCAACAACAACAATACAATTTTATTTCGATCTTTTGTTTACAACACAGAACACGAACAAAAAATAAAAACACAGGCAAGGGCGACGGAAAGATCGAAAAATGGGCAAAACCTAGAGAAAGGTTTATATAATTGCTGTATCATAGTCGAGTTTATTTTTTTCCGACCAGTAAAAAATGACATACGAAATGCTTAAAACTGCACTTGCGAAATTGACAAAATACAAAGTTAAACACACATTCTTGCTTGTGTCCATCCAGCTCCACTCACACAAGTGACAAAAAAGAAATCTTATAGAAAAGAAAGAATAAAGTCATTAAGCACGAACAAACACGAGGAAATATTCACGGGCGAAGATCACTCCTAATCAACGACTAACATACCGCTCCTAATATAGAGGACTTGCACGGGTCACGTGACTTTGTTACTGGACGGCAATAAAACAAAAACGTCCATTTGGCTCCTGTCAGTTACAAGTCGGATTATACGTTTCCGTTTTGTTTGGCTGTTGAAAATGGTTATTTCGTATTGTTCCGTTGGCTGTACGTATAGTATAGACAACGAAATGGATCTTCAGTTATATTCCACTGATTTCAAAAGATTCGGAACGTCGCGCAATGTGGATATCATCTATTGCCTATTGGCAGAACTGCTTGGTGTCAAGTCCAGAAGCCATCTTACCTGTGTTTCACTGTTTGCGGACAGCACTTCGTTGATGGTGAGTGATAATGTGGTGATAGTGTGCCGTTATCAATTTCTTTAAATATTCACAAGCTCCCTCATTTCAAGCAGATGACAAACTACTGTTATTAGTAGGCGTAGGCCTACTTGCAGTTGCAGACTTGACTTGTGTAAGACAGTAAGGAATTAATAATCAATTGCTATAAGGTATTGTTTTTCTAATTAGCAGGTAATCTATTACTAAGTGTGAAAGGTTGAATAGATAACCAAAGTTTAACACCAGTGGTCATGCAAAAAATAACCAGAATTCAATTGAATCCGCCATCTAGGAATACGCTCGCCACCGCATCTCTGATCACTCTGGTAGTTTCACAGGTTTCAATCCCAGAGAGGATTGCAGCTCTACTCCCACCGAGGGTGGTTCACATGACCGCTGATCGGTTACGACCATTCCCCACCATCCAAGTCCATGCTTCTGAAAACAAATAACTGGCTCCCCCCCCCCCCCCCCCCCCCCTCAGATAAATCTTATCCTAATGGTGCTTGTACATCTGATCCAAACTGTCTTTTTTTATTGTCATTGGTAAAAAAGATATGATACCCGGAATCAAATTCATTTACGACTAGTGGCCGTGGTGGGATATGGGCCTAAATTTCACACTCCTTGATCGTTAGATTTTATGAAAACTCTATCTGTATCCATTATCTTACAGATATGGGTGCGACCATGGAATAGATGGATGGCAAAGTATAAGTTGCAACAAGACCACAGTGGCACAAGACCTCAGCTTGCGTGACTTGATAATACATCCTCAGTATCCATTTATTGATGCTTATCGTAATGACAAAGTAACTTGTGATTACTGTGGATTGGTGGAGATAAAGTGTCCATTGTGCTTTAATGAAAGATTGTGCTTTAACGAAAGCAACTTCAAGACGACCCTATCAAGAAAAAAATTGTTTTGGTGGGTCTGATAGTGAAGGTTTCAGTCTAAAGTTGGACACCGATACTACAACCAGATACAGTTGTCAATGAAACTTTGCGAGGCGTAATATTGCGACTTTGTGATCTGAAAGGAAATTCTGATGGGTAGCCGGCTAGCCGCAACCTTAAGAGTCTCAACTTTTATTTGAGAGGGGTGTAACCCAAGCTAATTTGCAAATGGTATTCATGGTACCAAATATATCACACACTTTACAATGATTATAAATTATATTTGAAAAATAAAGCACATCAAAAATGTATTTTTAAAAAACAATTGGTTTTATCTGCAGATAGTAGGTTGATTTTGAGATTGACCATTTCAATGCTAAATTTTCTTTAGTCAAAAGGCACACTTGATTCGCAAAGATTTGTGAATGCGCACAGTACACCAATTTGTCTTATGTTTTGATTCCATAGGCAGGAGGTTGTGGATCGGTGCTGCTCAGGATGGGATATTTTTGCCTCTAAATGCATATTACGTGTTTCAAATGAATCCATCGTGCTCAGATTCGACTGTTTTCAAGGTCTGAAGGCTCCAACAGCCCTATTTTATGGGTACACAAGAGAATTTTCAGTGTGGCATGCATGGGTCAGTTGGAGTCACTAACCTCAAAATATCTATAAGCAAGGATAAGATAACCTGGAAGTAACATTCCATAATTTATAGTAAAAAATGTATCTTCCTCCACAGCCCTTTCAAATGAAAGTTATTATGCCTCGGGGGTAATTTCTGTCAAATATTTTACAGTATTATGGTTCTAGGCGGCTTTTTTTATAGTGTGGTAGGTCTAGTCGAAGGCACATTAAATGTTTATGCTAACAACTGCAAATTGATATTGCAACGCATACAAGTTAACAGAATTTGTTGAAATGGTCCTGCCTTTTGTCTTTCTTCAAAATCCCCCCTTTTCTAACTATTCTCTTCCTCTCTGGGGATGGCGAAAATTCAAACATCGATGGGACATATAAGCAGCTGATAATGGGTTATCTTCCCCTTTCCTGGAAATAAATTAAACACTAATCATCATTTGACAGTGCCAAGTTTGTTTATCAGATCAGTAATAAATTACTTGCTAACTAACAAAACAATCAGACAACACCTTCAAAACGCAACTATGCCTACCAATGTGGGTAGTTTTTAGGATAGAATTTATCTGTGGTTGGGGACAGATTGCAAGGTGCAACATCGTACGATTACCATTCTATGTCGGGATTAGTTAGCCAGTTATTTGTTTTAGAAGCATGGACTTGATGGTGGGGGATGTCGTAATCGACCAGCGGTCGTGTGAACCACCCTCAGTCGGAGGAGAGCTGCAATCCCCTCGCACATAACTATCCCCGCATGGGATTGGAACCTGTGAAACTCCCAGGGGGATCAGAGAAGCGGAGGCGAGCGTATTCTTAGATGGAGAATTCAATTGAATTCTGGTTATTTTTTGCATTAGCACTGGCGTTAAACTTAAGTTATCTATTCAACTTTTTACACTTACTAATAGATTACCTGCTAACTAGGGAAACAATACCTTATGGCAATTATTGATTAAAACGCGCGGCGGTGTGGCTCAACGGGCTAAGCGTTAGGAATACGCTCCCCACCGCACTTCTAATTACTCTGCGTGGGTTCGCAGGTTCTTATCCCATGCAGGGATGGTCATGTGCGAGAGGATTGCTGGACTCCTCGCCGTCGTTGGGTGGTTCACGTAACCGCTGGTCGGTTACGGCTTCCTCTACCACCAAGTCCATGCTTCCGAAAACAAACAATATATAACTAATCCCATACCCGACTTGGAATGGTAACCGACGAGAGGCCGTGGCTTTCCTCTCCCCGGGATAAATATGTAAATCCTAATCCTACCTTACACGAGTCAAGTCTGCAAGTAGGCCTATGCCTACATGGCCTAGGCCTACCAATAACAGTAGTTTGTCATCTGCTTTCCATTGGAATGAGGGAGCTTATGAATATTTAAAAAATTGATAACGGCACATTTTGACTCACCATCAACGAAGTGCTGTCCGCAAACAGTGAAACACAAGAGAGTTGGCTTCTGGACTTGACACCAAGCCGTCCTGCCAATAGATGATATCCACATTGCGCGACGTTCCGGAACTTTTGAAAACAGTGGAATGAAACTGAAGATCCATTTCGTTGTCTATACTATACGTACAGCTAACGGAACAATACGAAATAACCATCTTCAACAGCCAAATAAAACGGAAACGTATAATCCGACTTGCAACTGACAGGAGCCAAATGGACGTTTATGTTTTATTGCCGTCCAGTAACAAAGTCACGTGACCAGTGCAAGTCCTCTATAGAGGACTTGCACGGGTCACGTGACTTCGTTTACTGGACGGCAATAAAAACAAAAACGTCCATTTGGCTCCTGTCAGTTGCAAGTCGGGTTATACGTTTCCGTTTTGTTTGGCTGTTGAAAATAGTTATTTCGTATTGTTCCGTTGGCTGTACGTATAGTATAGACAACGAAATGGATCATCAGTTATATTCCACTGTTTTTAAAAGATCCGGAACGTCGCGCAATGTGGATATCATCTATTGGCAGGACTGCTTGATGTCAAGTCCAGAAGTCATCTCGCTTGTGTTTCACTGTTTGCGGACAGCACTTCGTTGGTGGTGAGTGATGATGTGCCGATATCAATTTTTTTTAAATATTCATATGCTCCCTCATTTCAATGGAAAGCAGATGACAGACTACTGTTATTGGTAGGCCTAGGCGTAGGCCTACTTGCATACTTGACTTGTGTAAGGAATTAATCATCAATTGCAATAAGGTATTGTTTCCCTAGTTAGCAGGTAATCTATTACTAAGTGTGAAAGGTTTAATAGATAACTAAAGTTTAACACCGGTGGTCATGCAAAAAATAACCAGAATTCAATTGAATTCGCCATCTAGGAATACGCTCGCCACCGCATCTCTGATCACCTTGGTAGTTTCACAGGTTCCAATACCATGCGGGGATAGTTATGTGCGAGAGGATTGCAGCTCTCCTCCCACTGAGGGTGGTTCACACGACCGCTGATCGGTTTCGACCATCTCCCACCATCCAAGTCCATGCTTCTGAAAACAAATAACTGGCTAACTAATCCAATCGTACGAGAGACTGTTGTTTGCCATATGATTTAGTTGTTGTACCTGTAATCCTGTGAATCTGTATCCTTTATCTTACAGATATGGGTGGGTGTGACCATGGAATAGATGGATGGCAAAGTATAAGTTGAAACGAGACCACAGCGGCACAAGACCTCAGCTTTCGTGACTCGATAATACATCCTCAGTATTCATTTATTGATTCTTAACGTAATGACAAAGTAACTTGTGATTACTGTGGATTGGTGGAGATAAAGTGTCCATTGTGCTTGAATGAAAGCAACTTCAATACCACCCTATCGAAAAAAATTTTTTGTTTCGGTGGGTCTGGTAGTGAAGGTTTCAGTCTAAAGTTGGACAGCGATACTACAACCAAATACAGTTGCCAATAAAACTTAGCGAGGCATATTATTGCGACTTTGTGATCTGAAAGAAAATTCTGATGGGTAGCCGGCTAGCCGCAATCTTTTGTTTAAAGAATATTATGAGATATGACTTAAGAGTCTAAACTTTTATTCGAAAGGGGTGTAACCCAAGCTAATTTGCAAATGGTTTTCATGGTACCAAATGTATCACACACTTTACAGTAATTATAAATTATATTCGAAAAATAAAGCACATAAAAAATAAATTTGTAAAAAATCAATTGGTTTTATCTGCAGATACCTGGTTTATATTGAGATTGACCATTTCAATGCTAAGTTTTCCTTAGTCCAGAGGCATACTTGATTCGCAAAGATTTGTGAATGTGCACAGTACACCAATTTGTCTAATGTTTTGATTCCATAGGCAGGAGGTTGTGGATCAGTGCTGCTCAGGATGGGATATTTTTGCTTATAAATGCATATTACGTGTTTCACATGAATCCATCGTGCTCAGATTGCTAAAGGCTCCCACTGCTTAATTTTATCGGTACACAAGAGAATTTTCAGTGTGGCATGCATGGGTCAGTTGGAGTCACTAACATCAAGATATCTGTAAGCAAGGATAAGATAACCTGGAAGTAACATTCCATAATTTAAAGTGAAAAATGTATCTGCCTGCACAGCCCTTTCAAATGGAAGATATGATGCCTTAGGGGTAATTTCTATCAAATATTTTACAGTGTTATGGTCTAGTGAAAAAGGGTATAGGCGGCTTCTTTTAAAGTGTGGTAGGTCTAGTCGAAAGACACATTAAATGATTATGCTAACAACTGCAAAGTGATATTGCAACGCATACAAGTTAACAGAACTTGTTGAAATGGTCCTGCTTTTTGCCTTTCTTTAGAATCCCTTTTTTTCTAACTATTCTTTTCCTCTTTGGAGATGGCGAAAATTCAAATATTGATAGCTTTTATAAGCAGCTGATAATGGGTTACCTCTCCTTTTTCCTAAAAAGAAGGTAAAAACTAATCATCGTTTGACAGTGAGTGCCAAGTTTGTGTATCAGATCAATATTAGATTACTTGCTAACTAACGAAACAATCAAACAACACATTCTGAGCAATTGATGATTAATTCCTTACACAAGTCTGCAAGTAGGCCTATGCCTACCAATAACAGTAGTTTGTCATCTGCTTTCCATTGAAATGAGGAAGCATATGAATATTTAAATAAATTGATAACGGCACATTATCACTCACCATCAACGAAGTGCTGTCCGCAAACAGTGAAACTCAAGCGAGATGACTTCTGGGACTTGACACCAAGCAGTCCTGCCAATAGATGATATCCACATTGCGCGACGTTCCGGATCTTTTAAAAACAGTGGAATATAACTGAAGATCCATTTCGTTGTCTATACTATACGTACAGCCAACGGAACAATACAAAATGACCATTTTCAACAGCCAAACAAAACGGAAACGTATAATCCGACTTGCAACTGACAGGAGCCAAATGGACGTTTTTGTTTTTTGCCGTCCAGTAAACAAAGTCACGTGACCCGTGCAAGTCCTCTATAGACTGATAGGGTGAGTGAGTGCGAGTATTTTATTTATCTATGTATTGTATACTTATATGCTCTATAATATCACCTAAATTACCTGGAAAATTGGGATTCATGCAACTAAATTTAAATAATATATTTGGATAAACCAAAACTATCAATATCATAATTCCGAATTGGCAATGGATTTAAATTTGGCAAAAAAAAAAGAATATTGGTGGGCAAAAAAATTAGCCTACAACGAGAACAAACGGTGTCTGACCAGGGTACACTATGCAGAATACCGATATACAGCAACCTGGTCTGTGGTGGCTGGGTGGGGCAAAGAGAACGGCAAGGGTGGTGGCGTAGTTTATTCAGAGCCATTATATAATGGCTATGGTTTATTCACCGATTTTACTAATGAATGCTGTAGGTTTCGGTACCGCACTGTGCATTCTGACGTCTGGACTTTAGGTGCGGAAACGGTGCTGAAATGCAGTGTGAATGTCGGGTTTTTGACTGAACAAAGAACATAAATCTGAAATACCAGGATAAAAAAATGAAATTTGTATGCCCTTACCTGTTTCAGTGTTTGCTGGTTAGTGGTTAGTGACCCTTAAAACAGTAAAATATTGTTAAAGAGTGGTTACTGTATACCATTTTCTGATTGTCTCTCGCAATTCAGGAATCTGGATAATTTAGGACCATTTTGAGGATGAATGAAATGTAGCCACCAGCTTTGCCACTATCAAAGTAACGGTATTAGGCTACCGGTACCGTATATACAGATATTACAGTATTAGTTTATAACTGCTGGACTGTCTGACTGTGGTAAACTAACTGAATAGTATTACAAACCTTTTTCAGATGGAATTCATGGATTTTTTCATTCAGTTATGCTGATACATATTGTATGATGGCGTTAGTATCTTTACCCCCGTCAGTTCCGAATTCAGAATCCTCTCTGCAGGTTTGCTACTAATTTGAAATTGTATACCTGTATAGCCTACTGATATACAAGTTTATAGCGTTATGTACAAGCTAGTACTGTAGTATTGAATGGTAATAAAACATATCACTAATTCATAATTTATCTATAACATTTGTATTTTAAATTTCTTACTCCTGTACACGCTTTGTTTTAAGTCTTGTTATTTTTTGTTTGATTTTGTAGTTACGATGGATTGGAAAGTCAATTTTTGAACATAGTATCTCAGTGTTTCTTTAGCAATGTTTTGATTCATCGAAATCTTCCAATAGAAAACAGGATTTTGTTTAATTATAAATTCATCAAATTTGCCAATTCAGCAATTGTTTTACAATAGGATTTACATATTTATCCCGGGGGAGAGAAAAGCCGATAAGACGGCTTATCCATATGGCGAACCACGGCCTCTCGTCCGGTTACCATTCCAAGTCGGGTATGGGATTAGGTATATTGTTTGTTTTCGGAAGCATGGACTAACAAAACTGATTTAAAATAAGAATTTATTATGAATTGCACAAAATAATTACAATACACAAGACAATTATACAAGATGGAAAATTTGGGAAAACCCGGCCTAGTAAATGCCGAAACTGCTTAAATAACGCCTAACAAAAATGAAATGTGGAATGAACACTGTAACTGCTTAAACGAGAATATCGGTCAGAGACCGAAGACTTATCGATCGAAAGTTAGGGGATCCCCCAAAACGGCGCTCTTACTCCATAGTGACACCTTGTGTCCCATCAGTAATTAATTAATAACTCGCTAATTATACGACATAATTCATCCAAAATCAATGGGCTTCTGGTCTGACATATTATGATGGATGCACGTGCAAAATCTGGTATTGTGTTCGCACAAGACTTATATTTGAAAAAAAATATCAATTTGGTTGTATTTTCACATCACATTTTTGTTTGGTATAAAATTTCATTGGGAAAACATATTACGGTAGAAGTTTCTCTATTTGGTTTCTAAGATTATTATATTACATGAATATATGCGAAAGTACTCACAAAATTCAAACAGATTTTATGCAAATGATGATTTTTTTTGAGTTACACATAAACCTAACTTTCTCCTAAAATAAATAGTTAATTTTACCAGTATTAACTTTTCCAATAAGGAATATCTAGTGATTTTATAAGACGAAATAACACTTCATTTGTATCTTTTATAGGATCTTGAAGACAAAGAAAATGAGGAAGAAATAGGAGAATTGGTCAATGTACATTCACCTGCTAGGAAGACAAAGAAAAGACTTCTCAGACAAGGGTATGAAACCACTTCTTTTGTTAGAAATTAGGTACACTTAGTGAGAAATTTTTTCTTTGTTTTGGAGAAACAACTTCCAAACAATTGTTTTTAAGAGAATTTTGCGAAGCCTCAATTGCAATTTATCGTTTTCCCATAACATGAGTTATTTCTCATTTGAAAAGGGTGATTTTCTAGTTGTTACGACTTTGTTACTATGTTAGTGTCACAGGTTTTGGATACAGTCTTAGGCCATATTTCATAAAAATTGTAATGAAGATTTTAAAGCTACACTGAATTTAAAAATATTCAGGTGCTTCTAAAACCTAATAGATCCCTTTTCCTGTCGCTACTTGTTTGATGCATTGTTTGAAGTTTGAGAGAGATTTTGTTAACAATTTTAACATAAAGAATGATTTTTTTAGTTGTAATGAATTTCTCTGTTTGATAGTTATTAAAAGCTTGTTCTACAACATTTTCCAGCCGCTTAATGTCAGTTGTATTTCTGTCAATTCTAATTGTAACAAGTTAGTAGTTCAATTAAAAGCCTTAATTTTATTTTCACAGCAAATTATATTGAGTTATGTTTTAAACGACGTCTTAGGAACCTACATTACTCAGGTAATATACAACATGAGCATTGTGCAGATGCATATTTGATGTCATAAACTGCATGACGTCATCAAGTTGTAAATTGCTTTTAATATGCGATCATGCTTGATCCTTACTTCTTTCTGTCTAATAAGAGGTGTATGATTAGTTATGGCTGAATCATATTGACGGTATCTAGTCTTAAAACTGTTAATTTTTACTACAAATTACTAAATGGGTGATGCATTAATTGTGGGTAATTTTTCGATAATTTGCTATTTCATTCTGACGCAACAAGTCATTGTTGCCTCATTATATCTTGAAAGCTTTTTCATACACATATATTTTCCAGCATACTATTACCGGATTACTAAATTTATTAGTGTCATGGTTAGGGCACAGTGTAATATGCTGAACCTAACCTAGTGTAGAAGCAATGGTTCCTAAAATCAGTGTTGAATGTAATTAACAATAGCATTTGAAATACTGACCGTCTGATTGATTTATCCAATACTGTTAGAAAGCGTGTATCTACACTTGCCATCACACCTTTGATTTGGTTTGCATATACAAATCCTGTGGCAGATAATTAAGTGGCGTTCGATTCGTCATAACTCATAAGGTGGTTCACCCAACTATTGACACGTCTTCCTCTATCAAGTCCGTGAATCTGAAATAACTAATTAACTATTACCATAGCTGACATGACCTGGGGGCCGTGTTTTGCCATATGATTTAGTTGTCCTCGTTACCCCCCGTCTCCCTTGGTATAGCCTAGATATCAACTTCTGCTCTTACATCAGATATTGATGAGAAATCAATTAGAATATATTCAACAGAATTCAGAAATTAATTTTTCTAAATAAATACTGTAAGATATGCCTGTTTAAAATTGAAAAAATAACATTCAAGAATGTAAAATATGAAATTCTCACTAACCTGAAATTCATAAAAAAAATTGGGATAAATATAATTTGATTTTATGGGCCTATAAATGGCAGTGCAGAAACTCTATTTTCAGAGTATTTTCATGCTTTTCCACTTTGAATAAGGCTATGGACAGGATGCCACTTATACATGAAGACTATTTTCCAAATCATATAATTTATTTTGATCAATTTTTTCTTCAAACCATTATTTAAATTTTTCTATCTGTATAAATTCCTCAGATTGGAATCAGAATCTCTGATACAGGTTTCAATCTATTTTATTCCCATTATTTCAAAGGCCCTAAAGCTATGAAATCTATATTGTTGCAATTGCAATATATCATTTATTGCGTTATGAGCCATTATTATCATTATGATAATATTTTAATATGGTTTTATGTTGTAGTCTTGTTTATTAATTAGATTCAAGTCAGAATGTTTCTCTTAGACAGGCTACACAGACTATCGTAAGAGTTGAATATATAACTACAATATGCTATTAAAAAGCCCGATTTGTTTATTATCAGAATCAATTTCCGTTCATAGTTCGGCAATGTCCTAAATATCTAATCCTTTATTTCATAATAAACACTTTTAAACTTATTAAAACGAAATTGTGAATGAAAAAAAGCATTTCTCATGAAATAGAGGTATTTTCCCGATACTTCTTCAAGAATTGCAGTTTTTTTCATAACTGGTTCTTATCTTACTGGGTTGTTCTAAAACAGCTTCTAAATGAAAAGACAGCTTCTAAATGTTTTTTGATCTTACGGTAAATAAAAATCACTGTTTATATTATATTGTTAAATATATTATTTTTGAAGGTTAGACCCTTGATTTATAGTTCTTTTCAGTCAAGTTTAGTAAATGCATATTAAGCATGGAAATAATTTTTCTCATATTGAAATCATTATCATTGCAAGTGCTGAGTCATTGTTTATGATATTCATGAAACTAATTTGTCGATTCATAGCCATTCAAGTTTATTTAAAAGGAATTTGGTTTATTTTTTGAAAGACTGGCCATATATGATCAGCTCATGTTTCTCATAATCTTTTGCCAGATATTTCAAGCTTAAATCATAGATGGTGTATGGGTTATAAAAACATGGCCCTTTTCTATCCCAGAATAAATAACCCAATTTTTCAGTTGAGATTTGAACTGAACACATTTTACCAACAGCTGACATGCTTATTATGATGAAGCATTGGTTTTGCGTACATTCTTACATACCTTTGTCTTTTTATGGTCATGCTGTATTATAAGGTCATGTTTATTTTTTACAAGCATGCTGCATTATTATAGTTGAAATTGAATGTGTACTGTAGTACTATCTAGGATAGATATTTTCTAGTAAATATTTTTCTGCGTCATATATTTTGATAGTATGTTTCGTCAGACTTTGAATATTTACGGAATAAATATTTTTACCAGTAGTTTTTGCTAATTCAAAGATAAATTGATGTGGGACCTATCCTTACAAAGTCTTTTGTCACAAATAAACCGGCACGAACATAGAAATTCAAGAATTGTGGAACAGTAAAATATAATAAAAGTAATTCAGGTTTGAAGGTCAAAACAGCTACGCAAGCAATTTATCAATGCGAATACTGTTATTGTTTTCAGCTTTGACAATCTGTTTGCGATGTTTTCACTTGTTCACTTATATCTACTCCATAATGCTAAGTATGTTATGTCGGTGTGCTAAATTGGTGACTTGCTTAGCACGGCTATGCCTTTAAATGGTGTGACTATACTTCTTCAATCTTTATTGCCTTCTATTTGATATCTGTGGGATAGGTGACCTGCTTAATTTGTGTGGTGCTTTTTAATTACAGTGTCAATTACAATGTATGTGTCAGCGTCTAACTTCTATTAATTTGTATCTTAGCTTACTGTGTATTTTATTAAAATTATTCCAGTTTATCTTAAAAAAGAATCAGATGAAATTATCTGCATTTTATGATTAAACAAAAATAGAAAACTAATAGTAATCAATTATGATGTTATTAAGGTGCTATTTAGAATATGAGAGTGTAATTTGACTTGCATTTTGTACTCTTGTCTCACCTTTTTTAAAAAGTTTTTTATTACGCCATATCATTTGGTGAGCAATACAATGATTGTATCAGTGATGTATAATAGTGGTAGGTGGGCATAGTCATTTAATTGTATAAATGCAACCACACCACATATGTGCTTTTTATTACATGATGCATGAGTTAGAATTATTTAGGACACTATTATGTGTAAGGACAATTCTGAAAAGTATTGTATTGACATGAATAGTGAATAGTAATATTGTAAAATTCGCATTTGAACTGAATTTAGATCTAAAAAAGAATTTTTCATTTACTGTTCTATTAGTCTTGTTGTTCATGTTTGAAATATACTTTTTTGACTGACTGAATGTTACATATGTGGTAGCATGCAGCAAGACTCTTTAATCTCGTAGAATAGTCGTCTTTATTATTGCTACAGCATCCTTGCCATATAGGCATACATGCCCACAGGCAAATAGGAAGATTAGGTAGTTAGTACTGCGTCATGTTACCTTCGTATATCGGTATCTGAAATGTATTACAGAAAGTGTAATAATTGTTTATGTCATAATGCTTCTGTTTTCTTGGTATTTGCTCGTTGCCATGGTTAAGGCATAGCATAATGGTTTAATTTGTATGTTGAGTTAGAATCTGGGATGTTGCATTTGAAAAAAAGACTGATCTGTATTAATATTGTGCAACTCTGCCAGAAAAGTATTATCCATTTACAGTATTATTGTGTGATATGGTGTTCAGAATCAGATACCACTAATGCTGTTTTTCATTTTTTCTCTCCAAATACTATTTCCAGCAAGAACTGGTGTAAATTTACCTTTTTGTTAGGAATTGAATAATATATCTGTCATTCGATATAGCCGTTTGATCAAACTATGAAAGAAAAAAAATTGACCAATGTTGCAGTACTTCTTAAATCAAAATTATCGACTTTTTGTGTTAACAATTATCTGAAAAGTAAAATTGTGGGGAATGCTATAATACGATATAGCTATAATATAATTTAAACTTATTCAAGTACAACAACTAATTTTCATTTAACTACGTTTGCCATTTATATATGTTTATTTTATCTCTTGCAGAAGCGTCAGTGAAAACTTTTTTGCTGTCCACGGTTCTACGCTAGTTTTACCAAGACAGACAACGCTAGATGAAAAATATATGGAAGCTATGAAGGGGAAAAAATTTGCAGGTATATTATGTTATGGATCTAATATATTGCCTTTTTTAATACTTATGTCACGTTTTCAGGAATGGATTTTTTTGATCTTCTTTGATTATGAATCAGGGGTGATATTTTGGTCTTTGTTTCAAATCTCTAGCCATCTTAATTAGTGCCTCGTGTCCATCAGGTTTGGCTCTTAGAACCGAACTAGCTCATGTTCAGTTTTGGGCATAAACCATATCAGGGTGGTCCAAACCCAGACCCGCGGGCCACATGTGGCCCGCCGCTTCATTATCTGTGGCCCGCGTCACATTCGGTGAGGAATCAAAAAATCGCATTTTGTGTTGTTTCGTCATAAATTAACCAAAAAATCTTTTGACATATTGTTGCATCACTAATGTCACAGAAATGACTAGTGTTATGGCTTGCTGAGGCAACTAGCATAGTTTAACGAATGGAGTTCTTAGCACTATTGTGGCCCGCGAACAATGCAAAAGTAATTTTTGGCCCGCGGAGCTGCCAATCTTGGACCACCCTGATCTATATATTGCGGGATGAGAACAGAACAGGCCTAAGTCACAATTTTGAATTTCGTTATTTTTGAATTTCTAGATATTCACACTTAGTATTTTGAGCTCTGTTTTTATTAATATGGGTGAGACTGAGAATATCTTCGTAAACCATATTTTTTGGCACTTTCTTTATGTTTTTTGACCCCCATAAAGGACTTCGACCCATTCTGTTTTCAACAACTTGATTGATTGTGTTATTATCTCTGATTGGTTGTAAGGTAAAACAAGGTGACTTAGGCCTAAGTTGCACTGAGCAAATTTTTTGGGATTTCTGTTTCTGACATTTTATTTCTGATGCCCATGTCCATCATATTGGAACTTAGGCCTTTTCTGTTCCTAATAACTCTACAAAATATTATCTAAGTCCAGCTAAAATATTTATTATTGAGAAATTCAGGATTAGACTTAGGCCCCTTCTGTTCTCATTAGGAGATATAGTTCAGTGGTTTCTAACTTTTTTTTTCGAGCGACCCAAGGACATGCGCAAATACTAAACGGCATGTAGTCCTTTTATGGTCGTAAACTTGAAAATAACTAAAATGAAGCAATCATTTTTACATAACATTCATTTCCCCAGAAATTACCCCAATTTGAGAAAGCAGCTTTTATTTGCTAGTTTTTAAAATGGTGGTGTGGCTTTTGCACAGCAACACAGCTTACTGTTGAGCAACACTCCAATACAAAATATAAAATGAACAATAAAATTTACTAGAAAATTAAATCATTAGTTTTTAGGTTTTTGTTAATCAAAAAAGCAAGCGACCCACAAAAATTTGCAGTCGACATAAGATTGACAAAGGATAGTTAACTGCATATCGCTATCGGAAAACCAAATTAGATTATGATGTCACATTTCTCGGAAATGATCTTTTTTATTATCTGTCATTATGGACCTGTTTTAATTTTCTTGATTTGATAGCTTGGCATTTAATGCGTATAGTTTGATGCTATTAGACATTCCAGGATGGGAATCTAGATATTATAACCTGAAAATATTTTGAGACCATTGTAGCTATTGTCCAAACTGAGAGTAAAAATTTATATATATGGTTGTGCTTCTAACATCTTAAAACACACAGTCTTAGTTAGGAGCCATACTAATATGATGTTTAATATGGAATATCAGATCCCTAGATAAATTACATATTTAAAATTTACAAAAATGCGATTTTCCTAAAACCTTGATAAAGTGTCACCTAAGCTGAATTGGATTTATTCCGGGAATCACAGGCTGGCAATTGGAATTACTGCTATGTCCACTTTCCCAAAATATAAGATTCAGTCATGTTCCATGTCTGGACGAGTATAAACGTAGCCAAATGTCAAAATACCTTATTTCTATTCACTTGAACAACCTTTAAAATTTTCACACATGATTGATTTTTCAATATGGTCTTGATTTACGGTTTACTGGGCTTATGCTAAGTATTAAATGTTATTGCTATCACATAGCCAGTATGTGTTAAAACACTACATTAGGCACAATCAATCAAATATTACATGCTTTATGTAGATCATTTAAACCATTTTAATTGAGATTTACGACAGGTATATAATGGAAGGCTATTAAATTATGATTGAATAAGAATATGACATATTACATTGATGTGCTTTATAAGCTGAAATAAATACGCTGTGAGTCTGCATAGGAATGAAAATTTTGGAATATTTTTATAAATTCATTTTCTTAAATATGCTTTATTTATATCATACTTCATTAAAATGTCTGTGCAATATCAGACCATTGGATGGGAATATATAATTTTTTTTTAATTCAGAAACCAAAATTTTGTTTCTCAATAATTTTTCCATTTTTATGGTAGAATATCTTTCCGTGTTAGATTCTTTAACTATAATATAATTCATGATTTTTCTGCCAAGTCGTTTGTGTCTAGGGAGAATGGCATTGGACTATGTTAGTATCATTAGTTAAAAACATCTCATAATGATTCAAATCCATGATCAATACCTCAACCAGGTGGCAATAAATTGCGCAGGCAATACCGAATATGGCAAATTTGTATCTGTCCAAACTATAGTAAATGTGAAAACGTTGTTTAAAAAAAGGTTTAGTCATGCTTCAAGAGTATCAAGAATTCGAATTTTACAAGTCAAGTTTATTTTATTCAACCAATAAAAACAGAGATAATCATTTAGTTTTACTGTTAATCGGAAGTCGCGGGGAACCAAAGCTGGGCAGCGACACCCAATTTTTAAATATTTAATTTGAAAGAACGGGTAATTCAATTGTGCTGCTACTGTTGCAACTACTGTTATTGTAGATGATTATCGTATAGTTTTGCCGTATTATTTAACTAAAATATGTATTTGCTTTTGTTTTAGGTGATCTCAAGACTCACATGTACGCTATATATAATATAATCAGAGAACAAGATAGTATAAAATTGGTGAGTAAAATATCATGCATTTCCTTGAAACACAATTCTCTTCATGAGACCTTATAGGATCTTTTTTTTTTTTTGGAAGTTTTCCATTATGTGACACAATGGGTATATTATGGCTTGTTGCTAAATTATTGTTGTCTTGTCCAAACAGATTTTATTTGCGCAACTGTAATCAATTTCAAGCGGTGATTGAAGTTTTTTTTGTGTTCAAATTTTTCTGCGACCATTGGGCCTTGATTTCATCCAAATTTTGCTATTTTGATTTAACTCATGAAAGCTCTTTTTTTGAGATTTGTGTCCATATGTTTAAGCATTGCTCCCTTTTTCTAGAGTTCTTCGATTTAAAACTGGGTGATTTCAGTAATCAGAATTATTAAATCTCTCAAATTTTATTCAAACTGAAATCTCCAGAGTTTACCTAACTCAGCTTGCTATATGCTAACAATTCCTGTTTTAATAAGGCAAAAATAACAGCAATTTTATAATACATTACATTGTCATAGTAGGTAGAGTAAACAAGGCTATATTAGTCAATAGAGAGAGACATTTTATATAATTTGATACCTGAAATAAATTCAAATTTTGGATATAACTTTTATTTTCGAACTATGTTAAACTACTAAAATTTTTAATGAGTCGCAGTATATGGAGAACAAATTTGAATATCATAAAAATGTTTTTTTGTCCAAATTTTAATAGCCAGTAAAACATAATATTTTTGGTCATCAGCATTTTAAACTTCCTTTCCTTTGAGAAGTTGTTATCTGGGCCTGACTGGGTTGCTATCTTGTCAGAAGTTTTAGTTTATGGTTAGTTAGTGATCAGGGTACCACTTCATCATCTTATTTATGGCGTTGATAAATATAATTTTAGTGTGTTGTACAAATATGAATGTCCATATCCAAATGAGAATTCCATCTTGTTATTATTGTGATTTTGAACAATTTATATGCAACTATTTTACATCAAAATCATAACCAATATAACAAAGTCCCTCCATTTGTACTTTTATATAGATATACAATAATTTTTGCGAATTTCTTTGTTGTGTGAGTTTAAAATATTCTGTATCCCATATTTGAAATAATTTTTCAGTTCAGTGATTTCTTCCATCTCTGATAACTAACTTGCTAATTTCTTTGTCAAGAAAAATTAATTAATTATATTTTACATCATATATGCTGAATATTACCTGGAAATTTCAGTGCAAAGCTTTTAGGCCATAGAATTTATGTAATAAATAATATAGTGTTATGTTCCCTTCTCTTTACGTCAGTCGATCGCATATTGGTGAAACTCAATCGTTCAGTGCAGGACTTCCTGTACCAGTATGCATTCAATGCAATTGCTCATCACATACCAATGACTAAGCACACTCTCATGCATCAATTGGGTGCAGTTTTATTTGATGGAAATCTATTTCTCTTAGAAATTTTCTTTTTATTAATAAACATTATGGTGATTTAAAACTTAGGTGGTCGTTAGGTGTCTGCTAATTAAACATTGCCAACATTTTCTCAGTAATCATAAAAGTACTGTTATAGACTATTAGATAATTGTCATCATTTATCCAAATATGAGCATCATTTCACACTTAATTGGTGTTCATATCTGGGTAGTTTGAAATTTCAAATTTGTCCTTTTATTTTAAGTTAGTATGGAGTTAATATTTGAGTATTCTAGTATGATATATGTTTGAAATTCCTCTCCTGCGATTCTGAATTAAATCCAAATTCCTCAAAAAGGATAAATTTTGCCGAATAAAAAAATAACTATGTAATAATAGTGCTCTACTAGCAAAATTTTGGGTCATCTATCAAGCACTATTGATTGGACTCGAAAAAAAAAAACTTGAGAAATTCAAAAAAAAAATTTAACGGCTGCAATCCAAGTACTGTACATTTGAAAACTATTGCCTCATAGTTGAGGTGAAAGAAATTATTTCAAAACAACAACAAAGCGAAACGATCCATATATGCACACTTCTTGTTCAATAAGGAGTCTATTGACCTTAAAAGAGAAGTCAAAACTATACAAATATAGCTTACAATAATAACTTTCTAAGAGCACTCCATGTGGCAGTTTGTATTCATGTTCTGAAAATCATTTTTTATCATATGATAGTCCTAGATTTATAGGAGCTGTTGTCTATATATTACGGTGTATTAAAACAACATCAAGCTTCTGAAGATATCCAGAGACTTGGTATAAATGAATGCTTTTTATAAGGATATCAAGTAAATGCAATTACACTTATTAATTTAATAGTTTCGACTTTTCATTCAAATAATCATACTTGTCTGAAATTTTGAATCTGATTTGATTTCAAAACAGAATTTAAGAATACGCACTTATATCTCTAATACTGTGTTTTCAACAAATGTGTTTAATTTTTATATTATATATATATTATGATCCAAAATATCTGAAAAATGTGGAAATTTTTTTTCTTCTGATTTTTCTTTTTTTTGCAAAGTTATTATGTAAATTTGCATTGAAAAATGGGATATTATATTGGGTGAAAGTTAGCGGTCAAAAATAATTCTAAATGTTAACCATATAATAACGGTTAGCCGGTTAACCGTACACAACTGTAGTTATTATTAATCATAAATCTCCCCTATTCAGGTTGCTCGACTTGAAAGTTGGGTTTCAGAGAGGCCTCGTTATTTGGTCATTATATCAACGAATGGCCGTCAAGATACAGAAGAAAGTATTATACTGGGAATGGATTTTCATTTGGATGACAATACTAAATGCAATATCGGTCTTGTCATTCCTATTTGGACTGATACAGTGATTAAATTAGATGGAGATGGGTACGTATCGTTAGTAAACTTCTGTTTTCAGTTGATATTTTTTAATGTTCGCTAAAGAACAATGTAAGCCCACAAAGATTAGTTTCGGAACTAAATCTTGCTTGAAAAGCTTGAGTCAATGAGGGCCATTTCAGGAAGTCTGGCCATCTTATATGTCCAATTTGTTCTGAATCTTGAGTGACTTTATTCTGCATGTATAAGGTCGTCCAAAACACTGTGTTAGACTGCCAAAATGTTGTATGAATCGTTATATATGTCAAGTCACACTGTGTTACTTATAAACTTTACGAAATCAAATTAATTTTTTTGAATTTATGCAATAAGTACTCAAGTTGAATTTTTGATAAAATTGGTGGTAAAATCTAATTGATGTGATAAAAATAATTTAGTGGCTTTCAACCATTTAGGTGGAGCGGGGCCTCAATGAAACATTCGAGAGGCTTGACGCTTGAGCAACCCCAGCAATAGCTCACTCTTTTATTGTCAGAATTTTATAAAATACAAATATATAAAAGCAAACACAATACTGGTAAAAAAATTATCTTTTAACGTTCTAAGTGTGGCAAGTTTAATACTATTGGCAAACCTAGTTTGTTTTTAATTATATTCAAACAATATACTAATATCGATGTAAACTTTTGGGTTTTAATGGAAACTTGTGGAACCTCTGGACTGTCTTGGCGGAACCCTCGTTGAAAACCATTGGTCTCATAATACCATTCGTTCTAAAGTAGCCGAATCTAGAAATTTTGTATCAGTTTGTATTGTATAATGAAAACATTGCTATTAAGTACCTACTTTTTACTTTTGCTTGATTCACCAAGCCTTGATTTAAAAGCAAATTTGAATTTATATCATAGACTACAAAGCAGTTAAGTTGTTCTGGGTCAATCTTGATTTTTCAAATACTCACTCCTATTTATGTAGAAGCAAAGCAGTCTTGTTTCTCTCAATGTGAGTGTAAACATTTTTTTAGGGGTTTCCAAGTAACTGGGAGAGACAGAACACATACTTTCAAACCAGTCTCTGTTCAGGCGATGTGGTGAGTTTTTGATTTCATTATTAACTTCCCATTGAGAACGAAGTGATCTATAGACCATTTTTTAATTATTGTTGTTGTTGTGTACAAATTGATTTGTATTTTATATTTTATACACTTAATTGAGACATTTTTATATGATGATTATTTGTCCACATATTTGAGTATTGCTCTCTTGTTTATTAATTTCAAATTTAACCCAGAAATATGCACATACTTTTAATTTTTTAGAGCAAAGGTAATAGGAAGTTATTAATTGCTTGTCTGGAACCTTCCGTATAGTCAATTCTATCATTGCCTAGAGTGGTATCATGTGAGAAAATTTTGAGTCCTTTTTGTTAGAGAATGACTCAAACTCTGATTTGACAACAATTTTGTCTCTAGCTCTGAGTTAAAATATATTTTCTAACCGGTAGCCAAATTTTGACACTCTGATGCTTGCATGCTTTTTTTTTAAAGAATTTTTTATTTTTCAAAATTTTGATTAACACTTTCAGTATCAGTTTTGACACCCAAGGAAATATGGGGGGCGCTGCAAGCCCAAATGGTTAAAGGTCTCATATTTCATCTTTTTAACTTCAATGAGTTCAGAATTTTAACTCTACTTTAAATGTCAAAAGGTTTATTAAAAGCCGAAATCAACCCGAATCCAATATCTAAAATAACTGCTAATTTTGACTTAATCCTGAACAACAAACTCCATTACAAAAATAGATCGGTAAACATCAAGCTATTATATTTTTCAGGTCTGCTCTTCAGATGGTTCACAGATGTGTTGATACAGCTCGAAAATATAATTATTTTTATGGAAGTTTGTACCTGACATGGACTTGTTACTATGAAAGCAGAGTCGACTCTGTCAGACTTTTTCTTAACGAATGGGAATATTTAGAAGACATATCTGACAGGAGACCAAATTATTTTCAAGACAAGTATGTTGCTTTTTAATAATTCGTTAATCTTCAAGTTTTCTAAGCCAGGACAGGCAAAGTTATTTGCGATGGGCGTCGTTCAGAAAATTTTTGACGCCCATTTGACGTCTTATTCACTATTTAAATTTGCTATGATAGTGTCAAATTCAAAGGTTGGTGACATTGTTGAATCAGAAATAAAAAAAAACAACAATATTATTTATTAATAGTTTATGCTAATGATTTGGTTTCTGCGAGACTAACTACTTATCCTTCTTCTATGCTTTTTGTGCCGGTGGATCCGTATGCATATATTGCAAGGTACTGTAGCAAGAGTAAAGAGCAACTATTCTAAGTGAATTAAGAGTCTTAAATCACCCAGGGTTTTGATAATTCATATTTTGAATAAATCCAAAAATAAATCTAAACTTGCGTGTACTTCAGTACTTGTAGGAAATTTTCACAACTTTTTTCAAGAGCAGCGGGCCATACATAGTCCATCCCTGATCTGGGCAGTAGTTCCCAAACATTACAATGTATAATGGTCTTGGATGATGATTTGTCTGAAAGCTGTAAATCCATTTCAATATAAACAATTAATACTGTTATGTACAATGGTCTTTACTAGAAACAATGTTTTCAGCCAAACCTGCACGCAGAAGTTGTACAGAAATAAGATGCGTCTTTCGGAAACTTTTATTTTCATTGTTCTTCATTTTTCAGGGGACAAATTGATATTTAAATTTCTCTTATTAACCAAGATATGTCATCCATTTGACTTGGGACTCCCAAATACCAAGCAAATGAACAAGTAAAATGCCTGACGACGTAGCCGTGATCCAATAGAACATCTGAATCTTATTAGCATTCCTTCTTATTTCAGAGATACTACAAGGGAGCCCATTGAACAGAAGATACGAGGAAAATTGAAGCAGGTCATGATGAAAATGGATCTCGATAGCTGTAACAGTAAAGATGTGAGACAAGCACTGGAGAAAGTTGTAAGTGATAAATTTATTTAAATAAAAACAGGGCTGGAGAGCTTTCAAGTTTTGAATTCAAACTTTTAAATATATAAACTTAACTTGAATAAACTTGATATCAGGAATTGAAATTTATAAAAAAGTTGCAAACAGGGCTGGAGAGCTTTCAAGTTTTGAATTCAAACTTTTAAATATATAAACTTAACTTGAATAAACTTGATATCAGGAATTGAAATTTATAAAAAAAAATTATAACCTGAAAAGGTTAGATTTTATTATTTGTATTTGGGATCAGAAAATTTTAAATATGGAAGAAAAAAAAAGTAGGGTGAGGTATGGGGTATAGACTTCAAACGAGAGACATTTATAATTTTGTCTGGTGTCCTATGTTCATGAGTCTCACCACCTTTGTATTCGTAATATTTATCATTTCATTCTTGTATGAGTGCTCACGTAGCAGCACTGCGGTTCACTGGTTCGAACGCTGTCTTGGATAATTACATGCTAGAAGATTGCTGGAATCTCAGGAATATTGATGTAACTAACCACTGGTCGGTTACGGCTTCTTTCACAGTCAAGCCCATACATCTGAAGACAGATAACTACGGGTAGTCAAATTTCCATACCCGATATGGACTGGTAATCGGAAGAGAGATCGTGGCTATGATGATATGATAATGCTGTCTTATTACCTTTTTTTTCTTATCTTATGATTTTCATTTTTTCTGCAGATTGACCTCGACCTCACAAATCACAAGAAATATATCGACACAGAAATGATGACAATTTTAGGACAAATGGACTCAGCGTCGAAAATTCTCGACTTTTTATATCTTGGTTCTGCATGGAATGCGTCTGATCTCGAAGAATTGAATAGAACGGGGTAAAAATAAAATTATATAGGAAGTATAATTATAATTCAAGTATGCTTGAACATTTTAGTAGGAAGAAATTAAAAGGTAAAATGGAAATTTGGGCGCTCCAGGAGTGTGTGTACCAGTATGGAAGTAACTAATTTTTTTCGCCTACTTTTCATCAAGTTGTGTAAAGGAACTGAAACCTATGGGCAGGGGTTATATTCACTTGGCTTACACAGACTGTCCCCGAACTCGTAATAGACTAAAATAAGGAAAATCGGAATAAAATTATGAGCTAACCCTAACCTGATACACATACTACGGGAGTACCGAAATTTGTATCTTGAAAATGAGAAAAAAGAATTTATGAACTTGCAGGAAATTGGAAAAAAATGTTCTTTTTTTCATAAGAATTTGGAATAGTTTCGTTTTTTAGTGTTTTTCACATTTTCATTAAGGTGATATTAAAATTTTTGAAGTATTATGGTAATTCTGGATTGGTATTGGATATCCGTCGAAAGCGAAAAGATTCGATTGGTTTTTGATTGAAATCAATTATTGAAGATTTATCAGACTCTTTTCATATCGTTACGGACCCACTGTGCATTCATCTGGACCCCTGACCCCAGTTTGGGAAACCCCGGCCTAGGAAAACTCATCTTTCCTTGGGTGAGGGACTAAGGGTTGAACATGGGGAATTGAACCCATAATATTTCTCAGTCTGAGGCACGAAACCTATCCACTAGGCCAAAAAAATATTCTGCTTCAATGAAACAAAAATACTAGAGATAAAAATCTGTGTTTTTTCGTATGATCACAACCATAATTACTTATATGCACTTAACCATTAATATTTGACACCGCAGATAGACTCGATTTTTCAGATTTGTTTGTTTGTTTAATTTTCTGATTCCTCGCTCGATCCTTGACACGCCCAGTAGAGTAAATGAAAACATCTAATTTAGAAATTTCTATATACGCATACTTAGGTTTTGCCAGTAGTAGAAAGTACACTTGAGCCATACATGGGCTGATAGTGGGTTGTCATGTTTGATTAATTGAAATAAATTCATCATTAGTAACTCTCTAGCTCAGTGGTTCTCATACTATTTAAGCCGTGCTCCTCTTTAGAATTTGAAACGACTTCAGAGAATTTATTTATCTTCCGACTTCAAAGAGTTTTGAATATACCACTCCGCCACAAACCCTAATATCAATAAAAACTTGCCGAATTCGTGACTCCACTACACCAATTTAAACTTCATTTATTTTCATGTTACAGTATCACCCATATTCTCAATATTACGATGGAAATTGACAATTATTTTCCCGACAATTTTGTCTATAAAAATGTTCGATATTACGATGAACTAGAAAGTGATTTGTTGCCGGAATGGAATGATACATGGAAATTTGTCAAACAGGCTCAACGTGCTAACGGAAAATGTCTCGTCCACTGTAGAATGGGAATAAGCAGGTAGGGAACACCTAATTAAGATGTGTGGAATGGATTTTTTTGTAGACTTCTATAAAAATATGTATATTTTGCTGTAGACAGATTTTGTCGGATTTAATTTCTCATGCAGAATTACGCAAAAGATTATTTTTCAAGTAATACATTTCGTAAAATGCAGGACCGCAATTTGTCCGCCTTGGACATAAGAAATATAGCTTATAACTGATATCATAGTTATCCGGTTTCGTTTGAGTTATTGCTATCTGTGAAAAAAAATTCTCATTTCCAATTTGATTGTCAGGTCCTCTGCTACTGTTGCTGCATTTTTAATGAAAGAATATCTCTGGTCCATGGGTAAAGCACTTGCGTTTATCAGAGAACGTAGGGAGATCATTTACCCAAATGAGGGATTCATGCGTCAACTTCAAGAATACGAAGGAATACTTAATGCGAGGTAAGATCTCAATAGGATCAAAGCTTTTTCTCTAGCAGGAAAGCCTATAAGATATGACAGAAAATAAAGCGTTTTACACACGAGTTCCAAAAATGTGTCCAATGTTCAAATTCAATTGAGATAGTTGTTCTTCATGCGATGCTTATTCATGCCTTTCACTCTACCTTGGTAGATGAATTAGTAGCGAAAGAGTTAGGAAATTAGAACTAAATCATACTTACTGTTTTCTTCATATTAATTGTCATTTTGATAGGCCAGATAGTCATTCCAACAATCCAAATAGCCAGCCATTATAAGCATGTCACATATATTAGTCAAAACTTTCTGTATTTTATTTTCTATGAGAAAAAACTTGATTTCAAATAATTCATTTAATTACAGTGCTCAAAGACACAATCTTCTGTTCCGTTCACGATCTGAAAGCAATTTAATTGCGGAAAATGAAATCAACAAGTCAGATAAAGAACAACAAACACCGAGAGGTTCCATCGTTGATCAACAACCAACTTTCGATCTAAATCGACAATTACTGGATCTCACTGTTTTACCATACAGGTAGAATTTTGGGCACGAAGTGTACCTATGGACCATTTTTTGGTACTCCTTTAATAAGTGTACCAGGTTAGGGTTAGGCCATAATTTTATCCCGATTTTCCTTATTTTAGTTCTATTACGAGTTCGGAGACTGTCTGTGTTAGCCAAGTGAATATCCTCCTGCACATAGGCTCCAGTCCCTTTACACAACTTGATGTAAAGTAGGCGAACAAAATTAGTTACTTTCATATTGGCACGTACACATACTTCTCTGGAGCGCCTATACTGCTATTATTTGCTTGTTGGTATTTTTCTTCTTGTTTTCATGAAAAAAATCGCTTTTCTCATTCACTACTGGACCCATTACTTTGGAATTTTCAGTGGTTAAAGATTGTTGAGACCTTGCTTAGAGCAAACTCGTACTATGTTCAAAAACTTTTATTGCTCAAATTTTCAAACTTATTGAACCAACTTTCTCATCTTTAAATTGAAGTTTTATTAAATTCCAGTAATTTATCTCAATTTTTTGTATTTATTTCAGTACAATACACAAAAAGCCAAAATCTTGGTCTCCTGGTGATGCTCGACATTATTTCATGGACGATTCCGTAACAGACCACTTCGATGAACTTGGAAGCGGCATGAACAGGAGTCATTTGTCCGAGCCTCGGGAGTTTCTCGCAGAATCGACACGGTTTGTGAAAGATTCTGCTGTTCCGCAAGCTGCAGATAGACGTAAGAAGTGGAGAAGAAGACACACTGAAAATTTTTTTCCATTGCGCAACCTCGAACTCGAATCGGTCGCGCAAAGTGAAGACAGCGTCTTTCCTAACCCTGGGTAAGTACGTTTTCATGAAAAACTGGAATATTTATAAAAAGAACTGAATGCCTTGTCCACGATCTTGTTTTTTCTTTGTAAATGTTTTTTATTCCCTTTTTTCACACGGGACCTTCGAATTTGTAACAAACAGGACCTGGTAAACATATCAGATTATTTTGCAAATTTTCGTTTTGAAACTATTTGGTTGTTTTTATTTGAAATCATAATAGTCCAACTTTGAATAAGTAAAAAAGTGATGCAATTAGAAATAGGATTATCTCAAATCTATATTTGTATAACAAAAATTCTACCATTATTCGCGTATGTTTTTTTGAATGAATCCTAATTTAGATTTGATTCATAATCCGTGCTCAAAATATAAGATCCCGTATATGCTCGTTTCACCGCCCGATCTTGATTAAGGGCCCGTTTGAATAGAACATAAAAATAAATAAGGGCCTGTGCTTGAATACCCGTCCGATGTAAAAGCTGATTTTTCAGTGGTAGAGAACAATAGAATATAAGAAGCACTTTTTATCACAACGCTGTTGAATTTTAATCGCCGGTAGATAACACTCACGCCTTAGGCGTCCAAGTACATAACAGATAGCATTGATTATGTAACACCATGGTTCTCAAACTAGGCGTCGCGGCGCCCAAGTGCGCCGTTTCAATATTGATAAGGCGTCGCAAAACTTTTCTTCTTATGCGAATCTGTACGTGTGGTGCGTAGAAAAAGTCAAAATTTTCGTTATTCTCGTTTAAATCATAATAACAATATATTAATTATTGTAACGATCGAATATAATAAGCGCCCGTGCTTGAATAAGGGCCGATTTGAATAAGGGCCCGGTTAGTGAGTTGATTGAAAAAATATGGGCCCGGGCTACAAAACGAGCAAATACGGTATTCATCTTTTGTCATCTCTGACCTTTATTAGATTACTATTTAGCACTGCAATGGAAGTTTATTAGTTTTAGTTAGCTAGTTTAGTTAGTATTAGTTAGCATTTTGCGGTAATTGGACGCAAAGAATAAATGGATTTGTGGATCACTTTGCTAAAATTTTTAATTGCTGTACGAACGTATTACTTATCCCCTCAACTATTGGATCAATCACTTTTAAATTTACTGCAGACTAAGATGTAGCCATTTTGTGCATTTACTGACGATTAGGGCGATCTTGCCAACAAACTGTGTTATAGTATTTGAGAATAGTCTCTTGTTTTTAGTGATGTTCCTGTTCCACGAATTGATGCCTGGATGGCCGAGACAAGATCTTTGCCTGCAGATACAAAAAGGAAGTCTAATCGCATGTCATCACCTGCCGCCATGGAAACTACTAAAAGTTCGCTTGACGTTGAACGTGAGCAAGTGCATTCGTCCTTCATTTCGCCGATGAATAGTCCATCTTTCAAATGCACGAAAGACGTCAACGTATCGAGCTTAAAAAATCAATATATAGATACGGTCTTGAAAGTTGATGTTACAAATACAGTTCCTGTAGTACAACAAACCGATATCGCTAAACCATCAGGCAGCAAAATCGCTCCGTTAAGTGAAAACATTTCTGATGCCAATGTTTCTGAAGATGTGGAGAGCGAGGGTCGCGACTCAGTCGGTCAATTAGCGTCGTCTCGAGAAAGATCGTTTTCAGAGAACCAACTTTTTAACGTTAAAAATATAGTCTACGAAATAGAAAACAGAGGCAAAGAAAACCAGGAAAAGGACAACGCTGTCGGAATATCTCGATCACAATCACTTTCCGCGAGTAAAAATTCTTCCATGGAGATGACCTTGGGTGATACCCATTCTACAATGGCGAAAGATCAAAACCAAAATAATAACAACAGCAACAATAATGTTGGGCAATTCTTTCCGAGCACAACGGTCATTGAAATTGATCATGATGCGAATAATTCGCCTCAAATTGTTAAAACAACATCACAGCCAGGATGTAGCATTAAAGAGAAAGTCTCATCTTCAGATATAACCCTAGCCTTGGTTGGACCAGATGAATCCAGTACTGAATTGAGAAGAAATCCTCTTGCCAGAATGCTAACTCAAAGCGAACTTCACGTTATAAGAGAGGTAATGTAGCATTTGTATTATTGCTGTAATTTTAATTCTATTGCCAATGCAAGATGAAAAGATTTAAAAAAACTCTGTCCTATTCTAAAATCACATGCCCACACAGTATGTAATAAATCATTGGTTCTCAAATGGGGGCGTAGGGGGGGCGTAGACATTTTTTGAGGGACGTGAAGCTGATTAAAAATAAAAATATTTGTTATATTCGATCTTGCTCGCCTTATTTTGTATATTTACATTTCTTTATTGTTTAGAGAGTGCGATTTCATGCACATAGTATTTCCAAAACATACTTGCGACCTACTATCTGTTATTTTGAGCTTATTGCTAGCTAGTTATTTTTAAATAGCGCAAGACTTGACAAATTCTAAAAGGGGGCGCGGCTTAAAAAGTTCGAGAACCACTGTAATAAATTGATCAGACAATACCAAATAGGGAAGATTCTGTATCTTTTAAAAAGAGTAGTTCTCTATCAAAAACATGTCAATCGACTTCTGTCAAGAACCTAGTCTGGAAAACCATAGTTGGATATGCTTGGTAATATAATCTTCAACACGATTTATATAATTTTTTAGGTCGGAAAAACCTTCCTTAGCGAGCCAGATGATACAGATTCGGTTTTGCTAAGTGAGAGTTCGTCACAAAGCACTTCATCCACCCACACCATCGAAGAAGAAACGACACCAATCAAAAACCGAGGAGTCGTACGGCGAATGGCAAAAATAATTGAAAGCAAAATAAAACAACAAAATGACGAACAACCTGAAGGAAAATCGACACAATCATCCACTGATTCTACCACAGTAATAAATAAACTGTTAATGGGAGGTCCAACTAATCCTCCGATGTCAGTCGAGTCGAGCTGTATAAACAAAAATAACAACAACTCTGAGTCAGGTATGGATGAAGCAAAATCGATTGTAGAGCCTTCGACCCAAGTTTCAAGCAAATTAAATGATTTGTTATCGTTGGTTGGTCCCACACCATACAGCCCGATGCATACTTCTCTTGCAAGTTCTGCTTTTGCCCATCCTGGAAAATCTTCAATCGAGCGTTATCAAAGAAAAGGAAGACTGCCGATTCGACGGACACAGTCCGAAAGAAGCTTCACTCGTCCAATTAAATCTTTACTTTTCCACAGTTTCCGAGAGAAACAATCTACGAGCAATGAAACTGAACTTCTCGCACAAGATTCTCAATTCAATCCTTCTCAAGACGCACCACCGGTCGCAGTGAAGAAAATTGTTGAAAATATCGAAAGTTTGGGGGTGAATGACGACAAGTTGCGCAGCCGTTTCGAATTCGCAAGGAAAAAGAGACTGTTTAGCAGTGACTCACCAAGTAATCCGAATAAAAAACAAATGACTAGGTCGATCTCTAATCCTCATGTCACACAAAAAACTGAGGGGCATCGTAGCATCAAGTCTGTTTTTTCTCGTAACCCATTTTCTGCTAGCAGATCTCGTAATAAATGTGTTCAGACACAATTTCAAAGGCATAATAATCTTTATAAAACAATGTGAACACTCTTTTAAAAACCAGTGTCTTTATATTTATTCAGCAGGAAAATGTTTTTTGGATATAATTCATTTGGTGCCTTTCTAAAGAGATTGTTTGGGCGTGACATATGAGTCTGTATTTTTCGAAACCTTCTTCATCAAGCTTATGCCATAGATGACTATACCTTTGAGGCTACTTCTTGAATGGATGGACCATACTTGTATAATAATTCCTAATTTTATGGAATTATTCGAATGCAATTTTTTGCACAAACATCGGTTATATCAATGAAACTGCCTCAACATCATCCACTGGAACATTTGTTGAATTATCAAAATTGGCCATAGAAAAGACATGGTTAAGCTACATGCTTCATCAGCAGCCCGCACTTGTCTGAGTGAGAATATGCTTCGCAACCTAGTTGTGCCTGGATTTCATTCTGATTTGCTTGTGTTATCCTGACAGACTCTCAATCATAATATTTCATCTTTTTACAATTATAACACAGTTTGGTGGATAACAATGCAGAATAATGAGACAATTACTCATGCCTCTAGTTCTCAAAATCTGAAGCCTTACAGCAGGGGTCGGCAACCTACGGCCCGAGCAATATAATCTGGCCCGCGACGTTTCACTGAATTATAGTAACAAATTATAGCTGTTTTGTCGATTATATTCTTTACGCAAAAGAATTTACGTGTAGACTAAATTATATTATAACATATCAAGTATATAATTCACAATTACTCGTTTAATGAGCCTATAATTGAATTATAATTTAGACAAATGACAACAAAACGCAGAAAAGTTGATGCTAAGTGCAAATGGTTTAATGGCGCAAAAAATATTCAAATGTTCAGTCTTAGCGCGCTGCTTCAAATTTAACTTCTGATCTGTGTGATAAAATGTGATTCATCGGTCATCCATTCGATTTGTAACATTCTAAAAATATGTGCGGCCCGCCAATGACTTGCAACCTTAAATTTTGGCCCGCGAGCGACAATAGGTTGCTGACCCCTGCCTTACAGCAGCTTTAGTGTGTTAACTGCACTTAATCATGTATCTTCTGAATATGTAACAGCCCAATAGTCTTTTTAAATGCGTTTTGGTCGTAATTGAGACTATATATCCATCTCTATTTTGGGGACCTTCATGCTAAAACACAACGTCATTTATTTATTTTAAATTTTAAACCTAAATTATTCCAAGAATTATGTAATTTGGAAGCCATATCCATAGTGTGTAGTTGTCCGATCTAAACAAGCATAATTATTGTCAAAATCATGCATCATGCAATCTTTTTTCGGAGTGTACCCCAAAACAGGCGGACATTATTAAATTGGGTTAATATATTGAAAATGTATTTTCCCTTTTTATTATTGTAATGATAATTGATAATCTATCAATATGAATTCGTCGATACCTAATTTGCGGCTAACATCGCGTTGTTGCGGTTATATAACTATCTACAATCAATACTTACTATGTTTTCAGTAATCATACATGTACATTTTTGTGTTATTTTAATTAAATTCAAATTTATATTCAAACCGCATAATGTGAGCTTTTATTATATATTTTTGTTTCTTTACTATTCAGATAACAGAAGCCAAAACACAATAGCACAATATCCAATTTTTTTGGCTTCAAGTAAGCACTGATTTTGTTGACGCTTTTTTGCTTAGTATTCTCGCTTGTTTTATATATACATTTATTAAAATATATATTACTAGTCGCACATTTTATGTTGTATTTCATGGTGGTATTGTTTAATGATGAAACCTGAGTTTTTATTATGTGAAATTTTTACTTGAGCGGAAAAAAATTTTTTTTTGCGGATTTTGCACAAAATATGGATTCATTTTTTTGCTTCATAATAATGGAGTCAAAAATTGACTAACTTAGCTCCTAACAATGCTCTAAGCAAGCAGACATGATTAATAAAGGACTTGTATGCTTATTGGAAACACCGACCTAATTTATCACACATGGGGGGTATTTGCATACAAGTAGGGTTGAGCCAATGATCTATGAGCCCTATATACTGACATAATTGAGACTAATAATCTAGCAACCCGCGGCCCACAAGGAAAAATTGTGCGGCCAACAGAGAAGTGCCAATTTTGACTGTGTGCCGCCCACGAAACGAATTTTCAATTTACTTCAATCTGATATGTGCAAGTAATTCCGAATACCCGAGTCCAATTTATTACCGGTAGCTATGATGTCACAATGCCCTAACAGCTAGCTTGTGCTGAGAGAACAACCCATGTCATATTACCAATGACCAAAATTTTTGTGCCTGGAACTAATAAAAAGCCTATGTCGAATAAATGTGCGGCCCGAGGTTCCACCCAGTTATTTGTATCTGGCCCTCCTGTTTTAAAGGTTGCTCACCCCTGCTCTAGACTAGTGTACTTCAAAACTTTTTTCATCATGACCCACTTGGCACGGCCAATTTTTTTTTTGCAGCTCACTGAAACTGAAATATGACAATACCTCTAATGAGGCCGATAGACGATACGCTTGCATATTCTCGCACGAAATATCACATTTTGGCTTTAATTAGTCAATGATGGACTGGTTTCAAAGTTCCAAATCTTTCGCACTTGATCTATATTTTGTTTTAACATAAGTTATCGTCAAAAAAAATTTCAACCCGACCCCCCCCACTGAATGATGCATTGACTTTCCGTAATCATGACACATTATACTTTTAATTCCACTTTATTAAAATCCAATTGCGGCTAGGAATAGTTTATAGCAGCCTTTCATAATTGCGATACTTGAGCTCTCATGAACGATCACAGCATGGCTCATTATCCAATATACCCATTTGTTCTTCTCAATTTTAACAGATTTGACCAATTTATTCAAGTTTCTGAGTTTATGCGGACATATTGGTATTTTCTAGGCAATGGATTGACACTGCTCCAGGCCCATTATTCTCAAAAACATAACGTATGCTATAAATTATGTTAATTTGCTTATATAAATTTAGTAGTTTAGTTAATTTATCATGTATAGCATGCATAATCCCTTTATATATGGGGCTTTGTTGATCTTATTTGGTAGGCTGTACAGATAATTGAATAATATTTTGAATTAAGTCTATGGGCCTTTGTAGATTTACAGGTCATGTGCAAAAAATTTAAAAGCGCTTCAAAAATTACTTTTTTTTCTCAGTTATAAATTAAATTAAACAATCTCAAATTGATCCCTGCGTTCATAAGTAACGCACCACAGCTGAAAAACCTTAGTGTTAGAAAAGTATATAATGTATGGTATCGTAAGGAGTTGGAGACCACTCAATTATATAATGTTTTCAATTTGTGTAATTTAATTAAAAATATTAATTGAGGCACAAAATTCTTCAATTGTGCTGGAGACCACTTATTTATATAGTATTTTGAATCTGTGTAATTTAATTAAAAATGATAATTTGGAAAAAAACGTCTTCTATTGTGATATGTTATAAACTTGAGTAACCTGCTTTCAATATATTTCGGTTGTGTTGAATCGCTAAAATATCTAAGCGAATACCGGGTTAAATGTATGAACAACTTCTGTACCTATGCACTGTATCTATTACTATATCTACATAATAGTTGTGCTACTTGTTTATTATCTCATCATCCAATAGCAATATTTGGAATCTTTCGAGCTCAAATTTTGCTCGTGCACTGATATTGAGAAAATTCTTACTTATGCTGATTTCAATGAGCTCTGTGTGTCTTCATAAAATATTGTTTTATTCTATTTTATGTTTTCAAAATTGTCGCTTTAGAACTAGTGATAGCTTTTTCCTAACACCCCTTTGCAAAGATAGGATTTTCATATTTATCTTTGGGAGAGGAAAACTAATAAGATTTCATGAAGAACCACAACTGCTTGTTGGGTTACCGGTCTGGTAAAGTATGGGAATAGCAAACTAGTCAATTGATCCATATATATTTGAATAGATTTATGATGGTTTAGGAAGACATAAAAGCCAATTTGCGATGTCGAGGTGCCCAGCTACTCCTCTAGTATACAATTGGGTACTCCCGTAGTGTTTACCAGGTTCCTTTAGTTCTATTACGAGTTCGGGGACTGTCTGTGTTAGCCAAATGAATATACCCCCTGTCTTTTCACAACTTGATGTAAAATGGGCAAACAAAACTAGTTACCCCCATATTGATACACACACTTCTGGATCGCCTACAATTGTCCTCTACAAGATTCAACTTACAAACTCTTCGTTGGTTTATCAACAGTGCTATGTTTCTGTTATTTTCTCTTTTTTTTATATTGCTAGTAAATCAATGTTTATGAAAATCAAAAACTGGATATATATTGTTTTTCATTACTGTATCATAACAGCTAATGTATCTATATATCTTATTTGTGTACAGCTAACATTGCTCAGACAATGTAAATTTTTTTGTTTTTAAAAGTTACTGTTTTGCACTTGTTACTTATATTTGGCGTCATCAGAGGGTTAATCAACGTTTTTTTTTACCAATACACCACGTAAGGCAGTAGTTGAAAGAATCTTTTTCAAATTGAAAGGCTCCTATGAAATATTCTTCTCATTAGTGACATTTTACATCATTTTCTTAACTGCGACTTAACTTGTATAATCTTGGTTTTGTCCATGAAGTCCATGCATCTGATCAGCTAATCCTATACCCGATATGGACTGCTAACCGGACGAGGTTGTCACTTGATTAAGCCATCGTATCGTCTTTTTCTACCCCGGGATAAGTATGCAAGTCGTATCCTATTTCAAATCCTATCGTAAAATTTACACCTAGCTCAGTGCTCTTCATATTTTTATTATCATGGAATCCCTATCGCAAAATATTAAACAGAAAAGCAGAAAATTCTCCCCCACATAAAAAGTGATTAAGAAAATGACATTCCATAAAACTCTTGTAACATTAAGTGTTTTGTAATCCCTGCGTAAGAGCACTGCCTAGCTTCAATTCAAGCTCTGCTATCATTGGTGGAATGACCTGGAGTCTGAACATATAATTGTGGATATTGAAAGTCCCATCTACTTGGAGTAAATTGGATGATTTGAAATAAAATTTGGTTTTGATAGGTTAGGGTGAAAAATTTAGTTGATCAATGTGTTTAAGCATCTATATTATGTACTATTACATTATCTAAGACTGATTAAATTTTGAATCAAACTCTCCTACTGATCTGTTTTCCAGACAGTAATGAGTTGCATGTGTCTCAAGTCTTGTGTTATCCTGCATCTACATAGACCCTTAGCTTGTCTTTCTCAGTGTCTTTTTGCAACTCTAATTGGTGTAACATTGTATTAATTTCGTTTTCTTGTATGGACAGTCTGTAAATTGTGGAGAAAATTCCGAATACAAGTCCACATGGAATCCTAGATTTCCCCTTGTGCAAGATATGATTGGTCGATGTAAGCACAAACATATGACTTCGATGATTGAGAAATTGATATATACTGAACAATATATGCTTTTTTTCTGCTAACGCCTTAACTATTACTGCAATGCTGTATTAAAATACTTATCTATGAATGTTTTGTGGGTATTGTTTTTCCTGAATGAACCAGTCAAAGAATGCAAAAGTAAATCCCTGTAGGAGGACAAACGCCGATGACAGTGATTTAGCTTTTTGGATAGATCTGACAGCAATCTTGTTAACCTCCGCATGATATGATGAATGCTGATAGTTTAGAGGTGTTTTTCATGCGCTTGACATTCGCTTAGAGACAAATAATGTGCTTCTGACAAAAATGTAGCTAATAATGTTTACTGAAATATTTTATTGATGATTATAATGTTCATGATGGTGATGGAAACTGTATGTTACTGCGAACGATGAGTTCGTTTAGGCCCAGGGTCATACACAAACTTTCTTTTGTATTGAACCAAAGTACCTGCATTGGTGAAAGGGTGCTCGAAGTTTTGGCCACAACTTTGGTAGTACAGAAAGCCGCATTGCATAACTGATAAATAAAAGTTCTTTCGTATTGTGACTCTGTCTTACCTAAAACAATAACATCCTCGTGTTCCTTTGGGATTGCATATATGGTTATCGGAGAATCATAACTTAAAACAGCTGATCGTCACAATGCGTAACTTTTTAGGTTTCATCACCGCACATTTTCGTACCGAAATAATGTTTCTTTCTACTTTCACCCCATGCAATGTTTTCACACCCCACAACTCGAGAGTCTCTGCCCTAGCATGTCTTGCATCAAGCGACCTATTTCTGTAAACAGTTTCATCTAAAAAAGGCATCTAAGAAGGTATTGTATCATCAAGAGATGGCCAAAACACCCATAGTCTTTTATTGCTGTAAATTTGTGTGCTTTGGATGCTTTTTATAGCTATTTCGAGTAGCGGAGAATTAGGGATGGCTTCATGTGGAAAATTACATAAATCATGAAATCTTCATGTTGATTATATCCAGAACGCCATGGATATACCGGTCATCCGTTTCTCTGTGTTGTTTTTTACCAGTTAAAATATCCTACATTTTGATCTGCCCGTCTGATGGCTTGTAATCGCTCTAATTTTCAAATAAAAATATTTAAATTCATTCCTGAATAAAAAAAAATTCTATATAGAATATAATGAAATTCGATTTTGAAATCCCTGGGCTTTCACTTATGTTCTATATAAATCACCAGTCGCTTGAAGACAAGGCTCACCAGCTGAAACTGCATTCCTCTCAATTGACAAAATAAGTTTTTCATAGTATCTAGTTTAAGACAAAGTTGCTTTCTATATTTCTTTCACATTATTCAAAAAGTTCATTGAAAAGGAAACAAATTAATAATCAAACTAATCATCTCCGTATTTCTTTCTCAATTGAAAATACACAGCAAAGAAAGGTAATCCAAAACCAGTTCCCATGTAAAGTCCCATCTTGGCAAGAAGCTTCCACCTGTGAAGACAAAAACATTTACAGCGACTTTCGTTTAGGATTTGAGCAAAATGCAAATGATTATAATTCCAAACTCATTGCAAAGGGTAGTAGTATTTGTGGTGTTAGTTTCGAGGCCAAGCAAGATTATATCTGAATTTTATTAAAATTTAATTGTTAATCTTGGCTTGACACTCAATGCTACCCCAACAATTTCTTCCAAATCAAAGAATTTTATTCTTCTGAAGAGTTCAGTGATCTTGCCAGATTGTACAAACCTAACCTTTCGTGGTGTACAAATATTAGGTTTTCAAGTCGATAACAGAAAAACAGGAAAGGAATACACGAATACGATATAAATATCAGTCAAAAACACTTTTGTTACATAATATGTTTTTTTTTCAGCAGAATCATGTTATTTTGAAATGTGGTTTGACAAAAATACAAAGCGAGTGGAATGAGTAATGTAGCCAATTGTTATATAGATATAACTCATCTATTAGTCATGGGACATGATATAAAATTTTTGGAAATTGACCACAATGACAACACAGTTGGTTGGCCAGATAACGTATTCATGTATTGGCCATTCAACTTAATACTAATTTTGTATTCACAAGTAACAACCTAGAAAATTTGATGGTCAGATTGGGTTCTGAGAATGGAGGATAGCTCTGGTATAATGCCACGTCATATTAAACAGACGAATTGACTGGAAAAGTGCAAATTTTTATGATTGACGAAAGCATACCATAATGCATGAAATTTTAGAGCAATCCCCACAAAGTGAGGCAATATAAAAAAGATTCAATTAGTTCTGCTTGGCTCAGATACCTGTTTTGGAATGGATTGAATGGTAGAACGTCTTGTGCTGTTGGTTTGCCATGACCTCCTGCACGTCTTGCCGATGTCATAAGACCACGACGGATCAGGTTGCTTGAACGTTGAAGTAACATAATCTAAAAAAATAAAATAATACATTTGAATGGATTTATTCTGAATAGGCATCTGTAATTCATAGATCAGATTTTTATCTTAACTGAATGGCTGAGCCAATGCAGTTAACTGAATAATCACTGTTTGTACAAAGGAACAAGCAGTTAAAATAGTAGGTAGGGAAAAATTTATGGTATTATATAATCTTACAGAGAGAATAGAAACCCCACCATCTCCGCAAATTTAAAACCAGAATAATGGCTGTTTTTCTAGTGCCTGAATGCTTAGCACATAAGCCAAACTGAATATTCAATATTAAAGACACGGTATCGTTTTCTCGGTTGCAGTTTATATCAGTATATAGGCTAACTGTAGAAAGCTTCGATTGAGTATTTATGTATCAGAGTTTTTCTGGAATAGGAAAGCTTAAGTTCATAAAATTCTGACAGCAAATAATGAATGGGGTGGGGTAAGAGAGAGTTGCACATTTATCCCTGTATAGTATTCCTGTAATCAGCGATGCTGAAGCAAGTGTGCCGGTACCAGTTACGTACTTCCAACTTAATCATATGGCGAACCACGGCCTCTCGTTCGGTTACCAGTCCAGGTTGGGTATGGGATTAGTTAGCCAGGTATTTTTTTTCGGAAGCATGGACTTGATGGTGGAGGAAGCAGGTACCGTCCAGCGGTTAAGTGAACCACCCTACGGGGGCGAGAAGTCCAGCAATCCTCTCGCACATGATCATCCCGCATGGAATTCAAACCTGCGAACCCACGAAGGGTAATCACTAATCAGAGATGCGGTGGCAAGTGTATTCCTAACGCTTAGCACGATGCGCCACACCGCCGAGCCATTTTATGCTTAACTCTTAGTAAATGCGCCAACCGTCAAGTCGGCAGGTTATAAAGACAGACCATATGTAGCAATTAGCAGTGTAGCTCGTGAACTCACCTGCTTTAACTATCTGTTACAACCAAAAAACTGCAGAATCGACAGCGGAAGATGGGAACAACTCCCAGAAATAAAGTATCTGAACGACCGCACTTGCCCTTGTCGCACAAATCAGTTAACCAGTTGTATTTTTGCAAACTGTGTCCTCTCGGCAAATTTGCAGGCTCCCATTCAAAATATAATAAAAAAAAAGATGATTATTTCAATCACGAATTTTATAACTCGTTTTGCAACTTGTTTTTATTATTATCAAATGTAGTACAAAATCAATTTTATTTTGGTCACTCTGACATAAAAACAACACAAACGGACAAACAAAATGCACAGGACCCGGAGTTGGTGAGAAAAATTACTCATCACTGTAACCCTTGGATCAATCATTTTCAAATTTTTAGTACTAAGAGAATGAAAATCGCTAGAAATCTATTGCTTTTATTTTTATTTTTTCAATTATCTCCGAGTGATATCCTCTGAAACATGTTAGTCGTTGGTTCCATAGAAAAGACTTTAATATTTCACAAAAATGTCACTGTCATACTTCAAAAAATAAAGAGGAGCACTTTTTTATTCTGCATGACTCGCCCGATATCTCCGTATTGCTTGTTCTTCAATATTTCCAGGGCATTATCAGGCATTGTGCAGCTCCGTAGGCGCTGCCGATACTGATGCGCGATGTTCTGGAAAGATCAACCTCTGGGAAAGACTCCGTATCAGGAATATACAGATCACTTGTCGAAACATCACATGCAGAGCGGAGTTCAACGCCAGGAAGTCAAGCTATATTAAAAACATTGCTACATGCTGCCAAGCTCGCTTGCAGCAGCTGAGCGCATCTCGCTAAATTAATTAGCCAAATGGGGCTCACCAAATGTTAAAAAAATTAAAAAAATTAGTTAAAACGTAACGAACCGATACCACCAAAGAAAGCAATCCGTAGTGCTGACTGCTGAGGGTATGTCAAAGCATAGATTTCATCACTGTTATATCTATTATTATTTATTTAAGGTTATATGTAGTTTACTGTCGATACTTCACGTTTAACTGTACAACCTTCTTTTGCAACAGGACCTACAACGTCGGCCCTTTCCTCCGGGGACCACAGAGCAGCTGTAGGGGAGCCGCAAAACTGTAATGCAATTTCGTTTTCCCTAAACAAGGCTTGGGACAGAAATGAACACACAAAAAATACGCGAATTTGCGACGCGATATTCCCTAAACTATGTTGTGAACGATCTTTCAGACATCACATGACAAGATACACGAAGCCATAACAAACCGAATTGATCCCCCTTTAAGTCAAATTTGTTTTTACTGACTGGAAAAAATAAACTTGACGTGAAGCTTATGAAAGATCACATGCCAGATTTCAGTGGAAGTCGCATTGGCTACCATTACTGTGTTCAAAGTTTATAGTCACTTTGGCTGTGTTCGGTCATTGGACCCTTCTTTTCATAATTTGAGCATTGCCTATTTGATATTGTTATCATAACAACTGTTGAATTTGCAGAGAAGAATCTCTGAGCTCTCGTATTAACTCATGAAGCATTCTATTTACATGACCTTGGTTTCGCAGGCAGAATATTGTTGTCCTCAGGTTGTCGCGACTATCCCGTTATACCACTGGTTCCCAACCGCCGGTGCCGATCCGCGAGAAATTTCATTTTGTTGTTTTTCTACCGTCCAAATCGCTTTATCGCAGGCGAAGTTACGTTGGTTTATTAGGCAATTTCTCCCCGCCGTCATATGGCTGTTTGATATGTGCGGTACCGGCGACATCTTGGCGCCGTCAAATCTTGCAAGATTCAAAAATCATCGTGTGTGCTTTTTTCGTTCTGCATGCTTTTCTTGATTAATAAGTCGAAGTTACGTTGGTTCATTTAGCAATTTTTCTTCCGCCGTCATATTGGTGTTTGATAAGTGCGGTAATATGCGCCGGCGGCGCGTCTTGGCGGCGATTAGTCACAATTTTCGCCTTTTTTCCGTTCCGATTCATCGAGAACGCGCTCTTCCAAATCTCGCAAGATTCAGAAACCTGAAAATCAGCATGCGTGCTTTTTCCGTTCTGCATGCTTTTCTTGATTAATATTACCATCCAAAAAAAGGTTATGAATAATTCTTCATTCAAACCAGAAAACTGTCAGGAACAGTATAATATTCCAGAGCTTCACCATGACACCCAGCGAGATAGGAACTTGTTGCACATGGTCCCGAGACGTGCAACAAAAGCGGGGGCCGATGAGATATTTTACGGGTGATGCACAGCAGGATTTTGAGCCTGGTGCTAAGTTAGCAACGACTTTATCATTGTAATATAAATTCCTTTTGTTTGAGGCGTCGATCAACTGCAGAGGGATTAAAATGATGAACCCGATAAAACCACTACTTTACAGTCCAGATTTATAAAAGAATCATTGTCACAATTCATTTTCGAAATCTCTTGATAAAGAATACCCATCGCTAAGTAATCGAGCAAACAAACTGTTGTCCGAATTTTCAACCAGTTACTTCTAGCTTAAAATTAAAACGAAGCAAAGAAATTGACTGTAAACCGCTGCAGAGCTACGTGCTGCAAAACCTTTTTTTGATGCCTCGTTTGCAATCCTGTATTGGAAACGAAAAAGTAGCAAAATTCTCACTGGAGTTAATTGTGTTTGTACATGATTTAGCATGTAGTGTACATCTTTTTATGTGTGACTTTTTTATTCATAATGGGTGCCCAACACTGTATTTTATTACGCAAATATGTGTTATTATTTTATGTTCCACCCATTTCAATTTTTGGCCGGAACATTATTTGATAATTTTTCCTCGTGTGAAATGTTTTTAAGTGTACCTATTTTTCTAAAAGCATAGTGATTGCCCGATATTACGCAAATATATTATGTCATTCTTTTCTGTTCCACTCATTTCAATTTTTGCCGGTCCGCGAGTACATTTTATTTAATTTTACCGGTCCGCCAAAGTAGAAAGGTTGGGAAAAATGGGAACCACTGCGTTAGACAACTTTTTACTCCTGCTAGTTGTGTAAACCCGACTGCAGGTGGGTGCAAAAAGAGTCTTATCAAATACCTTCAATTCATCGACGCACCCAATCTGGAATGTGCATGACCATGGCGTTAACCTAGGACGCTGAGTAATTGCACAAACGGGAACTGGTCTGTTGCCTTTGTTTTATCTCGCCAATATATCCGTAAATATATATATAACTACGGTCGCTGCGTATATTATTTTATAACAAAACACTGATCACGAGTATTCACGACACATTCATTATTATACACTCTTTCTCATTTAGGATACAGACATTTGCAAACTTCCAATAAAGAGCGGGTCATTATATATATAAAACACTGCACTTTGTGGGCAGTAGTACCCAACAACAAAATCAAACGTGTTATCCGTATGGCAACTATCAATAGCCTAAGGTTATTGAAATGGCCATTGGGGAAAAGTACCTAACTGCTTTCTCCAAAAGTTACGCAAACATTTCGAAGAATTGAAATTTTGACATAGGTATGCAAATTTACGCAGTTGCATCTAATTATTCTAATACACTGGCGAGCAACTCAGATCAGTTTGCAGTTTTTGCGTATACACTTTTTAGTAGTATTAGGGATACCGGTAATTAAGGACGCGGTGCGGGATGGACGTGTCGACGTCTCTGGGAGGGCACGGTAATATTAACTCGGTTAGAGGACTTGGAAACAAATGGTAAAAGTCTAAAAGAGTTTATACCTAACGATTGACAACGAAAGAATTTTGTTGAAAGAAATCTGAATAATTCGACATGGGTGAATGGGTCTATCCATGTCTGTATATTTTCCTTTTTCGCACTTATGTTTTCAACTAACACGTTTTCTGCAACATGCAGTTTATCATCACACCCTTCGCCCTGCATTTAGTCTTCGTTTCCACAATTACTTGCAAGATTATCTAAGATAAGGGGAACTGTGAATATTTCTAAAACGAGATAACATATTCGCTCTAAATCTAAAGCGAGTGCTAAATATTGTGTTATTGTCATGGGGGTGTGAGTTTCCACACCTCGGGCAAGAACAGTGATTAATACATAACGATAGAGCGAACTGCCTGTTGTGTATAATACGCTCACGGCGATCAATATTACCAAATCTAATAAGCTTTAGACGTTTGACAAACCCGACTGAATGTAAATAAAATAGCTTCTATTGGCTTGCTACATTTTGGTAAACATCTCATAACCTGACAGGCTGTCAGCATAATAAACACAATGCAATTAATAATATCAGCATAAAAGGTTTGCCATATTTATTCAAAACCATATTAAAACATTAGGCTTAATATATATAATTGTTACAAAATAGTCATCCGGTTTGCCTTAACCTAAAACTAACAAAGCACCGAAAACGCCAGGGTTAGTAAAAAGCCAGCATAACCAGTTCAAAATTAATATGAATTGGGCAACATTTATTAAAGTGATGATTTACTGTTAAATCAAGGCTTCTGTTATAAACCAGTTCATCAAAGCTGGGATGTGTTTTCCAGTCAGTAGTCATAGAAAGGAGGATTGGCTAAGTTTTGAGCAACCCCAGTCAACTAAACAGGACTTGAAATTTAGTATGGTATCCTGAATATATGATAACACCATCTGACTTTATCAGTAATATCCTGACATACATGTTAAGCAATATATTATATATTTTGATGGCAAAATGGACAAAGCACTGTATATACCAAGCTACAGATTGTGTTAATTATAGACAATTGGATGAAAAATATAAAAGCATAATAAGAAATATTCCAAGACAATGGACAGCATTTCAATTTATATTGAGCAAAAATATTTGATTGGAATGTAATTAATATGATCAAAAGGGTTTGATATAATCAATGCAGCGGAGATTGATTAAAGAGAGCTATTTGATAAGTAAAAGATCAATCCAATACTTCATATTATGTAGCCTATTACAAGCATTGATAAGTGACAATAATCACAATGAATTATGTATATGTACAGTAATATATCATAATAAAAGTGCACTTTATTGATGCGCATGTAGATAAAATGGTTATTAATAATATAACTGGGATAAAACAAAAAAATGCTAGTGCAAAATCAAAATTATATACAAAATTTCCACCATACATTTGATAACAATGATTTAGATCACAATTGACAAGGTTACAGCAATGGAGGCAAGTAAATAAAAATAAGTCTTACAGTAACAAATGATATCATGAATACACAAAATATGGAAAATCTTAATATTTCAAGTTATGTTATATGTTGAGAGCAACAAATTTCCGACTGATGATGATTTAAGCTTATCAATGCAGTGATATTCCGAAAGCACAAATTCATATGAGAACATTTGTTCAATTCTTTGACATACCATAAGATGAAAAACCCATTTACAAAAGTTAAAAGCAACCATTCATAATGGAAAATATAAAAGCACTGATTGTAGTCACAAACTACAAATATCTGAATGTAATTTGGTGATTCATATGAAAGTCAATGGATTGTATACTGGGCATATGTCCGGTAGCAAACAGAATTTTAAACAGATAATAAAAGGTAAATATTATATTAACATTCTAAAATGCCACTGCAAGCTTTACTATGAAAAGCATCAAAACTGAGAGCTACAATTGTGTATTTCCATGTTAACTTATTTTGAACCTGAGAGCCAATATATTTCGTAAATTTTTAATTAAACCACTCCGGGAAACATAGCATTTAGATTGTTGACAATAATTTCATAATCCTACAGACTATTTTCATCTGTTTCTTAGTATTTTGGAATTTCCACGATTCATTAAAAGTATTATTCGATGCTAAATTACAGAAGAAAAAGCATTCAAATTATGCGCGAGACCAGGACTAAAAACAATTAAAAAATTTTTATCGAGAGACACCATTTTTTGTATGTATGTGTAGCAAAAGTAAATTAGAGCAAAAAAGTAATTATATACTTTCTATAATTGCTAGTAGTTCAATAGTCATTGATGCATCCAATTGAGGAAAAATAATTTCATGTTACATTACAATAGTATTTCAGTTACCTGGTGTACTTCTGTAAATTAGAATCTCAGGATATAGAAAACAATGCAGCAGGAAAAATAATCTCATCCTAATCAGGGAATGTGGTTTTATCAGTCACCCATAAAGGATGACAATGTACCATACAAAACAACGCTGGGCGATATCAAAAAAATATAATATCAAATGAGTCTTATATGTTGTGTTGTTCATGCAACCCTGGCATTTCTGTGATTGCTACAAACAGGTTTTCCACCAGCTGCAAAAAATCCTACAGTTTTAAGGTCACAATGGCAAACAGCACATTCAAAGCATGTATCATGCCACTGTGCACTAAGTGCTTCCAAATAACTATCTCCAGCTTCGATGGTAAAGTTGCACCCTTTGCATACCTGGCTAAACAGACGATTGTAGTCAGTAATACAGTATGGTTGATCACCTTGCATTTGAAATACACCATCTTTGAAGGTTTGACCACATGCTTTACATACAAAGCATGTCATATGCCAGGTTTGGCCCAGAGCATGCATTACTTCGCCGACAACTTTTTTGTGACATTTTCCACATGTGTGAGCAAAATGCTTCTCATAGCAATCTTTGCAGTATCTCTCTCCTCCTTCGTCAATAAAGCCGATATTTTGAAGTGGTTTTCTACAATTGCTCGCAGCGCATACAAATTCATCAATGTGCCAATTCTTGCCTTGATGTGACAGATAAGGACCAAGAATAATCTTCCTACACCCTTCACATATTGGATCACTTTCATCCCCTTTGTTAGACTGTTGCTTCATCTGTGGTCCAGGCCCGAGCATGCTTTGTGGCGGAGGAGGAAGAGGCTCATCTGCTGGTGGGGGTGGAAGAAAATCAGGAGTGGGGGCTGGTTTGCTTGGTTGATACCGATTAGGCTGAGGTACAGAAGTTTGCACTGGTTTCACATAAGTTGCACTTGTTTGGACGGATGGCTTTGGTGGTGAAGAAATATTCAAATTCTCAACACCGCTGGTAGCATATGAAACACTATTATCTTTATTCTTGACAATTAATACTAGTGTATGCCCAGCGTTTTTTACTTGACCTTGAGCTTCCATATGAGTCATATTTGCGGTAGGTTGATTATTTATTTCCGATAAAGCCATGCCACATTTTATACCAGCACGATCTGCTTTTCCTCCCGGTGTAATTTTAGAAATCACCAATTCCGTACGGAAATCTTTTCCTCCGGTAAGACGAAAGCCCCATGGACTTCCTCCTTCGAGCGAGTACGACATATTTTGGTTATCGATAAAATAAACTTCTATTCAAACGAGAAAGCGAATTCAAACTCTAGTTGTGACGAATAAAACTGCGAAAGCTTAAAACTTTACTACCTTGATGCGGCCGCTACCGACGCCTGCGAGAAATGACACCGGCGTAACAAATGTAGGCTTGACCCGAATATGGGTTGCGCATCTTCCTTATAAGGTAATAATTACGCGCACGAACACACACACACACGCGACAGATACAAATGCGCATTACGAGTTCGCGTAAATTCTGACGTATACAACTTCCAAACGTGTAAAATCAGAGGGCGGTTACTCTTTTTTTTCAGATATGAGCGATGACCTAATACTCTATGATATTGCAGCTTATGTCACATATGCGAATAATAATATATCACAAGAAACCAGAATATTACAACCGGGAAAAATGAATTGGAAGAAACTAATTGCGTATTTCTCGCCTGTGTGTTGTTAAATCAGCCAATTAATAAACCACCTCTATGGTGCGCGCAAATTGTGAGGCAAAATTCCTTTGTAAGCAGGACAATTCTACTTTTTAAACGCGCTATTCTCACCAAGTCCATAGTCGAAACCTAATTGCTAGAGTATTGTAAAATAATGAAAGAAAGAATGCCATTATAACAACTATTTTTATATCGGGGAGTACTAGGATATTGTACTGCAGGTCATCCTTGTATACATTTCTGCACACTTCGGATCCGCTTGTGGCCCTTGCCACAAGGATACTCGAACGAGATAGTATCAATTTTATATCATTCATGCGATTTATTAGTATTTATTTACGCATTGACCTTTATTCCGAAATGGACTCTCGACACCCTAAACACTTGATCTATCCGTGCTAATTTTTAATACGATTCATTCTCTTTTATACATCGTTTACTCGCGCCTTTCCCTTCGGACAAGCCCAAGCAGTCATACCGAGATATGTATGTATGTATGTTTATTCGTCTCGTAATAGTGATACATAAATAAATAAGCTCTCCGTGGACTTGGTTCATTTTCGAAGATATCCAAGCTATACAAGTGCGCAATTTCATCAATCTATTTCGGTTGGTTCGTTCGGAGGAAGGATGATTTATATTTTATAGTATTCCGAAAAACGTCGGTTTATAACTAGGACTGGGAATTTCAGGTGAAACACTTTAACCGTTAACCAGGCAAAATCAACCGGTTAATCGCATCGTGACGTTTGGCCTGATAATTTTACTCTTTTACTTCACAATGGTTACAAAGCAATTTCGCGTGATCTTATCCGGGTATCGCTCAAAATTATTCACGAATGAAGATAGTATCATGATCGCTCTGCTGCAAGAGATATGCAACGTGCTTCGGACATTTGAAAATATTTTACTAAAACCCGAATCCGTTTTTAAATGTCATTTATGTGACAAATTTTCAGTGTTCGGCGTGCAAATTCTACTCTGAGATATCATGAAGAAACACAGCATCGACTGCGCACTTGTTGAATGACATTGAATATACGATTTTGCAATAAAAAATGGTGAACAATATATTTCGACCGAAAACTGATTCTGAATTTATCATTGTCAAATGTTCATAATCAGCAATCTTGGTACTTCAATTATTTTTCACATTTATCAGGTCCTTACCATGCAGTTAGTGATATTCTTTCGAATTTTCAGACATAAACTGGTACTTCCATGAACAGTTTACCAGTTACATTTCCTTAATAATTTACATTGAATAATCAAAATCTAATAAATACTGCCTCACTTCTGAAAATATACTCTGAAGTTCACAAATATGTTAAATCTTGTAACGCATTATCGCTTTTATATTTCTCTATTTTAATGTTGTTTCCACGATTTAAATTAATTTTGAACTCAATCTATATCTTCAATGATTATCTGAACTGAATTATATGTGATTCAGAATCATGGGGGCAAATTTAAGTCAGATGTGTTTTTCTAACGTTTCGTTGGATCATAGCAAGAATTCTTTGAACAAACATACTTATGATAAAAAAGCAACCGCAAGTAAACATGCACAGTGAGAATCGCGCCTGGTATGTTGAAGAATCAATGAAACTTTTGAATGCATCATTAACAGTGGGGGAACTTGGATGATAAAGCTGATTGAAAAGTATTCAGCGGATTTATATTGAGTAATTTATGTCAATAAGTATGGCATTATCTCTTTTCACGAAATAACAGGTATATTTGTAAGCTTTCGTTAGATCATAGTCTAACTCCTTTAGACAAACAAGCTATAACTGCAGATATGAATGTTTTCTGATCCTCATGTCCAAAATAGTTTGCAGTCGTCTATAAATCTTCGGTATGTCTTAATAATCATTATATTCTCATCGAAGTTATCTGGCACAATAAGACAAATATATTTTCCTATTGTTTCGTCTGACCAATTTCAGACATACATGATTCCACTGTAACAACAAAAGGCAAAGCTGTTAAATTACAGTAACGTGTCACCAATCTAGTTCTATCAAATTCGAGTACCAAGTCAAGTCGAATCACTGTTGCTACTATCTAAAAGTCGAGTCTGGCCTGTCCTTATAGATTCCTTAAACAATGATAAAATGGATGGATGAATTGTCAATCCTGACTGTGCACAATGCGCTGCTCCTAATGCGACCTCGCATTGTGTCCAATGCGCTGCTTTAATGCGATCTCGCATTGTGCCCAATGCGCTGCGCCTAATGCGGCTTCACTGTGCCCAATGCGCTGCTCCTAATGTGATCTCGCATTGTGCCCAATGCGCTGCGCCTAATGCGGCTTCACTGTGCCCAATGCGCTGCTCCTAATGCGGCCTCACTGTGCGTAATGCGCTGCTCCTAATGCGCTGCGCGCAATGAGACTTTTAGGCTACCAACCCCTCTCAACACGTGCGCACAGCACGTGCAGCTGTAAGCGCGTTTTGACAGCTTTATACAAGCATGACGCTGTAGCGAGGGTATCAATATATGATAAGTTGCACGTGTGTGTTGCATCATCCGCTTATTCCTGCTGTTTTTCCGTTCTCGTATCCGCTTCAGGCGCTTGTTATTATCAATATTCAGATATCTTTAAAAAGTCGTATAGGTTGCTTGCATACGAAACAATGCTGTCGTTAAATGATCGGTAGGGAAATCTCAGAATCTAGTGGACCGGATATCATCAGATAGTATACCTTCCAAAATCAAGAATGGAAGAATCAAAAATTCATTTTTCGGTATGGGATTATGTTGTATTTGCTTTGAGTCTGATTCTTTCTCTGGCGATCGGCCTCAGATATGCTTTCACTGGAGGAAAACAAATGACAACATCTGAATTCCTGATGGCTGACAGGTATGAGATTACTTCACTGCATTACAAGACGTTTATGCTTATTAATTTGGCCCAAAATGGGGTCCAAAATAAATGAATAAATCCAAAATAAGGCGGGCAAAATTAAATCTAATAATTATTTTAATTAGCTTCATCCCCCCTCAAAAAATTTGTATACGCCCCGCCTCTTGAGAATCACTGTTCTAGAAAATATAAAGTTTCAGTTGTAGGAGATAATTTAAATAATTCATCTTGTCTTTTATTTATAGAAAAATGCGATATGGTCCAGTTGCATTATCACTTATGGTGACCTTCATTTCTGCAGTCAGTGTTCTCGGAGTTCCTGCTGAGATATTTGTGAATGGGACGGACTACTGTTATCTCGCAGTGTCATATTTCCTATGCTTTCCGATTGTGTGTCATATATTTATACCTGTCTTCTATAAGCTCAAAATAACTTCAGTTTATGAGGTGAAATCTCCCAAGTTCAAGTTCTTTTCCTTTGTTTATCAGAATCATAGTTGGAAAAACTCAAGTTGACTTGACTTCAGTCACTTCAGCAAATTGACTTAAGTCACTTCAGAGTTAAAGATAGAATGACTCAATTTGATAGACTCCAGTCACTTCAGATTGGCTTCAGTCATAAAAGGCAACATGGTCCAAGTGATGACATATGATGATTTGTGTGGATTTGACTTGACAAGAAGGAAATTGGTCTAGACTGAGCTCAAGCTCAAGTTGATTTCTTTTTGGGTATGACTCGTAATAAGGGTTGGTCCTATGAATGAAAGATTAATTCATTTTGAGGTAATATGATAACATATGGGAGACATTTGAGGATCACACATGTTAAATATCAATTTAATATAGATGTGTGTTCATTTTATTAAACATATTCATTCAGAAATTATTCATATTTTTCAGTATCTTGAGCTGAGGTTCTCTAAGTCTGTTAAAATATGTGGAACAGTCGTGTATATGCTTATGCTCATCATCTATATGGGTGTTGTTTTATATACACCAGCTCTAGCTCTGAACACAGGTAAGTTTCATATTCTTGTTTTTCCTTGGCCGAAGGAAATATTGATTTCCCCCTAACTCTGTGGTATATTTATACCAAGATTCTAGAAATTGTATGACCGGATATATTTATGGTATTTCTGTGAAGAAAACCGTATTAATCTTATCATTTATTTTGTTTTCAGTAACAGACATTAATGTGTGGATATCAGTAGTTGTTCTATGTGCGGTGTGTACTGTATATACTACCCTTGGCGGTTTGAAAGCAGTTATTTGGACTGATGTATTCCAGGTACAATTTATATGATTTTTTTTCCGATCATAAACATTCTCACAGACTCGAGCATGTAGTGTATAAGAATGTAAAACATACGAGAGCAACGCTCCCTTTTTATTGATCTCTTGCTTGGTAGAACAGATCGTCATAATCCTATTTTAATGATAATTTTTAAATCAGCAAAAATTGATCCACCGGTAATTTGATTGAACAATGTTTTATGATTTTTAATTCTGAACAAGGCTCTGTGCAAGCAGCCATTTATAGAAGTAATGTTAAACTATTTTTGAATCGATTGGAACCTTCTTAGTGTGGTTTTGCACAAGCCTACCCAATTTATTTGTGGGATAGTGGAAGGATTTGGAAAATAGATAAAACATACTATGTAGGTTTAAAAGTAGTTTAAAAGTAAAAGATAAAATAATTTAGAGATAATCTATTCACCCATATCCGAAGTAAAATAATTGTCAAATAAAAGTCTGGATGAAGGCTGAATTTTTCGGCATATTTTATTAAGATACATACCTATCATGAGATGATAGGATGGTAATTCGAAAATAAATTTTCCAAAATGTTTTTGATCCTTATTTCAGGCAACTGTGATGTTGGGTGGTCAAGCTATTGTTCTTATTCTCGGTGTTGTAAAAGTAGGGGGAATGGATGAAGTTTGGAGAATAAATACAGAAACAGGAAAGCTGTCTTCAATTTCGTGAGTATTATTATTTACTCTGGATTTTCCAATAAATTTAGCTGTTAAAATTGATCCTGGTTTGTTTTTAGTCACGAATAGATTTGCAATATTCTGAGTTGGCCAGTACTAGAAATGAATCACTGTTTTCGGCCATGATTGATAGTTCTTCTATTGCTTGATACGTTATTGATAATTCCTTGAATTGTAAAAAAAATTGAGAAGGTAGAGAATAAATAGATATGTCAGATGTGCTTTTGTCAGAGGAAGTCTAGCGTATATTCTTGGAAGAACTGATAGATTCCCAATCAACCCTAGGTGGTGTTGGGCATTGGGTTTGAGGTTATCTCGTAGTATGTGTACCAGGTTAGGGTTAACCCATAATTTTATTCTAATTTTCCTTATTTTAGTTATATTACATGTTCGGGGACTGTCTGTGTTAGCCAAGTGAATATACCCCCTGCCCATAGGTTTCAGCCCCTTCACACGCCCATTTTTTCGAGAAGTCCTATTGTGTATTCTTACATATCAGTGATTGGTGGTACATAGCCTTGTGAAATTGTGAAAGTGCCTCATGAAAAATAGAAAATTTCACATAGTGGCATATTTTTCAGAATGAATCTGTACACTTGATACTCTTGAGAATAGCAAAAAAATTGTGTTCAACGTATACTCATTGGCGTCCTCTGATTTCTGTCAAGATTTATCATGCTTTTTCTATTAGATTTTCATATTATGAAGTATTAAAGCAATGATCTTTACTATTTTCTGTACAGATTTAATCCTTCTCCGTTCGAAAGACACACATTTTGGACTTTGGCGATTGGTGGAGCTTTCATGTGTTTATCTTTGTATGGAACAAGTCAAACTGCTGTTCAAAGATATTTGAGTTGTGAAACCATGAAAGACGCACAAATGCAAGTTACTTCTGAGTTTTTCTAATAAATTTATATTGTTGAATGGAGCTTGAATTAACTTTATAAAAAGGATTATTTGTAAGATTTGCGATGTTATTGCAAATCGATTCAGCATTTAATGGCGTTCAACTCAACATAGTATTTAGGGGTTGTAACGACCCAATTATATACAGTATACAAGATTATATATGCGGTTGCAACGGAAAGGGATTGGATTTACTCACATGTACCAGATATGTCTAAATTAAGAACTCATTTCAAGGGCCGCACACCATTTAAAACTGGCACTACTTCGATGACTGCATTAATTTGGCCCATGGGCTGCAGGTTGCACACTTCTGATATACAGTATACAAAATATACATGCAGTTGAGTAAGTTTTATTACTTATAGATTTTAATCGGTAAGTATGTTGATAGGTATTTGTCTGTCTGTATGTTTGTCTGTTAGATGCACGCGATATCTCACGAAAGCGAGATTGAATCTGCTCCAGATTTTGCATGTGCATTCATCTTATCTAGGACCAGAAGCCTATTGATTTTGGGCGAATTATGTCGTATAATTAGTGAGTTATTAATTAATTAGTGATGGGACACAAGGTGTCACTATGGAGTAAGAGCTCTGTTTTGGGGGATCCCCTAACTTTCGATCGATTAGTCTTCGGTCTCTGACCGATATTCTCGTTTTATATAAATTGTCCATACTAGAATATACTGTGTATGAATATGTATTTTTGCTATTATTATTTTTACCAATAATGTAATTCAGTGGTATTTTTCTTCATTACAGAACTGCCTATCTCAACGTACCTCTTCTAATCATTGTTATGATTATCAATGGATTGCTCGGCCTTACTGCATATGCAACATACCACTGTGAAAATCCATTAGCCACGGGTGCAATATCTAAATCCGACCAACTTCTGATTTTCTACATGTTAGATGTATTGAATGGGTATCCTGGTTTACCAGGTATTTTTGTCGCTTGCTTATTCAGCGCCGCTCTCAGTACGATTTCATCATGTTTCAATGCACTCGCTACACTTACAATGCAAGATCTTGTCCAGCCCTTTGTTGATTTGTCAGACAGGTGAATTTTTTAAATTTTTTATGTTTAGAAATTCATAGATCTTTGAAAGTACCAGTACTTCATTCCATATTTTTTATTTCTTTCCTGTTTTATTCACATCGGCATGTTTATCAGCAAGGACGTCGAGAGAATATACAATCGACTTCCGGTTGAAAATAACTTTGGATCCAACTCCGGGTTAAGAGAAGTTTTGAAGACTCCATCTCTAACCTCCGAGAAATTCAAATGTGATAACAAAAACTTTGACCTTATGCAAGTCTCCTTCAATAAACTGTTAGGAATGCTTAATAAATTTGATGGTTTTTGGGAATTTCTGTAGAAAGATTTAGACTTTTTTAATCGCTATTAAAAGACATTACAAAAAGGAAGGTCGATATTCGAACCATTCCATATAAATAACATTTGACATTCGGTAATTTTTTTAAAACTACTTTTTTTTATCAAATCTTTCACAAAGGAAGACAACAGTTGATAAATTTTGGAATTACTTGCTCTGACTTTACTATATGACCACATTTGAAGTTATCTCCGAGATTTGCTAAAGAAAACAAAACTTCTCTTTTGTTCAGGAAAGCTGTTTTATATTCCAAAGTTCTGGCGTTTGGATATGGTATTGTCTGTCTTTTGATGGCAGGTATTGCATCAACAATGGGTAGTGTTTTGATTGCTGCTATCAGTATTTTTGGTATTATTGGAGGTGAGACTTCTCATATTTATCAAGATGCTGTGATCAGAAGGGAAGGCAAATTTTCATTGGTTGCCATTATTAAGCTTTTACAGAAGTTTGATTGGTCATCTGGCTTTTATATAACATTAACCACAAACAGAGAGAATAATGCTAAAATATATAATATAAATTTGTGTGAATTTTGAGCATAATATTGGCTCGATAAAATTTTGAGAAAAAGTGAATGTGACAGCCTTACAGCAACTATCTTTAATAAACATAGATAATTTGATATCATTTGGTCCATTATTTGCGGAGAAAAGCGATTTTTCACAGCGATAACAATTTTGCAAAACGAACCGTACGTTCATATTATTTCAAATAATGAATAGCCTCAGATATTGAAATGAGCAAGTCTTTATGCTATTTTTTCGGTTTATATCCTGAATGACACTCAATTATCTTCCAGGTCCTCTTCTTGGTTTATTTGTACTTGGGATGTTTTTTCGAATTGCTAATACCAAAGGAGCACTGATTGGATTTTTCACTGGATTGGTTTTCATATTTATTGTCGGATTCGGCAGCATTTTTTATTTTATTTTGGAAGTTCCAAAACCTACATATGAACTCAGAGATGAAGTGAGTATCTTGGATAGGATTTACATATTTATCCCGGGGAAGAGGGAAGCCGATAAGATATCTTAATTACATGGAGAACTACAGCCTCTAGTGCGGTTTATGGGGTTAGTTAGCTAGTTATTTATTTCAGATGCATGGACTTTGTGGTGGAGGACGCTGTAACAGACCAGCGGTTATGTGAACCACCTTATGGCTGCGTAGTACTGTGCCAATCTTATCAGTTAATATTCCTAAATCTTTTATCAGATTTAGTGGACTTGTAGTTACCTGGATGGCATTCCAATCTATTGCTTTATTATTGGAGATTGCCTTTCGGTATATACTTTTTACTTGAACTAATTGAAGCTATACACATTATTTTTCTGTCTTGTGTGACATTATTTTATAATATCCAAATATCTTTGTAATAAGTATCCAAAATGCTTGTTCAGTGTTCTGGTAGTCAATTCACATATCTAAATGTATTATTTGATTTGAAATTTTTTCATATCTCTAGATTCCATTATAAAAATAGTCGAAATTATTCCTCTGCGAATACCAAATATAACAATATTCCAGACTTACCGTACTTGAATTGGGCTGGGGCCGCCTCATGATTCCTATTATAATATCTTTACTTTATTTCAGACATGCAATTTCACTGTGACATACGACTCAAATTACACAACCGAATCAAATCTAAATATTTCTATGAATTTGTATAATATTACCAACACAACTCAACAAACTGTGATCCATGAGAAACCTAAATTATACGAAGGTTTTTATTCCATCTTCAAATTATCCTACCTATGGTACAGCGGGATAAGTGGACTTGTTGTCATCATTGTCGGCCTTATTGCAAGCTGGATTACATGTAAGTGCTCTCTCATTTTCAACATACTAATAACATCGTGCTTTTTTTAACATTTGCTTTTTCCCCTATCTTGTCAAGACTTGTTTAACTTCGCGCCACAGTTCACTTGGCACTCCAGTCTCCTCTGCTTTGAGTGTATGTTACATTGATTTGAAATTTTCGTATAAAAAAACTGTTAAGGTCTTGCTTATGAATGAGACTATTGTTTGATTCCTGCTATAGTTATGTGGTTTGTTTAATCACCCCTCGATCAAGTCTTCTTACAGAATCGGATCTAACAAATTTGATTAAGTTATCAGCAACTGGTTTTTTATTCCCAACCATAGCCTTCACTGGGAGATAGTAGAGAGATAATGATTGATTTTTGCTTTCTGACTTGATGTAAAGTAGCCGAACAGAATTAGTCACCTCCATATTGGTACATGTCATATTTCTGGATTTTATTTATATGCGTGCATTTTATTTTATACTATGTGCATTAAATAAATATTGAATATAAATTGAGGACTGTTTCTTTGATTTGGTGGTTTATATAAGAAAGTATTTTAACATTTTTGATGTGTTTTAAATTGCCAATAAACTTTTACTTTTTTTAGCGCGATGCGATGAAACTGACAACATAAATGAAAGAACACTTCATCCTTTGGTCCGAAGAAAGCAAATCAAAACAAATTTATCAACAGCACCTCTAGTTGAAAACAAGAATGCTAACGAAACTGGCATTCATTTAAATGTTTTATTAGGTCAAGAAAATGATGACATGAAGTCTGTGGAAACACAAAGTTTTCTTGAGCGCTCATGAGAGTAAGATACGTAGTAACATTTGTACTAACTTGTTGACCTTCTGGTTACATTTCGTGCCAAATCCAGTTAATGTAATTTGTCTCGTGAGTGGCATTTCTCGCAACATTCATAACAAATGCCTCAAATACTTAGTCTTTCAATACACAATCCAATCTACAAAAGGAATGAATGAAATTTTGATTTTTTTTACATTATCAAAATTATGTCATCTGCCACCTTCAAGAATTGAGGAAATTGAATGTTTTTTTGGTAATTTCAAAAAAGTACATGTGGCAAGTATGACGATAATGCTGTAAAGTTAATTGAAATTAATTGCAAGCGGAATTGTAGTAACTTGAACTTTTTTATATGATCACCCTAATGGGTCATGACATTTTATGTAGAAATTTAAATTATCTTATTATTTACACCATGTCAAACGTACTTGTATGTTTTGCCTTATGTTGAATTATTTTTACCTACTCTTTCCATCGTATTTATTTAGTTCATAATTAATTATTTATTTAAGTGCATGCTATATGCATAGCAAAATAAATGAAATGCTCACTTCCGCCAAAGTCTTGAATTTTCATACTCAATTAAGACTCGTTTATACACACCTTGCCCCACTATTTGTGTTCCAAAAAATGAAAAATACTTTGAATAAGTTCATGTTTGTTGGCCTAAATACACTCGTTGCTTCTAGTTTAGTTCAATCATGCCTTTATTTATTTACTTCTTACATAGTCCATATGCATAAAGGAGAAGAATTTTTTGTGCCAAAAAAATCCGTACTAACCCACTTATCTGTGTGTTTTTGTGTCGCTTGGACAAGTGGTTTGGCATTGGGTTTCTTTGCTCGGTTTGTCTTTTGGACGGTAAGTGCGAGATATCAGTGAGGGATATATAAGCACGTAATAAAGAATATCGCGGCCGGTAGCGATTTTTGCGTTCCGCCCTCGTCTAGTCGCTGATGACTAGCCGCGAGGATTGCTACGGTGGTCAGACTTGGCGTAAGAAATTGGCGGCAACAAACTGATCAGATGGGAGGAAGTATTCAATGCTGCTTTGTTTTATCCGGCATAATTGATCGAGGTTAAGATCAGCAGTTCTCAGCCTTGATTATACTTGTGTCATATTTTTAGCTCGAAAAAAATCTTGGGCTCACGGAACCTTTAACTGAAGATTATAGATGTATACATTACAAATGTATTTTTATGAATATGACAAGCTCGTGAAATTGTCAGTGACCCAAGAGGTCGTGGCTCGCCATATGATTAGGCCGCCCTATTGGCATTTCCTTTCCCCTGTGATAAATATGCTAATCCTTGTGTATAGGATAGGATTTACATATTTATCCCGGGGGAGAGGAAAGCCGATAAGACGGCTTATCCATATGGCGAACCACGGCCTCTCGTCCGGTTATCATTCCAAGTCGGGCATGGGATTAGTTATATTGTTTTTCGGAAGCATGGACTTGGTGGTGGAGGAAGCCGTAACCGACCAGCGGTTACGTTAACCACCCAACGACGGCGAGGAGTCCAGCAATCCTCTCGCACATAACCATCCCTGCATGGGATTCGACCCTGCGAACCCACGCAGAGTAATTAGAGGTGCGGTGGCGAGCGTATTCCTAACGTTGAGCCACACCGCCGCGCCTATTTTACAACTTGTCACGTTGAACTTCCAAACCCTTTTAATTTGTAATTGATGACTTTTCTTGAGACCCACTTCAGGTCCAATGAAAACCCTGGGCCGTTTTCAGGAAGATGTGTTAGTTCTATTTCGCTATAAGGCAATGACTGGCGATAGTTTCCAATCAATCCCATGTAGCCCACCGAATTTTTTAAAAGTAGTATCCTTCTAGCGAAAAATACAATCTTTAACCACTGTGATTTTCAAGGTTCCATTACATTTGAACCCACGTACATTTGAACCCACGAAGATTGCACCTATGGAAATGTTTGTTGTTTTACGGATATTTAAACCCATACTAACCCTAACCCATGGATTTAGCACCCGCATATAGCTTGAACCCGCGAATATACACATGGGTTCAAATGTACGGTCACCGATTTTCAAAGCAACTGGTCCGGTAGTTGAAGAGAGGCGATTCTTTCATAGCGATAAGAAGAAACATACGAAGAGTAAGAACAACAACATACTAACAAAACGATCCATGTGTGCACTGCGCGTCCAACAAGAGAGCGATGCTCAGAATTTGTACACGAAATAGCACAGGTAAGCAGGCTGATCGTTGCGGCAACAACGTGAAACCGCCACAAGGTGCGCACTTTTTAACTTTGAGACGTCATCGCACACAAAAACAAATTCCATTGAGCCCACAGTAAGTAATTGCCTACTAACGAAAAATACAAACTTTAACCAATGAAAATTTCAAAGTAATTGAAGAGCAGAGCGTTTCTCCACAACAACATAATAACAAAACGATCTGTATATATATCTACTTCGTGTCCAATAAAAATTCATCTGCTGGATGATAGTTCTTTATACTATTGAACATATTGTGTGGCTCGGCAACAAACGGAATCTTCTGAAGGTCTACAGACTTGTCGAGCATACTTGTTGTACTTGTGACAAAAAGCTAACATGTATTATTTAACATTACCCTTATTACACCGACCCGATTGAAATTGACGTACGCTCTAAAAAACATGTCCAGATGGATATACGTCCTACAAACGACGTGGAACAACGTAGCTCACAATCCCTTGGAGCGAGGCCAACTAGTCCAAGCCAAGACGAACTAATATCAAGATTGAAAAATAGCCTCTGGGCAGAAAAGCTGAAATTTCATAGCCTGAGCTAAGATCTATTACATAGTTAACACTCAATAAACGCACCTTGCTACATAATGAAAATTTAATTTGTAGTATTTTCACCATATTTCAAAAAGGTGACAGAAACAAAATAACCATCATAAGAAAAAAGTAAGGCAAAAATAGAGACCAATAAATCGAAAATGGAAGATAAAGCCGCTATGAATCAACGCGTCATGTATGACTTAAAAGCAAATGTCTTATAGTCAGCCTAAGCTAGGCTACTTAGATGAAATATACATGTTTTTTTACTTTTTGTTGAGATTGTTTATTTCAAATGCCAGCCCAGTCTCGGTAGAATACAAATTGAAACTTTTAAGACGATGCTATTTATATACACCTTGGTTTATAACATAAAACTATTTTTGTAAAGGCATAAAAACGATTTTAATATAACGTGGATACATTAAAAAAATGATAATAATAAATAGCATCAAGCTACGGGAACAAGCATGATTAGTGGTCAGGTTTGGGACCATTAGATACTGTATTTTATCCTATACTCTTGTATGTTTAGCTTTGCAGTAATTTCTTAATTATATCAATGCAAAAGTTTTGTCTTTCCTAGTGTGTGCTAAATTTTCTATGGCATTGAAGGTAAACGAGAAAATCAGATCCCATAAACAGGGCCGCTGTAAAGTCAGTTTACCTACAAAGAAACTATCGTGAACTAATAATACACGCGATACACTGAAGTCACGTTAACGCACAACAGGCCAATAACGTCTAAAATCCGTCATATATCTGGTTAAATAAGCTAGCGATGATTGCTTTTGCAAACCATGTCGTTGTCGAAGGCAAATAAAATCCTGTATATGCCGGCAATCTTCATATAAGTACTTATTAATATCTAGCATGTCGGTGACTGTGGCTATGATAATCTTGATGTGGGTGAGGATTTGATCCATTACTGGTTGTATTATGATATTCGTATGAATTTCTGTAGCCTTCATTCACTCGCCCGTTGCTTCTTGATCCGTCTAAAATAAAATAAAAACTTTAGGAATTGTACATTTCACTAAATTTTATTTGTTGAAATTCTGATAACTGATTTATTCAGTCCTAGTTTTCAAATATATTACTTGTTTCGGTCAATTCTCCTATATTTTGGATGTCCTTGATAGTATGTTTTAAGACAACATAGAGTGTGTGATAGGAGCCATTGTATGCCAGTCTTGCTTTATTTAAAACCTCACTATAGGTCGTAGAATGGATAAGGGCCGAAAACGACGAATAATCAACGTTCAACAATAAAATAAACTGCAGTATTGCGTGCCATATCTAATGTTATATAACTTGACTCGAGAGTTGAAAAACTTGCTTTTATATCCAAGTTGGTATTTGTGGTTTAGCATAGTCCTCTCGATCTTAAACAGAAACTAAAATCGACAGAGTTATGATTGATCAAAAAAGTATTAAATGAAATCTACAAACCTCTGCTTGATTTATGTGATCTACCATCTATTACTCTGTGTTTTTCATCAATTCGTCTACCGCCTGTATGATATTCTAAACAGATATTATATGTTATATTTTTGACATTTCCAGAACGAACAAGTTCGGCAATTATATACATTAAAGGGCGCTCCCGAAGTATGTGAACCAAGATGGCGCACAACCTGAACCCTAACCTGGTACAACTACTATGTTCAGGTTGTGCGCCATCTTGGTGCACATACTTCTGGATGTCTCATTAAAGTTATATATAAGATGAGAAATCAAAGCTCAGATAGATGACCACGTGGGTCAAGTTATCGCAATGTCAGCAAAATTACAGTCGAAATCTAAAAGAATTGTATAGAATGGTACATATGAAAAACCAGCAGCATTTGGGGTGAAAGAAAGAGCCCAGTGGGGGAGGGGGAAAGAAAAATAATAGCCCTAGAGCATCTGTTCTACCTTACATGTGGTGAACTAAAAATGGCAAATCGATTCGTCAACAACAACTACTCCAGTTAGAACAAAAACAATTCAATTAATCACTAAGCCCTATTCGTGTCCAAAATGCCACGACACAAGTCAACAATCAATACGATAGAAATAATTTATATATATACCACATTACCGAAAGGACATGTACCGATTTTTCAATACGTGGCAGAATATGAAAATATCAAGTGAACAAGTTACCAAATATTCACTTAGAATTGGTCAATAGACAAAATCACTTGGATTCTATATAATATTTTTGATGAGCAGTTAAAAAAAAATTACGCCGTACGACGACATGTGTTACCCGGAAAACAATGTTTAGTAAATTCCAGCCCAAAGTTAAAAATTGTACCAAATCAAAATTGAGGCGTGTTTCGAGTGCCATATAGGGTCCAAGTGAATTAAAAAAGTCAACATTTGAGGTGAAACATCGAGTTCCATATCACCAATGAAATTTAAAAACAAAGTGAAGTATTCTATTTGTCTTCTAGCAGCTTATTCTATTTTTAGTAATAAAAATTCGAAATCGATACGTTATTTAGTTGCCGCGAAAAGCGATTTTATCACAAAAACAACAAACTCCAACAACATAAAAAAAAAACATAATACGGCAAAACGATACATATGTGCGTTTAATATCCAACACGTTTGAGCAAGATGAGGTTAGCTTAAGTTTATTTTTTTCAACCAGTAAAAAGACAAAAATCTAGCAAAAAATGATATTTACATTACAGGGGAAGGGAAGCCGCGGGAAACCAAAACTGGTTATCGAGCAAAGACACCCAAGGTTCTAACATCCAATTCAACAGGTAGGGAAGGAAATTTTCAAATATCAATTGTAAATACATATGCATTTTGCAAATTAGCCAACCAACATCAATTATTAAAGATTATTACTAGAAATTACCGTGTATTGAATGAGCCAAAATACCAGCGAATAACCGAGGAATTCGCGTTTGCACTGAAATGCGAATGTTATTGTTCTGCAGAATAGCTGGGGAATTTTGAAGGCAACCTAGCCATCAACGTGGTTGTAAAATAGGAATATAAGTGTGTACTAACCCGTAGCATCATAACCACTTGTCTCCTGTGAACGTGTTGAATGGTGTGATTGTTTCTTATGTGAAGTCACTTCCGAAGTTACAGTCACATGATCGGATTTTACTGACGATTTATGCCCCGGTAGATTACTTTTTCTGGAAAATTAAAATTACCTCGTGAATATCATCGAAAACATAATATTATAGTGTATTGCGCAACATAAGCAGCTTTACATGGTGATGTCCCACTGATCTTACGGAAGCAACACTTATATATATTTATTTACATTTAAACAGGGTATACTTTCGTAGCATAATTTTCGCCTTTGCTTTTGTAATTGAAGCCAAATTGTGTTTGTTTAACTGTGACTCGGCGGAGCCGTTAGTTGATACGGCGCCTCTCACTACAAAAGACCAGACATCTAGATCGATAACTGAGTATTAACGATAAATTCATCCTGAGTTTAAGCCTTGAAAAAACTTTAGGAATGCCTCATATTATCTTAAATTCGTGTTGCCCATTAAATGAAAAATAAATTGTGGGAGGTGTGCTAATGGCAAAAGATTCTGTTCCTCTTTTTAACGACGATAGTTCCGTATCCTGTGGTGGGGTACATCTACAGAAGTTGCCGGGGTGAGGGTACGAGAACACGTTGTAAATTTTATAAATTACGGAACAGTAGAAATACATACTTTTGATAAGCAGAGTACGCGGGAGGAAGATGCTGATTGAAATGTGTAACTGTTTTTCCCGGGGGTCTGTCTCTTACCGGTGATGAAACTCTCTTCTTCTTCTCGTTTTCGGCAAACTTACGATCTGCAGCTGCGTTTTCATCCTTTTCCTTCGCCATTTCTTCTATAGATTAAATACAAATTAATTAAAAAGCTGAACATTACTGAAATATATAGAAGTGTGCGCCGTTAATTATTCATAATGGTAAAGGATGCTTTAGTATATCAAAGTCAGAAAATGTACACACTCCAGGTTTGGAGAAGTTAGAATTTAAAATTCTGAAAGTCATATTTCTAAGACTTAAAGTACTTCCAAAAGTCGATTTTTCGCTTCCGTGTTTTCGCTTCCATCAGTATGTTAGAGTTAGCACTTTTTCCAGCGATTCATTTCTCAATATGACACCATTCGCTATCATAAAAATCTACTAAGATGATATCGAAGGAAATTACCAGCCATAAAATCTAATTAACTGTTATCGTTTGAAACGCCCTTTCCTGTGTATTTAAGATATGAGACAATTGTTTGTTACTGTTGCGACTACCTGCTGAGCATCTAGTCATATATGAGAGACAATCAGACGTTATCACTACTACCGATTATACCTTTATCAATCTGGAAATTCGGAATCCACATGTGATTTATATAAAACTATATAAATGCAGTATGGATTGGACAATCAGTAATCAAATGACTTAAAGTTACAATCATTAGAAAACATATTTGTGTTGTTCCTTTTATTAATAAAATGCTTCAGCGATAGTAGTGAAAAAATAATTCCGATAAACATAAGAGATTGCCTCAGAACATGGCTTGGTTTTGGAGATTTGTTCATATTATAAAGATATTAAATCATATTTGGAATTTGATGGTAACCCTGTAATAATGTACTGCACTTACGTCGTTTCTTTTTCAAATCTTTATTATTTTTATTACAAGGACACTTCTTTCCTTGCCAGCAGCACCCAACAACACAAGCCAACAAGACGATTAATACTATAGGTAGAACTATCGGGAGAACTTTCGCATCTGCAAACAAAATTTGAAGTTGTTTTTATTCCACATACGAAACATTTTATAAAACACTCGCACGATGAAAATCTGTGCAAAATAGCATTGCATGATTTTTTGGCAAAAAAAAGTGGTATGGTTCCCTATCGTTAGATCGTCAAATACCAAATCATACTAGAAATTTGTAGTTTTTGTGTAATACCAATATGACAGTTTATGCCCAAACATAGTACTGTACGTGCACGTATCTATGTGACATATTAAAGTTATATATAAATCGAAAAATGAACACAGATTAGAGATGAATTGTCAGCATATTCTTCAGTCGATATGCGTAAGCATCAATAACAGTTGCAAAAATATGAATTCAACTGTGATTCATGTAGAGGAGGAATCAAAGAATTTGAGATGTACGCCGACAGGGGAGGAATAAAAAAAGAATTCTAATATTTAAAATGTCGTTTCCGCATTTTACTCGATATTGGCCGGCATCTCAATGCTAGATATACTATCGTCAGATATTTTATCAAATTGTATATTCAGTGAGTGATGCTTTATGGAGATCGGAATTAAATATTTTAATAATAAATAAAATGGGAAAAATGGAAAGAAAAATTTTCCTTGATAAAATTGCATTTTTATTCAAGAAAAGAGCAGCTTCGATGGAATAAAATATGACAATTATGCTAAGATGACACAACCCATCTATAGGACATTATTTGTAAACAATGCACTCTTGTTACCATACATACAGTAATACAAATACGATAAACACATGCCAGATAAAATAACCTGCATTTCAGTGTCAGTGACATCGTAATAGGATCGAATTACTGCTTTTTGTAACTCTGTTTGAAGATACGCCAAAATAAAAAGTAAATATTGGGGGGAACTAATTCAGCGTCAGGAATTATAACCATCGTTTTCGCGTATACTATGCGATCACCAATATTACAGAAGCATTCGCATTCCCAACCCCGTTCCCCATTATTAAATCTTGCATGATATAAAATAAACACCACGCTTACCATCTTCTTCGCTGTAATGTCCGTCATTCAATTCTGCTGAAGATATTTCGCAAAACCATAAAAGGAACAAAGTCGCATATAAATATTCAAAATTCATGACTTGACTATAATATATACTTTATATTCACTTAGAAACAATATTTTCTAGCATTTCTACACATAAGCAAAAACACTACCAGACACTAGCGAGCATTTTGAAGAGAAAACATGGAGGAAAAATCACGCTTCCGAGTCCGTTCAATCTAATTTCATACGTTGTAAACCATAATTTATTGCCCGCGGCACATTGTTAAGAGAAACTTATATACTGAACGTGAGACAAGCGTTCTGATAGGTTGAAATTACTATCCAAGTCAAACAAGTTCCGATTGCTATCAAGAGTCTGCGTAAATGCTTGTATTTTATAAAACAGCTTATAATTTATACGTGTTTCGTGGTTCGAGACTTCTATATTAGTTGGACACCGCAAGTCCGCTAGGGGGAAGTGATGGCACTCGACGTTCAACAATTTCAATTCTTAGTTAACATATGTCGCAAAGATTCAATTTTTAGAAAAACTTTCTCAAGTTTCGAGTTTCTGCAAATTAACCATAACCGATAATTTTTTGATGCTTTTCTAACATAAAAATTACAAAACTAAAAAAAATTATTCTTTTCTCAATTGAGCTAAGCATTAGTTTTATCGGTTTTATATGTCAATTTAAACACAAATAAACTTTATTGCGGCATTCTTCTCGCAAAGCCTTAGGTTGGTATGAACCATTATTTTTATAGTTTCACATACTTACATGCATTAAGTATGAAATAATTGACTGTCTGATTCTGTTGTTCGTACCGATTTTGTAGCCAATCTGGGAAATGAACGTTTGCTATAAATATCTACTGTAGATCTACCAGTAATAATAAATGTACTATAATCAAAACAGAATTGTGATTATGCTTCAATATTTGGCAATTTTCTGGATTCAATAGCTTAGTTAGTGTATGGAATAGAGTGAATAGGCCAAGAAGGGTAACCCCTTTTTTAAAAATTTTGGTTTGACTGCATACATCAACAGACCGAACAGCTGCGATGGATGATTCCTCCACTGTTGAAACCAGAAAAATGCTTCCCATTCTCTACCATTGCGAATTTTGTTATTACTCATTTGAAGGTGTTTTCACGAGCTGGCGCGTGCAGGCTGGTTTTGATCATCATTTTGATTTAAAATATTTAGCCTTCTGTCATTTTTAAAAAGTACCGATAGCTGAGTTTACTTTCTAACTGATCTTGTGTAGCGCTGCTGGTCACGAGACTGATTTTTGATTACCGAGCATGAAAATCCTAATTTTATAATCAGTTTTTCGTTTTGTGTTTTTATCAAATATTATATCGTTTGGTATGGTGATTTTGGAGTCGACATAAACTTATACCTCCATCCGTGAAAAACCTTTCTGATTAGTCAATGTTACGGAAGTCAGCGAAGAATTTTCAAAGGTTTGTGCAGAGCCACTCAAACGTCGCAACGCAATCCGCAAGTTGTCGTTGTTGTTTTTATCGCGATATTCGTCGAACTCATACAGTCATGAAAGGTGTTACCGTATATTACCGGTACCTTGCCTCTAACTTACCTATTATATGGCAGCATGGCCATGGTATTCAGAAAGATTTATGAAATGCATCGTTAGTAATTTGGAATTCCAATATTGAAGTATACGCACCGGTACCGTATTTATACATTTTGTAATGCTATAGATTTAAGACTTCTGTCTAAATTCTGAAATTGGTACCGGTACCGGTACCGTAAAACCTGGAAGTCAGCGGTCTTCATTCTGTTATTTCTGTATTTACGCAGCGACCGCAGGGTACGGTACCTAGTGTGCTTCACTGTCTGAAGCAGTTGGAAATTTTCTACCTGGCTTGTGCTTGCAGTAATGTCAAGTAAATTATTAGATTGGGTTACTGTTTTCGCTAGCTGCATGAGCTGGCTAGTGCAGTAGTGACTTTTCCTATAATTTGCGCACAGGATCGTCAAATTGTTATATCGAAATATACAGATACCGGTATATGATCATAATCTACTACCGGTACCGTACCGGTATGTTTCTGAAAGTTGGTCGCCTCGAAGACCATGTTTAGAACTTTTCTATGAAAATACAAGTTCAAGCTGTCGCTAATTTTGGTATGCATGCTGACATGGCCATCCTATTCGTATCACTCCGTTTTGTTATTATAAGACTTTTAGTCAAGAGCATTGCAGAGTTGTATCACTTTTATTCAGCTTTATTCAGGTATTGGAATGTCTGAATGTTGTTCACTCCATCGTTGCAGTATGATTATTGACGTCAAAAACATTCAATTTTACTGTTTTTAACATCACCTTTCTTGTATTACTGTATAACTATTATATTATTACCAAGGTTTCTCAAGCTGGGGCTTCAAGCAAAAACCTTCAAAGTATTTGAGATGAATATATTAATTTAAACTGAAGTACATTTGACTGTAATTTGGTAATTCTTTTGCTGTAATCCATTTATTCTTTTGGTTTTTGGCTTTTTTTACTATTACATGGCGTATAAAATGATAGAAATCCGTTAAAATTAAAACTAGGTGTTCTCATGGTTCATCAGTGGGCCACAAGTGTTCAGAGCATTTGGAGGGGGGGGGGGGGGGGCACATATTGTGAAAGTTTGAGAACCACTGTCTTATACCAAAATCGTTATATATGTTGTTCTCTTTACTGCAGAATCTATTTCATGAATTTTATTGTGAAATGTGTTAGCACACAAAAAGCCAATGATTCTGCAAACTGCTATTCTTAAAAATCTTTTACAATTGCCAGTAATCTCAAATTTCATTCAATCTAAATTCTTGGGGTTTACCCCAGTTTGCTAGCAATTTGAAGCGATTTTGTATAATAAGAATTATAATATTAGTAAACTAATTATTAAATCCCTTCTTTAGAGGTTCTTCATTATAACTCTAGTCAATACTTACAAGATGTTTACTCTCGGTCAAGAGAGGTTTTTGGAGGAATCCTCCAAGCCTCAGCCAATCATGTTCACGGCTGGTGCGGTTTCAATTAGAAATGAAAAAGGTGAAATATCAATGAAAAAAGTAAAAGTCAAGCGATATGTTGCCGGTAAAAAACCTGAATGGGCTCCAGAATTAGATCTCGATAGAGATTCTGACGACGAGGGAGGAAAATTTGAAAATAAAAATTATGATCGAGATGATGTGGATACTAATTATGAAATGAGAGATCAAGGAGAACAATCTCACTCTCAAAAATCTGTTGTCGATAGAAGATTACAAAGACTCATGGATAGAAGTCCGACAGAACAAGAACGAGGCGATAGGTTGAGACATCGGCGCAATTTCGAACCGGAAGTTATCAGTGAAGGGGAAGATTCGGAACCAGAAGAAAGTAAACCATATTCAAAAAAAGTTACAGTTGTTGAAGAGGAAAGCAGTGACGATGAGGATTTAGATGATGATGAAATAGAAAATAGAAGAATGTTGCTTCGACAAAGAGTACAAGCAAAACGACAGACTGAAGAAGAACTTTTCGATCAAGTGCAACAAACATCTGAAGTACATATCAAAGAAGAAGAAATGGATCGAGCGAAAAGCAGTGACGATGATGAAGAATTTACTTCGGAATCCGAATATTCAGATTCCGAGGATGAAGGACCAAGATTAAAACCTGTTTTCGTTAGAAAGAAAGATCGAATAACCATTCAAGAACGTGAAGAAGAAGAAAAACTGAAAAATTCCGAAGAACAAGCTCGTAAAGTCATGGAAGAAAGAAGAAAATATACTTTGCAACTCGTCGAAAAAGAAGCTCGTATGGAGGTTGACGAAGAAAATAAACTCCTAGCAAGTGTTAAAATGGTCGATTCTGACGACGGAAACGATGAGGACGAATATGAAGCATGGAAACTGCGAGAGTTAAAACGAATCAAACGTGACAGAGATGAAAGAGAAGCTGAACAGAAAGCAAAGGAAGAAGCTGAACGATTGAGAAACATGACGGAAGAAGAACGTAAAGCTGAACTTCGTAACAATCCAAAGGTTGTTACCAATCAACTACAAAAAGGAAAATACAAATTTTTACAAAAATATTATCATCGTGGTGCCTTTTATCTTGACGAAGAAGATGATACACTCAAACGAGATATTACGAATCCGACACTTGAAGATCATTTCGATAAATCTGTTTTACCTAAAGTCATGCAAGTTAAAAACTTTGGCCGATCTGGTAGAACCAAATACACACATTTACTTGATCAGGACACTACAGTGTACGACTCCCCCTGGAATCAAGATAACGCTTTGTCAGGCAAATTTATGTCTAATAAAGGTGGCGGAATGAAACAAAATTTCGAACGGCCTTCTGGAAAACAAAGAAAAACATAATATTTTTTTTCTCTGTTGTATTTGGTTTCAATTTGAACATTCTGGTTGGTTATAGGACCAAGATGTGGAGCGAACTGTAAGATTACTAAGTGGCAAACTTATAAGGTTCAAATAATTTTATGTACTGTGCAAACGAACTCTCAATTATTTTTTTTCTTTATGGCTCCATTTCTCAAAAATGTTAGAATTTAAAGGCTTTCACTATGGAATAGAATATTTATTTTGGGTTTTATTGAAAATTTTTATCAATTTGTAAGGAAAGTCAAGGAATGAATTATACAAAATCCATTATCTGTAACCGTTATAAAAAGATATCTCTATTACTATATATTAAGACAAAATTGTCATTCATTTTCAATGGCCATCTCTGGTATGTAATAAACAAATAGCTTTTTATCGTGGAAATATCAACCCTTTTTTGATACATATTGACTACCCGTTCATGAAGTACTTTATATAATAGCGGTTTCTGTGCACCTCGAAAATAAAGTAAAAATGTGGTATTTGGATATTTGCATTTGCAAAAAATACCCTAGTAATTTACAGATATGTAGAGCTTTTCTGAATTGGAGTATATGCCGAAAGTATACAAACTGATCGAATAAAAGCATTTTTGTATGTACATTTCTTCATTTGTTCTAATATAAAGTAATAATAAAAGTAATAAAGTAACGAAATAAACGCATTGTAACATGGAGTGGGTTGCATGCACAAAGACTAACTAATCTAAAACACCAGTGCGGTGTGAGAATACCTGTGGATGAGAAAATACTGCTGAAGGTTTAATACAATTTGGGGCATGCATTGACAGTCAATTTTCTTGCGTGTAAATTTCGAACTCCGTTGCCATACGAAAATAACAACACCCAGGACGTACGAGGTTTAAAAATCGTGCTTTGGCTGCTCAATTTTATGCAAAATATAGTTCCTTTTCCTAAAGTAAATCTTCTCTGTTACCCATGTCCTAGTATTTAGCACATTTCCACGACTCGGCGCATCCTGCGCAGAACTCGTTGGATAGGATTTACATATTTATCCCAGGGAGAGGAAAGCCGATAGGACGGCTTAACCATATGTCGAACCACGGCCTCTCGTCCTATTACCATTCCACGTCGGGTATGGGATTAGTTAGTTATTTGTTTTCGGAACCATGGACTTGATGGTGGAGGAAGCCGGAACTGACCAGAGCTTACGTGAACCGCCCTACGGCGGCGAGGAGTCCAGCAATCTTCTCGCACATAATCATCCCAGCATGTGATGCGAACCCACGCAGAGTAATCGGAGGTGCGGGGGCGAGCGTATTCCTAACGCTTAGCACGATGAGCCACATCTTTGCGCAAGGGATCACGAAAAATAATCTCACCCATGCGGAGGCGATTTTGTTTCTTAGTCTGACTTCGTCCATCTCAGGAATCACCAAACTACGGTCCGCGGGCCAGCTCCGTCACTTCGCGTCCTTTCATCTGGCCCGCAGTAACACGAAAAAATGGCGAAATTATTTTCTTTTTTCGAGCATCGACTTCCTTGTTTATTTCGTAACATTGGCCAATCATCATGGTCGATTTCGCATCCACTCGGACAGATAGATTTTCATTCGTGGTTGTAAACAATAGGGGAAGGTAGGGCACGTTGGGACATGGGGCACAGTGGAAAATCAGCTCTCACACTGATACTATATCCGCAATCCTGTCAGCGGTTCGATGTTTCAATACGCCCTTCGGTGAATTACAACGTCCCCGCGAACGGACAACGGACGGGTAGAGCGGCGCAAGCTATGAGGTGAGAATGGTTTAGGGAGGTTGAAACTAAAAATTCACCGTTTCAGTTTATTCTTTTTTCTACTTTAGCTTTTCCAACATGACAAACCACCGTCTGATATTTTTCAGCTTTAGTCCACTGTAAAATATTCATAACGTTAGCGAGTGGATGTGAATTAACGGCTCAAAATATGCAAAAGAAAAAAAGTGTCCCAACCTTCCCCACTTTCCCCCACCTCTTTTTTGCGATTTTGAATTCTATTCGTTAGTTTTTGGTTGTGTTTCGGACATTTTAGTATGAATCAAATAAGTCAATCATCATTTTGCCTTGTTAGGATTTGTAGTTTAATTGCATTAATCAAAAATCAGTACATCGAACATGGCTGACTGATGCACATTTGTGCATAGTCAGAAACCAAACGTTCAAGAAATTTTAAAAGCTGAACTCCAATTTCACAAGTCACATTAACTTTTGGGTACTCCTGAAGTATGCGCACCAAGATGTCGCACAACATGAACCCTAGCATGGTACACAACCTGAGTTCAGGTTGGCGCTATCTTGGTGCGCATATTTCAGGAGGTCCAACTTTTGTACTGCTTTCATGCGGATATTCATGACAGCAATTGTTTTGCTAACAACTAACCTCAGGATAATTGTTTAGAAATTTTGTATATTTGTACCGATTTTCCAACTTGTAGGCAGGTAAAAATATACCTAAATATCTTGAAACGTTGATAAGATAAAAATTGTAGGAGAATTTTAACATCTTTATTATATCTAACAGACGATAGAACTCAAACTTCGACTTACAATGTTTTATACAACTTCTATTTAAAAACATGTGCAAATAAAGTCATACCAATATGTACAAAATACAAATAAATTCTCAGGTAGGCCGGGTAACTTCTACAAAGCAAAATGTATTTCGAGATACCCCGCAGCTTTCATGATACTGATGCATCACTTTCTTCCTTTATCAAGTCTCCATCAAGTATTTAAAATTCAAATTCGGGTGGTATCAAGTACCATTCAGCCATGCTTTAGCGATCAGCTAAAATATTTGAGCGCAATGGTCTAAATATCATTTTCCACTGGTCCGTACAGAGGTACATTTGTTTGATGATCAAGATGAAGTGCAAAAAGAGTATGGTGACACAGAATCAGCTCGATATAAGACAGTAAAAAAAGATATTTACAAAACTGATAACAATGTATCACATGAGTAGCCCTGAAAGTCTAGAAAAACGTTTAATACCTCTTATAGCCATAAGCGTAGTCAATAATTAGATTGAGGTGTCGAAAGATATACACGACAACGATCTGATATGACTTATAGGCAGGGCTGTCGTCGATATGAACCCAAAAATAAGGACATCAAGAAAACATAGTAATAAGATAACAAAGAACTGAATGTAAAGTGCGACCCGTGTCTAATCACACTTTGCACCAGAAAGGACCAGCAGTTCGTTATTCCTAGAAACTATCTGTTTCATCTGTTCACTTTCATCTACGTCATGAATGCGTGTAGCAATCAATGAAGTTTTAATAATATTTCGAGCAAATCAATCGTTCGAATTTACCAATCTAAGTGCCTGGTAAAAGAACTCTACCTCTAAAATGAAACAAAAATAATTAAACATGTCAAAATAAGGACAAAAATATTTTCTAAGACAAAGACCTTCAAAATAAGGACAATGGACGTAATGGCAGCCCTGCTTATAGGTAATGTTGTTGAATATTTGAATATAAAATGAATATTTCTCGAACAAAAGTCATTCGCTCGGCAAATTTGTCGTTTTCTTTAACTTAAATTATGATGATGGTTTTTGCTCATGCAATTTTTGTTCCGTTGTTGCCGGGTAACGTCTCAAAACGCGCCAGAATTTGTCTTTCCGCAACATTATCGTTTTTATATATTCCTTTTCCACGGTTTTTTCCTCGGCCTGATTTACTGTTTCCTGAAAATAAACGTAGCAAATAATGTAGATGAGATCTACCAATATTTGCACAACATTACAGACAACCAGTTCTCGAATACATCGGGCAGTCGAATCAATGCTGGGGCAGCACTAGTAATTTCCTTACACCTATTGGTGGTGCACTCTTACAACAACTTATTTTAACGCTAATAGCACCCGCTAAAGTTGGACCCCCCCCCCTCAACTAAAATTAAAAAATAGGTAATATACTGGGCAGTACCCATGCAACCTCATACCTATCCATGATGCGCCCCTATGCGAGATTTTGTTCACCTCCGAGCATATTAATTTCTACATAATCTTGATTGTGGCATATTATAATTGAGACTCAGTATCACGCTGTGTATTTTACATTAGTAAACGTGAATTGAACTTACTAGTAGAAAGTTTATCGACAGTTCCTTTCGCATCACACCCAAACCATTTTTCATTCAGATTTTGTGGATATCCTTCATCGACTTTTCTGTCATAATTGTTGAATCGCCAATACTTATTGCCCTTGAAGAAATACGTCTTTCCTAGCAAATAAGACAAAAAGAAACGGTATAACCTGAATGCCTAAGTTGAGACACATGTGAATCATGTCCATCAATATAAATCTTTTTTAATATTTCGATATCGGTCGACTTTTGAATCGAATTTTGTACTGTCGTTCTTTTGGAGAATATCCGATTTTCAATTTTAAAAGCCAATGTGAAAAACCTAAAAAATTCTCGAATAACTTTCAACTTTTAATTAATGCGATGAGTTATTGCGTGCAAGTTAAAAAGTCATATTTACGTGTTGAAAATGTGATAAACATCATCTTTTATTACTCAATTCTGGATTGGAGTATTGTGGTATCAGTAAAGTGCGGTAACCACATCTCCGAATACGACATATAGAGACTACTCCATTCAATTGGTTGAATGTAGGTGATACGTTCCGAACAAAACTTCGGAAAAAAAAGTCGCGACACACTTAATACAAATCAATTTTCAATCCTTATCCATTATGCGTTTCGAAAATAAATAAAATTAAAACAAGGTTTTATGGTTCAATTGTAACAAGTCTTTATCGTTTTTAGCTTTTAACTTCAGTCAGTGCCGAAAATTAATATTCGCAGAATCATGAAAATGGAAAAATTATTTTGTTGTATCATATGTATTGTATGAAAATACAAGTTCTAATAACGATCTAATAACGATAACGATCTGTGTCCAATATTCAGTGTTGTTAACAATATTGGTATATTCAAACCAATTATTCTATGCGAATATAAAATTAGAATATAATTTAACTGTTTCTTGTCCATGTTATTGCAGCATCAATCCCTTCTGGCACTCCTCTCCAAGTTCCTGATATATGACGTGGTCTTGGTACTCTTGTCGAAAATTCGTTGAAGACGTAAAAATTCTTTTCTAGATGTATAACAGTAAATAAATTTTGATACCTTTGATAGCAACCAGAATAATAAAGAAGATGGCATTGCGCTGAAATTAAAATTGAATTTATCAATACTCTAAGAATCGACAACTTACTTTTGAAAATGTAAAACATTCCATCATATCCCCATGAAAGAACAGCAGTGGGATGTGAAGGGAGTCCCAAGGCTTGTGTCTTTTTGGGAAAAACCGGCTCTGAGCGTTTTTCCTTTGTAACAGTAGATTTTATCACCTGTAAAATGAAACTGCATATATATTTATGAATATATAATTTCTATATTTTAGAAGAGAAAGTGACACAAGCGATATTTCACCTGATTGAGGTGAACTAAATAATTTTAGTTTTTGTAATCTCATATACAAAACCAATTGGTACTCCCGAAGTATCTGAACCAAGATGGCGGACACCGGGACGTAGTATGTGTACCAGGTTAGAATTAGGCCATAATTTCAGTTACAAATACTATAGTCACTTGACAGTCCCCGAACTCGTAATAGAACTAAAATAAGGTAAATTGGAATAAAATTATGGCCTAACCCTAACCTGGTACACATACTACGTTCTTGTGTCCGCCATCTTGGTTCAGATACTTCGGGAGTACCAACCAATTACTTCACATTCGAGTTATTCCCACATAGTTAATCCCACAATCTAGTTTTGACTAAAATTCAAAATCTTCAAAATTAACATTTTTAGAGTAAAATTTTTTATGCAATTTTTCTATCGTATGCCCATTTGTTTTGTATCTCATTTCACTCCACTAACCTTTGAAAAAATACGTGAATCCAGTGATTTTTGGAATGAGCTGCTGCATTTAAATTTCCAGGTAATCTTTCCCAGTTTTTTCCAATTTTCTTGGGAAATCCAGGAACAACTCCGTAATCGTTCAGTTCATAATAATAACTTCCTTTGAAGGCGTAGGTTTTAGTCCTTTTTGCGTCTTTGTCTGTTGAGAAAACATTTGCTTTTTGGAATTGTCATACAATTATTACCCATCGAAGAAAATCATGCTTAAATATCATGCTTGATCAATGGGCCACAGTTGGATGAATACAAACAAAAAATTAATGTTTAAAGCCGATAAGGCGGCTTAAGCGACTTTTTCACAACAACGATCCACCAAAACGACCCCCAAGGTATACTGTATATATGTACAATAAAATCATACTTACATTCTAACATGGCATCCACATTAGTCGAGCATAAATCAGGAACATTCACTCGAGGTTTCTTAGTTGGCTTAACCTTCTTTGGCGGTAAAGTTGGAGGAGGCTTTTTACCTCGTTCGACCTTTTCATCAACGTTTTTACCTTGGCATAAATATGAAATTATTAACATCATCAACAGAACAGAAAATTTCACAATGGCGGAGTATTTGAAACGTTGCGAGTATTCATAATTTCATCGCGTGTTTGGGATCTCCGAGTTGGTTGACCTGGAGAGATATGCTACGCATTCTGGAATATATCGATAACGTTAGTTAAATCATATAGTGGATCTCTAGTATCCTCGTAAATGTAAAACATACCACCGAAAGCTGAAAAAATGAGACATATTAAGGTGCCTGTATCGGTGTTGACAAAAATGTATCGTATTATACGTATCATAATATGCACTTTAATTTTTTTCGTTACTCAAAAAATCGATCGTGCGCCTGATAAATTAGATCCTTTATTTATTGCCTTTACTCAAGACCCGCACCAGTACCGGATGCGCCATATGTATAGATAAAGCCGCAACCTAAGCAATTTATTGATGGTGCGCCTTATGGTCCCTGGAATATGGGATCCTTAATTTAGCCGGGAGAAGAATGATTAAACATTGACACAGTTTTGCTTATTACTTACCGTATAGTTGTTGAATAGCCGCTATGTCATCTGGATGGAGTTCAAAATCCTCAACATATCCTTGATAAAATGGTGCCATCAAAGAATTAGGAACTGTAGAATGTGCAAGTCCAAGACTGTGGCCGAATTCGTGCGCAGCGACAATATACAGATTGGTGCCTGAAATACATTTACAAGATTCAAATATGGAGATGAACAACAAATTTATTTTCAATATTCAAAGACGACTAAGTGCGACAAGTTTCTAAAATACGATTAAACTTCTTAGTGAGGTGAATAATAGTGTACGATAAGCAACATACGGTCGCAAAAATCTGGCTATCCTAATTTTCTACGCAGAATTGTAAAGTCCGAATCTAGCGTGAGCAAGTCTACATATAGACAAATGAAATTAATTTGAATATTTCATGATTTTAAATCAGTTTGTATATTTTCCAATGCCTTCATATTCAATTTGTTTTAATAATTAATATAAGCCAAAGTGTATTGCTCAAATAGTTTGAAATATATTGAGTCGTCTGCAATAACTACACGATGGAACGCCATTTTTATGAATTTTTTTTTGTTCGTACATAGTGTAATTTCATGATGGTGAAACAATAAAATACTGATTATGCAAATTAGTCGCTCTTCAGCACGCACGTGATTGTGAAGAGATAATATTTTTTTAAGGAACTAATTTGTACAAACTAGAAAAATAAATATTATAAATAAGATATCAAGGGAATTAGCAAAAATGATAATAAATTAAATAACCTTCTCCTTTGTGGCTGAAATCCTCGTCGTCGTCAAAATGAGCTTGTCCACTTGTCGGAAAAAACGCGTGAGCCAATGTTCCTCCTGAAAATAAATGCCCCAAACAAATTACGAAACTATAAAAATTATTTCAATACACGCTAAATATTTTAGGAATTATTTACCTTTGCCGTCAAATGCGTAGTGATCTCCATGGTTCCTCGTACCAAAGGAAATTGTTATGTCCGCATCATCACTGGATGTTTTTTGAAATCTGAGGGAAGATTTTGCAGCCCAAAGATCCAGTGCTCTTTGGAAAGAAATATAATTTGGTTTCGGGCGGAAAGTATAGATAAGAGAGATAAATTAGTTTTGACCTAATGCACACAAAGATATAATGTTTAAATTTTTGTTCGTTCTTATTTTAATTCATTAATTGAAAATATTAGTTAGCATTATCGGGGTTTCATTTATTCGTACAAAAAAATAAACTATTTGTGTTTTGGGATGTTTAAATTGTGTCCATACGTCGTTATTCGCGGATTCTTATGTATCAAATTATAAAGATTATCGATCACAACGCCGTTGAATTATTAAGAAAAGCACATTAATTTTACGTATTTTTCACAGTGTTCGTGTTTTTCACAACTTGGGTACACATGACCCTAATTTGTGGTTGGAATCGAACACTTTACCATTTCCGCGATCTATGACAAACTTACTCGCTTGCAAAAGTCCCGGTCTGGCGCATACCTGACTGGACCATACGTAGCGCGTTCCAGGCATTTTACCTTCGATCCGACCAATTATGTTGTCATAATCGAACGTCGTAAAGTTAACCACCGTGACATCTCAAACGTGACAACTATCTTAAGTTTGTTATTCCGCCACGACCGCACGCAATTTGGGAGCATGACTGTAAATGTATAGCGTGGGAGCGAGTTTCTCAAAATAATTTCAGTGTAAAAATTCCTATGGACCTATTATACTGATATGTGTTTCCCCGAAAATAAGACCTAGCCTAAAAATAATACCTAGCATGAATTTAAAAAATGATTTTAATATAAGCCCTCCCCTCAAAATAAGACCTAGTCGATAGCGCAAAATTTTTTTGTGTGACCTCGACGATATCAAAAAAGCTACTCGTTTAAAGGATTAATAATCTGTGATTAGCAGTTATTCTCTAAATAAAAACGTGTTATTTATATCATACGTGTTATCGGTTTTCATATTTTGTATATTTGAAAATTGCGTAATTCTCTACTTTGTAATTTTGTTTTCGACAAAGGAAAAAAAGACAATCCCCAAAACAAGCCCTAGTGTTATTTTTCGGGAAAAAATTGAAATAGGACACTGTCCTATTTTCGGGGAAACACGATATATACCTTGTATTAACCATTCTGCGATTCCGTGTTCTTCGTAAAGATTAATATTATTAGCAATATCATGAGGTACGATGGTTAAAAGAGGACTTATACTTCTATTTTCCGAAATTTCCTCCCGAGTCCTACGAAACCCGATACTCCACCCACAATGTTGTGGTTTTGCGAATATTGCCCCATCATGTGCAATTAAGTCAGACAAGCCCGCCATTTCTCGACTCTCCCAGTAGCGATGAGGTTTGCTACGGCATTGGAAATTGATTTGGAATTCTGATTTAGATATTTTGAATACCCAGATGACAGATTTCAGTTTATGATGCTGAAGCTACCGCCACTGTGAGTCATTAGGCTTCAGAGCCCATTTAGTTTCTCTTTCTTTTAATATTACAGTGCGTGTAGGCAAAGTAATATTGAAGCAGGACCAACTATCTTTAATGCCGTATGGAAGGCAAGATTCCTCTGTGTCTGCATATCAAACAACCCTTTGTTTCAATTAACGCATTTTGTTTCATTGGGTCAACGCGAAGAGAGTGATAATGACTTACCTTCGCATAGCCGATTCCACCTGAGTTTCTGTCATGTCTGGTGTATGATTAATTATTTTGTAAGTCAGCTTCTTCTTTTCCCATTTCGCACCTGGAATTTATAAGTAACAATAAAGTTAAACAAATGAGTGGACAGAATGATGGGCTTGATATGACACACAGTCGAAGATTGTATTATTCATATGGACCATGTCCTGCTTAGGATGAGAAAATATTGAAAAATCGGTGTCACTTTGGTATGCGATCTCACTAATTTGATCTTCTAAAGATATTCTCATAGAATTCAGTCCCTAACTCAAATCACTGAGATCACACAACCACTGAAATCGCATACCACAGTAGCAGCGAAAAATGGGTACTCCTGTAGTGTGTGTACCAGGTTAGGGTTAGGCCAGGCCTGGGCAAGTTGCGGCCCGCGGGCCACGTCCGGCCCGCGGCAACGTTTCATCCGGCCCGTGAGCAGGTTTCTGGATGTGGACACTTTCTTTTTAATTTCATATAAAGTATACTTTAACTGTGAACAAAATTTTGTTTAGGAAAATGAAAAAGTCGGCAATACCATTCGACAATTTTTTTTTTAAATGACCGATTGTTTTCGCCAGCTCGAGATGTTATTTAGACCATAGGTTCTCAAAGTGCTCAGTACGGAGCCCCAGGGCTCCGCGAGAGAAACCCAGGGGCTCCGCGAGCTATTCGATTGCTCTTCGAAATACTGACTCAAAATTTTGTAACTGTTCAAAGAAGCAATAACAGCTTTGATAACATCTGACAACAATATAGCCTCGAAATATGGTAAAGGGCCGGAATTAAAAAATGACATTATTTATGAGCAGTAGCGCAGCCGGGATTCTTAAGAGGGAGGTGGTTCAAAATTGGAATCGGAATGAAAAAAAAAGGTAAATCGCGCGCACAATTGACTGTGTTTCGATTTCGCAGCTACTACGATGAAAACCTAACATAACACCAAATTTTGTGATTTACAATGTCTATAGAAGCGTTTTCAATCTGAGGTGAGTCTGCTGAAACCAAAGTGTGATCTTCCATTTTAAGTTTCAGTTTATAAATATTTTAGAATGCCGCTTTTCAATCAAGAAATTTGAGTTGTGGATTTACCTTTTATCGATTATTATTTTTAGCATTTCGTCGCCGATGACTATAATATGGTAACATGTTTTTCACATTGAACTCATAATTCCCCACGAGAACAAAAAAGCAATTAACGTCGTCATTGTGTAACAATACATGTATATGCCGAGGGAAATTTTTGATTTAGGGAGAATAAACAGCGGCGTAAAGATATTTAAAACACGCCATGCTGACGGAAAAAAATCGGCGATTGTAACAAAATGAAATAGCGCACGTTACTAACGGCCTTTTAATTAAGTCTTCCAAAAATGTCAAAAAAGAAAAGATTCGATCCCTAATTTATTAATATGTTCGTCAAGTGTCAAATTTACAGCTTTAGTATAAAATTTAGATTTATTTATGACTTGTGTTAACCCTATTAAAAAAGGTTCAGCATTTAGCATAAATAGAGTACTTTTAACTTGCTCGGGAATAATAATCTGAAAGTAACAATTTTAAAATTTATTTTGGGGCTCCGCGAATAATATTCAACCTTTCAAGGGCTCCGCAACACCAAAAGTTTGAGAACCCCTGATTTAGACCATAAACACCTTTACGTCGGTGATTATAATCACAAATTTCCTTCAACCTCCATATATATATATATATATATGTCTTGCATACGGAACTGTGAAACCATTGAGAAAAACGAGTCATTATATAATAATGCTAAAGATAAAGAAGTGCATCTGCAAGCAACCTAAATCGAGATTTCAGAGCGGCAATATAAAATACTAAAAACTGGACACATACAAGATTGATGTAGAAGGCTTGCGACAGATTAAAAACGCTGTTGTAGAAATTGGAAACTGAAAAATTTCTGGTGCCCATGGCACAAAGTAAAGTAAATTCAACCGATTTTCATGGTACTAAATTGAATTTAACTCGGTGTGGTTTTATTGCAGACGTAGGGATTTTTCTATTGGTGAAATCTGTAAAATAGAGACAAGTCATTGTTGCAAGAACAAATCACATTTGTTGGTTCACGAAATCGCAAAACACGAATAAAAGTAATCTGGCACTTTATCTCACATTTTTAGATCCGCGGCATGGGGTGGTATTTAAGAGTAGTAATGATTATATTTTGCCAAAGCAATCGCGGGTTAAGTTTAAAACAACAAAGCAAGACATTTAAATGTGCCCATATCAATGCATTTTAAATATACCCGTATCGCAAAAATAGGTATCAAAATTAAGTATATTCCGGCACTTTATTTCACATTTTTATATACGCAGATAGACGTTGTATTTTAGAGCAGTGCATTCCATACTTTTAAACTCGCAACGCCTTTCAATGCGTTACAATTTTCCACGACCCCTGTTTACGTTAAAAATGCTATGGTGACAACAGAGTTATATGAATCACGAATGTTTGGCCATCGAAGGCATGGTCTTAATTCCGCATAGTTACTCACTCTTTAGCATTAATGATAAAATTCAGCATTGTTTTTCCAAGCGTGACGTTTCTCCGATCATATGTATTGTCTCGAAATCGCGATATTTATGTTTTAAACTAGTTTTAATAACTGTGTTTTAAACAAAAATAACGGAGTACAATAGTACTTTGTTTTATTTAAATGTGTACTGAAATGCATTAAAAACGCACAATTGGCTTTACTTAGTCCGGCCCGCCACTGCATTTGGAATATTCAATGTGGCCCGATAGCAAAAATAATTGCCCAGCCCTGGGTTAGGCCATACTTTTATTCGGATTTTCCCCTATTTTTATTCTATCACGAGTTCGGTGACTGCCTGTGCTAGCCAAGTGAATTTACCCCGCTGTCAATAGGTTTCAGTCCCTTTACACAACTTGATGTAAAGTAGAAGAAAAAAAATTAGTTACCTCCATATATAATATACACATACTTCTGGAGAAAAATGTATATGTAATAAAAGTGGATGAGATGTCCTAATTATGATAGCATTACAGGGTTGAGGTGAAGTGGTTTGGCCACGTTCGATGTAGCGGTTATCGTGTGGTCATCGTCACATTCAGGGTGTAATAAGTTAACTTATTCTAAAACGTTTATTGAAAACTAGTGAGAGACTTCAATCTACATATTCCCAGGTATCTGAAGTGCGAGTCTTAACATCAGAGGGGGCGTTAACATTCACGAAGCTTTTGATCCAAGAAGAATCTGTGGACACGATTTGCTGGAAGAAATAAAGGAAACAATATACGGTTGATCGAGCGTAAGATTTAAGGTATTTTGAGTTGGCTTATATTTCAAAAATATATCAATCATTGACAGTCCCGTACATTCAAGTGTGTGATTGCTTAGACATGGCCTCGGCAAGAACACCAATAAAGAAATTGGTTTGTACAAAATATGATGTCAAATCGGTTTGAAGCACCTTCGTGCGATATCTCTTTCAAATAGATTGTGGTTTGGGCGGGATAACAATGTTCACTATTCTACTATCAAAATTCCCAATCATGCGTCTTTCGGCAAAATATAGCACCTGTGTATTCATTTTGTGAATTGTGAAAAAAATTTGCACCACGGATGGAAAGTAGATGGTACTAACAGAATTGGTCCAAAATTCATTGCTAAAGAATAAGAAACCAAAAATTTTCAGCACAACAACGCATGCATGAAAATTCTTTTATTAGAATATCCGGCGGAGGATGCGGTTCAAATGATATAAATACAAGCAATATAAATAAAACCCAGGAAACCAAATTATTTGCAAATCGAAGCAAAATTTCAAATCAGTTTAATGTCATATTGTAATGGAAATTGTTGAAAAAAAAGATATTATGATTTGAATAGATATACTGCAACTCAAAACTAGGATTGAAAAATCAACATGTCAACATATGCCTCAACCTCAAATCCCATAATTCCTAATTATCTTTTATGATTTCGTATGAGGTTGAAAAAGTACGTTACAATCAAAGTTAAAACAAGATTATTTATTTACAACACGTTTCGCTCTTTAATAACGACCCGTTTGACTTGAATGTTTATTTGTGATAATCGTCCGAATTGAGTCAGTTCTGGTTAAAAGGAAAACACAAATAGAGAAAATCAAAATTTTCAAAATGTATCTTGCCATGTAAATCGTATCGCTTTGTTCGACTCTTCCCTTTGTTTTCACGTCCTTTGCCTTTTTTATTTTTTCTACCTTTGCCTTTACCTCTGCCTTTACCTTTCTTTCCCTCGTATCGTCCACGAGTATTGTAACCTATATTGATGAAATAATAAATGGAAATTTTAATCGTTCAAGTGCATTTGGTGGGTTCATGTATATATGCCAAGCCAGAATAATTCTTGTCGTCCAAAAATATAGATATTAGCTTCCTTGAATTCTATTTGGAGCATTTTTCTATGCAAATGTTCGACCCATACTCAAGATGGACTGGTAACCGGTCGAGATGCCGTGGTTTGTCATATAATTAAGACGTCTTATAATAGGAAATTTCCTCTTTCCTATCTCCTTAAATAGTCAAATCAGATAAGATAAATCAATTAACGATTTGTTTTAGAGAAATTCACTATAGTTTCTTCAAGTTATCTGTTTAATCTCCCAAATTCTATGCATTGAATCATGATAGGCAATAATGCAATTTTGGGATTAAAATGTTACATCACCTATATTTTACCTTTTGATCTCATAGAAAAGGCTCCCACAGTGTCGTCAACTCCACATCTTGGCATTGTCATATATCGTAACGTCTCACCATCTAATTCACCTGTGACACGAATCCCTGCCATTTGTTGAAATCGCCTGACCAAGAAAAGACCAGTTATTGACTTTCATATTAGATATATATAAGTTTAGTTTAGTGCTGAATGTATAAGCACCGGAGGTTATGGATCTCTAGTCAAAACCCCATGTGCACAACCTGGTACTCTCGTAGAATGTGTACCAGGTTAGGGTTGAACCACAATTATATGCCGATTTTCCTTATTTTAGTTGTATAACGAGTTCGGGGACTGTCTGTGTTAGCCAAGTGAATATACCTCCTACCCATAGGCTTCCGTCCCTTTACACAACTTGATGTAAAATAGGCGAACAAAACTAGTTACCTCCGTATTGGAACACACTTCTGGAGCGCGGCACCATCTCATTGAAGGTGCATTGAATGGAACAATAGCCCATGTCGAGGTCTTCCAAAGACAAATAGTATAAATCCTTGCGACGTTGACGTTTGCGTATATATATCCTTAATCAGAGTAAATTTGTGGAAAACCTCATAAAAAAAAACAGTTTTTCCTCTGTATTTTACTCACATGAGTGGATCCCCTATTGTGCTCTCATCCAATGTTTCAAGCGACCCAAGTGTCTTCGAAGTCGTTGTTTTTGACACATATCCATATCTCCACAGATATTTCTGCAAAGAAACGAAATAATTTTAATATGTGGTCACTCAATTTTATGATGATTTATAGAATTCTATTTTGGTTCGATTCAAATACGAATTCAAAAGAAAATGCGCTTGGAATAATATCACAATCATCAATTATAAAGCAGAGGCATGGATAAAACCTATATATACTGAAAATAACTGACTGCATTTTGAGCAAAACTTCAAAGATCCTTTCGCTACCGAACACGGAAATTCAAGCCTAATTAGCTGTAAAATCCTTAATAACTTGAAGTAATGTACAAAACATTATCCCGCGCTTACTTCAATGCTTTCAGAAATTTTATAACAAAGTATCCACAGAAATTGGCACATTTATTACCATTTTTCATTTATCTTCTTTTAAATAACAAGTCTCTATACATAGAGCATTTCAATTTATTGGTAATACATGTCTTGTGTAGCTGATCTAAATCAAAAGCCCTATCTATATTGAAGTCCGACCAAACTTCACTGCATTTAGCTTTATTTATTATTTAGTTTCTAACTGTCTCGCTTATTTCACAGCTCATTACACAAAACGGTTAAATATTTTTAAAACTTTTAATTGTTATTTTTTGTAACTCCCTTCATTAGTAATAATATAGCGGTTGCGGCGTAGGCCAATCATAGAAAATAACAAAATTCTTATTTGGACGCTGATTCAAGATGTAACAAAAGAGTCGTTTGGAAAATATGTTTGACTTGACGAACCCGAAAAAAATGACGATTGTCGTTGATAATTCTCTCACGTTCTCGTAACCTAGTTACTCTAGTAACAGTTGTGGTTTGTTTTATGTATACGTTGTTATTGTAGTTGTTGTTTTATTAACCCGTGATAAAATATAAAACGATTTTTTTTTTAGAAATTTACCTCCCCAAGATTGAAAATCTTCAAGAGAGCTTTCGGGGCTTTTATTTTCCAAGTTTTGAAAGAAAATTCTGGAAGGTGCACACCGATTTCGTTTTGGATTTGTCGAATTTGTGACTGCGTAGGCCCAGATAAAGAATCCAAAAAGCTTTCGCTTAGGTCTTCCACAATATCGGTCACGTGATCGAATAAATCTCCCCCATTGTGATTAGACACTCGCTCTCTTACGCCATCTTTCATTCTTCTGAACCAAGGATTCAGTATTGATTTCTATAATACAAACCAACAATAAGTTCGGTCCCCGAATACTTTAAACTTATTCTCTGATTTTTCACCTATTAAAGTATAAGTACTTGGTTCAAAGTACACGCTGGATTCAACAAAACTTTGAGGATATTTTACAGTATGTCTGATTAAATATAAATATTTTGAAGAACTTTGAATGTGAACACTTGTGTTTACCTGCAGTGCAAACTTGAAATACAGCCGAAAAAATGTGAAAATGTAAAACAAAATTACAAATCGAGACAAAGACGATCATTTATATATATTACTGGTTGGCTAATATATCCACTGGTAATTGTATTATTTCTATATAGGGACTAGTTTTGATATCTTATGTTGGATGAGTAATGTATGAGTATCGTCGAAAGTGCACTGACATATAACTATTTAATCATATTTATAGGAAATACCACACATCTTTATCACGGTAACCCAATATTTATTTTGACAAATATTTGGAAAGCAAATAAGCCTTTTAAAATCGCCACAGCGTGTGTAAATAACGAGCGATTTTTGATACTTCAGGTCACCTAACAAAGAAACTGGACGTAATAAAAGACCTGTCCCGCGATACCACAATCAGTCACTTAGATCACACAAAAATATTCGAGAAATTGGTAGGTTTATTAGGTACTCCTGTAGTATGCGTACCAAGATGGCGGACATCGGAACGTAATATGTGTACCAGGTTAGGGTTAGGCAATAATTTTATTCCAATGTGTCTTATTTAGTTCTATTACGAGTTGGGGGACTAGCCAAGTTACTCCCGTATTTGTACCTAAAATTAGGGCCTAACCCTAACCTGGTACACACACTACGTTCCGGTGTCCGCCATCTTGGTACGCATACTTCAGGAGCTCCAAACATTACATAACCCAGAAAATAATTTTCCCCCACTTATTACTCAATAAAAATAGAACTGCCGAAAAGTGTCAAGTGATGTATAAAGACTATTCAGCAGCCGACACAATGTTAACTAATTCTTTACTTAATAATGGGTGTTTTAAGAGCCTTGCTAGATGTCAAGGTGGGTAAACACAATATAAAATATAAATCGAATACAATTACACAAATGCAAACTCATTTGTTGGGATTGTAAAAAGCACAGACACGTTGAACTTTGTATTACTGATTACAATATTTACCAAGCTAGTCGAGACCGAAGTGTCACGAGAAATACCATTCTCTATACAGCAGTGTTCTCCAACCTGTGGGTCACGACCCCCCAAAGCTGGGTCACATGAACATATTCTTGGTTCCCTTGTTGTTTCATCAAGAATGATTGTCATGCTTACGTCACAGAATTATTTGTCACCCTTTTTATACAGCGGAAAATCAATATCATTCAGATAATTATCTGAGAACATAGAATGTTTACGGTTTTTGTGACGTCATAACAATGTTTACGTCACATAATTATTTTTCATTTTGTCTCGACAAATAGAGAGATAGCGGAAATCAAAATTTGTGTCTCGCAAGGAGGCGGATTTTAGCCAGCAACACAAAGACTAGAAAGTTCTAACAAAAACATTCAACCAACGATTGGTGAATGGGATAACTTCGACACGAGTAAGATGCCACGCACTCGCAGATGACTAGATCCAAAAGATAATACGTAAATCATGTGACACAATTATTTATACAACATAGACACGTCTTTAACTCCGTCGTCCCAAGTTTGAGTCATTCCGTTCAAGAGGTCCAACCCTAACCACTGCGCTGAAGATGTAACAAATTGGATGACAATACTCAACTGGAAAGATTTTTATTTATTACAAAACTGCATGACGCACTGCACTGACTCTAATCGGCTACAAGCATAAAGTCTTTCTTATTCGGAACGACGGCGTTAAATATCTCATAAAAGAGTAAGAAATTCCTATATAAGCTGCATTGCCATACGATAACAGAACCGAATATCTGCAATTCCTCTTAAATCATCATCGACAGTTACACTTAATGATATTTGTGGCAACTAACTCGGAAATTTATTGTACCTCATATTATAAAAATACAACGGTTGATTCGAGTATAGTGCGTCCATACCCACTGCCCCCCATCCTCTCTGCTTGTGTTTTAGTGTCTACGTTTGCACCAACTGCAAGATACTGTAGTCAGAAATAAAACGGCTATTTTGAATGGTCGAAACATCTTGCATATTTATATCTTTCATAAATTTCATTTCATAACGTTACTTCTGACCAAAGTCATACTAAGCAGTTTACAACAATTGTTTTAAATTTGTGAAAGTGTATTTAATCACTCAATAAGATATAATATTCACAATAAAAAACCTACCGCTGCATCTTCCAATCTGATCCTTTTTGGTGCTTGTCGAGTTTTTCTAACAGATTCCGGTGGTTTGGGCATGCAGTACATCCGATCAAAGCTAAATAGCAACAGAATCCAACTCGCTGTGCGAATCCACATTATTTCCCAGAAAATTTAATTATACTCCGCAATGGGTAAACTAGAAATAGGAAACGAAATGCAGCTCTAGAAAATTCTGTTAACATTTATTAAATAATAGTGATAATAACAAAATTAATCTCACAATTTTGTTTGCATTTTATCAAAAAAATAAGCAAAATATGGGGAAGCTACTGAACTATTGGAAGAAGCCGAAACTCTTCGGTTCGACTATGTCGACGCAATTTTTTACTCGCTGAATGAGATAGATAAATTGGGATTTAAAAATATATTGCCTGGTGTGGAGTTGACCTGAAATTTCTCTATCTTACAACGTTAAAACTCTTCAGTTCGACATTTTTTATTCTCTGGATAGGATAGATAAATTCGGCTTCAAAAATGTATTGCCTGGCGGGGAGTCGAACCTGAAATCTCGCCTCTTGTAACGCCAATACACTGACATTTATCAATGCTTCTCCCATCGATGTGATCTCATCTTAGGCTATTTACAACACCCCATCTCACGACTTTCTCCACGATTTATTTTCTCATTCTCGGAAAGCTAACCCAACATTGTTTGGATAACTAAGTAAATTTGTTTTACGCTTATTCACGCGAGACGCAAAACCGACAGGAAATACAGCCTCGGTATAAAATGACAAAATGTGGATAAAAAGCCAAAACGAGTATACAAAGAACTTTTTCTATTCCTAGCGCGAACGAACATTTATTGCAAAACAAGTGCCTGATTTAGTCTGTCCATTCTACACAATTTTTACAGCTACTGCACACTGCAGCTGCTATAGTTGATAAATAACATCGCGTCCCAGAATAGATACATATTATCTGAGTAGCAGCCCAACATCGTTATTACTTTTTCCTATTGTCTTAGAGCTTTAGCAAATTTTTATATTGCTTTTTGATCTTAAAAATGCAAACATTTGTAAGTGTGCGCAAATATCGTATTATGTCCTCGGGATGTTTACTCTTTTTAGGTAGCATTTGTGACTTCTGAGGCAAACTATTATTTAAATAATTTAAGTCACGTAACTCAACATTTCAGGTTTGTGTTAAGAATTCACTAAAGTTGATATTACAATAAATTAGAGTCAAGTATATACTTTGTGGGTTTTTTAATAAAATTATAGAAGCCCTTTTTCCGATACTCTAGTTTGCGACACCCATCTCTGTCCAATACCGTGCATGGTACCCGTTCTTTTTAAAATACACATTTTGAATCACAATATATTCCTAAACATTATTTTGGACGATATTTGTCAGTGTGCTACACTATTCTCTCTCTCGTTGGAAATATCTATGTACAATGTTTGATAAGTCTTTGGTTTTTTTTTTAGAACGCGAGGATTTATTTTGGTTTTCCCGTTGTTGTCACGCACGAAATTCTCTTAAAAGGTTCAGCTTTTAAAAGGTTACCGTTAGGCAAGGCGTAACGAAAACTACAAACATCACGCGATATTTAAGCATGAATTTAATAGATTTTCGTGACTAAGGTGATAATTGTAAATAACTTGTTTATGGCGCCAATCGTAATGTTTAGTATGATTTTTTTAATATTTATGACGTAATTCTGTGACGTATTTCTTGAGAAATGAACGTTATTACGGGATACACCTTCAGCGAAGTACCAATGTATACTCACCACATTCCCCCATTTATCTTCCCATATATTCAAGTGTTAAACGCGATTTTCAGTTTTCAGACAATAGTTATTGGACACGAAATGAATCTATGGATCGTTTTTGGACACGACAGTGGGCATATGAGATTCGTTTTTATTTTGAGCTATGACGTCATCAGAATTTGCCACCACGTGGCGATTTCGCAAACACATATTGATCAGTGATCATCGAACAGTGAACTAGGTTCCGTGGTCAAGACTGCTGGTAAGTTACCGCACCGTACTACAGGGAATTTCAGCGTAACGTGTCCATATATTCGAGCATTGCTCTCTTTTGAAAATGCATTGGTATTTTATTCTTTCTATCCAATATTCATAAAAAACCTTCAGAGCGAGTCATATTGATGAATATATATTTCAAACATAAAAAAGTATGTTATTGTAACAGATATCTGTTTGGGACTCATGGATGGGAAAATTTGCATATGTCATATAGCTATAAGGCTATTACTTTTATTTTGTTTCCAATGTTTCTGTTTGCATATGTCCTCAATAAATAGGCACATTCCTTTTTTTAAATCCAATCAAAACCATTGAAAATGACTTACGCACTCTTGTTTTTTTTGTTATTTCGTCATATTCGCTGAGCTATTTTTACCATCTATCTATCTCATTTATTCCTTTAATTTATTGCGTTTATTCGTGTAATTTAAGGTATGAAGTGCATTTCATATGAAAATCCAACCCAGCAGTCGAGTGCACATAAGTTGTATGCGAAATCCATGCTTGAATTTATATATACAATATATTCATATTCGATTACACGAAAAACTTTATATTCAAGATGGCCTGTAACTTCTGATATCAGAATGTATTTCGGGCATTTTTACCATAAGGAACGTGTGATGGATTAGAAACATTAGTTCAAGTTGCCAGACAATTTCATTATTGAACAATGCGCTCGAAAATAAAATCGTTTCACATAAAAATCGCTTTAATCACAATGACATGACAAAAAGTTTTGAATAATATACAGAGGCATTCGCGCGCAACATTTGTATTTTCAGCAGACATATGTTAATGTATTTACCTCGTTTTTTTTCTTGTGTCTTTTATTGGACACGTAATAGATCTATGGATCGTTCTGTTATTAGGTTTGTGTTGTTCTTCTTGGTATTTTTCTTCTTATCGTTAAAAAATCGCTTTTCTCTTTACTACTGGGCCAATTGCTTTGAAATTTTTAGTAGGTGTAAATTGACATTTTTGCTATAAGCTATTTCTTTTATTTTGTTCAAATATTTCTGTGAGTTCAATGGAATTCGTTTTTCGTGCGCTATGACGTCTTCAAATTTGCCACCTTGTGGCATGCAGTTCCCCAAACGCATATCAGCGGAGGTCGGTGGATCCCAAGCTTAAGATTGTATTTTTCGACAGAGGGCATTACTTTTATTTATTTTAAATATTTCCGTGTGCTCTATATTCTTCGTCACAGGACCTGGAAAAGCCCGGTACCGGTATCCTTGGGTAGTCGAGTTGTCCATGTAATAGAGTTATCCGCCTCTAGATACGGCTACTGTTAAGTAAGTTCCCGCATACGATTTTCGGGGAATTGATGATAAAATATTTAGTTTTTCCCTCCGTGTCCACATATTTGAGCATAGTTCTCCTGTTTTAGGCTATAATATTTTCCATGTCGGGTTGTTGTTTTCAATGAATACTCAATCCAGTATCTATCAATGAATGAAGTAGTTATGTCAATAACCAGTCAGTTTAAATAAAACTCTCTTTCGCTATATTATATATATATATTTTTTTTTCACTCAACCATTAAAGGCGCTGGTGGTTCATGCGTTCTTATAAACTTCCATAACTTTTATTCTGCTGGGTTAGACTTGTGAGTGTTTATTTGAGTTCAGTTATAGCCGGCACATTGTGTTTTGTAAATATTGTTAGTTTGCTTTCATTAAATACCGTATTTTACGCATACTCGCACTTTTCACCGAGCTTCCTGATGTACATTCGTTGTAAAGATAATAAATGAGGACACTATCAATTTGTCTTTCACGAAATCTTAACTTAGCAGTTCGACCATTAATCATAGTTCGAATCATACCCTGGTGTGGGCGCCAAACAGTCACTCCAAATTTGAAGTCGACGATAATTATCAATTGGTCCGGATGTTCACAAAAGTTTAACGTCAGACTCATTATTCAAATAATAAGTATTTCAGAACGCATTTACGCCAACCAAGTATGATTTGTCAACTGAGTGATGATTTTTCAATGATTTGGAGTCGAAAATAATTATCGACTGGTCTTAATGTTTAGAAAAGTTTAACGCCAGACTCATTTTAATTGTAGTCTGTTAAAGATCAATATAATTTCTTTCTAATGAGCTCATAGGAAGTGACGGGGAATCCAGTATAATATATACATTAAGCTGACTGCATTGGCAATCTGATATGAAGAATATCGTTGTGAAGGCAACATATCGCATTCCAGTGAATCAGCAAATCAGGCACACACCATGAAAAAAGTTAAGTCCAGTTCAAGTTAAGTTGAATAGGAGTCCTATTTTAGAAATGAGTTCAGCAATTTAATATGAGACACGACCAAAGCTAAAGACAAGATTCCCAGATCATTGTACAAACGATGGTTGAAGCAAACCGAGCAAGTCATTGAAAGGGCGCTCCGGAGGTATTCGTACCAAGATGACGCACAGCCTAAACAAATCTAACCTGGTACACATATTATGTTAAGGTTGTGCGCCATCTTGGTACAAATACTTCGGGAGCACCTTTGAAAGTGTGACTAAACGCTAATTGTAGTCGTTGTGGACTACTGGTGTTTTTCTCTTCAAAGCACACTGCTGTGAAATCCTCGAATTTTAAAAATATTACTTATGTATATTGTGCTCTTCACGATTTATATCTATAGGATTCATAAGTAAAACATGAAAACTCCGGCCAAGATTATTGAGGTTTTTAAGGATAATCTTTACTCTCAAAGAATCGGAAAATTGGATCAAAAAATTTTGATGAAGGATCCTTACGTGAATGTTAACAGATATGCTTTGGTTTCGCCAGACGGAAATATAGAATCACATCCACACTCCGGGTTTGAGTCGGTGGATTATGTTATTTATGGACAACAATTTCATGGCGATAACTATGGCAACGCCAATTATCTAACACCTGATAGTATACAAAATATTAACTGCGGTGGAGGCATGTTACACAAAGAAATACCTGTTGGTGTGTCCTATGGGGTTGGAATTTGGGTTGCGTTGCCAGAAAACGCTAGAGAATGCAAACCAGATTATCAGTTTGCCGACAGCAGCCAAATTCCAACTTTTAAAAAGAATGGAGCAACTTTCAGTTTATTAATGGGGAAGTCATGGGGAATGAAATCGAAGCTCTACACTCAAACTCCAACTGTTATGGCTAGTATTGATCTCGAACCCGGAGCTTCTCACACCCAGCCCATTGAACGAGATTGGAGTACTTTTGTTTACACTCTCACAGGCGGAATTGAATCTGCTGGTACCATACTAAATGAATTCGAAGTCGGTGTCGTAGGAGAAGGCGATTTTATAAATTTTAAAAACAAATTGGGAAATAAAAAGGCAAAACTATTGTATTTCTCCGGTAAACCAATTAACGAGCCATATTTTGTTTATGAAAAAGGAGCTGATGCGTATCTGGCAGAAAACGAAGAAGGAACTTTAGCAAAAGAGCAAGAATATATACATTCCATGAACGGATTCAAAGAGCCAGTTTTGGATGACGTGATATAAAGATCATTTATATATTGATAATATATTATAGATGATATTCCTCACCCAGGTTTTGCAGTAGCTGTTTGCTAAAACCATCAAAGCAGTTTACGAAAGCCTGAAAATATTCGAATCACTCATATTATTTTGTAAATTTTGTTCATAAAAAGATTCATTAAAATTGTATGTCTAGTTTCTCTTATTTCATTATCCACGTGGTGCGTCTCAGTTTAGACTTGATAATTTAATTCAAATGCTGAAAAACATAACAAGTCAACTTTTATAGATGAAAAACTATCTTTATACCCCAAAATTTTATGTCTATATTTATTTTAACATTTTATTTTATTATGTGCCTTATTTGCTAAAGCACTTGAATGCGATATTTAGCTTCATAACGATTATGTTCAGCTCAGATTGCCAATGCAGTCACCTTAAAAAATATATAAACATTATACTGCATTCCGCGTCACATTCTATGAGCTCATTAGCAAGTAATGATAGTGATCTTTCTTTGTCACTAATGTCGTGCAACCGACGTTTATATATAAGTATAAATTTGAACTATTAAAATTTATGATGTATATATGAATATTTTGATCATCGATAATGAAAAATTATTATTCAGTCGTCGAAGCACCTGGGCTGGCGTACATGCGCTCTGAAAAGGGAATAGACTATTACTTGAATGAGTCTGGTGATAAACTTTTGTGAATATCCGGACCAATTTATATTTGTTGTCGACTTCAAATTTGGAATGACTGTTTGGCGCCCATACCAGGGTATAATTCTTGTAGGGTCGAACAGCTAAGTTAACATGACTTCGTCAAAGACGCGTACAAGTTGATGGTGTCGTCATTTGATATGTTTCCAGTGAATATGAAAGGTGCGAGCGTACGTAAAATACGGTATTCTGAAGAAAACAAACGAACAATATTCACAACATTCAATATGGCGACTGTAACTGAACTCAAATAAATACACACAGGTCAGCAGAATAACAGTTATGGAAGTTTATAAGGACGTATGACCCACCAGCGCCTCCAATGGCAAAAAACAAAATATAATAATGAGGGGATAGGGGCAGTGTTCATTTGACTAACTGGTTATTGAAAACAACAACCCGACATTTGAAATAATATAAAACAAGAGAGCTATGCTCAAATATGTGACACGGAGAGCAAACGAATTTTTTTTACACCAATTCCCCGAAAATCGTATGCGGTAACATACCAGTACGGTACCTGAATCAGGGTACCGCCACCGGTAACGGTACAGGGACCGTCCTAGCTTTTCCAAGTCCCACTTCTGTAGTACCAGATCAGGTCCTACAGTCTACCGTTCCCCATAAAAAACTTCTCACCTACGCCAATCACAAAATCCGCCTACGTCCGCTGAGCACGAGATCCGCTGATATGCGTTCGCGGAACCGCCACAGAATGCGCAAATTTTGATGAAGTCATAGCATACAGAAAACGAATCCCGAACACACATAAATATTTGAAATAAATATATATAAATAATAGCCTTGCAGCAAAAAATACCATCTTTAACCACTAAAAATATAACTGCTGCTATGACTGCTGAAAATGCAAAGGTTGCGTGTTTTTATATTAACGCCACTGAGGCGAACCATATGGAAAATGAAAAAAGAGAAACTAGACATATATATAATTTTAATGACTCTTTTTAGGAACGAAATTTACAAAACATTATGGGTGACTCGAATATTTTTAGGCTTTATTAGAAGGCTTTGGTGGTTTTAGCAAACAGCTACTGCAAAAAATTGGTGAAGAATCTCAACGATACTATATTATCAGCACAATAAACAACTTTATATCACGTCATCCAAAACTGGCTCTTTGAATCCGTTCATGGAATGAATATATTCTTGCTCTTTTGCTAAAGTTCCATTTTTGTTTGCAGCCAGATAAGCATCAGCTCCTTTTTCATAAACAAAATATGGCTCGTTGATTGGTTTACCGGAGAAATACAATAGTTCTGCCTTTTTATTTTCCAATTTGTTCTGAAAAGTTATAAAATCGCCTTCTCCTACGACACCGACTTCGAATTCTTTTAGTCTGGTACCAGCAGACTCAATTCCGCCCGTGAGAGTGTAAACAAAAGTACTCCAATCTCGTTCAATGGGCTGGGTGTGAGAAGCTCCGGGTTCGAGATCAATACTTGCCATAACAGTTGGAGTTTGAGTGTAGAGCTTCGATTTCATTCCCCATGACTTCCCCATTAATAAACTGAAAGTTGCTCCATTCTTTTTAAAAGTTGGAATTTGGCTGCTGTCGGCAAACTGATAATCTGGTTTGCATTCTCTAACGATTTCTGGCAACGCCACCCAAATTCCGACCCCATAGGACACACCAACAGGCGTTTCTTTGTGTAACATACCTCCACCGCAGTTAATATTTTGTATACTACCAGGTGTTAGATAATTGGCGTTGCCAAAATTATCGCCATGGAATTGTCGTCCATAGATTACATAATTTACCGACTCAAACCCGGAGTGTGGATGAGATTCTATATTTCCGTTCGGCGACACCAAAGCGTATCTGCAAATATTCACGAAAGGATCGTTCATCAAAATTTTTTGATCCAATTTTCCGATTCTTTGAGAATAAAGGTTATCACTGTAAACCTCGATAATCTTAGCGGGAGATTTCATGTTTTACTTATGGACGAATCTAGATAGAAATGGTTAAGAGAACAATATACATATGTAATAAATATTCGAGGATTCAGCAGTGTAGGCCTACCTCATGGAAAAAATCATTAGCAAGCCTGCAGTGACAAAAAATAGCGTTGAGTCATATTTTCAAAGGCTCACACGTTTTGAGCGAACCATCGTTCGTGCAATGAACATGGTACTTTGCCACTACTTTGGACGTGACTTTTTTTGAAAATAACAGCCACTTAATTTCCTACCTCAATCTATTCAACTTAGCTTGGACTGGAACTGACAACCCTAATCGCGTTTCAGGTAAATTCTGAATAAGTCGCGTCATGTTGAGAAGTATACAATTATTTCTAGTAATGCAGCAAACCTTATAATGTACCTCGACACAATATACATGACACGCCAGCGTTTTTTAGAAAAATTATTTTAATAACCTAAAATTTTAGACGATATTCATTCCAAGATTTTCGTTTATGGTTTGCTGAAATGCGATATGTAGCTTCCACCGCGATTTTGTTTATCTCAGATTGCCAATGTCACCTTAAATATATATATATACTGCAATATATATATATACTGCATTACGCGTCACTTTCCATAAACTCATTAGAAAGTAATGATATGGATCTTTATCTCGGTATATGTCATGCAACTGACGTTCATATATGACTATAATTTTGAACTTTCAAAATTTATGATATATGCGTTATTTGATAATCGATTGTGAAAATTTTTTATTTAGTCGTTTAATCATGCTTAGCTGGTGTACAAGTGCTCTGAAAGGTGAAAAGACTATTAATAAAAGCCTGAATTTAAATAGTTGTGAACATCCGGACCAGTGGGTCATTTTGGTCGACTCCAATTAATTGGTTATGATAAATGATCATTTAGTTGTCGAATCATGCTTGGCCATTGACTACTTTTGAAATGAGTCTGGCGTTAACCTTTGTGAACATCCGGACTACTGCTAAAGTAAGCTTTTAATGAATGATCCTTACGTAAATGACAACAGATACATATTGATGATGCCGGGCGAAAATATATAATCTTATCCGTTGTAGTAAGAATTTACACTTTACAGCAGGGGTCGGCAACCTTTTGTCGCTCGCGGGCCAAAACTAAACGTTGCAAGTCATTGGCGGGCCGCACATATTTTTAGAAAGTTAAAAACCGAACGGATGACTGATGAATCACATTTTCTCGCACAAATCAGAAGTTAAATTTAGAGCAGCCTGCGAAGACTGATCACTTGAATATTTTCTGCGCCATTAAACCATTTGCACTTAGCATTAACTTTTCTGCGTTTTGTTGCCATTTGTCTAACTTATAATTAAATTATAGACTCATTAAACGAGTAATTGTGAATTATATACTTGTTACGTTATAATATAATTTAGTCTACACGTACAGTGCCATCGTCAAATACCAACCAAGTCCGTCTAAGTTGGTATTTTGGGACCAAGCTAAAAAAAATGGATTGCGCGGCGTTAAGTCGGCTCGGCGTTAAGTCACTACTGTCACATGGCCGACGCATGAAAACAGAGGAGTGTTTTTACTGAAATAAAGGCACAAACGTTAGAAAATGGGTTTAAGTCGCGGGATCCTAGCCCCAGTTGGTATAGCTGAAAAAACTGAAAACCGTTCCTTCATTAGATACAAATATACGCTGAAATTGTTCTGTGAGCCGCACGGATTCCATCAGCATGACAGGGTTTGGACCACCCTGGTCTACCTTATCAAAAAACTCCCGACTTCGCTGACCACTAGATCGTTGAAATGCGACCGTGGAACCACCACATAGTGTAAACATTTTCTTTTTAAAACAAAAATGCAGCAACATAGAGAACACTAGAATAAGAAAACAACAACAATTTAAGAAAACGACTCATAGGCCCATTTCGTGTCCAAAGAAAAGTTTCAGTGTTTATTTTTAATAAAAAAGGTTAATATGATACTTGAAGACGAAAAACAAGCGAACATTTTGAAGTTTGAGTCGTCTGGTGAAGTCGTAATATTTTAATAAACACCGATAAACTATATAAAATTCTGTTCTAAAATTTCTGTGGTGCCCCTCTTTGCTTGGTGCCCTAAGCACGTGCTTATATTGTTTATTGGTTAATCCGGCGCGGCGTACGATTCAAACTTTATATCATAAACATCAAATAACAATTTCACTCGCTATCTGAAATAGTGTTTTGAGTTGAAATCAGTGGTAATACTAATAGCCTGCCCTTTTTAACACAAAAAACACTTTGTATTAAAATCGCATAAAATAAAAATTTACCACTGTCAAACGGAATAACAGGGGCATTTAAGTCCACAGGGCGGAGGCGCAGTTCTTACCACTCCATGGCAGCTACTGCCACGAACAAACCGATTGCAGCTCTTGCGTGGTTATGGCGCTATTACCGGTATATTCACAGAGTCAGGTATCAGATTTTAGTTTATCATGCGAAAATATATACACTGAAACCTAACCCCAAATCCATCAAAACTGTATCTATAAGAACAGGAGAACAACGCTCAAATATAGGGACACGTCGACGAGAGCGAATCAGTCCTTACTGTTGCCTATGCTTTGACGCCACCGGTACTCTCAAGAAAGTTCCGGATTTCCAGTAGCAAGAATTTTGCAGAATCGAAACGTACAGACAGTCAAGTAATAGCATTCTAAAAAAAAATACCATCTTTAACTACTGAAAATTTCAAAGCAATTGGTCCAGTAATCAAAGAGAAAGGCGACTTTAAAAACGAGTCAAAGAACAGCAATAACACAATATTGAAACGATCGTTATGTCCACTGACGTGTCCAAAAATGTTAAACTTACCCAATATTTATCGCCATCGGGGGCAGCCCTGCCATTACAGCCGACATGCCTTTGGTTATCAATTCGCTGCCGTGGTTACGGCAGCTCTGTCATTGGTTTGTGGCAGCTAAAAAGTCAGTCGCCATGGAAGTTCAATGGTTTCATTGGTTTGGTCATAGCGGTCATGATTAGGAAATCCCGCCACGGTTTTGAGGCAGCTTCAGACGCCACAAAATACTTGAAACTGCACTTGACCGGGTGAGACAACTTGCTAAAATCGGGACTGTAGTACCGGTAGGCGGTGTGGCTACCGCGGCGGTGTGGCTCAACGGGCTAAGCGTTAGGAATACGCTCGCCACCGCACCTCTAATTACTCTGCGTGGGTTCGCAGGTTCGAATCCCATGTAGGGATGGTTATGTGCGAGAGGATTGCTGGACTCCTCGCCGTCGTTGGGTGGTTCACGTAACCGCTGGTCGGTTACGGCTTCCTCCACCACCAAGTCCATGCTTCCGAAAACAAACAATACAGTAAAAACTAATCCCATACCCGACTTGGAATGGTAACCGGACGAGAGGCCGTGGTTCGCCATATGGATAAGCCGTCTTATCGGTTTTCCTCTCCCCCGGGATAAATATGTAAATCCTATCCTATCCTATACGTATTACATACATTTCGATGCTTGATGAGATTAGAAAGCTCGTTGTTTTGACGTCGATTTATATATTCGTCGATTTCTCGCAAGTGGGCGCTCAAGTACTATCAATGCAGAAGGCATATTCTGGACATCCGATGACACTGACAGGAAGGACGTAAATTTACCGATATTGCAGCACCGGAACGGTACCGGTACGGTATCGTCGATAACACCGTCCCGGTATCGGGAAGGAAGGTCTCAATCGAAAATGTCCAGATTATAATCAAAATATTCCTCTATTCAGTCAAGTTAGACTATAGGAAATTTAATTTCAGTAGTCTAAATTTTTTTAAATTTAGAAAAACTTTTATGTAAAACTTCGGTACGGTAGACTACGTAAATAGTGTTATTTCTTTCCAATGGCAGAATGGTGACGTTTTTATAATGTGCTTTCTTTTAGTGCCAGTTTGTGTCAATGTACGAAGGCCCAGACTCTCTCGTAAAGCAGTACTAAACTATACCAGACCCAAGAATTATCCATTAAATCACTAATTGTAATTTCAAACCGTGTGGGCCATACAACAGACTGAAATCGAGAAGTTTAGACGAAATTCACACAGTCGGAATTTGGATACCGGTATATTTTGGCATGAACTATGAATCGATTTGTTGTTTGTTGTTGGTATTCTTCTTCAACTTCTTGTTGTTGTAAAAAATGCTTCTTTTCTTCAAGCAATTGTTTAAAATTTTCATTGGTTGAAGATTATATTTGTTGTTAGAAGACTACTACTTTTATTTATTTCAAAAATTCTGTGGGCTCTATGATAGCGGTATTCATTTTTTTTTTTTTTGCTCGCTGCGTTCTGGTGGTCAGACTAAGTCGTGACGACTACAGTAAAGGTACTGTAAAAGAAGGTACTGTTTTTGAATCAGTGTGTCAAACTCAAGTCATAGGGTGGTGTAGCCAGTCTGCGGACTATTTCATTCAAACCGCTATGAAACAAAAACCAATATTTCTAACCCGTTAATATTTTCATCGTAGGTGCATTGGCATTTCTTCTATACGCTAAACCTCGAATTAACTTTCTACGACCAGGGGTTGAAGCTATACAAACAACCGAAGTACGACACTCCAAATTCGTATTCGCGACCAAACGACCAGTGTGCGACCACGGATTTCAAGCCTTGAACCTCGTTTCTGCTGCGTCAAGACTAGGGCATTTGCAGCCATGCGTGAAAAAAATGGGCTTTTAATTGCATTTCTGATCGTCATATATTTTAAGAACACGGTTATTTCGAACAAAACTCGTCAAATTATAAACAAAGCACCGCATCACAGCAATCAAACAGACAAAAACACGGTGGTCGCAAATTGGTCGACAAAGCTATTATCGATGTATTGGAAATGCGAACCCCCCTATTCCCCCTCCTTTAAATGTAGAAACGCGAAACTTTAAAAATGGTTAAAAGAAACACAGCTCTACCCACCTGCCAAGTTTCATCATTATATCTGATATATTTGTATGGATTTTCAAGCTTTTTTAAAGGGACAATGCGCAGTTGGCGACATGGAAAAATGGTCCGTTTTTTTTTCCTTCGGTCGGGTTTTCGGTCGTAACTTTTTTGTTTGTGGCGCATTTTAGTGTAATTTCGCAGAGCTTCAAGGGAGAGAAATATCGCCGCGGTTCGTTAATTTTTTCAGCAATAATTTAATCGTTTAAGTTGATGGTCGCAATTAGGTCGTGGCCGCAACGTGGGTAAGCCACCCTAATTCGGCATGTTTTACAGTACAGCACACTATACAGATCGACCGATATTGTCTCATTGCAGAAAATCTCATTTTGCTGATAGCCAAACACCCCTCCTTTCGGGGACTTCTGGGCATTGTATCGGTGCCACAATATCGATAAAAATACAGTAAAATAAAGTTGCGCAAAAAACTGCAAAGAAGTGCAATCTAAAAACGTCATCACTGAATTCCTCAGGAAAAAATGTTATCATGACATTCGAGAGTTTTTAGCCGAAAACAGAAATTTTGGTCACAAGGCTGTCATTTTTGAAATTGCAATTGCCCCAATTCCACATCACTGGTGTTTTTCTATTTTGCCATAAAACAGCGATCAGCAACGTGCGGCTCCAAAGCCAAATGCGGCACTTTGTTCTCGGAGCTCTAGCTACAGCGTTTTTTGTTAGAAGCAGCGGGGATGTAATGAAAGTCGGGGACATAAAGTCGATAACTACTCACTAATTACACATCACAGCTGGTATAAGTCGAGAGCGGTAAATATAGGTCGCATTAAGATATTGCGAATCTGTCAAAATAATTTTTCTTTTCATTTTCCAAGTTCTTTTCATTTCATCGTAAACTGAATTATTCCATCACTCATAATTTATTTGGCTTCTTCTTAGTAAGAAGAATCACAAGTGGTTTTCCGAGAGTTTTGATAGCCACTGACATTAGAGTAGATGTTGCAGCTCCGATTACGTTTGAGTTTGACGAAAATGTTGCCAAATGGCTCTTTCAATGCTAAATGTTGCCGACCCGTGCCATAAAACTTATCACTATATCGTACTAAACCTCATGTTACCGCAATTTAATTCCTTTTGAAAAGAAATATCAGATCTGCTTTACTTTTTACTCATTTTGGTGTTTCATTCATTTTATTAAAAAGTTGTAGTGCTGTACTGTCTGTAATACCAATTCATTCTTATTTATTTTCTATGAAAGTTTACATAATATACTGGTATACTATTTTGTGCATCTATTTTATTTAGGCTATTATTATTGCATATGTGTAAAAAATTCTAAAGATGCCTGCTAAAGCGCCAATGTATCTCAAAGCTGGCGGCAAAAATGGTGCTGGGAACAAAGGGTCGAAAAAACTGAGAGAATTATTGTCTGCGGACATGATCTCACCCCCACTGGGTGATTTTCGTCACACAGCTCATGTTGGACGTGGGGGAAGTGATGATATGTTCGGAGATACCTCATTTCTACAAAAAGGAAATACTTCGGAAGTTGGATCTAATTTTCGAAGAGGTGGAAGTTTGGGAAAGAAAGAAAAGAAGAAATCACGAAGTCTATCTCATGAACAAAGTGCTACATTAGATCGTAAGTGATGTTTATTTTAAAATATATTTTCTCACAAAAAGTCCAACTTTGGGTGTTCCAGAAGTGTGTGTACCAATATGGAAGTAACTAATTTTGTTCGCCTGTTTTACATCAAGTTATGTAATGGGACCGAAACCTATCGGGGGTAAATTCACTTGGCTAACACAGACAGTCCCCGAACTCGTAATAGAACTAAAATAAGGAAAATCGGAATAAAATTATGGCCTAACCCTAACCCATTACACACAATACGGGGGAGTATCCAACTTTGTAGTACTAGCATACTTTTACTGTTTTTTTTATCATATCACAAATAAGATATATATTGAATATACACTATTGAAAAAGCGGTTTATACAAAGTTTAATGGAAAAGAACTACCATCTGTCATATTCTTGATTTTTTAAAATAGGGGATTATAATACAAGGCGATGATTGCCATTTCATAAATAAAGAGATAAAAATATTGACAAAAATGTTATATTTTTCATCATTTTTTAATAGTGCTCTATTTTAATTTTTCGCATGTAACTGCCATTTTTTAAATGTCATTAAATGGCAGTCGTGTCAATTAATAATAAATATGTTCAGTTGATCAATATAGTAATAAAAGTCCTTATTAGGACTTTCTCATAAAATATGAAACCTATTCCAAATATCACGTACCGGTAGTTATTTGGAAATGGAAGTAAAAATGAATCATCTAAATCTTATGACACATTCTGAGTAACTCAAGTCAATTGCTACCGACAATAATAATAAATTTGTTATATATAGAAATATATTTATGTGTACATATGTTTATTTGATTGTTAAAAATATACAAAAGTAGAAATTAGAAAAGTGGTTAAAATGGAAAAAGCCACACTCACACAAGGCATGTCCAACCTAAAATTTAAAGTAGGCTTTGCCTTTCATGTGGTTGGTTATGAATTTTATGATGTAACTTCTTTCACTGTTCGTGAATCATCATTTGATATTCAATGAATAACAATAAAACTTACTACAGGTATATCCTTTTTTTGGGTTCACCAGTTTGAATTTAGGTCAGTGATGACATCCTTTTGACAATATACTAGATACTTCTGGCACCACTTAATAACAAAATAATAAATTTAAATTGGGGCCGAACCTAATTTTTTTTGTGTGTGTATATCATTTGTAATGTGTATTTTGGAACTGATAGTGAAAATCAAATCTATTGCTAATGTCTTACAATTGAAAAAAATGTAAATTGAGTTCTTGAGTGGAATAATTCATTTTTATAATTGTTCAATAACATTTTATTATCTTGAATTAGTACCTGATACTTCATATTTTATTATTGAGGTATCAGTGGGAATTTACCTGTCAAAAAGAATGGTATGTTGTAAACCGAGTTTAAGGTATATACACAATGGCAGAACATAGATCTAATCCAATTTGTCACTAGCGCTGAACTCTCCTAATCCAATATAAGTCAATAATTTTGTGCCACCAAAAGTTGTTGCTAAATTAATAGTTCCAACTTTCTATTGTTTTTTTAAATAAATTTTATAAATTTTTGAAAAAAAAAATTGGTCAAAATTTTTCTAATTTATTTTCACTGAAAATTACCAATTCTTCACTAACTATGGTGTAACTTTCCAATTGAATACTGGCCCATCACATCTTATTTTTTTTATTTGGAACGGCTCAAAAAAATTTAAATACCTGGTAGACAAGCCTAATGTTTGGAATGTTTAAATTTAGCTTAATTGGCACTGGGTTTAATGGCATGCATAATTATTGATCCTGTTATAGCACATGATGCCATGTATACGTATGAAACACATTATTTTTATGTATGGTCTTGGATAATGCTCAAAATTTTCCACAAATTTCAAACGTTCAATTTTTCATTATGATCAATATTCCAACCTTTTATGGAATAACATCATTCTCATGGTCACAACAAATGTATTACCGGTATGTTTATTTGGAAATTGATATTTTCAATTTGTCCATTTTAGGTTTACCTATTGAGATCTTAGTTATAGGTGTTCTATGAGTCTTAAAAGGCCGATTTGAAATTAACCGATTTTATGTGAGTGCCTTCGTGGTTAGGTTTTGATTTTAAATATTCCAAGCTTTGCTACTCTTGGAAAAATTGACTAATTCACTGTATTAAAGCAATGGTAAATTAAATTTGAAAAAAGCATTTTTCATCACCTTAAAATATTTGTTAAAATTTTTTTATTTTGGATTTTATTTAGGCTAAATTATCTTTCTATTTGTTTGTCTTTGCTTTGGGAAGACTTTGTCATTAGATTTAAGAGATGTGAAAAACTAATTGTGCAACTAAAATTGTGCATCATATTTGAAAGTCAAAAATGAAGTCTTTTTTATTCACCATCTATTTCGAAATCAAATAATCTCATTTAGTAAAAATTTCAGCCCAAACTTATTTATGGTCGGCATATGGCAACAAAAATGATTATTTTTTCTTAATTAATAATGTAATTTTTTTCATATATTTTTTCAAGAAGTTTTTTTAATGGGCATTTACTAGCATTTCATACAACTGAGGATGTGACATACACAAAATAACGAAATGTTACCAGTAAATTTAAAAAACCATGATATTAAATTCAGTACAAACTAAGTAATCTGGGCTTATTCGTGCTTGATTAAATTTATTTGTATTATACCAAATGTTAGATTTGTTTTCACAGTAACTTTAGGAAGAACATTTCATTACTGATACAATTTCACTTCAAGAAATCAAAAACAGATCAAATTTTTAAAATTTCGAAAGCAAATTCCGAGTGCGTCTCAGCATGTACCACGACTCAGTCAATTATTGTTTGAGCTGTCTGCCATCTCAGGTTACAGGATTAACCTGTAGGCAGCGGACTTAACCTTCATAAGAGTGTTCTTGACTTATCATTCAACGCCGCAGGGCATGATACAACCAAAGGTTAATCCAATAATTTTCTGTATCACAAGTGTTTACACACTGCACTCAAGATGGCAAAGTACATTGTAAATTAATTATCAATCCATATTACAAAAAGCAAATTAATTAATGCACATTTAATGTTCGCCCCACGCTTGGTCGAATATAGTAGTTAAAATTTTTCAATTCACAAATAAGTGCTAATTTTTATATCACTGAATTAGTCTGACATCTAGAGTTCATGTTCCTAATGGTAATACATTACATGACGAATTAGAAAGCCTATTATAGTATGTAAGTATGCTTAAAAATGAATACATTTTTATCTGTCAAATTTCAGGCTATGATCCGTGTGATACATAGTATTTTTTTGAAGAATTTCAAAACAATTGTATCTTGTAGGTGTTGATATTTAACGATACAACATTAGAAATAATTTTTTGGGGAGGGGAGATTTAAAATTATTCGATTTCGATAACATTATCACTTTTTTTGTTTGCTTTTGTAAAAATTAGATTTTTTCATAATTTGTCTCAACTTTCCCCATAGTATGGTTATAGCGCTGGACTTCAGCTATGTCGGCATTGCAGTTATGTTGACCTCAAAGCTCACTATCCCACCCAGTGGGTAATAAATGAGAGTGTAAATAAATGTAGAACTAAAAAGATTCTGTTCCTTCCATAAATCGTATCACCTCAGCTATCAGTGGCTGCTCATATAGAGACTTGTTTGAGTGAGTGAATATCATAAAATAGTAGAATGTGATCACAAGTCGGAATTATTGCGAGTTGGGATTCTAGATTATACAGCATTTCATATAAATATGATCATTGCTATATTCCCTAACTACTGTATAATATGTGTATTGGAGAAGAAACTGCCAAGCAATAATGCAAATCATAACACACCTGTTGTTAGTAAACTTAATTAATTAACTGGTGTTCAAAAACAACTTCATTTTAATCATTCCTTTAGCTTTCTACCATCTCTTCAATTATCCTGACATTTACATGGTAATTATCCAATCACAGTCACTCAATTGTAAAATTTTATTGTCCTCAAGTGTCATTTATTATGTTAAGATGCCTCTGGATGACACCCAATCCCATAAAAGTTATTTTAATGACTGCCCAATTATGTACTATACATCAGATATAAAAATAACTGTCTGGGGGTTATATATACTTGCTATGCTTATATGAAGTATTAAATGTCCATACTTGGGCATTAGGTATGCATAAACGAGTATGGGCCGTAGAAAATATTGTTTTTTATACATAATCCATTCTTAGTATTAATGATACCCAAAGCTTTGTTTCTGTTGCTGTAAATAAAATTGACGCTCCTACTGAATTGAATTCTATTATTCAAATTGTTGATAAGGCCTTTGTTTTGTGTCCAGTGTTTGTGTTATTTATTCTTTTATAATGGATGGCTTTCATTGTAAATTTATTCTTTATTTAATACTTCTTCTCGATAAAGGAAATTTTTTTTGTGAGAAAAAGGAGTACGTAATTTGTGTCCTCGACTCGATTGAAATTAATAATATTAATATAAGGTCTTCATAAAGTCCGGTTATAATTTCTGAATTTTGTATTGAAGTCGGTTCTTTTAATATATCTTAATTAATGACCAGGTTTGCTTATTTAATCAATGTTTATTTAAGTATTCGCACTTCATTTATTACAGCTTTATATCCCACGATTAGCGGAATGAAGCATATACATGATATAGTACAGCACTTGAATATCAATATTGTAAGATTAGGATACTGTGCTGCATGCTGCCTGCACCTTGTCAATTTTGAGATGCGTATATATAGGTTTTGTATTATTATATTTACATGTGTAAAATGACTATGGTATATATACACCTATCTAGCTATTCATGTCATATATTACCGCAACATCCGCAAAACAATAACAGCTTTCATACAATATAAGATACCAATCAGATTATTAAATATTATACAATATACCCTTGTTTGCTCTCCTATATCTCATTTACAGTTGGCATACTTTCCCTTTTGGTTAATATTTATTTTGTATTTGATATATAATGAAACTTATGACTGTTATATCGT